GGGCGCTGATAAAGAGTCTAAGGATAATGGGGGTCAGACACCACTATCGTTGGCGGCGAGGCAAGGGCACAAGGAGGTAGTAAGACTACTTCTTGAGACGGGCGCTGAGCGAGAGTCTAAGAATAATGGGGGTTGGACACCACTATTGTTAGCGGCGAGGCAAGGGCACGAGGAGGTAGTAAGACTACTTCTCGAGACGGGCGCTAAGCGAGAGTCTAAGGAAAATGGCGGTCAGACACCTCTATCGTGGGCGGCGGAGAAAGGGCACGAGGAGGTAGTAAGACTACTTCTCGAGACGGGCGCTGATCTGGAGTCTAAGGATAATAGGGGTCGGACACCTCTATCGTGGGCGGCGAGTCGAGAGCAGGAGGGGGTAGTGAGACTACTTCTCGAGACGGGTGCTGATCATGAGTGTACGGATGATGAGGGTCTCACGCCGCTGTCGCGGGCAGCTAGGAACGGGCACGAGACAGTGGTCAAGCTGCTCCGTTCTCACCAGGAAAAGGTCGACAGCTTCTTGGGGATCGCCCACATGGATTGAGAATTCGGTGAGTCTACAACAGAATCCTAGACCTCTTCCTGACACTTCCTTTGTGCGAGGGCGAGACGTATAGCACATCACAGACAGAAAACACGGGACAGACCTGCTGCAACAACTGCTCCTCCATTCATTGCAACGTTCCTTTTCTGCAATCCCTAATGCTTGTGGAGAAGGTGTGAAGCAGGGACCCTGGTGAAGTCGGCAGAGAGATGTTGAGCGTGCGTAAAGGGAGCATATATATATTATATGCCCCGAACTGTGTTTCGTCCAATAAGGACAATGTGAGTCCGTGGAGCAGGGGCTCCATCAAACTATAGTTACTGCATTTGCCTGTCAATCTACTTTTGCTCAACCATGAATGGAAGGAAGCTGTCGGTATCATTCAAGAAATGACAAGACGCTCACCATGTCGCCAGAGTATGACGGAAGCTTGATGGCCTCGATCAACGAAATGAAGAGTTACATTGACTACCGCCATCTTCCTCCGGAAGGCAATAGCGGCACCGGCATCGTCTTTGCAATCATCTGTGTCGGCCGGATGGCAGCAGCTCCCTTCATCTGGTTCTCGGGCTGGAAGGGAAGACGAGCTGCCATTTTTGTCGGCTGTGTTGGTACTTGGGTTGGCGCGATTGTGATGGCTACCTCTCCGACGTTAGGCGGCTTCATTGCAGGTCACTTTGTACTCGCTTCTTCGGGCCTATTGCCTCCAGTTCGGCTCCTCTATACCTCATGAAGATTGCTTCTCCCCAATCCCGAGGAACGATAGCTGAAATGTACAACACGTTGTCCTATCTGGCAAGTATTTCGATTCCTGGTGGACCTTTACCTGCTGACTTTTACCTGCTGACTTTTCACCAGGCGATCAATCCTCGCAACCGTGACCACCTATACCTCGAACCTCCACCTGACAGACAATGGATGGTGTTATCTCTTGGCGGCTATCTCTCTGGCTGCAGATGGTTTTTCTCGGCATCGTTTGCCTAGGCATCAGGTTCTGTCCTGAATCCATAAGGTGGTGAGTGAACCTGGGTAGCCTCCGTGGCCGTGCTCGAAGTTAACACATTGAAGGCTAGTTGACAAGGATCGTATTGACGAAGCCCGCGAGATCATCATTGGCCTCCAGATTGAAGAAATGGCAGAGAGTGTCTAACAAAAGTGCCCCTTCGTACCTGGAGCGCCATCAGGCTGTGTTGGCAAAGGTATCAATGAATCGAGGCGCGGTCGGGCACTTTTGCACATTAAATACGAAGCCATATTCAGCTACGCGCCCAAACTTGGTGCAGCCAAAGATCTGCGGTTGCTCCCGCTGCGCGTGCGAAGGACCTTTGGAAAGGCTCGCGCCTAAACCCTCAAAGTTGAGGCTGCCTGCTTGTAGCATCTCATTTACTGTGCAACTTTTCATCTCCCAGATAAATAAAGGCCTACAATTGTGTGGCTCCAGATTGTGTTGAAAGCATACTCATCTCCCGATAAGATTATTGTCAAAACACTACAAATGAAGCTTCGCAGCGACACAGACTAATATATCTACTGTGTTACCCTTGCTTCAACGAACCAGGATCACTAAGCCTCCGCTTGAGTCTAATCCCGAAACTACCGACAAATTCTCGAAAATTGGCCAGAAAAGTAGGTGTCGCACGAACCATCACGGTTTATGCAATCGTTGTACCAAGATTGAGAATACTCATCGCCAAGTATCGAGATACCCGCTCCTCACGGTTCTGGCTCCCTGGGATGAGGAAAAGTGGAAATAGCGCTGCGAAGATCGCAAAGAAAGCTATACTTGTACCGGTTCTCTCTGAAAAGGCTGAAGTCGCTTTGATAGGAACCGTGAAAGAAATACGGAATGCGAAGTGCCCCGAATGTCTCCAACGGATAGGGTGTCGCATGTGCAGCAAATTATGTGAGATTCTGGCCTTGGAGGACCAATCCATTAGCGAGAACGCTTATATCACATTGAAGCTGGACCAACTGCATCTCAACAACTCAGTAATACGAGTGGGTGAAGATTCAGACAGCCTAGGTTCCTGGTTCACATATTGGAACAGATTGGAACGAAAATGGTGGTAGAAATCGACGAAGGCTCCAGCCTAGGATCGACATCGGTTTTGTTCAAGTTCTACATTAACTCTCTACCATTCCAGGGCAAGGAGCTCTTTCTTACCGCTGTCAGAATAGGTGGATCTCAACGTTATGAGCAATCGAGCACAGATGAAGCGTCGAGCTTTATACGATTGATTCGACCCACCACCGCCAATGTCAACTTTGCCCGACAGTGTTTGGAAAGATGCCTCCAGACACACAGAACACAATGTTATAAGAGAGATGGCACCACTTTGTAATGCGCTCTATAAATCTACTTGCTTAACCTCGAGGAACGATGTCTTGTTAAGTCTATAGCAGACGCTGATTATGTCGCTCTCAGTTACGTCTAGGGCTCCTACGTGAACGGATTCCATTGTAACACTGACAATATTGAGAAATTTCTCCTCCCTAGTAGTAAGGACGATCTAGAGTTTTATAAAGTCCTACCGCTCATATAATCTACAATCACCTTTACTAGGCAGGTTGGCAAACGATACCTGTGGATAGATCGATATTGCATCATTCAAGACGACTGTCGCCACAAGCATGAGCAGATAACGGCAATGGGTGCAGTGCAATTTGTGCCCAAGCATGCTTCATCATTGTCTCGCTAGAAGGCGACGCAGGACGCGGACTTCCGGGACTGGAGTCTCCAACTGGCAGCATGATACCGGCCCGTAAACGGAATATTTATCTCCAGACCGAGTATTATAGGGTCCGTTACGGTGTTCGATACAAATCCGTACCTTCGGTTGGTTCTTGGGCCAGTCGGGGCTGGACTTTCTAAGAGCAGATGTTTTCTCGACGACTGGTAATATTCGTCAATGGCAAATTTTTGTGAAAATGCAGGACATCGCTGTGCCAGGAGGACTTCGTGGGGGAACTTGTCACTGAAGAACAAAGTTAGAGCGGTCGTTTTGACACATTTATTTCTCCTGGATGGCCGGATATGCATTTATACCGACGACTTGTCGAGAACTACAGCAGACGAACACTCTCTTACCCATGTGATTCGATATCGGCTTTCTCAGGCGTGCTCATTTCACTACAAAGCTCATTTCCTGGGGGCTTTCTCTACGGTCTACCGGTTGAGAAGCTACCTACTTGGTCGTGGTGCAGATGGTTGGGCGATATCAATTTTGAACCATAGTCCGCAGCTGAGGAATGCTTATTTCTGTCGCATTACGTGCAAAATATCTACGCAAGCACCCCGATAGTCAACTAGTGCAAGCTCGACACTTGATCCGGCTCCAAGCAACCGATATCCAACTTCTATTCGACATATCGAGAAGGAGCATTGGCGGACTACTTGCCACCGAAATGGCGAAAGAATGGATTAGGGGAGTTTTAGCATGACGATATTCGCGAGTGCAAACTCTTTCGCTTCCCTATCCCTATTCTCCCCAGACGAAATACCGCAGTACTAAATATGGCACCTCAACATGGGATCTAGAGCACTCGGATCTTTGGAAACCTCGAACGCTCCTATCTCTATCTAGGCAATAAAGCTTTAGACAAGAGGAGATCCATCGAAGAGCCCTTCGATAGTGTTTTCGGGTGGCGCTACCTGCTCTCTGAACAGCGCGAAATCGTAGGAGTAATCTGGACCCGAATTGACAAGAGCCCGCCCACTGAACGAGGCGAAATCACTGCCATTTCCAAGGGCGAACTATATCTAGTACCGTAGAGCAGCGGAGTAGGGGTCTGAGAGCACCAATTCCACAGCTGGGAGCTCTATCGAAACAACAAGGTCCGTACGAAGCTCAATCGGTTTTATAACGTTATGTGGATCGAGAGAAAGGACGACGTTGCTTACAGAAGAGCCGCTGGCCGTGTAAACCAGTGCGTTTGGGATCGACTGAAACATGAGACGGTTGAGATCGAGCTCGCATAGATCCATGCTGAGTGGTAGAAAGTTGATGTCAGAGTCCGGAGATGGCCAAACTCGAGGATGCGCTGCTACTCTCCGACAGTGGCCACATCCACATTGAGCAATAACCAACCATAAGCCACTCCGCCCAAGTCGCCGCTCTCCGGATTTATTCTCATTCAACACAGCAGACAAAAGGAAAGACCCTTAGCCAGGAAGTGACTTGGATGGCCTGACAGGAGCTCTTGATACATCGACGAGCACTACTCGTATGGAAGGCGCACGAGGGGTCTAGATGAACCCCAGCTACCTCTCTACCTCCATCAGCTACAACTGATCTTCTCCGGATGTCCGCAACCATGGATTCTCTCACGAAGAAGACCTTCACCACGACAAGAGACTTGGCATATACATACATACTACCTGTCTCCGTCCTCGCATGGCCTACCGACTGTTTTATACTACCACGGCTGGCCAGACCGCGCTTCCCTATGGAAGGACCTGATTATGGACTACTTGCTCCCGGCTGGATACTGAGTGCTCGCTCCCGACTGCCTGGGCTACGGAGAGACCGACAAAAGTACAGATAAGAGGCTGTACTTTATCCATTACTAGGTCCGGGCTCAGAGGGTCCCCCTTTGGGCCTCGGCTACGGTTGCACAGCTGTAACCCCTTCACACAATGTCGATATCAACCCCCCAATCCTCCCCGTCCTGTCACTCCAGCCTAACAAGGAGTTTAGCTCATCACTTTCAGGGAGGAAACAGGAAAGAGGAAAGATGCTTGGCTACCCTCATCTCAGGGCATCAATGATCGGCCGTAGCCAGGGCTTCCCCGCATGACCTGGCATCGCCCCTAATACCAATCCAACTTTTTTGTTTGACTGTGTAAGCTGTGTCAATGCATTCTCTCTGGATGGCTCATACAAGGCGCGTTCATGTCGCCGACGAACGCGCATGAAACTCCCCGCGACGTCTGATACGGATCCAAGGTCATGAATTTCCCCACGCACTGTCGCCGGCCCGATGCCAACAAGCCAGGGCGAATGAGATTCGGCGTGCTCCACAATCTGAGTGACCTAACGGGGTCCTGCGTCGAGCCAGGGCAGTCATACACGACAAGCACATCGATCTCTGGTCTAGACCCGAGGCTGGACTAGCAATAAATGGCTTCCCAACTTGAGATCGAGGGCATGCAATGCGAATGATACGCCTGTACAACGACCACCGTGCTTTCATAACCTAAATACCCGACACCGTTTGAGATGAAGAACCAGGAGTTACGAGGCGCCAAGAGGAGGACACTGGCGACTTCCCCCATGTACGAGTAACGAAAGCACCTTGAGGCGGCTTCCGAAGTGAACACCGAGGCCCCAGCCCATCTTGGGACCATTAACGAACAGTCGCACGGAGCAACTTTCAGGGGAGCATTGGAAATTAGGCATTGGATAGACACTACGTCTTGGCCTCGGCAGAGCCTGCCTCTGAGGTCGTGGCCTTCTTCGGGACAAAGCCGTGATAATCCAGAGACCTCTCCGAACCACCCAATACGTCCACCTTGATGTCCCATTGAACTCCTTCACAGTTGAGGAGAGGTTTGATAAAGTGAGGTTGCCGGTATGTTACATAAATAAAGGTCGCATGAGGTTTGAGCACGCGAAAGACCTGGACGGGCAAGCGATGTTACTTTCGCACACAGCAAACACCTCGTACACAGAGACGCTCGAAATGGACCTCTCGGATGTATCGACAGGTATTATCAAGAACCTCTGTGGGCGGGTCCCAGGGGCTACCGTGAATCATCGGGTCTAATGTCCCCTTATCAAACGCAACATCCACCGACTCCTCGGACGGGATCTGATCCATCTGGCGGACGTCGGCGCGCTTCCAGGTGATGCCCCCGACATCCAGATGCCGTTTAGACATGGCCGCTACCACCACAGGCGAGAAGTCGACGCAAACTTGGTCCTTGTACCCTCTTCTTGAGAGGTCTTCCGGAATGGTCTGCCACGGAAATTTCAGCCATGAGCACTCTTCGATCGATCGCTTTGACGCAGCCTTGGTTTCCGTGCTTAGACCGATAGACACGGAGTAAAATTCGCGGATGGACTCCATACACAGTAAAATGTAGATGCACTAGACTTGTAATGGTACAATATAACAACTAGCCAACTAATTTACCCCACTCGGAGTACAGGTCGTTCCCAGTGGTCCACACCACCAGGTCCATAAAATGCCCAGCTAGTGGCTACAAAGTACATCGACCCGACACCATACATAGGCGACTACCGTTGGCATAGCGCCTTTGCCACTCCAATGCCATGCATGCCTCATGGCGCCAATGTGCCCGGCCGTTGGCGATAGATGGCCGTGTCTCCCTCGATAGTCCGACTCAATGCACCTCCGCCCACACGGGGGACCGGGCGACGTAGTCTTTCCAGGTGGTGAGCGGCTCGTCCACGATCTGCCGAAAGTCACACCGTCAAGTCAGCCATCTGGGGGGATCTTGCCTGGGCTAACTCGCGATGGATTGGGATTCGAAGGTCGGTTGAGTTGACCGATCATGATATACCAAACAAAACGCAAAAAAACAGAGATCTGGACAGGGAACTTACCGCCTGGCTCTCCCCGAGGTCGGCACCGCCGTAGTACCCGAACTGCGGCATCAGGAGCATATTCTCGAGCATCTCGTCCTGGATGGGCGCCGGCAGGCCCTTGGCCGCGAGGACCTTCTTGAACGCCTCCTCGGGGACTTGGCGCGCCGCGCCGCCGGGCCCGTCGCGGGCCTTGACGGCCTGGAAGTCGGCGAGGATCTGTTGCGGGGTGTAGTAGCCCGTGGCGCCGTAGACGCGGGCGCCCAGGACGCGGTCGCGGTGGAGCAGGATGCCCTTGACGAACTTGCCTGTGTCGGCGTCGGCGTCGAACAGCGGCATGGGCGCATCCGGGGGGATCGGCAGCGCCAGGTTCCACACGCCGCCCTGCGCGTTGTTCAGGCTCTGGCCCGGGATGTTGGACATGTAGAAGCCCGGCATGAAGAAGGTCGCCGGGAGGCCCTGCTCGCGGATGTACTGCTCCACCGCGGCCTTGGAGTCGAAGTGCGCGACTTTGGACAGTTTGCCCCCGGAGACTGTGGTTCCCGAGGATCACGGTTAGGTATTCCTGTGGCTTTGGATGCGGGTACTGGAGGGAGAGGGAATGGACGTAACGTACGCTCGGTGACATTCATCAGGCTGCTCCAGATCAGGTGCTGGACGCCGCACGCCTTGGCCGCGTCGGCGATGTTCTTGCCCTGCTGGATCTCCGCCGCCGCGCTCTTCTTCTCCCAGAAGTTGGTCACGGCGTAGACGGCGTATGCGCCCTGGAGGGCGTGGAGGAGGGACTCTTTGTCGTCGAGGTCCGCCTGGGAGGAGACCATGTCAGTCCCCGAGAGATTTGTCTCTCTGATCAACCACCCGACTTACCGACACGCACTCGCAGCCCATCTTGACCAGCTCCTGCGCGGCGGGCTTGGAAGGGTCTCTGGTGATGGCGCGGATGGAAAACATGGACGCGGCCGTGGGATCGCCCAGAACGGACTTGATCACGGAGCCGCCCTGCTTGCCCGTGGCGCCAAAGACCACCAGCACCTTCTTGGCGTGTCCGTTGGTGTGTGCGCCGGGCATCTTTGACCGAATGCTGTCGATGATACCCATGGATGTGTAGAACGAACAAAAACTAGAAGACAGAAGTTCTGAAAAGGACTCACTCTAGTGGATCGCTCGTACTTGGGGGAATTTTGGGATATGGCCGCCCTAGTCGACGTACTCTCTGTCTTTAAATATCGCCGTGGCAATTGTGACATGGTGTGTACCCATCATCCTTGTCCCAGCATCCCTCTTGTCTCGTCCGGAGTCTGCTGGCATCAGGTTTTCTGCGATCCTGTGCGTGAAGATCGAGGATTGACGGAAGCTGATGATGTATTTGTGAGCATCGTCGGCGTTCGGCAAAGCATGACGCGAGCGATTGGCAATCAACCAACTTGTAAGAACCCTTTGGTATGGGCGAGGGGACGATCAACTGGCATCGGCCTGATAAGTGTGGAGCAAGCCAAGCCCCAATCGTGCCGTATCTTCGGTCAACGACCACGACGGCCCCACACGTTGTTCCTGGATCTTGGATGATCAAAGCAGCTGTTTCGCAGAGTGTTAAGAGTAAACGAAGAACAGGTCGACGTAGCGGCAAGATGTATAGGAGGAGGGCTGTGAAGTCTCCTTTTCTGCGCGGTGGCCACACTTCATCTGTCCTGGCTGTATAATTTGAGGCGCGAATTTGGTACGTGTTGTTCCGTCTGCGCTGTCCAGACACCATGACTTTCACGGTTCGCGAACCCGTCCCCACGTCTCATCTCGACGGCAAGGTGGCTATAGTGACTGGCTCTGGACGCGGTATCGGCCGCGGCATCGCCATCGAGCTGGGAACGCGCGGAGCAAATGTCGTGGTCAACTACTCGCGAAGCTCCAAGCCCGCCAACGAGGTCGTCGCGGAGATCGTGGCCCACGGATCCGAAGCCATTGCCGTCCAAGCCGACATCTCCAGACCAGAACAGATCGCGCAACTGTTCGAGCGCGCCCAATCGCACTTCGGCCACATCGACATTGTCGTCTCCAACTCCGGGACGGAGCACTTTGGCAACATCGACCAGGTCACCCCAGAGGCCTTCGACCAGGTCTTCGCGCTCAACACGCGCGGCCAGTTCTTCGTCGCCCAGAACGCCTACCGGTTCCTCAGCGAGGGCGGGCGCCTGATGATGATGTCCTCGATCTCCGCGCACGTCGGCATGAAGGAGCACGCCCTCTACTCCGGGAGCAAGGTCGCGGTGGAGGCCTTTGGCCGGTGCCTGACCAAGGAGTTCGGGCACAAGAAGATCACGGTGAACGTCATCGCCCCCGGCGGCGTCGACACCGACATGGCTGCCGAGGCGGGCTGGAAGTACATCCCTGGAGCCGATCCGTCGTGGACGGCCGCGGACATCTCGCGCTGGGTCGCGGCGCGGAACCCGCTCGAGCGGACAGGGAAGCCGCGGGATATTGCCCGCGTGGTGGCTTTTCTGGCCAGCGAGGATGGAGGCTGGATCAATGGTGAGTAGTCGAGATTTTGGTTTTCCTTCATGTCGTTCTATCGGGAGGCTTACACTGCTATCAGGGCAGACAATCACAATCTCAGGGGGTGCCTTGGCGTAGGTCTGAAGTGTGGGATGTTTTCACACGGTCTGACCACAGAGTGTCGATATCATGCATAGATCTAGACCACCAGTCGCACTTAGCAGCTGCTAAACACGTTTCTTCCAATCATCTCATCCTTCCCTCAATCTTTAGTCTGTCACAGCACTAGCTTAGTTACCGTGAGATTGGGTGTTTCCATCCGTGATGATGCCGTGATCACGCTGCCTGTGGGCCGCGACGAACGCACACGTAACGGCGATCCTGAGATCTCATGCATGGCAGACATGTGTCTAGCGTCATGAACATCGAGATCTTGAATCAACGTGCATATGCCATGTAGCCGGGTGGCTCCACATTTCGTGACAAGCCCCTGTAGATACCCACCGAGGACGGTGACCGAAGCAGGGTTGGCCGTGAGACAGTTAAGGATGGCGATCGCGATGGCATTGTCACACAACAGATCTAATAAACATGGGCCTTTTTGGATTCGCAGTGCGCATTTCCATTTTCTAGGTTCTCTCAGCTTTCTTCTCGAACCCGAACTCTTGATCCACCGTATACCATCAATGGGTTCAATCAGTTCCATGAGCCCTATGGGCAAGGAGAGGATCACTTTTGATGGCAAGTTGGCCCATATCCTGAAGTCCCTCGATATGCTTTCCTTGGTTCATGGTGCTGATGAGATTCACCAGAGTGGCTCGACTGCAACGGCGTGCTCTACGAGTGGGCAGACTGCTACGACAACAAGGCAAGACTCAATCCCGCGCCCTGGACTTTACATCTGACCAATGAAATGACTTGCCTGACACCTGAAGTAGAACTGGTACGGGCTGATGGACATCATCGCCCCGACTCTCACGGTAGGACAATTCTCTTCATTTCCCTGTGCTGAGTTAGACTGACACCGACACCCCACCCCCAGATCGACTACGACAAAGTCAACAACGCCAAGTTCGCCGACCTCCCGGCCGAAAAGTACATCGAGATGATGAGCGACCCGCTGTTCCTCGGCGACGAGCTCGTCGCGTCGCAGCACCTCATTGGCGCCACCAAGTGGGAGAAGGTGTCGGACGCGGAGATTGTCTCGCACCACCAGTCGCGCGCCGCGCACCAGCGGTTCGAGGACGTGCGGCGCAAGGACGTCGCCGTCAAGGGCCACGGCCACGGCACGGTGACCACCTTCTACAAAAAGGTCAATGGGCAGTGGAAGTGGGCGGGGATCAAGACCAAGGTCATCTGGAACGAGTTCGACTTTGAGCACGTCTTCAGGGGCACTGCCGGGAAGGAGTAATTCCACAAAGTCGTTGTTCCATACCTTAGCTAGTGTGTGTACGAATAGATCGCTCGCGGGGAACGTAAGGCTGGAGCCTTGGCGCTCAGCCCCTTGCGGACCTCAGCCTTGTCCCCTTGCGAGAAGACTGCGCAGGCTCAATCCGTATATTATCTTCATGGACGACTCCTCTCCCCACAGTTTGCCATGTGCAAGCAATTGAGCGCTCCTGTGCGATCAATCCACCTGAGCTAGAGATACAGCTCCAAGACTATGGTAAATCTTCAGAAGCACTGGAGATTAAAAGATTGATCAACGAGACACTCGTCTGTCATTGGTGACGTTCTCTAAGCCTGAAGGGTGTAAATTGCCGCTTCATTTTTCATCGGCCTCCAACAAGAGGTGATCAATGCCTGAGTTCTCCATACCATAACGTATTTTCCGCAATGAAATCTCGATCTTCTCGACCTTCAACACACGGGCCGCGGTATGGTATCGACATGTCAAATGACGTTGGCGATGGTGTGGAACCTGAGACCAAAGGCACTCGGTCACCGACGTCTCCACACAACAATGCAGAGACACCAACCGCATTCAGGTACTGCTAATGACGATCAACCACCACGAGCTCGCTGAGCTCCAAGCTCCAAGCTGCTTTAAAAGGTATCAGACGACGCGTAAACACAGAATTGTTCCGGCGCGACTTTACAATCTGTTTGTTCAAGAGACTGTCTCAAGATCGTTGAGTCAGGTATTTTCGCTGTCGTGCTGTTCGCTTTCTCCTCGTGGTGTCAAGATGTTGTTTGTGACCCGCGGAGAAATGTCCTGGAAGTCTCTCTTCACCGCAGTGCTGTTCGCCAGGGCTGCTGTAGCAGCCCCAAGCTCAAATTTCAAAGCCTTGCAGCAGTGTGTTAGCGGTGCTCTCGCGGCAGGAGGCAATGTCGCGAAGCGTGTGCAATCGCCTGCAAATGCGACCTGGGACGATGCATATATTGGTGCTATCATGTTCGTATTCTGAAGCCGATTGCTCGGAGGTCACTGACTCAGAATCGGTGAAGCAAGCCAGAGACTCCCGCCATGATCACTTTCGCCGAGAGTTTCACTGAAGTGGGCGCGTTGATGGGATGTGCCAACAGCACTGGTTATCAGGCTGTGCCTCGGTCAGGACGGCACCAGTAAGCATTTCATAATTCCGCTAGTGATCCCTTCTGACAAATCGATGCAGCTTCGAAGGCTGGTCCGCGCTCAATGGCTCTCTGGTCATCGATGTATCCTCCCTCAGCTACGTCAAAGTCTCCAGTGACCTCAGCAATGCGACAATTGGGGCTGGCACAAACCTTGGCCAAATATACACGGAGTTGAGCGTGGTGAACAAGACGTTTCTGGGGGGAATCTGTCCCACCGTGGCACTGGGAGGATACCTTGGTGTTGGAGGTTACAGTCTCCAGCACCGAGCTCTTGGGATTGCCGTCGACCAGGTGCTTTCCTTCAAGGCACTTTTGGCCAGCGGCGAGCTTGTCACCGTGTCTCCAACCTCATATCCAGATCTGTGGTTCGCTGCACGAGGCGGTGGCCAGTACGCCTTCATCGTCGAGGCGACAGTGAAGATCCTCACCTTGCCACGATCCGCCATGGTCGTTGGCTTCTATAACAATTCGGACACCCGTTATGAGGTGGCCAGGAAATGGCTTGACTGGGCACCGACTGCGCCAAAAGAACTCACAACCCAGCTCAACGTCTATAACAACCGTACGCACCTGATTGGCTGGTATCTAGGTGGTACTCCTGAACAGCTCCGTGGAGCCCTGAACAAGTCAGGTCTTTTGGAGGTCCCAGACGGTATTGTTTCCATCGATGGCAACTGCAGCACGGCGAATTCGCGCATGTACTGGCAAGACCCTTCAACAAGGTGCACCGATGATGCGTCGGCCTACCAGGCTTTCCTCAAGGTGTACAACACCGAGGCAATCAACCTGACTCCAATCCAGCCGGTCTTCCGGCTCGACAACGCGCCAGCCATACCATCTCAACCGGTTGCCGAGCCATGGCCCCGCTTCGGTGTCATCAGTAAGACGTATTTCACCCAGAGGAGCAAACCCATCGCAAATGACACTTTGAGGGAAGTCATTGATAGTTCTGCAAAGTTAGGCCCCGACGCCGGCTTCTGGGGCGAATGGACCAGCTTCGGTATCGCCAACCCGACCACAACTTCAGCCTTCCCATGGTTGAAGGAGGCACAGGCTTTGATGCGAATCGAGATGAATTCGCCAAAGAACGTCACCGAGTACAACCAGAATCGTGCATGGCTGTTGAACTTTGAGAAGTTCTTCCGTCCCAAAGTAGGGTATGTTTTTGTGTTCCCTTCGATGTCAATACAACGGCGGCGAATTTGTCAACGAGAATTTACTGACCTCCATGATTCCTCATGCAGAAATGCGAGCTATGCGGGTTATGTCGATGCTGACATCAGTATCAACCCTCTGACTGCATTCTACGGCAATAATACCTGCCGATTGATCAGCATTAAACAGAAATATGACCCCAACAACTTCTTCCGAAACCCATTCTCGGTCCCTACTAAGGCACCAAAGGGCATCACTTGCTGAGCTTGGGAAAGGCACAGTAAAATTCTGCTGCATGTGATAGTGACGTGGTACTGTAAGATAGTTTCGCTTTGAAGATCTGAGTAATTAGAGAAAATGACGGAGAGTACAGAGGAACTTAGAATCCAGATCGTGGTTATGTAACCCAAAATCCGCAGCAAGGAATGGTCTTCATGTGACACTTTGGTCTAAAAGATTCTCAATCCGACGAAGCAAGAAAGCTCGCAAAGTTTCAATGTTCCGGGTCAAAAAATTTGCTGTTTGTCCAATCCGCATCGTATTGGTAACAACGGTATCACCGACCAGGTACAAAGGTCGAGATGAGCCTTCGGGGACCAGTCGTATACTTACGAGGAATCTGTCCGATTGAGGACGAGACCAGGTCCCTGTAACATGGCAGCCGCTCCAGGGACGAGACTCTCTGATGTAAGCAAAATGAATCCTCATCAACACAACCTCGACAAGCGGGCACACTGAAGTTAGAACCAATGACAATGGTTGAGGTGCCACAACGCTTCGGTCACCGTGTAGTTTTTCGGACTGGAGGCTGCCCCATGCCGACACTGGAGCCAAGGAGCAACGAATCCGTTCTGATCGAAGATATGATCATAGCTAACTCCAATGACATCAGCTTCCGTTCGGACATGAGACTTGGGTATATCACCTTGAAACTCTCAAAGTGAAAGAATCGCTCTGGCAGGCTTGCTTCAAAAATTCACAAACGCGGTTATTTTGATCTTTTGAACTTTCACTATGACCAACTTCTGGCCCAAGAAGCCCTTCTCCATCGCAATCATTGGCGGGGGGCTTGCTGGACTCAGTCTGGCGCGGGGGCTCCTCCGCCGTGGCATTAGCTGTCAAGTCTTTGAAGCTGCGCCCGCGTTCGCTGACATTGGAGCGGGTCTGAGCTTTGCCCTCAACTCTTTGGAAGCATTGAAAGCAGTCGATCCTGACTCTTATGAATGTTTCCTCAAGCGGTGCAACGAAATGTCGGAGAAGAAGGACGTATACATGACGTACCGAGACGGGAACGCGGAAGACAACCATCCGCTCACAACACTGTACTGCAAAGGTTCTGGACAGCAGGCCGTGCACCGTACGTTACTAGTCAAGGTCTGGATGAATTCCTCGGAAACAATAAAGACAAACTTCTGACAAGCCCTAGGATATGGTGTCTTTGATGCCTGAGGGCACATGGCACATGGATAAGAGACTGACAACCATCGAGGAAAATCCATCCGGCGGAGTTACTTTGAGCTTTGAAGATGGAACAATGTTCGACGCCGATGCTGTGGTCGGCGCGGACGGAATCAAATCCAGGACTCGCCAAATCCTCTTGGGAGCCGATAATCCCGATGCTAAGCCGAAGTATTCAGGAGAATTCGGCTATCGCAGCCTTGTTCCCATGGACAAGGCTGCAGAGGTTTTGGGCGAAGACTTCGCAAGGAACAGCAATGTTAATATTTCGGAGGGCGCCCTCACAACCACGTACCCTGTCGAAAAGGGGACCATGCTCAATGTTGTGGCAGCGCGCGACCAGCCAACTTGGGATGATCCAAACTGGGTGATTCCGGCAAACAAGAAAATGGTCGAGGAAGAGTTCAAGGGAACCGGACCACAGATGCAAAAAGTGGTGTCTTTATTGGAGGATCCACAGAAATGGTCACTGTGGCATCACCCAGATGCTACTACTTTCTACCGTGGTCGATTTTGCATCATTGGTGATGCTGCGCACGCGGCCACTCCTCACCAAGGCGCAGGGGCTGGACAAGCGTTTGAAGATGCTTTGGTTCTGGCTCGGCTTTTGGCGGATGATAATATCAAAACGGCCGGTGACATTGAGACCGCATTCGCTGCATTCGACGCCATCCGCCGACCACGGACTCTGAAGATTGTCGATACTAGCAGAGAAAACGGTGAAATCTGCATGAAGAGGGGTGAGGAGACAGGAGCGGACCTGGAAAAAATCAAGCACAATCTCGACCACAGATTCAACTGGATCTGGTACGACAACCTCGAGGGACAGGTTGGTCAAGCTAAGGAAAAGTTGAAGGACTTGAAAGGTCCAGAATTTGAGGAAGACAAAAGATCTCCGTCACAGCGCGAAGCTCTCAATGAGTCGACTCTTGAAGCCTCTTACCGACCCGCAATCCTTAGAAACGAAAGCTTTTCGCAGCTGGGCGCTCCGGCAACACCGGCGGTGAAAGTGTGATTTGGAGGGATATCATCCAGAGCTTGATTCATTCTCTTCTGTCAGTTTTGCGGGGTTGGAGTTGTTTAAGAAGGCATTAGTTGTACCAAAATCACACGCAAAACCATTAGATAAACAATTCAAAATATTGGACTGGTAAAGGATCTTCTCTTATCACATACGACTCACCTCTCCCACCCAAAACACACCCAATCTCGGTGTAGGGTGTGAGTTCAAGGAAACGATAGAGCCGCCATTGCCGTCTCCTCATGGAAGAAACATGGACGGTCTGGACCATGGGATGCGTCGATTTGCCTCAATCTCGAGCTCAATGCGTGCAAAAGAAAATGCAGCGTCGAAGCTCGATCTACCAAGGGCCTGTCGAGATCGAGGATGGCAATAGAGATCGCCAGATTTCTATTGCCAATCACTCGAACTGTGTTCGTTCACCTATGTGAATCAATGGACTATGCGTGAGCGGTTACACTGCTGAGAACTGACCGGCGAGCGAAATTCGGTGGATATTTTGAGCTGCTCAAAATGCCAATGATCCACAACAGGGTGAAATCCATGCACCAACGTGTCTGCAACTCTGGTGGCGGCGTTCAGTGTCGTCATATGCTAGGTTCACCGGTCAGTAAATGCACCGGCCCTTTTGAGCCTCTTTCGGACTGCCTTGGTGTGTTCGCCTGGCAGCGCTGCTTGTGCCATGTGCGACATATTGTGGATAAGACCTGCACTCTGAGCATTCCTTGAATCTCCCACGGAGTTTGCTGATTGGGTTCATGTCTGCGCAAAGAACAAGCGCTTCAAACGTCATCGCAGATTGCCTGCTCTTTCATGTGCTCGTTCCCACTGTACCCTTAAGCCTCCAGCGTTGTCGGTGGCCGATAGTTCGTAGAATCAGCTGGGTTCGAGGGCGTGTTTCGCGAGGCTCCAACAGTAGAAAAACACGCTGGGGGCGCTCGCAACTTTCACACCTGGATGTATTCAGTGTTCAAATCTAGATTCACTGTCCCCCACAAATGTGTCTGCCTTTCTCTTGGGCAGACATTCCAACGACCATGGGACGGGACATCAAAGTCCTCCTATTCGGAGACCAATCAGAAGAAAGATTTGAAGACCTGCGCCAGTTAGTCACAGCTACCGACAACCCTCTTCTGAGCACTTTTCTTGAGAAGGCATATTTTATGTTACGAGATGAAGTCGCCCACCTCCCTTATGTGATGCGGGGCTTGCCTGGCTTCACAAGCATTGAGACCTTGCTGTGGCGGTACAGGGAGGCCGGCGTGCGACATCCTGCGATCGAAAGTGCATTGGTGTGTGTTCATCAGATTGGGACTCTGTTGAGGTGAGTGGGAAGTTGTCGAGTGTCGTCGTTCTTTTCCCCCTGGAGGAGATGCACGTGCATGCCAAGCCTTAAGCGGGGGATGAAGCCTGCGGCTGCAATGAGGCGCATACAGCTTCAGCTTCAGCTTCACGTGTACCTCGCACTAGCCTCCGTTCTCGATAGGATCTTTGCTTAGAGATGTTTATGGAATACTCACTAATCTCCTCCCCAGACATTACGGCGATGGATCCGAGATCTATCCCAAGCCCGAGGATACCAGACTCGTGGCATCCTGTACCGGACTGCTCTCTGCCGCCGCCGTCAGCTGCGCCCGTACCTACCGCGAGCTTGTCTCCGTTGGCCTCGAGGCCCTCAAGCTCGCATTCCGTGTGGGCACTCAGGTCACCCAAGTGTGTGATGAGATTGAACAGTCGTCGCTGCCAAGCAGCTGGGCAGCCATTTTCCCCGGAGTAGGCAAGGAATCGGCCTATTTAGTCTTGGATGAATACTACAAGAAAACTGTACGCCCCTTTCCTCTCATTTTGTTGCGCCTCAGTTTCTGAATCAAGGCTACTGCTGCAGAAAATTCCCCCCACCAGTCGACCTTATGTGTCTGCGACTAGCACCAACTCAGTCACCATCAGCGCTCCTCCAGGAGACTTGGAAAGTCTAATTGAAGCCGACATCTTCAAATCCTGCCGGCCAATTCGGCTTCCTATTTTCGGGCCCTACCATGCACCTCATTTCTATAGTAACGAGACGGTGACCTCCTTGGCTGCGTCCATCGAGGGTGCGAGCACAGGTGAATCGAAAGCCCGAATTCCCATCATCAACAATGGCAAAGAGTATGCCTACGAGGCGTCCAATTTCCGCCAACTGGTTGAGGATGTCCTTGAGGACATTCTTCTCAAACCCCTACATTGGGACAGGCTGTGTACCAACTGTGTGGCCAGTGTCTCCTCGGCTGAACCCGAACAATGCCGCGTCGTACCTGTGGGTGCGAAGAATGCCTCAGCTAGCCTGGTCAATGCTTTGAATCACAAAGCCTCATTCAAGACTGTGGTTGATAACCGCAAGACAGAGGTCGCCGACCAGCCTAAGGAGCCCAAGCCAATTGGAGGTCTCGGTAAACCCGAAATTGCTATCGTTGGCATGTCGGGTAGATTTCCAGATGCCATGAGTCCGAGCTTATTCTGGGATCTTTTGAAGAAAGGCCTTGACGTTCACCGCGAAGTGCCTCCCGATCGATTTGATGCGCAAGCACACTACGACCCGAGCGGCAAACGCAGAAATACAAGTCACACACCATATGGCTGTTTCATCGAGCACCCTGGCTTGTTTGACGCCCGCTTCTTCAACATGAGTCCTAAGGAAGCGTCTCAGACGGACCCCATGCATCGACTTGCTCTGCTGACTGCTTACGAGGCGCTTGAAATGTCGGGATATGTTCCCAACAGGACGCCTTCAACTATGGTTGATAGAGTCGGTACATTTTATGGCCAAACTTCTGATGATTGGCGAGAGATTCAAGATGGACAAAACGTCCAAACATATTTCATTCCTGGTGGGTTCTGTTCCTCTTTTGATTCATATTGCCATTTCTCATTTCTTACAGGAGGTGTGAGAGCTTTTGCGCCCGGACGAATCAACTATCATTTTGGCTTTTCAGGGCCCAGCTTCAGCGTCGACACAGCCTGCTCTTCCAGTCTCGCCGCAATCAACATTGCTTGCAACTCTCTGTGGCTTGGAGACTGCGACACAGCTCTTGCCGGTGGTCTAAATGTCTTGACTAACCCAGATATCTTCTCCGGGCTGTCGCGTGGCCAGTTCTTGTCCAAGACGGGCAACTGCAAAACATTCGATGATGCAGCGGACGGTTACTGTCGTGGAGATGGTGCCGGCACGGTCATCCTCAAACGTCTGGAAGATGCTGAAGCAGATAACGACCCAATACTGGCTGTCATCCTTGGAACAGGAACCAACCACTCTGCCGATGCCGTCTCAATCACTCACCCTCATGCGGGTGCTCAGGAGTATCTCTTCAAGAAGGTTCTTACAGAGTCTAACCTCGATCCTCACGATATTTCTTATGTGGAAATGCACGGTACTGGTACTCAAGCAGGTGATGCCATCGAGATGGAATCGGTTCTGAATTCATTCGCTCCATCGACTCGACAGCGTCCTCCAGACCGCCCACTCTATCTAGGGTCTGTAAAAGCGAATGTCGGACACGGCGAGGTATTCATCAATCCAAATCTTTCTCATAGAAGTGATGCTGATCTACTCAGGCTGCCTCGGGTATCACTGCCCTCGTCAAAATCCTCCTCATGCTCGAGAACGATCTTATTCCACCTCACTGCGGTATCAAAGGTAGTATCAACCACAATTTCCCTGATCTTAGAGCTCGCAATGTACACATCTCGCTCGGTCGCGAGACTCCCTGGAAGCGACCGCAAGGTGGCAAACGTAGAATGTTCTTGAACAACTTCAGTGCCGCAGGAGGGAATACCTCCCTTCTCATGGAAGATGGAACTCTGCCTACCCTGGAGGGCAAAGATCCTCGCTCAACTGCTGTCGTTGCGGTTACTGGTAAGACTAAGAAAGCCTTGGTGGACAATACAAAGAACCTCATCGGGTATATCTCCGACAAACCTGTCGATCTCCCACGTTTGTCCTACACCACGACAGCCAGAAGAGTACACTACTCCTACAGAACGATTGTTGCCGGCTCCGATTTGGCTGTCATTCAGTCTGGACTGCGAGAATCTTTGGAATCTGAGCCAGCTCCTGTTCCTTCGGGTGTCCAGATGGTATTTGCCTTCACTGGGCAAGGATCTCACTACACTGCCATGGGCAAACAGCTCTACGAAACGAACAACCAATTCAAAGCTGATATTCGGCGCTTCGATCTCCTTGCTCGGAATCAAGGACTGCCAGCTATCTTGCCCTTGGTCGATGGCAGCACTGCAATCGAAAAGCTCAGCCCAGTGGTGGTGCAAACTGGAGCGGTTTGTGTTCAAATGGCGCTTGTTCGCTTGTGGCAATCTTGGGGTATCAAGCCTGCCGCAGTCATTGGTCACAGCCTTGGAGAATATGCGGCATTGCAGGCAGCTGGTGTCCTGTCGATCAATGATGCTGTCTTCCTGACCGGCACAAGGGCTAAGCGTCTTGAACAGCACTGTACGATGAATACGCACGCAATGTTGTCTGTGGCTGCCTCGGTCCAGGAACTTGAGGGGGTTGTTGACGGGAGGAAACTTGAGATCGCCTGCATCAATGGTCCAAAGGCAACGGTGATCAGTGGAGAGTCTTCCAACATTGACAAGCTGAAAGAGCAGTTGTCCTCCAAAGGCATGAAATGCACCAAGTTGGCAGTGCCTTTCGCATTCCACTCCGCCCAGGTAGAACCTGCCTTGGATGACTTCGAAGCAGCTGCCGCAGGAGTTACCTACAATGTCCCTAAGATACCGTTCATTGCTCCACTATTGAGCACTGTGATCACGGAGAAAGGAATCATCAACGCAGAGTACCTGAGACGTCACTGCCGTGAGCCGGTGAACTTCTTGGGTGGCATTCAAGTTGCAAAGGACAAGGGCATTATCAAGGACAAGACCCAGTTCCTGGAAATCGGCAGCCACCCAATCTGCAGTGGTATGGTCAAATCGATCCTGTGCTCGACTACTGTGGCACTTCCGTCATTGAAACGGGACGAGGATGTTTACAAGACTCTAACAGCGACTCTCTGTGATCTTCATTACGCTGGTCTCACCATCAACTGGAATAGCTACCATGAAAGCTTTCCCCGCTGTCAGCAGGCCCTGAAGTTGCCAGCATATGCTTGGGACGCCACCAACTACTGGATTGAGTACGAGAACAATTGGACGCTCACCAAGCCTAATCTGGCGCCGACCTTTGAGGGCGAGCAGGCCAGGAAGCTGAGCACAAGCACTGTGCAGCGTATCGTGGAAGAGAAATTCCAGGGTCAAAGTGGTACTTTGACCACCGAAACCGATATTTCCAAGCCAGAACTAGAGGAGACTATCAAGGGCCACCTTGTGAATGGTTCCGCCTTGACTTCCAGCGCAGTCTACGCAGACATGGCGTTCACCATTGGTGACTATGTCCACCGCAAGCTACAACCCGAGATTGAGAAGTTCGCGTTGAATTGTGCCAACATGGTCGTTGCAAAGCCCCTCATCTTCAAGGGTGGCGAGCAGCTTCTCCGCGTCGACTGCAAGGCAGATCTTACCCAGGGTATCTGCTACCTCACCTTTTACAGCGTTGGCCCCAAGGGGCAGAAGCTTATGGAGCACGCCCATTGTGAGGTTCAGTATGGCGACGCCGAGAGATGGTCTACGGATTTGGCTCGACAGAAGTACCTTGTGCAGAGCCAAGTCGACCGGCTTTTGCACATGGGTCAAAATGGTGTGCTCAGCCGACTTCAGCGAAAGATGGCCTACAAGCTGTTCTCTGTCCTTGTTGACTACCAGAACGCCTATAAAGGCATGGCAGAAGTCATTCTTGACAGTCCCTTGTGCGAAGGTACCGCTAAAGTCGAACTGCAGACCGGCAGTGCTGGCAACTTTTACATTGCGCCGTATCACATCGACTGCCTTTGCCATCTTGCAGGCTTCATCATGAATGCAAACGACGAACTCGACTCTTCCCAGACAGTCTACGTCAATCACGGGTGGGATTCTCTACGCTTCTTCGAGAAGCCATCGCCGTCGAAGCCTTATCGTTCCTACGTCAGGATGCAACCTACAGATCCCAACTCCAAGGACTACTCCGGAGATGTGTACGTCTTCGACGGCGAAGGCAACATTGTCGGCCAGATCGGCGGCTTGACCTTCCAATTCTTGCCCAAAGTGATCCTCGATCGAGTCCTGCCATCGCCCGGTGGTGCAAAGGCGGCTGCCCCTGCTCCAGCTAAGGCCGTTGCTGAGTCAAAGAAGGTCGCCCCTAAATCCACTCCCAAGCCAAAGGCGGCTCCTGCCGGACCGAGTGTTATGAGCCGGGCATTGGATATCATGGCCGAAGAAATTGGTGTCTCTGTCGCAGACCTGACCGATGACACCGATCTCAGTGCACTTGGTGTCGACTCGTTGATGAGTCTGACCATCTCGGGCAAGTTCCGCGAAGGACTAGACATTGAAATCCCGTCGACCTTGCTGGCCGATTCCGAAACATTCAAACAGGTCAAGGACTTCTTGTCTCAATTTGAGACCAAAGATGCTGGGGGTGCACCACCATCCCCATCGACAGCCTCGGTCGAATCGACTGAACTGTCTGGAAATTCAACTCCTGCTCAGGCGGATACAGATTCCATGACTTCCGCCTCCCAGATTGACGAGGAGCCAATTGGAAAGGACGATGGCAAACTTGAAGCCATGCGTGCTGCCGTCGCCGAGGAGACTGGCATGGACCCGAGCGAAGTGACTTCCGACATGGACCTTGAAGCCGTTGGCATCGATTCTTTGATGTCCCTTCAGATCCTGGGCTCTCTGCGCGAAGACAAGGGTATCGACCTGCCACCTTCGTTCTTCAGTGACCACAGCACTTTTGGTGACATCGAAAAGGCGCTGGGCGGAGGCGGAGAAGCCGCGAAGCCCAAATTTCCCGCCAAGTCCGAGGAAATGTCCACGGAACAGGTCGTTGCGGAGATGGAAACCAACGATGGTCAAAGACCGGCTCGGCCTTCGAAGGGGCAGCAACCTTCTCCGGCCGCTGGCACCAACAAGGCGTTCAAAGCATCATCAGTCCTACTGCAGGGAAATCCCAAAACCGCCACAAAGACGGTGTTCATGTTCCCTGACGGCTCGGGCTCTGCCATCAGCTATGCCACCATCCCTCCAATCTCGCCCAAGGATGTGGCGTTGATTGCTCTGAACTGCCCGTACATGAAGGAACCGGAGGCCTTTGAGGATGGTATTCCAGGAGTCACAGCGCTGTACCTGGAAGAAATCCGTCGTCGCCAACCAAAGGGTCCCTACATCCTGGGTGGCTGGTCAGCGGGAGGCATCTGCGCCTACGAAGCCTGCCTGCAGCTCTCTGCTGTCGGCGAGACCGTTGAGAAGCTCATCTTCCTCGACGTCCCGTGTCCTTTGCCACCACAGGCCCTGCCACCACGGCTTCACCACTTTTTCGACTCGATCGGTCTCCTGGGCCAGGAGGGCGAAGCACCGGGCTGGCTCATCCCGCATTTCACGGCGACTATCAAAGCACTGAGCAGCTACCGTCCACGCCTCATGGACCCGGCGAAGGAGAAGATTCCGACCGTGTACACCGTCTACGCACAGGACGGTGTGTGCAAGAACGACAACGACCCGCGGCCCGAGCTCACTCCGGATGATCCGCCGCACATGAACTGGCTGTTGTTCAACCGCAAGGACTTTGGCCCCATTGGCTGGGAGCAGCTGTTCGGCGGCTCCGACAACATTGTCGGCCTGGACCCGGTCCCCAACGTCAACCACTTCACAATGATGCGCGAGCCCATGGTCAAAGAGCTGCCCAGCCGGATTCAGAAAGCCCTGGGCGTGACTGGCGAGTAATCTCTCTCGCCGAGGCCAATGCAAGGGTGAAGGGTCCTATTCCTTTTCGTGCATGAGACTTGCCGGATGGAACGCAACGAATTGGACACGGTCGGAGATGAAAGCCGCCGAAGAAGGAAATGGGATCCCTTGTGCCTGATTCCTCTTTAGACCACGCATAGAAAAAAAAAGACGAAGGTCTCCAAATGCCTAGACAAAAAAGAAGAAAGAAACCAGAGAAGGAAAAAAAAGGGAGAAAAGAGAAAAGAGGAAAAAAGAGATCAAAATCCCCTCGTGCTTGCGAGGACTTGCTTGGGTTGCCAAAGCATGCGAGCCCGAGCCCGAGCCCGAACATGTGGATGACCAAGTCAGCGAGCAAGCATGCAAGCCAGCAATTTCCAGGGGTAGGGTTGGTAAGATTTTGTGCTGGGAAAGGGTATGGCAGGCAGGGCGCGACAGGATACGAGGTGCATTTACTTGACACGTCGGAGTTGGAAGGGAGTTTCTTTTGGGAGGACAAAACAACCCTGTGGTGGTTCTTCGCAGCCTCCTCACCGTCTTTTATTCCTCCCTTTAACTTCCTTTTTGTGCACTTCCCTCCTTCTCTCACTTCGCTTCCAGATCCTCGGGCAGTTTGGCTTGGTCAGGTATGTAGGTACCTAGTTTAGGGCCAGGCGACCGGGTCTGGGGCTGTTCAATAGAATTTCCGTTCCGAGATTTGAGATGTGAGAGAGAGTTGGCGTCCGCACGCGCACCTGATTGAGAGCCTATAGACAGACAGACAGATTCCCTCACAGTCCCTCCCTTGTACAAACAAGAAAAGAATGGCGCAGAGAGAGAACACGGTCTTTCTGTGCGCACTACGGAGATACAAGGAAAGGTGAACAGTCATGTATGTCGACATCCACATTTCCATGTCCACGTCTAACGTCCACGTCCAGAAGATGACGCGGGGGCGTTTCCACCTGCATCCTCCATGTCTTGAAAGGCTGGGGTCCAACCAAGCCCACAATGTGTCATGATGAGTCTGGACTTGGATATGGGTGGTGATAATCATCGTCATCGGGGCCCGTTCAGACTCCAGGAACCTGCTGGTATGCTGGTCATGACGGTAGCACACAGTGGCTACTACTATGACAAGATAGATATGGTATGGGGGAATGGGGAAACATCCGAGACCATTGAACTGTCATCAGGCAAGCAGTGATAGTACTCGTAGTAGCCAAGGATGCAGCTTAGCGGTATGGTCCGCAGCAGAGGATCAATCCGTGAGAAAGGGGGCGAGGAAGCCAGAACAGGAAACAAGGAAGAGAGATAGATGAGGCAAAAAAGGGAAAGTACTCGGTAATCACAATCCAACGACTCTGACGCGAAGCATTGAGTTGACAAAGAAGGCAGCAGCGGCGCCCAAGACCAGAATCGTGATCAAAAATGGCCATGCTTGCGGGCCATGTCGTGCGTCGTTCAGCTTTGCTTTTTCTCTTAGCATTTCGGGGGCCGATACAACGTTGTGGTCGACTTTTGCCAGCTGGTGCGAGCATCAGCGCCTATCGGAAACAAGGTTGGTAGCACATCGTGATGCGTCCTACCAAAGGCGGATCGTCCCCAACTCCAGCTGGAATAACTTGATGGCGTGGTGGTTTGATTCCTTAGGCCCTGGATGGTCAGGCATTGAAGCATGTCCCGACGCATATCCCGAGGAAAGAGAGCGAGAGACCTGTACCTATCTCGATTCACACAACCCAATGACGCTACACGTGCGTTTTCGCTGTTGGGCAGACGATAGATGAAGAGATAATCAGGCCAAGGGCGGTTGACATGTGAAAGTGATAATCGGAAGCGTGTCCCGATTGATCCCACCCCGATAAATAGCCTGAGGAACAAAAATTTCCCAGTGCCAAATCCTCCGCGCGTATTGTCCGTAGTGAGTACAAGCGTGAATTCGTCACTTCCGTAGCAGTTGGAGGAGCACAATTGAGAAGGATTGTTGGAGGCGGGGTCGGTAACTTCCCTCATGGCAAGGAACGAGCGAGGAGTGCCGGGGAAATGGCGGACAGGTGTGTCATACCTCTGCCTAGCGAACGAGGGGCATTTAGTGAAAAGGCCTCTGAAGTTCCCCCCTCGAGAATTTGTATCGGTTCTCCTCCCCACAGATCAAACGAACCCGCTACTTACACGGGCATAGTGACAGTCTCCCCTGGTATCATTATGCAATGGATGTGCTGCTGCTCCTGACTGCCGATGGAGGACGCCCTCGCTTGTTCGGTTGATATTCGCTGCTAGTCTGCCTGATCGTCGTGTCCTACTGGGGAGCCTACACCCATCGGTAGAATAGTCCCCTCTCAGTGATCCAGTTTTTAGTCAGCCCTGGTGGCTGATTTGAGTTCGACACAGGCTCGAAGCGAGCTTCTTCAGAGCCCTTCGTCAATATATCCGCTGATCAACAGGCCGCGTTGATATAGGGACCCAGGTCCCAGGCTTTGGTCCTCCTTAGGGCAGTCAGAGACAACTTCTGGTCGGCCATGAGCCTCGGGCAGCCATGAAGTTCGGTTTCATTCCCATCCCAGCATCGTTCGCGTAACAGGTCCTTCTCGCAGGGGAGCATCTTGTCTGGAGAACCTGATCTAGGTATGATCTGCAGCACCAGGCCAGCGTGCGCAGGGGCTGTTTAGACTTGGCGAACGTGGGATTTCGCTAAAATATCGTTTTGATTTGTGGATCGGTGTTCAAAGCTGTCGTTCCTTCTGAAAATTGCTACCCGTTCCGGTCTCCGTCTTGTATGACGAGCAATGCCTGGTCGCCGTCGACCACGGTGCCTCAATTGTAGGGTATGTCTGGTCGCTTACCCTTTTGGATCGTCTGTCTGATCTTCTAAGTCGGCGATCACCCACCTCCTGTTCTCTAAGCTGCGCATAGGCCTTCTCAACGCAGAGAAGACCAACATCCAAGGTGACTTGATCCGCGTAACATATGTCATGCCGATCAGAGTACTGGACTCGTATCCTGCTGGTTCCGTCATACAGCAAGGCTCTGCGTCAGATCGATGTTGTTTTCTGAGTAGCCCTGGTAGCACAAAGATTCAGCCCTGGTGAGGCTGCCCCGCGGACCCATGTGAGGACCTTGTGCTACATTCCACTGTTGGAGAATGATTTGGCAAAGCGGTTCTGGGACTCGATCATGTGTAATAGCTGTAAGCCTGAATCATGGCAGCCAACACGGAGCTAGCGACTCACTAGTAAACTCGGCTGGTTTTTCCCGTAGGAAAAGCCCATATTGGCCAGTTGTAATGGATGGTATTTGGCAGATTGCTAGCCTTGATTGCCTGGAAGGTGATGCTCCTTCTTCCAAGTGTTGTATCCTTGAGAATTGGGGCTGTAGAACAAGCCACCAGGGGTGGCCGGCTCTTCTTTGCCGGGGGTGGGCTGGTGGACCTCTGTTAGGCGCTGCGTCTTCCGCTGCCGGCGCTGGGAGCCCTTGTCGAAGGACTTCGTCGTCCTGAAGCCTTCCCCATCCAATTTTTGGGCCCAGGTTGTTGTAATAATAACTATGGTGCTGAGGTCAGCTCCAGATGATAGATCCATAAAGATGACAAGGTGCTGCATAGTGACATTTTGGATTTTGTGTCTGTTGAAAGAACTCCCATATAGCTTGGACTGGTAGAAAGAAGTCCTAGGCAACCCTGGAACACCCGGCTGCAAGCGACTAAGAACAGGCGAGTGATCCCCCATCCAGGAAAGCAGGCCCAAAACGTCCTGGGTAGGACAGTCAAAATCGTTGTGCAAGGCATCCATGCACAACACCCCGGCTTGCATGGTATCCAAATGAAAAGCATATGCAAAGCATGGAGATTCACCCACGTCGTTCGTCATCAACCTATCGTACCTGTTTACTTATCAGTTCACTAAACGAGACCGGTTAAGATCGACGAGGCGCACGCTCGCCGACCCTCTCTAGTGGCTTCATAAGGCTCGCTAATGCTGCAGTTAGTGTGAGTCAGGTATACCTCCATCAGTGGGTACTCCAACACAAGTAGCTTCATGGTGTCCTGAGTCTCGTTCATGTCGAGTTTGTGTCTGAATCAGTGAGTTGAGCTGTTAGCTGAAGCGACAGCCTTTTAGCGTATAGCGAACCAGAAGTATGCTCTTGGTGGCATATTGCTGCTCCTAGCTCGTTTCCCTCTGCGGCTTATTCTCGCAAAAGGTGGTGGGATTAAGACAGTGCGTGGTGGACCATCAGTCGAACCTGGCCAGCAACTCCTGCGGTTCCGGGACGTGTACCAGCTGTGGGCAAAGGGCGGACGTTGGAAGCCTCCGGAGTCTATTTTCATGTGTGTTGTCTGTTTCGCTCGCTTTCATGTTCAAGAAAACGTGGCCTGCGCAAACCCCGTGGCCCCTGCTCCTAGGCTCCGTTGTTGTCGTGCTGGATTGAGTCGACTACCAAACTCGGCCACCAGATTTTTGCACGGCATGGCCAAGCCGGATTGAGGACAGGCCTGACAGAAGCAACTGTGGCCTCCGTGTTTCCCGCACTGGCGGCAATATTCAAACCGAGGCGCTGCAGCCAGACCGTTTGAGATGCACGTCAGATTGCCCTAAGTCTGCTGTTACGCCCAGCGCTGATGGCTTTTCGCCTGTTCAAGGCTGTCCACCACAAATAGTTTGTTCACTCTCCCAGCTCCTTTGGCTCCAAACCCCACCAAATGGAGGTGGATGCATGTCAACCCTGGGTTTGATCGAGAGGCAATAGCTGGTCCTCCGTCACAACCTCTCAAATCCCTCGCCACAGTCAAGGGCTAACCGACTGATCGACACTGGGTGCCACAACGGACCTCGAAGACGAAAAGATGTTCTCCAACAGCTGAAAGCATTGGCGCAGTTTACATAAGAAAGTTCTTTGTGAGACGTCTCGAGATGCTTTGTTTCTGTCAGATGAACAGAGCGTAGAGATTACTGGCCACATCCGAATTTGGCGGTAACCCCCGGCGTGAATCAAGCACTCTCTCGATCGTAACTTTGCCATTCGGCAACACGGGGGCAGGATTTGCCTTTGAAACATTTCAAGCTGACCAGTGCTGGTTGGCAGATCTGAAGGAGCGCCCCGGCCAACCATCGACTCGACCAATTGAGTTTGATCATCAGAGCAGGCACAGCTCTTTTGAGGACAGGTGACGTGATACTAGCCCCCTTGTCAGATCAGCAGTTATCTCCCTTAATACTTTTCGAGGAGCTTCCACACAGAGGCTGAGTGGTTGAACCACCTTCCTTTTCTTCTTCGGCGCAGGGATGGCATTGCAACTCTATCTGCGGAGCTGCTGGCAAGATGGCCACGAAAACCTCATGATTGGACAAGCCGAAGAAGACTCTGCCGGCACAGTTGTTGAGGTGGGCGGGAGTTGACACCAAGGCGTAAAGAGCGTTGCGCAGAGACCGATGGTAATTCTGGTTTGGCGATATCTCTTCCATCCTGGATCCCATACCCCAGAGAACAGTGGAGAAAGACGTGCATGTTTGGTGTGCAATACGTGGCTCCGTCCAGCCCCCCATGTGGCTCGAGTTGAACGGTAGCTATGGCCGTCCCGCACAACCGCTCGGTGGGTGCACATGGTACTTACTTCGCCATCCTACGAAAGGATGCTTGTCGACTTGCAGCAGATTTTGCCGATCAAGGCATAGTTTGCCAATCGCCACGATATACGATTGCCCGAGAGGCCCCGAGTTCACCGTTTGGCTCAACGACCATTTCACTTTTCTGCATCCTTTGCGAATCCTTTGCTCCAAATCGCTTGACCGTGAAGTCTGCGGCGTGAATCCCAAACAGTCGATCGGATTTCACTTTTGCATGCTTCCAAGCCAAGACCCGGCGCCCTCGGACAAGCCCAGTTTTCATTCTCAGCACATGCTGCCTCCATAGTGACATGTACGAGGCTGGATGCTCCAAAGCCCAATACACCGCCAGAGAATGGAGCCACCTCCCTCGCGAGTTCCAAGGCGATGGACAGCGGAGGAAGACGGGGTCCTCCGGACAGAGGCAACGTATCAGTGTATGTTGGGGCATTTGCATTTGATTGGATATGGAACTTTGGAGGCTGATAGAAGTCCAGTAATCGCTGCTGGTTCAGTAAGAGATTGGAATCGGATTGCCTCAAAACTTCCAGGCCGAATGAATAAGGACTGCCGCAAGAGATGGGGCAAGATATCGGAGAATGTGAAGAAGGGTAACTGGTGGTGCATCCCCAGGTCGGAAAGGTCAACACTCGCACTAACACTGGCGTTCAGGGATCCTGCTGAAGATGCGAAACTCAGAGAGGCTGTGAAGGCAATTGGAACAAGGCTAGCAGCACCCGATGCCCGCTCAGAAGGCCGCTTCCGCTAACAGATATTGATAGATGGACTCAAGTTGCAGAGATGGTCGGTACTCGACATGCCGATCGTAGGTCGCCATCCATCATATCGTCAACTCGAATGTTGAGAATCGAACGTCGATGACTGACACCTCGCAGAATGTGCCAAGCGCTGGACCCAATGTCTTGACCCTTCTATCGATCACAGTGACTGGAGAGAAGAGGAAGATAATAGGCTGCTGGCAGGGGTCGCTGCTTCTGGCCGAAACTGGAGAAAAATCGCAGATTTGTTCCCTGGCCGTACCAAATTGGCGCTCAAGAATCGGTGGGTTTGTCATCGGCAACATAATATGCCCTCTTCGGTCGTCTATCTGTGGCTGTGGTTAATTCATTGGCGTAGATACACCGCTCTGAGACGAAAACAGCACTCTCAACAGACAGCCACCAATGGCGAGAGTCCTCAATTGCACCCACGGTTCTCGGCCCAGATTCCTCGATCTGTCAGCGACGACATGATGCAGATATCGGACGAACTTGCTTCAAGTGAAGAGGAAATTTGTTCTTCGATGGGATCGACGAGACCTCCTTCTCGTTCCTCGAATCACAGCAAGAAATCTCAGCAGCAGACTGGAAACTTCAATATGGTTGTGGATGCCTCGTCGGGTTTAACGACTCCGGCCAGTAATACCGACTCCGGCGACTTGTTCCACTATATGGCGCACACTCCAAACCAGAATTTCGGTTTTCAGCATCGACAGAGCGTGGACCATCCGTTACTGGATTCGAGCAACTTTTCGCCGATGAATTTGTCCACGTTGAGTGAGCCAATGTTGACACCTCGTCCCGAGTACATGCCTTCGGCAATGCTGGACACCACGTACCCGCTGCATGCTTCTAGTCTCCCTAATGAGTGGCTTTCAGGGGGAACAACGTCTAACCCACACATGCATGGTTTTCCGTTTCCCGAGTCTTTTGATGTTTCACCTATGAGTGGGATCGATCGACATTACCTACCTCAACAAACATCGTCCAGAAAGACGACCATCGTCCTTGAAGATATCGAGGAGACCACCTTGAGTAAGGTCATGAATATCCTTATTCAAGAGAAGGCAAAAGTGAGGATGGAGACGACGCACTCAGACAGAGCTCCAGAACGGAGGTAGTGAGAGAAGGACACATCATATGAAGAGGTCTATTGTAACATGATCATGTTGGTTCAAGCAGAGCCCTGAGCGGCATCAAGTTGAGCGTCGGCGTTTTTGGAGCATTGAGGATTGAACAACGGCAGTCGAATATGAGTAAATTTGGGAGGTTTAACGAGTTGAAAACTCGGACTGACGGCCGTCAAGATCGCGATTGATTGTTGGAAGGGTCGAACAACGTGTACCTTGCTAGCCAAAATGTGACAATTAATACCCTGTTGTCATACCAAGAGGTTGATGTGGTGACACGTCCACATAGGGCCAAACACAGACGGGCGGAACCCGACAAACGGCTCAATAGGTTGGCTCCAGAGCAACCCATGTGCCATAATGCAAAGAATTAGGTGGATAATCGATTGCAGAACTGGTCGTGGATGTGCTGGCAGTGCTCCAAAGCCGGTAGCCGGACAACTTGTGGCAGTCCAATTGCTGAAATGATATTCGCACCATGTCGTCCAGCACTTTGTGGCGTCGAGTATCACGACGCCAATCAGAATTTGTCTCGTGCCCGTTCTTGTGTCGATTCTGCAGATATCAAACGCCGGAACAAGAGGCTGGAGTTCCATATGTCGGCTGATGCAGATGAGCGTTGCGTGGAGACATCCATCCCACTCACACATTCAAAGAATGGCACAAAACTTTGAGACAGAGACGGTACCGGCAACGTCCTTCCAAGTTCGCCAGCATGAAGGCATGATCTTTGATTAATTGTGGCCCCGGCGAAGACGGTACCGGAGTTCACCACCCTGTCCCTCCTGACAAAAGACTATGGAATCATGTTGAAGACGAAATGATCTTATCATGTGGAATGTTGAGGGCTTGTCACCCCATGGACCGAACTGCCTTTGGCCTCCACAGGGTGAAAGTTGTAACGATCCGTTGGAAGCTAGGGCGCCGAGGGGGGAGGGAGTGAACTCCGCTTTATGAGATAGGATGCAGATGACGAAATCGACGTTGCAAATGTACTTTTGTAAGTCCTCTCAAATGGACTACCTTTACAGCTGTGCTTCGTCGTCACCTCACTTCCGTCAAAGATTCGGGGCTGGTTGAAGGACGATTGCAAGGCGTGAACTTCGTGGAAGAGACTCAGGGTCTAGGCTTCGATGATGTTGCTCAGATGATATGAGGATCTGGGATCGTCTGGATGGTTTGTGGGGAGGTTGCCACCCGGCTTGCCCAGCGCAGTGGGAGACGGCGCTGAAGGGACTCGAGGAATAAGGTACAGATTGCGCTGGACAAGACCCAATCGGTGAGGAGATGAAGGTCATCACGAGCCCCCTGTACATCTGGCCATCTCTTGAAGCGGAAGGTTAACACTGCCCAAGGGAAAAAGGACCCAATAAGTGGTGGAGAGTGACGAACGCCAGCAGTGAAGGTGCTTGTTGAGTACTGGAGGAGGCGGTCACGTGCAGCCATCAACTGCGACCCCCTCCGTCCACTAGCCTCGCCTGACGAATGCTTACAGAACGGCATTGAGAGGAGAGACAGTAACACAAAGGAGGGAGTCATTAAGTAGGGGAAGGCTTCCGATATATCGCTTTCCTTTAGGGTTTGCACCAGTCCAAGGCGCCCAGAACTCTACATGCTTGGAAAGAGGGGGAAGCATAAGACCAGCCGTTGCCACGATATGATTGAATGGGGAACTCAGGCATGACCAGATGATCATTGAAGGCACGCACCCCTCAGGGTCTAGCTTAGCTACCTGGGTCGCAGGACAACTACCCTAAAGAGGGACGCAATGGTTGGATAGCGCAGCCAGGGCATTTTGCCGGCCAACCGCTATCGAAAACCTAGCGTCGAGTACTCCATGAGCACTGATTCTGTTTGTCGCCCATCACTCGTCTGTGGAATCCATATTGGACCTCACTGTCCCCCTTGTTCCTCATGATCCCAAGATCCCTTATTGCGCAGCTGTCCTGGTTCCAGAACGCTGATGAGGCGAATTTCAATGCGCCAATACCCATCCTTCCTGGATTTCGACGACACACTGGCCAGTTATTGTGGACTGGCGGTGCCCCAAAGGAGGGAAGTCGGGTGCTTCGCACCGATAGAGGCCTTGGCCAATGGCTTACCAACGTTTCGGTCGAAGTTCCTCATCTGCTGGGTCAGATGATGGGAAAGAGTTCAGCTTCCGTTTGAATGCAGGTCTCGCCGATCACTGGCCATTGATATGTGTCTGGCTGGAAAATCTGCAAGTCGTGCCGCCTCTTCTAGGATGACCGGTCTTCGCATAGGTCGGAAGAGTTGAGGATGTGGGAAGGCAGACCGTCCTCGGGGCCATCTGCTCCCTCTCTGACCGAGAGTCGGCCTTCACAACTGCCGCATGCCTCGCATTCTCGCAATATTCGATCCCCTGGTGATTTGCGTCAGTTGAAAATCATGCCTCCACTGACATGCAAGAGTTGGCCCGTGACAAACTCCGCTTCAGGGCTCGCGATGAAGTTGATCATGTGGGCGATGTCTCGGGCCTGGCCGTATCGCTTGACGCACTGCTTTTCCATTGCCTTGTCGAAGATCGGTTTCGCGTGAGGAGAGCTCCAGGTTGTCTCTGTCATGACGAGGCCTGGAGATACGACATTCGCCGTTACCCCCGGGCCAGCCTCCGCCGCCGTGGCCCGTGTGAAGGCAACTATGGCGCTCTTGGATGCCGCGTAGACCGCTAGGCCAGGTTCCGGGTGCGAGGCGGTTCCAGACGCGGTGTTGATGATTCGCCCATACCCTGCTTTCTGCATGTGTGGAAGCACCGCCCGAGTCAAATAGAAGCAGCTGTCCATGTTGACTGTCATCACTTTCTTGTATTCCTGAGTCGTTTGCTCGAGGAGGGGGCAAAACGGGTAGATGCCAGCAATGTGTATGAGGATGTCGATTCTGCCTAGCGAGGAGACAACTTCGTTGATCATTGAATTGACCTGTTCTTCTGATGCCAGATTGGCGACTCTATAGGTCACGTTCTTGCCTTCAGATTCGAAGTTTGCCTCGACATTTTTGAGCTGTTGCTCGTCAAGGTCTACAAGGACCACATTCGCTCCCTGGTTGGCAAAAAGGGCCGCAGTGGCATGCCCTATCCCATGTGCTGACCCAGTCACAACCACCACTTGGTTGGTGTATTTGTCGCCGTAAGTTTTAGAGGGTGGTATATTGGCTCCTTGTTGTTCCACGTTGGCTAGCAGCACTTCAGCCTTGGAGAGATAGGTCCCAGCTGGTTCTTGGTCGGTTGAAGGTCGTCGAAGTTGTACTCTGCCGCATGCCTTTCAGCAGCGACCTCATCCTGTAAAGATATCACACCGTCGGTGACCGAGGCTGGAGAACCTGGTGGCCCATTTTTGCACTTCGCCACCTCTTTCGTCATCTTCTTGACTTGAGTCTGGACCGACAAGTCCCTTTCAATGCCTAGGAGGGTTTCGTAGACTGGACTTCTGCGGGCCGCGGCAGGTATAAAGACACGTTTCGTGGTGTCGGTGAAGTCATCTGAAAGGGAGTGTTTGGCCCGGCTTGGGGCTTATGTATTATCCTCCGTAGTCAAGTTTAGGGGTGCTACAGGGTGCCCAGACCTGGTTGGGTCTTTTAGTCAAGTAGTCCCACCTCCGGATCTCCCCTAAGAACCCTCATTGATGTCCATACCATACTCCGACAAAAGGGCCCAAAAACACAGAACTCGGACTCCAACGCAGATATAGGATCTGGGACAAGGAACATTCATGTTGTAGGTACATGAGTTGATTTCATTTTCATGCTGCAAATAATATATGTGCTCGCTTTTATCTCACAAAGAGCCCGCCACGCTACGACGACGACGGCGGCGACAACCGCACGCTGTCGATCGAAGCGATGCTCCAAAACCAGACGGATGCAATGCACATTCGGACAGCTCTTTTCACAATTTCACACTGAACATTGAGTTGTCTTGACACGTCAGTCCGTCAATAAGTCAGTCAGTCATTCGTGCAGTCCAGCTCTTCCTTTCATGGACCGTCAATGTCCCTCAACTGCAAGCGACAATCCGGTCCAATGGTATTAGAGCACACAACTTACAACCTACACAGCCCTACAATTGCTCATTGACAAACAGACCAGCCATGCCCTGGCCCGTGCCGATGCACATGCTGGTGACGAGGATCTTCTTCTTGGTCCTCCTAGCCTCGCTCAGAATCGTGCAGATCTGTCGCGCTCCGGTGGCGCCCAGAGGGTGGCCCAAGGCGATTGCGCCGCCCCGAGGGTTCATCTTCTCATGCTCGAGGCCGAGCGTGTTGAGACAGTACACGGCCATCGAGGCGAAGGCCTCGTTGATCTCGAAGATGTCGATGTCGTCCTTTGTCAGGTGGAACTTGCCGAGCAGCTTGGGGATGGCGGCCGTGGGGCCAATACCCATGATCCGCGGGGGCACACCAGCGACGGTGGCGCCGCAGAACTTGGCCATGATGGGTTGGCCGAGTTCGAGAGCTTTGGAACGTTTCATGAGGAGGATGGCGGCGGCTGCACATCAAAAATGTTAGGCTCCAATCCATAGATTTATGCGTTGTGTTTCGGGGAGGTGCAAAGAAAGAAAGATGGGAACTGGGCGAACATGCTTACCTCCATCGGTAACCTGACTGGCGTTGCCGCCAGTCGTCTTGTCTCCAAATTGCGGTAGGGCAGGACGGATCTTCAACAGACTGTCCAGGGTAGTGCCATATCTGGGGCCCTCGTCCTTGGTCAGGGTGACTTCGTGGACCTCTCCCGTCTTGGGATCCTTGACCTTTGTGGTGATGGGCACGATCTCATCCTCGAACCAGCCGGCCTTCTGCGCGACCTCGGCCCTCCGGAAGCTCTCGCAGGCGTACTCGTCCTGCATCCTGCGCGTGATGTTGAAGTCGTTGCCGACGTTCTCGGACGTCTGGATCATGGGCTGGGTGCAGTCTGCGGATTCCTGGTTCGCCATGATCTCGGGGGAGAACGGGGTGTCCTTGCCGGCGTTGTTGCTCATGGACTCGCCGCCCATGGCGATACCGATGTCGATGGAGCCGTTGGAGATCTGGTTGGCGATGTCCTGCACGGCCTTGAGGCCCGAGGAGCAGAAGCGGTTGACGCTCGAGGCGGCGGCGGTGTGGGGGAAGCCTGCGGCCAACATGGCGGCGCGGACCTTGTATGCGGCGCGCGCGTCGCCGACCTATCCATCCCAAGACGCATCAGTGTCTCTTGTTCATCCGCTGCCCAGGTTTCCCCGGCTGGTCATATCTTACATTTCCCAAGCAGATGTCCTCGACGATCGCAGGGTCGATTTTGCTCTTGGCGACGACCTCCTTCAGCAGCGCCCACACCATGTAGTCGAGGTCGGTGTCCTTGAAGCCGCCCTTCTTGCCCTTGGCGAGGGGTGTCCGGATGGCGAGGGTAATGACAATGTCATCGGGATTCTTCTGGGTGCTGCATGTTCACCAAAGTATAGTTGTCAGCCATCTACCGAGCTCATTGTGACTTGCAGGAACTGAGCACCGCCCATGTAGCTGCGGCCTGGACTGGACAGGACTTACATAGCAGCCACCCCCGTCTTGGAGGACGAGAGGTGTGAGAAGATTGAGCCCAGTCGCTGTGTGGCCATTGTGTATGTTTCTTCGATCGTTCTCCACCGGACTCTTTCTACAGAGGCAGTTTGGATTCAATCAACCCGCAAAGAGGTACAGAGACAAGCAACGGTCAATAATGCAGTTCCCACGAAGAAGAGGCGACTAGAGTAGGAGAGAGGAGGTGAAGATGACAAGCAGCAACAGCAGCAGGGAAAGGTGATTGATTTGATGACCCGACTTTGTCTTGCTTGCCCTTTTTAACAATCGCCGGTGGACGGTGGACGGTGGACAGCGGACAGTGGACGCTGCCCCCAGATTATCGCCGCCACTGTGTCGAGTTACCTCGGCATCTCGCTTGTTTTGTATGTTTGATACTTGAACGTCCATTAGGCCCGTCGGTGGTGTCGGGGGGGCTTTAAGCATCCCTAACGTCCCGCCTCATGCCCCTCGATTGGACAGCTGGGGGGTAGCTACCCGGATCTCTGCTGATGCTCGTTCCTCTCCTGGGGTTTAATACAGTTAGTTCCATTGTCGCCGCTTTATTTTCTTCCACACCCTGGATCCGGTGGAATCTGGAATCTCGTCTGATCACAAATCTCTTCGCTCCGACCACGACACCTACCCTGCGCTCTGTCTTCGTGCGTAACAGAACATCCATCCACTCGCTCCCCTTTCCCTTTCTTGGTATGTGCCGAGCAGCTTAAGACAAAACCAGCTCGTTCTGGTCGAAAATTCGGCCTGGCAGGCCACCGGGGCCGAGCCTGCATTGTTATACTTCAGCCCTGGCTACTGCTCGGCAATATCTCCCTGCTCGCCAACCTCCAACCCACACACACATACTCGGTACACGCCAGGCTAGGCTTGTGAATGTTCTTTCGATCTTCAATATGTATCTCATTGGTGATTGATCTATCGTCCGTGTTTCATTCTAGGCTGGAGAAAACCCCTTCCTCATCCCCATCCCCACAAAACCAACAAGACATCTGGCAAAACGAGAAGCATCTCCAGTTGACACGCTATCTAGTATTGAACTCGCCCTGAGACATTCTTTCCACCCCCAACGCCCGAAAGACGATCGTTTTTTCCATTCGCTATGCATGACACGTTCCACGTACGTCCATCCATTCGTCCACCCATCCCGTCGTAAAAGCCGGTTTGTCCGTGCCCGGAGAGACGTGGATGAGCACCCATCTATGATTACCTCAAGTCCAGGTTGCGTGCAAAGACGAGGCCATGATCCGCCCAAGTCAGAATTGCTCCGAGATTCTACTTCTCCTCCACGCTGTCAGGCTTGATGGCCTCGCCGTCCGGGGCATCCTTCATCTCGGTATCTTTGGGCTCCTCGGACGACTGGCCGTCCGCCCCTTTCTTGGCCTCCTCCTCCGCCTTCTTCTTGGCTTCGGCCTCTGCTCTCTTTTTAGCCGCTTCCTCTTCTTGCACTTTGAGCAGGGCTTGTCGCTCCTCTTCGAGCTTGTCCTGGTATCGCTGGATCACCGGACCCGCAACGAATCGGATCTCGTCCATCTTAGCCACGTACTGTGCCTTCGTGGCGTCGTAGCCTTCATCGTACAGCCAATCCTACCAAAGGTTAGCACAAATCTATTTCTTTTTCTCGGGATTCGCAATGCTTACCTCAGACTTCTCCAGCTTGTCTCGGATCTTGTCCTTCTCTTCCTGGCTGGCGTAGTCTGCGTATTGTTCTTCGATCTTGCCCCGGAGCTCATAGATGAACGCCTCAAGCTCGTTCTTCTTGTCTTCGGTGTCGGTCACGAGCTTGTCTTCCATGTACATGGCATTTTCCAGCTCGCCCATCTGGGTCTTGGCGGCCTCGTCCATCGACGAAGTGCCGGAAACCAGCTGCAGCTCGCCTTTGCGCACTTGCTTCTTGACCTTGCGCATCTTGGGCTTGGCGGGTTCGGCGGAGCCGTTAGGTTGGTCCGTCTCCATGGCGTCGCCGTCTTTCTTCGCTTCTTGCTCCGGCTCCTCCACTTCAACATCCTCCACGTAGTAGCCGCTCTCGAGGTTCAGGATGCCGTGCAGATTCAGCCGCGCCTTGAGTTTGCAAACCATGAAATCGTCCTTTTCGTCGGCCTTGACTCCCTTGACTGAGAAGCGTCCAATCCAGGGGTTGATCTTGCCGGGGAGCAGATCCGGCTTGGCGTACCGTGCCTCGAGGTCGAAGGGCTGTTTCCGGTAGAAGGTGAGGATCTTGGTGGAGGGCATGACGTTGCCCTTGTTAAAGACGGTCAAGCTGGTATCCTCGTCGGGAATATCGGGTGATTGCTCCCAGGTAAACTCGATTGGATAGGTGACGATGTCGTGGACCGAGAAATCTCGAACTCGGAAAACCGGAGAGAGAATAGCGCAGCTGAATGCGCAACCCCGAGCGACAGCTTCGTCCTGGTTGAGGGTGAACGAGAGAGTCTTGCCAAAGAACTTGCTGATTCGGTCCTTGATGGCTGGCACGCGAGTGCACCCGCCCACCATCTCAATGGCGTCGATGTCTTCAATCTTCACTTTGGCTTCGGCGAGGGCTTGTTCAAGCGGACCGGTGACTCGATCGAGAAGAGGCTTGATCAGCTCCTCCAATTCGTCACGCTTCAGCATGGCTCGGACATCCTTGTCATCCATCAAAGACTCAATGCTGAGCGGAGCCGAGGCATTGGCGGAAAGGATCTTTTTCAGCTTTTCGGCAGCCGCGGCGACACGGGTTATGGCCTTTGGATTGGTGGTGATGTCGAGCTTGAACTTCTCTTTGAATTCCGCGGCGAAATGGTCGACGAGAGCCTTGTCGATATTGCGTCCACCGAAATGCCGGTCAAAGGTGGTGGCCTTTACGGCCAATTCACCCTTGCGGAATTCGACAATGGAGCAGGTGTAGTCGCTGTACCCAATGTCCACAAAGCACACCCGACGTGGCTTAGCCTCAGCGTCGGGAAGATCGGATTTTGTGATGCCGTAGCCCAGGGCGATGGCCGTGTTGTCATTGATGAGCCGCAGGAGTTTCAGGTTGGCAATCTCGGCGGCATCGAGCATTGCTCTTCGCTGGGCGTCCGTGAACCAGGGCGGGCAGCTGATGACCACGTCCGAGACGGGGAGTTTCAGTTCCTTGCTGGCCGTGTCCCTGATCTTCCCCAGATACATGGCAATCAATTGGACGGCGGTAAACTTTTGCTTCTCCCCGCGGTATGTGACTTCGGCGCCCACCTGGCCATTGACGTCCACCAGAGGTGCAGTAATGTACTGCTGCTCGATGGCGATTTCGGGGTCATTTATGGTTCGGCCGGCGAGGCGTTTCAGCGAGGAGATGGTGTTCTTGAGGTTCGAGATCTCCTGGGTCTTTGCGGCTTCACCCAGGTATCGGCTTTTCGGTCCAAAGCCAACCAAGGATCTGTGAGGACGGATCAGTCTCTTGCCTTCACTATCCAACATAAGGCTGTGGGCTGGGTCACTTACGGTGTAGATCGGTTCGACGTCTCATTTGTGATCTAGAGATGGGTTAGTATTGGTTTTGCACTCAGACCGGTTTCTCTTGGGGCAGCACGACTTACAATGTCGATACCCTTGTTGCGCGCGACACCAATCTTGGTGCTCTGGGCACCAAAGTCAACGCCGACGACGCTCATTGTCAATGGCGCTCCAAGTCAAGCCGGAAAAAAAAGTATCTCGCGGGGTTGGTTGTGTTGCGGTGGTGTGATAGGGAATTTTGAAGGAGGAAGTGAAATGGTGAAGACGAAACGGGTGTGGACGTAGCAAACAAGAGGGATGGTGATGAGTCTAAGTCTTTCAACCAAAGATTCAGCGCAGGCAGAAGACCGCGACAGCAATGACCGTGGAGGAGAGATACAAATCAGACCAAAAATTTCACCCCCAAGGGACCTTTCGCAGGGCAACAGCAGCCAACAGCAGCCCACAGCCTCCAGCCAACGGCGGGCCAGTAGCTTCGCGCAGTTTCGATCGTCGTCTTTTCGCAGCCAAGCCCTGGACGTCACTCTCCACCCGCCGCCCGCAGACAGCCACCACATCACCGCACCACCGCAGCCACCAGCCAACATTTGCTGAAGCTGTTCACCAGGCACGCCTTATCCTCGTCTCCCAACCACTCGGCCCCTTCAAATCATCCTCAGACACGACATCCGCTGGGCAGCAATTTGTTGGTACCCACGAGGCGATGCAACAACCAGAGCGATGAATAAGGCGTCTGTCACAAATCCAAAAGCCCAGAAGTCTGTCAGCTAGTTCCTCTCGATCCGATTTTCGGTGGTGTGAGGTGGGAAAAAAGATGAGGATGCTCGTTGTAATGCGTGGGGCGGATGAACAATAATACATTTGCTGATGTCTACTTATATACGGAGTACAAGGTCCTGCATCCTGGATTTGGTGATAATGATGCGTGTGATACATCTTGTCCTTTTTCCATCCCTTCATCACCTTTGCGGTGAATTACACCATCCTGCCTGGGCTCAGGCTTCTCTTCCGCAACCGCTGCCTTTTCAATGACCTTCTCTTGGCTTCCCTGATATCCTCAATGCTCGGACTGTCTTTTTCGCCCAGGACAGGGAAATCCTCCTCTGCAGCGACGGCCATCATGGGACTGTTTCGTCCCAAAGGACTTCGGTTGTCAACATGCTGATATCTCGTCGTTCCCCGGATATCAGGTGATTCTGCGAGTGTGTACACTTCCCTCTCGGCCTGCAAACCTGGAACGACCGCCATTGTGTTTCGTGTTGCCGAGCGATCTTCTCTCGGGCATCGCTGAGGGTCGGTGACCATGCTCCTCGGTCTTCGATCCATGTCGGCTGCTCGGTTGTGACGGCTTCCTCCCTCCTCGTCGCTAAAGCTGTTGATCCATTTAGGCGTGTGTACGGACAAACTATCTGAATCGCTCATGTCAAGAGACTCATGTTCGTATCGATGTTGCTGCTGGCCAAGATTTGTACGTGACGGGGTTGGTGAGGCTGTCTCATTTTCCGGCAACTGGCTTGGTTCCTGTTCGGCAGAAAAGAATCGACCCTCGACGCTGGACGAGGGTTGGAGAGCTGAAGGTCGGGTACGGCGCCGTCGGAATTCAATGGCGGGCTTGAAGGTTTCTGGAACAATATTCAAGTCGTCTCCGGTGGCAATGGCATGTTCGATGGCCTGCTGTGGTGTCACCTTTGCATCTGCTGCTCCTGCATCCGCTCTCGGTCCGCCCCACGTTCTCTGCCCAGCTGTGAAGACACCGTACACCATGTAGACCCAGTTCAAGAACGGATTGAGCATAAACATCATCGGATACAGAGCAGCCTTCCAGCGGTGCAGCCTGATTGCAAAGTAAAACATGAGCAACCAGTTCAAGCCGCAGGAGATGCACATGAACTCCCAGGGCAATGAATCCACACGCGTTGAAGTGCTTGATATCGCGATAATGGTGATCAAGAGGAGGAGTGCCGTCGTCCGGATGCTCACAGTGGCAAATCGAAGAAAGCAGAGCATGGGATACTTTCTCCAAAGGCGGCCATCCGTCAGCATGCAAACCTCGTTGGTGATGAACCCTAGAAACCACCGACGCCGCTGCTTGAGCAGGGACCGAAATGTTTGCACCGCTTCGGTCTTGCAAAAGGCACTGGTACTCAGTTGGATCTGATACCGCTGTTTGGCACCAAGCATGAACAGATGTGTCAGCCATCGGTCCTCGCCGAGATGTGTCTTTGCGTAATCAAATAGATCCTCGCATTCTTCCGCTTTGTCCGAGAAATAAAACCGTGCCATGTTTCGAAATGCTGAAAACCGAAGGAGAGTCAACGCCCCTGGCAGGCATGTTACGGCGCCACAGCCTGATTCAACAGACCTTTCAAACAGCTGGCCGTGGACGTACTCCATGTCCTGCAACAAGGTGATGAATGAGTGCTTCTTCGTGGAAGATGTGATAATACCAGTCATCGCCAGCATATTGTGTTTGCTGCCAGGTCTCAGTTCCATGTCGTACATAAAGTTCTGAATGCACACGGGATCCAGGATGCAGTCGGAGTCGATGAACAAGATGAAGAGGTCGTCTTTCTCCTGGAGATACCGCTTGTAGATCTTGTCGATGAGGAGGAAAGTAGCCTTTTGGCAATGTCGCTTCCCGCCATGTGGAAACCTCGACACTGTGACGCGTGCCCCATTGTACGCCACATCAATTGATTTGGGAAAGTCCTTTAACGTAACAGGGACGCCGAGGCGATCGATGGTCTTCAGGTAAAGCTCATCAATGTCATCGCCATCGAAAGAGACAAATACGTGGATGCAGGCAGCAGGGTAGTCGCAGCTAACTACGGAATTCAGAGCTGTCCACAGCGAGTCCGGCGGCTCCTTGTAGACGGGCATGACCACAACCACCTTTGGGGCGGTCAGCTCATTAAGGGTGTACTTGACTCTTTTTTGCCGGCCAAGAGGTACCACAACTAGTCGATAGACGCAGAAGAGCCAAGGTATCACCAGCATCGCCGCGAAGGAATAGAATGCGAACTCCTGAAGGATGGATGTCATCAAAGTAGGGAAATATTGCGTGAGCTGCCGTGGAAGAGGCAGCGTCGCAATCATGACCGGCAAGAATATACCTCTGCGCACTCTCATTAGCAATGTTTTCTCGGGAGGAAAACAGCATCCGACTTGCCGGAGCAGGGTAAACGCCACCATCAGGAGCACCGCCAGCACCTTTTGTGACCAGTGGTCTGCCTTCATGTATGCCTTTGCGAGGCAATAACAAAAAGCTGCCACCCACAAGAAAGACTCGAGAAAAGCCGCAAGAATGATAGGTCCAATGAAGGCAAGAGAAATGATCTATTCCATCAGCGAGAAGACAACGCTGCGTAGCACAAACTTTCTCACATCAGGTATCGACCAGGGGCCACCAAGAGATTTGTGCTCGGCCATGTTGCTTGCACCTGTGACGCACCATCCACAACAGTAACCAAATGGAAGGACCCTTTGTCTGGATCCTCTCTCTCGTTGAGATGGGTGGCGAACACTGTCGGACTAGGAGCAGTTGATTAACGTGGTGTCTAGACGTGAGGAGCGCGTCAGGCTGTCAAGGTCGTTGAAAACTTCAAGGTCTCTGGCGATGGAAGCGCGAGTCGAGGCAATGGAGTGACAGCTTCGAAAGCAACTTTGGGAGTCCCAAAGGAGGTCGTTTAACTTGGGGAAGGAGGGAAAAGTGATGGTTCTTTGAATCAGTGAATGATATTCATTTCATGAAGATACTGAACCGGTGGAGTGAAGGCCGTACCAGAAAAGTACTATGAGTCCGTGGGTGCTGGATAAAGTCGAGCAATGAGGGCACAGGCCAGAAATGTCATGATAACAAGGAAGGAAGATCAAAGAAGGAGAGAACAGAAGAGGCAGTTGCGTCCGTAGTGTCAGCTTCCGCGCATTTGGCTGGCATGGTAGTGATTTCCAGGTCGACGGTGCCCGGGAGGAACAGATGCCCGTCGCAAGCCTGCAAGAAGCAGTAGAACCTGCATGGTGGCAGCCTGCAGCTCCTGGTCCACAAGCGAGGAAGAGATATTGTCGCGGTCTGGAATAAACTGATGGTCGAGCTGAGACGAAGCGAAATAATGCTCAGAGATGGACTGTACTAAGAGAGATGTTAGAATAAGAAGTCCAAGTTCGTGGTTACCATATATTATTCATCTCTTGAGCAATGTTTCACCGGCATGCCACAAGCAGAATCTCCATAGCAGCAGCCAACAACCAGACTCCAGAGTCACGACTTCCAACCAAATCCCTGCTACGACCCGTGTATTTACAAATGGAAATCCCCGCTAACTGTGCTGTCAACGTCAGTCCAAGCACTAGAGGGAGTACGTATCCCATCGGCAAAGTCGCTGAGGATATCGTCGGAGCTGTCTTCCGCCTCGCTGACGTGAATATTACTTGCGCTGCCAGCAAGGCTGGGTGTTAACGAAGCGGGGGGTGTTGCATTTAATGGGAATCCGTGAGCGGCAATATTTCGGGGCGCGTCTAAATACGTGCTCTGAACAGGTAGCGAAGCCTGCGACTCATGTTCAGAGAGGGTGTGCGTCGAACCTGAACCCGCCGCTGAAAAATAGTCTGATCGTTCTAGTGGGCGGTGGAAGTAATCGGCTGATGGAACAGAAAAGTCTGGATCGGGGACACCTTCTGTCGTAGGCGTAAGCTCAATCAAGCTCTCTGAAGCATGGCTGGACCAGATTTCAAATGGTCGCTCGGCTAAAGGCAGATTCCATGCTTCACGCATCTCTCGCTCGTATCTGGACTCGAATGGGTTGGGTTGTGTCTCAACGAGAGGCCTCACGGCGAGTGGTGCATCTATCGACTGATGTACAGAGGACGGGGCTTGCTCCTGAAAGGAAGGGGAGGGCCTCTGCCGTAGAGTTGCGGCCTGCGCCGAGGGGTCGACGCTGGAAGATTGTGCTGCTGAGACCGACTGTTCATCTTGTGCTGGTTGCAGTAGAAGTCCATCTTTGTCGACAAGAGTATCAAAAGTCGGGCTGGACGGCATTTCCTTCTCTTGCTCAGTCAGCTTTCTTCTCTTCCTTCTCTCCTCCATGATCCTGCCACGCTCCATGATCTCGGCGATTGCCTGGCGTCGACGCTCTTCGGCCAATTCGCCCTTCTCCTCATGCATGGAGACGTCGGTCGAAGTGCGTCGAGGACGGGGTCTGGGGCCAATTTCATCGCCGAGGGAGTGCAGGCCCATGGCAATCTTGTGCCTTGTCCGGTCTATCCATGCTCGTACTTGAGGGTTTTCATATGCGGCTATGCTGGCCGCCACCAGAACGGTGACAGTGATGATTATTCCTACCGGAGGCATGGTGGATTAGCGCTGCTCACGAGCAACGGTAGGAAAGAGCTTGAGAGAAGATCCTTTCACACCCTCCAAGTTCATGGTATGAGCCATGGCGTGATGATGTAAGGGGAGAATGGCGGGATGCAAGGAGGCACGGGGGCACTTACCTCTGGCGAGCGGAGCTGGCATTTTGGAAACAGCCCTGGTGGAATTTCTCTGAATAGAGATCTTAGAATGGAAGAGAGAGAGAAAGGGTGTAGGCGGAAGGACGCCGTGGTTGAAGACAACCCACGGGTGTCTCGAAACCTGTCAGCCTGATGGCACCAGCATCAAGGATCATGCGAGGCAGCAGAGATGGCAGTTCCGAGGGAGGGAGGAGGAAGAGGCGAGAGGAACCGGGCTGCGCCACACACGCCATTTTTGGAGAGTGAGGAAGAAGAAGAGAGGGAGGGACAATGCCCCGCATCGCCGTTGGTGGGACTTTGGTTGACAGCCTTGACCAGCCTCGGCGCGTCCAGATCGGGCCACACGCGACTCAAATTGATTTCCGTGCACTGTGCAATGTGTACCATGCACCACACCTCTCAGCGTCAACCACCACAGGATGTCCCGCGCAAGTTCGGCCGCTCAGCCAAGAGCCTTGTCATTGACTGAAGAGCTTGAAAAACTCGAACAGTCCATTACATTGACACTACAAGGTCGGTCCCGCCAAAAGACCCGGTTCATTCAAGCCCGTCCATTGACTCTTGTTGCACCGCAGAGATCGACCACAACTTCAGTCGAGCACACCGCATAGTGACTTCAAGCATCCTGCCCATCGTTGAACAATATGCTACGCACTCAAAGGAGGTTTGGGAAGGGTCAAGAGTGAGACACCCGCACATATTCATGGAGACGTAACTGAGGACCATGCACAGTTCTGGAAGCAATTCTTCGAATCGAGCGCCAATGTGTCCTTGTCAGGCTACGAAGAGCAACAATCACACTTGGACAATACAGACACCACCGTCACCGAAGACACCAACGCCACGACACATAGCACCTTGGAGACATCGGAGTCTTACGAAACCCCCTTTGCCCAGCACATCTCCACGGACTCAATACAGGACCTGGATCTGTCAAACATGACCATCTCGCCGTCCAAGAGCAGCACTCCGCGACCCACTCTCGCGCAAAAGCTTCAAAAGCAAGGCAATGCCACCTTCGCGGACTACCCATCGCCATACGAGGCTTTGCGACAAGAAGTCCACAGCACAGTTGTCGACACCACGTCACTGACTCAACCGACCATGCCCGAAACCCCCGGCGGCCGACCCGTGTTTTCCATGGACAACATTGCCGTCGGAACACCACAATCCTCCCCATTCCTACCGCCTCGACCGACTTCGATCCCGCGCCCATCCACCACACGCAAAAGAACGGATCCCCTCCTTCACCGCATCCTCGACAGAAATTATCGCGTCCAAGCCACACCGCTCACAAGCCAGCGTTACGCAAATCTGCACTCGATAACTCGCGCTACGCCTTCCACCGCGAAGCAGCGTGCTCGGTCTACAACACTCGACGATTCGACTCTATCGTCGAGCCCGGAGGCACCTCCCCCCGAGCTCCACCCGGAGATATTCTCCTCGCCCGAACGCCGGAGACCCATCCCCGGCATCAGCGTGCTCACCCCGTCACGGGCTCGGTCAAAGTCTCAGCCGCTCAGGGCGCCAGCGAGGGCACCGGGCGTCTGGGACAGTGACGACGACGACGACGACGACCTCGATGACGACGTTCTCTTCGACCAATCCCCGCCCAAGACGATGCAGTTCCACGTGCCCCAGCACCGGCTGTTGAAGACCCCCGCCAAGGAGGCGTCGAAGCGGATCGTCGAGGACATTCTGACCAACGCCGGGATAGATTACGGGGAGGAGGAGATTAACTTCTCCCAAGAGTTGGAAACGCAGGCGTTCGACCTGGACGATGGCGGGGAGCCGACCAGCCCGAGCGTGGTCCGCAAGGCCATGAATATCGAGGACGAGACGTTCTGAAGCGACTGCAGATGTGTTGAAATCCTCCTAATCAAGCAAGTAAATGTGATAAAATATCACGGGATAGAATGAATCTATGTCGTGTCTCACAACAAGACTCTAATACCCTCGTCGGTCCGCGAGAGGTTCTACAACGCTCGTCAAGTAGCCAGGGCTACGGGTCCCAGCAGTCGTGGGCATCAGGAGCAAGAGTCTGAACTGTCGAAAAGCCTGACAGCGGGAGTCTAACACCAGCCATCGTCACGCTGTATCAAACCGTAGCACCGCATCTTCTCGAGCGTGATTAGTTTGGCGTCAGCCCAGTGATCGCGTTGGTCCTTGCGTACAGCCAAAGGAATCTGCTTGGATGTTTCAAAGGAGTTATACCATCTGGATATGCAGTTGCCAACGTCCTTCCCTCAAGCTAGAGTGACGGTGGCCTCTCTAAGAGCTTTGCGTGGTAATGCGTCGCCTTCCTTGAGTATCATCAACAGTACGCCCACACGGCGTGCGATTTCACCGTCCCAGACAATAGCCAACCACCACACGTTAAGGGTAGCTCGCGCTATGAAAAGATAATTGTCATCAGTGTCGGTAGTCTCTCGATCCAAGTCTTCCGCCGCCATCATCAGCACCGCGCTAAAAAGATGGTTTCTTTTCCAGTGGATCATCTTCGCGGCCCGTATCGGCATCAGAGTCCCAATACGTATAGTAGTACGGAATTGAATGGGATCGGTCACTCCTATGTCGGCAGGCTAAGGGAAGCCTTTCGAACAAGTTTACGGCGTCGACCGTCTTGACGTCGTCGATCGCCTTGGCGTTGTCACTATGTTCACCAAGGATGAAATGAGAATGACAGCCTCCTTTCCATGGGTATAGGCGCAAGTCAGCTATATAGCTTCTGATATGTAATAACTTGGTATTTTCCGGTAAGGTATTTGCTGTGTGCTTTTCTGCGAATTGGCGAAATGGGATGAGTGGCTGATTCGGCTCGCCATCGTCAATCAAAATTTCAGCACAGAACTTCATGTCGGGAGCCCAATAGACCAATTCATTGTCCCATCTACGCCGCGGGTCGTAAAGGTGAAGTTGAGACCTGACAGACGCCCATGACCACGAAGGAAAGCCATCAATGCGGCTGCTTGGTCGTCTCTGCAATGGATATTCAGCCCACAAGAGCCCATGAACGAGGCTCTCTTCGAACTCGCGAGATCCTTGTACGTCTGATCTCGAGGTCCCATAACCATGGTGTAAAGGGACGCCCCAGAAAGAACGATGCAAAAATTTTGAAAGCAAGCCTCTGAAAGCAGCTAGCATATCCGTATCCCGAGATAATGTTCTCTGTCTGTAATGGTACAACTGACTCACGAACCGCGCATTCCTGTTGTATTCGGTCAAGGAGCCGTCGGAAAGGAAAGATGATTTCAACAGCATTTCGGGATTGAAAACTGAGTCACTCCAGCGATCCAATCGATTAATCTTCATCAACTCGGGGAGTTCTTCTGGAATTGTGCCCTTGTTGCACACAAAGAAGAGTTGATTATCGGTGAAGAAGAGACAGCGAGTCGACAGCAACCCTTCTTGAAAGGTCCACCCTCGTTGAGACCAGGCTGAGGACTTCAAGCATGTCTCTAAGATAGGTGATGTGGTAACATATGTGGTCTTTCCCGACTGAAAACCTAGTCGCGGATTTCTCGACCGTGTACACACCCCTGATAACCCATAGCTGGAGGAATTTCCAAGAGCCACAATGGTAACAATTGCCTCTTCGAAAATTGAAGCCATAGATGCGATTGAATTTCCTCCCTCGTTGGCTGTGGTTGATCTCCACAGACATAGCTCAAACAGACGTAGTCTTCGCGGGGAGGCAGTTGGATGATTTCACGAGTAGCGCAGCGAATGACCCGGAGGGAGACTGTTGAGTGCTTGGGAGTCTTCTGAGAGCAGCTATGCTTCTCTGTACAGTTGCGAATGGCTGCTTGGGCAAATTGATAATTGACACCATTCTGTGAAAGGGTTTCGCCGAAAGGAATCACCATAGGCAACTTAAATGAACTCCACTCTCGCGAGCAAGTAGATATGTCATATTTGATTCTGATTTCGTGAGGGAGGACGGTTAGAAAAGTGGAGGGTATTAGTGTTTGGTTCGAACACGTGTGCGGCCAATGGAGCAGCCTCGAATAGCTGTATACCCTCAGGTGCTGTGCTGATGTGAACGCGTCTAGCTCCTTCAGCTTTTGTGCCATTTGAGTAAGAAAAATACAGAAGCTGCACCTCGTGGATCGCCCATGGTTTATTGAGGGCCCAAGGTCAAAGACTGGTACAGCTTCTTCGGGAGGTTCAATCCTGAAGAAGGCTTCAAAATCAATTCTTTGGCACCGGCGACAGAGATTTGAGTCTAAAACTTGAAGGACGTCGCGCTTAAAAGACCCGGAGGTCCAAGGTGCACTCTTCTGCCTTTTAGAGGGAGACGAAACCGTTGTGCTAGAGCGTTGAGCCACATCCTCCTGATGGGGCTGATCTCCACCACAGTCGGCAGCTCTTTTAGCACACATTGTCAATAGGGCGAAGACTTGCAAATGAACGACGGTGCTGGAAGAGCTGTAGCAAGGAAATAAAGAAGGGGGTGCAAGGAAGGAGCCGCTATTTACTCGCTTCTAGGGCTGCTGCTTACAACACGGTGCAAGAGCGCCTGATGGAGCTGTCAGGGTCGACAAGGGAAGGATTAGTCCTTTGGGCGTTTCGAGCGGGATCTTGGAGAGGGGCTGTAGCGCTGCCCAGAAACTAAAAGTCCTCCCACTATTTACAGGGCTGGCACGGTAGTCTGTAGAAATCCAGACCACCCGTCGAATTCCTGTAGGGACGGACAGTTCGATTGAAGCCTTTGGTACGAAATCTCAGGTTCAAGTGGCCTTGGTTTACTGCCAGGAATCTGATAGATCATCACATCCGAACAACTGGGAGACTGACAGATTTGATAATCCGAGGTAAACTTCACTTGATGGATGGAAGGAGATGGACGGATGAAGGCACTCAGCCAAGCTCGCCAGGGCGACACTGTATCCATTATGACTGCACACTGTTCATTCCTCGTTCCTCGTTCTTCATACCTCATTATCTGGATTAGATCATTACGCTAGACAACCCGTGACTGCATTGCGTACCAAGCTAGCGGGTAGCCAAACCTCAAGGAAAACCGACCACTGTCCTACGGGTATGAAAATATCACGGCTGAGACTATCCGATTCACGAAGTTAACGCCAGGGCGACGACGACGCCTAGTGCGAGGACAAGCGACCTCGCGACACCCACTTGTTGAATGGACGTGCTGGCGCCTGTGTAAGGCGCGATAGGAGGTGTGAGGACCTACACAGAACACGGCCAAGGTTAGCTGAGTTGGTTTTTTCTCTAACGCGACGGCAACGGAAAACGCGCCGAGAAGACAAGTTCAAATAAAGCAAGGGTTTGAATAAGGGGGGCTGAGCAGGTACATACCGTGTCAATAACGTGAGCCACTCCGTTCTCTAAGATCAGATTCGACGCGATAATCTTGGCGTTGTTGACAAAGTAGTCGTCGCCCTGGACGGTGACGGTGACGGTGGTGCCGGACTGTGTGACGAAGCTGGCGCCGTTGCCGAAGCTGGGGAGGTAGCCCGCAAAGTCCTGCACGACATGACCCGCTAGGATGGACGGGATGCCGCTGGATGCCGGGGAGATGTTTGCGGCGGCGAAGGCCTGGTTGGTGGGGATAAAGACGGTGATGAGGGGCGTCGCGTCCAGTACTGACGATTGGTTCGAGGCGCTGGCCAGGGAGACGAAGGTCGTCTGTCCGGTGGTCTGCGCGGTCGCAGATAAGGCAACGGGCAGCGTGAAAAGACTTTCCACGTCAAACGTTAGCATTCGCAGGACCACGGACCCTTTTGAACGACTAGGGCAGAACGAAACTGCGTTTAGCTGTCAGAGCGGTGACTTACCCGTCAGTAGTATGGATCAGACCGCCAGCAAAGGGAATGTCGGCGGTCAAGATGCCCACCGAGTCCCCGAGTCCTGAATAGATGTCCACGAGCGTGTCCAAGGAGCTGGTGTTGTCCTGTCTGGGGAGGATGGTCGGGGCCCACCGTTTGCTCGAGGTCGTCTTGGTGTTGTTCTTGGGCTTCGAGACGACCTTCTGCGTCGAACCTTTGAGATTCGCCGTGGTGTCTTTGGTCGGCACCACTGCACCGGGCGGGGTGCGCAGGCCGTTGATCTCGCTCTGGCTCTGAGTGGCATGGAGGAGCAGCTGCTGTTGCTGCGCCGGGGTGAGGGTGGCGCGCTTTCTCAGCCCTGTCCCATTCACCCCGCTGCCGATGTACTGGTCAGTCGGAGCAAAGACGGTCGGTACCCCGGCTGCGTAGGCGGCGGAGACGACCGGGTCGGATGCGATCAGAGCAGCAAACTTGGCCGCGCCTGCGGCTATGAGGGCGTCGTTCAACGACGGGAGGCTCGGAGAAGGGGACGGCCAAGCAACAGAGGACCAGGATTTACTCGCCGGCCATGACTGCCACGTGGGACTCTCTGACGGCCAAGAGTGCGGAGAGTAAATGGTTGTCGGCCATGAGGACCACGGCGAAGTCTCCGAGGACCAGGAGTGTGAGGAATAGCTAACTGGAGCCCAAGAGCTGGAATATTCTGGCCAAGGTGGGGTTGAAACAGAAGGGGTGTATGTAGAGGGCCAAGGTGCGACAGACGACCAAGTTTCCGAGGTGTAAACAGTCGGTGTCCACGTGGGAGTCTCGGCAGACCACGACGGCTGAGCATAGGAGCTGGACGGCGGCGACCAGGTCCAGGTCCAGGACGGCCGAGTAAACGAGGGCGAAACCACAGTTTCTGGGAAATGCTGGGCAGCGACTGGAGAGAGTCCCAGCGCAGACAAGACGATGATAAGTTGCAACGACATGATCAGGCTGAGGGCTGTGGGAGACAAGCTGGACAACGAGGTATAGGTAAGGCGGGACGGAGCCTGCGTGAGCGAATGTACAAGATGTCAAGCCCACTCTGGTACTTGTGTTTTCCCTCCCAGCGACAGCGGCTCAAGCGAGCGTGAGATCCGGCAGAGCCTCACGGTTTCAAACATCCATCAGAGAGAGACCGGCGCAACACCAACCTATATGTATGCACTTCCACGGACTTGACCAGAGCGGACGCAGCTTGCTTTGAAAAGTCCGGTTTGGCGTCGTCAATTCTGTAGAAACGTGGGATCGTCGATGTAGGCTGGGCGGAGAAGCACGTTTCCATCCTTCCATATCCAGATCCAGGAATGGGCACATTTCCTGTCCCTGATTCTTTTCTGTTTCTTCGCCCGATGCTCCGCTACAGACGTTGCACGAGCTGCAACGGTGGAGCGGCACAGATGGTGCCATCCGCAAGGGAAGTGGTGCGGGACGAGCACAGTGCGGTGTGTGCGTGTGTTGGTGCTTGCTGGCCACGCATCAGTAGCGCAAGTACAATACCATACCTGATGAGTGAGAGCAAGGATACGCGGCGAACTCGGCAATAGTTGTAGATTCAGGGTCGAGGTGAGGCTCGCTGGGCTGCTTAAAACGGACTCGTGCAGGGGATGGCATTTTCGCAGTGCGTGACTGGGGGGATGGTCCGCACCGTTATCCAGTCTCGTCTCAGTGGACGCGAGTTGGGAAACGGCCTTGCAGTTTTTGGCGGTTGTTTGACGTAAATAGGAACGGCCAACGGATTGTCGACAACCCTCTCAGGGCTAGTGAGGCTCGTCTGCCAGCTTTGTCATGGGTTCGGGCGCAGACTGGTAGGCTGATGGACTCCCCGAAATCCGGGGTCGTCGTCACGCAAAGCTTCCAGAGAGGCGGAAGTGCCCGAGTTCGCCGACTGCTTGTTCCTCCCTGCAGTTGCGAAGTGGCCAATAGGAAATAAAAACGCAGTCTCTGCTGGACCCCACACATACTCCTCTCGAGCACTTCCATTGGCGGGTGTACCCACAGCACAAGGCATCTCCCCACCAATCACACAGCCGAAGTCGCCATGCCCGTGGGTCAGCCCTGAGCCTGGAACCGTCGTTGTCCTCTGTCGCTCTCCCTCCCAGTCTCCCAAACACCCACCACGATGGTGGCTTGCAACGACACGCTGGCAGCCCGACCGGTCCTTTCGTATTGACTTACTCCAGCCCAACCAGGGCTGCATCCTTCCGAACTACGACCGTTGATGTCGATCTTCAGCCGAACTGGTTTCTTGGTGCCAGCCGGAAACGCTTCGCAGATACCAACAGATATCAGGCACCCACTCACAACCACGACAGCACTGCAAGACCGTTGGCGCGGCGGAGCATTTGGTCGCTGATGATTTGCCCGACTGGACAGAACAAGCCACCCTACCTATGTTGCAACTCGAGAGAGCTTGGGCTTGGGGTGGGAGGGAATGCATCTCCCGCTCTGGGCCCCCAGAGATGCATCGCTCGCTCTGCTTTGGGTAAAGGCTTTTGTCGCCCCCATGCATGTGGCCACTGGAGGGAGATAGAAGCAGCCTCGATCGCCAGCCGCAACTCCCGGCTCGGATGCATTTAGACAACCAGTGCAGCCCAAACCCAAAATGCAACCTTCTTGCGTTTCGCCAGAGAATCCTGAATTTTGGGGAAAGCCAGCTCCCAAAGTCAGCCTTGCACGCTCACTCTGAGACTCATACATCTCCGGCGGCAGCACCAGCACCAGCAACAGCAGTCACATCCCTCTCGATAGATCAAGCAGGGACTGACTGCCCTGAAGCATAGCCATGGTTTTTTCCAGTCTCAACCCTGGTCGACAGACCTACCACCTGTGGCGGCGCTTTTCCATGCCCACAATCCACGGGTCCCGAGACGCCATCGCGGTCCCCTCCGATGTCGCCAACCAGCTCAACTCGGCATACACCTTCATGGTGCAGCTGATCATTATCGACTTCTGGGTCATCCTGATTCTCGCGGGCGTCGTGCTCTTCTTGGGCAAAGAGAAACACAGCCACAACAGCGGGGTGATCGCCACGGGCATTTGGAACGCAAAGGACTCGCCGAGCGTCATCTTCAAGCTGACGGGCTCCTACTTCTTCAAGATCAAGGACCGGCGGCGCGTGCACCTGTTCTGGTGGACGTTGATAGCCGGCGCTTTTGTTGTCGCCATCTACGCCATCCCCATAAAGGTCGCGCCGTACATCATCATCGACAACGCCGCGCCTGTTGCAGCCACCTCCATCTACGTCCCATCTTTGAGTGGCCCGGACGACGAGAAGAACAGTGTGCAGATCAATGCGCTCGAGGCGCCATCGGCATTTCGCGCCGCGGGGAGTGTCCTGGTCGCCAACTCCACGGGCCGTACGCACGTTTCCGTCGATCCGCCCGAGACGATCCAAGACCTCGGCGACGGTGAGGCCGTCGTGCGTGTAGGATACAGCTACAACATCACGGGGCTGGACTTTGGCCTGCAACACTATCCCGACCTGGTCCTGAGCGTCCAGGGGTCGTGCCAAACAGACTATTCCTGGCTCCTGGCCGAATCGGTCGACGACTCCAACATCATCCGGGACGAATACCTGCTTTTCAATGACCCAAACATGGGCACGCAGAATGTCTCGTTTTACGATAGCGCCAGGCCCCTGGGTTATTTCTTCCTGGGCGCCCTTTCTCCCACGGGACCCGCAGCAAATTTTACCTGGGGTGCTTTGGTCTCCTCCGTGCAGCGAGAGAGTATCACGGCCGGCACAGATCCTTGGTATCTGACCGTCCCTGACGGCGGCAGCGATGTGGGCTTCATCGTCAAGGGTGGAAGACCGGCGCTGTCGTGCTGGCAGAATGACGTCTGGTCATACCGTGGACACCAAAGCACGGCCGTGGCCCTCGACTCGACCTCTCTTCCCGGCCTGGAGCTCTCGCTGGGCTTGCAAACCGTCTTGGCTCGCTTTCTGTCGGCGCCCAAGATCGTCAACGTGGCCACTCGCCTGGGTGCCTCGGCGCTCGTGTCTACGGACACTTCGCTGGGCGAAAAGTTCGATGCCGGCTCATCCAGCTTCCGCGACGATCTGGAGCGGCTGGTGTTCGCCTCATACATCGCCACCATGAACACGCTCACCGACACCACGCTGTTCTCCACAAACAACTACGGCATCTCGAACGTGGCCACCGGGTCCGACGGCAAGCCAAGCCCGGGGGTCGACGCGTTCGTCATCTGGAGCAGCAACGTGTCGACGCTGTCGATCCTTGCCCTCATCATCATCCCCGTCATGACGGTCACCATGAAGTTGATTGTTTGGGTTCTCACAGACCTGCCCTTCTCTTGGTACCGCATCCAAGCCTTGCAAGCGACGGTGCTGTACAGCTGTCTGCACGAGAAAGCCACTGGCAACGCCGACGTGGAATGCAACCGCAAAGACGATCGACCGTGGGTGAAGAGAGGAGACCATGAGCAGGGTGTGTTCAGGCCACGCTTCGACAGAGAGAGTCGGACGCTCAGTTGGGGTGCAGGCGAGTATGTCAAACTTTCCACTTTGTTTCGTTCGACCCGCAAGCTTCTTCCATCTATACATGGTTCTTTTCCATTCGTACTAACTGTAGTTGCCCATTTTCTCGTTTTCGCCCGTGTGGATATTCTTGAAGTGGAATCCAATGACTGACCCACTTACAGACATAAGGAAGTGATCCCTGGGGTCGGGCCAACGCCGTTATCCCCAAGAGGCACCATGAACCTCGAAGTACCACAGACCAATGGTACGAAAGAGTACTTCGGGCCACAATCTCAGAGTCACAGCCAGGCTGCAAACGAGAAGCCAGCATCGGACGTCCAGACGCAGATTTCCAGCGTCCTCACACCGTCATCTGTGGATCAACCACTCCTACCTGGCCCTCGGTAGCTCCGTTGTCGAAGCAAATATTGCGCCGACGAAGAGGTATCCTCGTACTTGGAAGAAAGTGGGAACTTGGCGGCCTCTGCTGGCCTGAACGCTCGCAGAGGACCACTGCCACAGTGTTAGGAGCGCGAAAATTCATACGGCCAGACGGTGGAGTTATTGCGATGACGACGACGACAACAATGATGATGATGATGGTCATAATGGTCACTTGTTCTTCCTGCTGTGTGCATATCAATACAGCCCGGACATCGGGCCATTATATCGAGAATGAAAACACTTGTAGTCGCTTCTTTGCCCTCGGAACATGCGAATCGGTGTTCCAGGAAAGGCCTGGTTTCTAGATCGTGGAGGAAAACAAAAAACTTCGTCTGCCGACGCAGTATTTCCGCCCCTATCGCGCAGCTTCGGCATGGTGTTCTCCCGCTGCAAAGTACATGATTTTCGTGATGAAATTATGCCGGAGTAAAGATTGCGTTTGGCTGCAACAGAATCCCATTTCGGGAGACATCCTGTTCTGCGCGAGGGTGGAGGAGCCTGTCTTTGCCAGTAAGAGGTGGGATATCGTTCCGGGAAGATTCTGATAGGTTGGCAGAGGAAATCCAGCCTCTGGGCTACTGACGCGAGCCCCGAGCCTGTTGCGGCCATTGGCAGCTGGGCTCAATGACGACGATCATGAAAGGTCTGCGCGCTTTGGTGCCAGGCGAAATCCATCAGTCACGCTTTTGTCGAAAAGAACATTATCATTTTCCATCTCCGTCCATCCCAAACATGGATGGCTTGATGATAGCAATGTCAGGTCTGGACAGCATTGGGAAGACAATTTGGCTCCTAGTCTGTGCAGGCATACTGGTAAGCTAACTGGCTGTTTTGTCTGATGGAGCACTGAAGAGAGGAAGGGCGCCACTTGTCGTCTTCTGTACAACATCTTTCTTCATCCACTGCGGCATTATCCGGGACCCATCTTGTGGCGAGCGACCCGCCTTATGTGGGTAATTGCCCTTCAGCGCGGCAGCTTGCATCGAGACCTTCTTCGACTACACAACAAATATGGCCCGGTGGTCCGAACTGCTCCAGACGAATTGTCGTACATCGACGCCCAGGCATGGAAGGACATCTATACATCACGACAGGGTCACGCGCCGATCGAACGGGGCGGAGTATGGTTTCGGAAGACGCGCCCAGACGAGCCTTATAGCATCATGGGAAACGATGAGGACCACCATGCTCGATATCGAAGAGCATTCATGGGCGCCTTTAGCGAGAAAGCAATTAAGGATCATTCAACGTTGATTGAAAGGTATGTCGACCTGATGATGCAGAGATTTCGAGCCATGGCCAACGAGAGCGGCATTACCAAAGTCGATATTGTCTCATGGCTAAACTTTGTAACGTTTGATATTTCGGGTGACTTGTCGTTTGGAGAATCCTTTGGAAGCACATTGACGGGGAACCCACATCCTTGGGTTGACATTGCCTGTCGCTTTGGAAAGGGTATAGCACTAGTAGCCTCGATCAACCATTACGCACCGCTGCAAAGGTTGCTGAAACATGCCATGCCGGTCAAAGTCCGCCAGAAGATGATCTATCATCGAGAACTGAGTGCGCAAAAGGTCCGGCAACGTCTCCAGCTCCAAGAGCAAAGGCTAGACTTTGTCAATGCGGTGCTCAAATACAATCAGGAGAAGGTGGACAAGGTGACATCGGAAGAACTCGAGCTAAACATGAGTGTCTTTGTCTTTGCCGGAAGTGAAACAGTCAGTTCGGCAGTTGCGGCTATATTATTCGGACTGTTGGGAGCACCCAAGGCTATGGCCCGGGTCAGCCAGGAGATCCGATCTGCTTTTAGTCGCGAGAACGAGATCGACGTTGCCGCTACATCGAAGCTCGAGTACCTGACGGCTGTGATCAACGAAGGCATGCGGCTTGGTCCACCCAGTGTCATAGGGGTCCCTCGCGTTGTGCCAGTTGCCGGAGAAGACATATGCGGGAAATGGGTCCCTGGCGGAGTAAGAGACTGGGTCTTTCATTCGAGGACTCTTGCTAATCGTTTGTCCAGACATTTGTTTCGATCAATCAATATCCAGCATTCCGATCACCAACAAATTTCATTGAACCTGAAGATTTTATTCCAGAGCGCTTCCTTGGGAGGCAAAGTCCCGAAAATAACCTGGCAGTCTTTCAGCCCTTCCTTGTAGGACGGCACATGTGCATTGGACAGAAAGTGGCGTGGGCGGAAATGCGGCTCATACTGGCGAGACTGCTCTACACTTTTGACATCAGCTGGAACGCCACTCCATCCATCCATGATTGGGGGGAACAGCAGACATTCATTTTTTGGCAGAAGAACCCTCTTGAGATTCGTTTGAAGCGCAGACGAGCCTGTATACAAGGCACGGAATGGTACAGTCCATGCTGACAGGGGCACATTAGTCCGTCCGTATGAACGATACACTAGATAAGCTGAGCCTCCCTGGTTATAACCAGAGTGCACTTCCATAATGACGAGACCAGGTCGGGTGCGACATGGTGGAAAGGACATGTAGCATGTAATATCAGGAGGTGAACAGAGCGAACAAGGTGGACAATGTGAACGATGTGAATCCCACTCCGTCGGCCTCGCTTCACTCCGTCAGCCTCGCTGGGATCCTCGAGTGCATTTCTCCGCACCTCTTCGCCGCACCTTCCGCAAATGGCCATTGCGACTCTTTGTTGGAGAAAATTATTTTTCAAGTCGAGTGCGACCGTCTCGGCGTGAAAACTGCTTTTGTTCACCTCGCTTTCGCTCATTCTAGACGTTGTTGCTCGAAGATCTAGGCTCTGCTGGGCTCCGGGCACTCAGAGCAGTTTCTTGCTTCTTCCACAGCCGCCTGACGACCGGCGAGATCCCAAGTCGGCTTCACACGGGCCTGTCCAAAATGAAGACCACTTCAACGGAATCGAGTCGCGACGCTTCCCAGCCGTCTTCCCAGGTTCTTTCCTTAGTATCCTCATTTCTGGCTGAACATGGGTTTCACTCGACTATCAAGACTCTCAGGAAAGAGCTCAAGCGAATGAACCAATCGGTGGAGGTTCTTACCCTCGGGGATTCGCAAGATGGCGTCAATCTACAGGAGATTGTAGAGAACTGGAACAAAAAAGAGGCATTAGGATCTACACAGTCTTCTTCAGACGAAAACACATCGGATCCCAGCGGGAGTGCGACGTCGGAGTCAGATTCAGAGTCCAGCAGTGCTAGCAGCGGTGAGGAGAATGACGGGAGCGTGAGCAGCGAGGACACATCCGCAGCAGTGTCCGAATCCGAGTCAGGGACCGATGAAGAGAAAGTGAACACAAAGTTGTCCTCAAAATTGAAGAGGGTCAAAGCCAACAAGAGAGATTCGTCCCCGTCAAGCTCTTCATCGGCGTCCTCCGACAGCGACGCCGACGATGAGCGAGAGATTGGTGCCAAAGCAAAGGCTAAGGTTTCACGGAAGAAGTCACCAAGCGCCTCGAAAATAGCCGAAAATGCCCGTATCCTCAAGCGCAAGGCACGATCTAGCTCACCAGAATCGTCTTCTTCAGATTCGGACTCGGACTCGTCAGATGATGATCGACCGGCAAAACGAGCAAAGATTGGTAGCAAAGAGGACACCGATAAGACCTCCTCGAGTGAAATATCTTCTTCGAGCTCTGACGACGAAACAGGCGACGCCAAGGATTCATCCAGTGAAGCAGAGGAAGTGGAGGACGAAGGAATGAGCACAGATGCGTCTAAGGATCCAGCAAGATCGGCCGATGCGGCCGATGCTCTATCTGATTCATCCTCAGGAACAGTCACAGGAGACGTCGTTGAGCCAGACGAGTCATCTACAAGACAACCCGAAACAATTATGAACAAAGGAAAGAAGCAACCAGTGGCCACCAAAAAGGAGCATGTGGGTGCGAGACCGACTCCGCTGGCGCAACTATCAGCCCAGGCAACGGCGGACTCTCACATCAGCAACGCCTACCAAAGCTATGACTACGCCGACCGGGCATACAAGGACCTGTCTGTGACTCGAGGAAAAGGATTCACCAAGGAGAAGAACAAGAAGAAGCGGGGCAGTTATCGCGGAGGAGCCATTGACATTAGCGGCGGCAAGGGCTTCAAGTTCGATGACTGAAGGAATGGAGTAAAGGGCACAGCTTTGGAGCGTACATGAAATATTCTTGGGCCAAAAGCATGGAGTTTGGAGGTTGCTCATATCATGGATAGTGAGACAGATGACCAAAAAGAGGGGCTAATGATAGATCAAAGAAAAATGCAATGCATCAACACGGAGCTATGCAGTGGGCAGTGATGAGAGGACGACGACAGCTGGAGTGACGGGCTGCCCGAGCTGGTACATCCAGGAGGTGCTTTGCAGAATGATAGTGGTCGGTTACAAAACATCCAGATTCCGAGGTTGATGCTAGACTTGAAACGGCTCAAAACTCGGACTCTGTTCCTCCCAGGACGCCATAGTGTGTAGCTGTGGAAGGTTATGCAGGAGTGTGGAGTGGTGGAAAAGACACAGTGGCCATCGCAAGTACCAGGTACCTGGATTGTTGCGGTAATTGCCACCAAAAGTCATGTATCTGGTACCGAAGCACTCTCCAGGGCTCTCTCCCCACATCCCGTCACCTGCAGCAGTTTCCCAACCGTTTGTGCCCGTATCTCGTATTGGTGCCTAAAAGCTGGGGCCTATTATCCTGCTGCGGCCACCTGTACGAGGGTACGGCGGAGTGCCTCGGCTGCCCTGGGCGCCTCCTCCACTGAGCGAGCTCCCGAGCTCCCTTTGGGCGTCACTTTGATTCTGGGGAATCGATTGCTCTTTGTTGGGGATCTGACTTGGCGTCCCAACCAAACGTGATGCCCCCGATGCTGCCGCTGCCAATCACGCCCTGCAACTCACACGCCAACGACGCCAATGACCCTGATGATGCCCCTGCGATCGATCAACATCCTACCAGCTGCATATTACGAGCTACACGTTTTCTAAATGGTGTCTTCCTTTTGCCCCTTCGTCACCGACTCTTTTCCTCTCCCTCTTCTCTCCCTCTCACCGTCCCTCATCCCAGAAAACGAGCACGGAAAAACAAAGGTCCCCTCCTGATTCGTCCCTGCGTCGCTGCTCATTCTTCCTGCCCTAATCACGCGCCACAAACTAGACCGTCGGTTCTCCCATCATCCGGACGACGCTCATCCACTGGCAACTGGGCCAATTGATCTAGGAGAAGGGTCTGGTGGTGCCTGTGGGATGCTACGACTCAAGTGTAGCTGCAGGGCGAGATCGTGTACCAACTGACCAAGTTTTTTTTTTTCTCCTAGCGTCAGGGCTCACGGGGGGCAATTTCACAGAGCCTAACCATCACCAGTGGGAGTGAACAAGCGACAAGCGACCAAGCCATCAAGGCACCAGCAAACTACAAATTACTTGGACCATCCGCCACATCCGCCTCCACAATTCAACTCCCTCTCTTCAAAATCCCTTTTCATTTCCCCGGGATCTCGAATCGAGCTCTGAGTGTGGCCTTGGGAATTGTTTCTGCGGGGAGAGTTCGTGAGGCTCTGTTCGGTCTATCCTTGGCTCTTGACACTCTTGGGGCTTGGGCTCAAACACCAAAGCAACTCTTGGAACTCTTGTCGAGAGTCAAAACGCTGAGTCAGAGTCTGACCAAAAAGAACCTGGGGTCTTGACGGGAAAATTATCTTCCTTCGCAAAGTCGCTCACTTCTCCGGGCTTTCTATTGACCATCCACAAAAACCGCAGAGAGGACTTTTATTCTTGGGATTCTCTTCCGAGTTGGCGACGATCAACAAAGGAACCACCACCCCCTACTCATCCAATACATGACCAGCCGGATGATCATCCTGGCGGGAGCTCCAGAGCCAGCGAAGCTCGACTGGAGCGAGAAGTCGCTTCTGCCGGATACTGCCCACGTCGAGTCTCTCCCCATCAGGAAAGATGCACCGACTTCGCAGACCCCGTTATCACCCTCGTCCAAAGCTTTCGGTGCCCAATGGCGACAGATCACCACACAGAAGCTCCAGATGCGCCCCATCTTGCCCAAACTCAACATTGACGCACACCAGTTGCCGCTAGGCGGTATTATACCACACCAGGGCGGCCAGCAGAATGAGCCTAGTGAGACTGACCGCAGCGGCGCCGAATTCTTCTCCTTCTCTGAATTGCTCGGCGCATCTACCCCCAGCAGCGACATCAGTGAAGCTCAATCACAACCCTCCTTGTCCGGCGGTTCCTCGTCCATCCCGGACACCACTTCCAACAGTACTGGGGCATTCAACACTTCCGAAGGTGGTCCGCTTTCCGAGTACTACGACCATTCTTTTTCTATTTACGAAGCCATTCCCTCCTCCCATCTCTCGCACTTCTCTGACTCGATTACGCCCGGCACGCCGACCTATGAATCAAACGAGGACATGTTTGCGTCGCAACAGCCCCCTGGCACGCCTGGTGGAATCATTCGGACGCCTTCACAAAGACGATTAAGTCAGGCGCCGCGACCGAAAACGCTGAGTGAGCTGCACGACATTCCGAATGCGAGGTATTTGGAGACCATCTCCCCACAAACCATGACGGTCAACTTGATTGTGGGCATCATCTCCATTGCACCGCCGAGGACAGTCATCACGGGGGCCAAATACGGCCGACCGAGAGAAGTGGACTTGGTGGAGATGGTGGTGGGCGACGACACGAAATCCGGGTTTCCCATCTCCATGTGGTTACCGAAGGAAATGCGGGTGAACTGGAAAGACGGGGCCAACGCGAACCCCGAAGGCAGCCGAAGTATCTTGCGCCGGAGTCTGCGATTTATGAGACCTCGGGATGTGGTGCTGCTCCAGAATGTGGCGCTCAGCTCATTCCGTGCCAAAGTGCACGGACAGAGTCTGAAGGGCGACGTCACCAAGATTGATCTGTTGTTCCGCAAGAAAGTGGACGACGACGATCTCAGTGGCATCTACTCGGTGAGCAACCTGCGAACTGCCAATGTGGGCAAGGACCCGCAGGTGTTGAAGGTGAAGAAAGTGAAGGATTGGCTGATGGAGTTTGTGGGTGAGCGAGAGGGCGGCGGGTTGGCGCTGCCGGGAGGCAAGAGAGGGAGGAAGAACAAGGCTGGGTACAGCCATGCGTTCTTACCTGATGATACCCCATGATTATTGGCAGGATTCGCAAAGGGGCGAGGCAGACTACTGAGAGGGAAGATCTACGGGACGGAGATTTTTTGGCCTGGGAAGATCTGCGGCGATCTTTCGGGGGGCGAAAATCCTGAGCCTGGGGAGGATGGATGTAATAACAGCAACACAGAAGGATTTGAGATGGCCAAAGGGGCGGTTTCGGGGAGTTGAGCCTCTCGGCCTGGCCCCTTGTATTGTAGTAATAGTCACGAGACATGACTGCATTGGATGAGTTTGAGGGATCAGGGGCACGGCGCACATAATTACTCAATAGTAGTATTTTGCTGGCGAAGAATACTAGGTATGCGGGATGGATGAGATGCGCGTTTGACAGGTGTAACACCCCCTTACCGTATCACCAAGTGACGATGAAACGAATTTAGACAGTCCCAATAGTTCCCATCAACTGAGACAATTCGAGACGAAGAATACGTACCACAGCCACAGGGAAGAAAATTCCCTCTCGAGGGAGTGTGAGATGAGGATGGTCAGAGGGTCTCGAGTCGTACTCGTAAGCTGGGGAACAAACAGACAGACAGACAGACAAATCGCATCACGATGTTCGAGACAGAAGTGACAGGACATGGTGACATTGTGTGCAAGTGGTGGGTGACACGGTGTCAGAAGTCAGTTGTCACTAAATTTGGCAGAGGCAGGACACGAAATGAAAATTTTCTGGTTGGTGAGGAACAAGAGAGAGGGGCGTGGAGATGGACATAGACATGGACATGGACATGGTGTGGCTGTGCATGGAACAGAAAAAGGAAAGGAAAAGGAGACGGACATTGGACAATAGTGATGGACGTTCAACTGTGGCCTCGTGACCAGCAGCTAGCAGGGTGGGCAATAGGCATGCCCGAACAGACAATGATTTGTCTCTCCAAGTACCTCCTTTCCCTGTACCGACAACCTAACTTGTTCCCCTTCGAGGCGTAACGAGGTATCCCAATCACCGCCTCATGGCTCCCTTAGATGATCACAGGGCCACGCAGCAGCAGCTGCAGCGGTCAAGTGCCCGATCTCCGAGTAGCTTCACAGGCGAGACACTCGAGAACAAACCAATCGTACGAGCCTCCGAGTCGGCGTGTTGGCTTTATTGCGTGATGAGTGGACTGATCCCACGTCGAGCTACCTACTTGTACGTACCTACGCGTACGCAGAACAAGTCATGGCAAAAGGGGGTGGGATAAAAAGGGGGAGGTTCCATCATGGGGCCGCCTCCGACGAGACTGCGAAATTGCATCCAAGGTCACAAGATTTCCATCTCGGAGACCATCAACGACCTCCTTGGCCACCGGAGGAGGGACTGGCAGATTATTCAGGGGCACCTCGCAGTTAACGAGGAGAGGGACCTTTCCGCTAAGATTGACGATGGGTTGTGACCCTACTCGTACCTCCTACTCGTAGTAGTAGCGGCCGAGCTGGGTCCTTATCGATAAAAGCAAAAGGGACGAGAGGGAATTTTAAAAAGGCTCCCCCACGCACGCGGTGCGAAAGTGTGTTTGCGAGGAAAAAGGTGGTGAAGCAAGTCATTCAGGTACCTCGTCCTCGCCGACAGGGCCGCAGCTTAATTAACCTCTCAACTAAAACCCATCCGCGGCGTGGCTTGGGCAAACCCAGACCTGAGGCGCGCCCCCAACTGGCCCAGGGCCGCTGGCACTAGGCCTTTAGTGACCCAGCTCGCCGGGTGGGGGGTGCCACAGGTGCCACAGGTGCCACTGGAGGACGTGACCCTGCGCTTGCACCTGCGCCTGCGCCCGCGCCCGCCTTGCCCTTCCCTTTCCAAATCGAACACAGTGGCTGCTTTGGAACACAATTAATTATTGAGTGACAACTGACGACGCCGCACAAACGCCTTTCCAGACCATCCCATTCATATAACACCACCTAACCCCCCAGCTACCTCTCCTGACCTGAATCCTTCCCTTTTGCTCTTTGAACCAGTCCAGCTCTTTTTATCACACCTCCCAAGACCACCTCCTCCTCTCACAGTAGTCCTTGAACTACGTTTCATTCGTTCTTGGCCTGTCCCAATCCACCAACACTCTCGACTACGTGCTGTGCTCCTTGTCGACGACGTCTACAGTCTCCAACTACATTCACTTCCTAAGTCAAGATGAAAGGTAAGTCATGCCATGCAATACCACTCACGTCTTCTGTTCGCTGATACTGACTGCTTGTCCAATAGCCCTCATTCTGTACGACCACGCCACCCCTCCCCTTTTCTTCCACCTCCAACTAACCCCGTTCTTTCCAGCGTTGGTGGCTTCGGCACCAGACTGCGTCCTTTGACCCTCACTCTTCCCAAGCCTCTGGTCGAGTTTGCCAACCGTCCTATGATCGAGCACCAGGTCGAGGCTCTCGCTGCTGCCGGTGTCACAGACATTGTCTTGGCGGTCAACTACCGACCCGATGTCATGACGGGTGCGTTGAAGAAGTATGAGGATATGTACAATGTCAAGATCACATTCTCCGTCGAGTCTGAACCCCTCGGCACCGCTGGCCCTCTGAAACTGGCCGAGAAGATCTTGGGCAAGGACGACTCCAACTTCTTCGTGCTCAACTCGGATGTCATTTGCAACTACCCCTTTAAGGAACTGGCTGCTTTCCACGACTCACACGGCGAGGAGGGCACCATTGTCGTCACAAAGGTCGAAGAGCCCAGCAAATATGGTGTCATTGTGCACAAGCCCAACCATCCCTCTCGCATCGACCGATTCGTCGAGAAGCCTGTCGAGTTCGTGGGCAACCGCATCAACGCCGGCATCTACATCTTCAAGCCCTCCATCCTCAAGAGAATCGAGCTGCGCCCCACCTCCATCGAGCAAGAGACCTTCCCCGCCATCTGCAAAGACGGCCAACTGCACTCCTTTGACCTCGAAGGTTTCTGGATGGACGTGGGTCAGCCCAAGGATTTTCTGACCGGTACCTGCTTGTACCTGTCTTCGCTATCGAAAAACAACTCCAAGAAGCTGGCACCTCATTCCGAACCTTACGTCTACGGTGGAAATGTACTGGTGGATCCCACAGCGAAGATTGGCAAGAATTGCCGCATTGGCCCCAACGTCGTGATCGGCCCTGGCTGTGTCGTTGGTGACGGTGTCCGACTGCAGCGATGTGTGCTGTTGGAGGACAGCAAGGTCAAGGATCATGCTTGGGTCAAATCCACCATCATTGGTACGTGTTCGCAGGTACAACATAATCCAACAATCCCTGAACTAACTAATTTTGCAGGCTGGAGATCAACTGTTGGCCGATGGGCTCGTTTGGAGAATGTAACTGTTCTCGGTGACGACGTTTCCATTGGTGACGAGATCTACGTCAATGGTGGCAGTGTTCTGCCTCATAAGAGCATCAAGGCCAATGTCGAGGGTAAGTCTAGCGATGGCATGTGGACAGGACAAACGCTAATCAGACTTCAGTGCCCCAAATCATTATGTAAACGGCCTCCTGGGCTGTTCATGTCATTTGACTTGTGGCGTTTTTGACTCCTCACTCTGTTGTTTGAAATCGACATTTCTGCCCTTTTCCAACCATGTCTTTACTATCGAATGGGATTTCAGAGCATGGCGAAATTGATCAGATCAAGCCGAAAAAAAGAAGCCCGGGCGTTACGGAGCGAGCGGGCTGTTCCATTTACCACGTTTCTGTCCAGCGGACAATGGGACTTTTTGAGGGGTTTCGCAGAAAATCGGGACTTTGCGCGGGACACTTTTTTATATCACATTTAGAGGACCATGCACGACACGAGCGGAAGAAGGGTTGACGGTTAGAATTGGTTGCGAAGGGGACGAGATGCGCCCACGTTGCGGCCGCTCGGACGAAAACCTTGCCATTGCGCAGTAATGGAGTATCCATTGTAATAGTATTTGAGATCCAGCGTCCTTGATCGTCACGAAATGATAGGGATGGTAATGAAGATCTTGTCAACTCTTCTGATCACACTGGTCATTTCCCCTTTTCCAGCTCTGGCTATAATGGTAACCCTGGGTAGGGCGATTTACAGGCAAAGCAGGGCTATAGTGTCGGGTATTCCGTTCAGTCCCGAGGCACGCAATCAATGCATTCCCCCTCGTCTAGCCCCTCGAGTGGCACTGGCGAATGGTGGATGAGACGGGACGAGGGTATCGGATCATCACATCGATGTACCTATGCGTTGGGGTATTCATGTGTTGAGTACCAGCATAGATCAGGTATATATCTCCATTCACGTTAAGTTGTAGCTATGTAGCTAGAAAAGCAAAGCTCGGGAGAGTTGATATCGTCAGGCCCAATGATTTGAACACGGTGGGTAAGTAGCTAAGGAAGTAAGTACCCCAGGTAACACTATACTGCCATGGTCTCCTCCCCCTTCCCTTCCTCCCTTCTTCCTCTCACATGTTGAAACTTCGTCGGTGGGTATGATCTGTTCTCGTCGCGGCTGCTCCTCCTGTTACTACTCCTAATCCCGTTGCCGCTCCCGTCGTTGACAACCGGTGCAGTCAGGCCTGGGTCAGCACGCGGGAAGGAAGGGGTTCTATTCACCCGCCAAATCCAAAGCCAGACGAGGACCCCAGCACGAGGTTGATGTTTGTTGTTGTTGCCGCCGCCGCCACAGTTGAAGGGTGCTGCAGCCTCGCGGTGTCTGTTTCTGCACTCATCTCACGCGCAGGCTCGTCCTCCGACTCGGAGGAAGCTGAACAGGAGCTCGACTCGGGCGTCGCGACAATCCCCAGCAGCTCCGCCGCTTGCTGCCTGCGCAAACTCACCCGCGCGATCCGTCGACTGGACGCTTCAAAGTATGCGCGCGCCTCATTCTCCGCCTCCACAAAGTAGCCGTGGGCCCTGATGAGGTACTGTCTGCGTTTATGCGTCGGTGACTCCGGGTGTCCATTACCATGGGACCTGTGTTGCTGATGGTGTTGATGGTGGTGGTTGCGGTAGGGGCCCTGAGATTTCGTGCTTGGACATGACTTCCTGGACGAGCTCAGAGTCGAATGCCCTGATGAAGACGGCGTCGACGTCCCCGTGTTGTCAGTACTGCTCCCCGAGGAGGCCCGGTTGGACTCGGTAGCGCAATGGCAACGGCATGAGCAACAGGCAGAGTTCAGGCTGGGTTGTGAGTTGTTGTCCTGTGAAGTGTGGCCGGGGTCAAAGAAATTCTCACGACGGACTCGCCCTCGATTCTGTTCTTCTTGCCAAAGTGCTTCGGCTTCGGCCTCTTCGGCCTTGCGCATCCAGCACCTCCCGAGCCCTTCTCGAGCAGCAAAACTTGTCTTAGCCCGTCCGTAGCCATCCACCAACCTCTCGGCTCTGTCAAGGGCATCTTGGAAGTATCTGATAGCTTGGTCGACGTCCCCGTCCGAGAGGCTGTCGTCAGCGACGTTGGTCAAGGTCCATAGGACATTCCGTGCAGTGGGGCCGTATCTTGATTCCTGATCATAGAACAGCTGTCTCCGCATGCTGGAGCGGGTGGCTTGGTAAGTCGGTCCGCAGTAGTAAAGAGCGTCGCAGAGTCGTTCGCGCACATAGAGTTGCTTCCAATCCTGGGCACTGCCCAAAGCGGTGGTGTGCGTGGCGGTGGAAGCCAGTCTAAATTGGGCCAATGAGAGATTGAGAGAGGTGAGAATGAGTTCCATCAGGGGTACAGATCCAGAGGAAGACAAAACTGTCGGGCAGAAATACTCCCGTGCCAAAATATCAAAGAAAATAGTCAATGGATGTTCCGTCCCCCAAACAGCCGCCGCCATGTCATGTGTATACGTAAGGAACTTGGTGAGAAGAACCCCAATAGCTGAGTTCTTCATCCCGGTCTTGACTGTGCGATCGGCCAGTTCGCAAACTACACTGAGCATCAGTGCAAGGGACATTGGGCTGTGGTTCTTGAGAATCCTGTGGATCAGTCCAAACCCGTTCTCGAAGCTGGCGAAAGCCTTCGCGGCATTTGGTTCTGGTTTTCGCAGGCTCCTCTTTGCGTCCTGTGGGGAAATGTTGGCCAGAAGAGATATCCCATCCTGCATTTTAGACGCAAAGATCGCGTGGACGGTGTGTGCGTGGACTGCTGGTTCCAAGTCGGCTTTCGAGGTAGGGGACGATAGATATGACATCATATACATCATCATGCTCTGGTTGAGTTGCTCACTGGCGTAATATGCCTGTGGACGAAGCAAAGTTGGCACTGAGAAGGAGGAGCGGTTGACATTCGTGGGCGGCAAGCTTTCGTCGTCGAGGTAGCGCGCACTTGGTGTATGACCAGTAGCGTCCAAGATGCGAGGGACATTTCCGAGAGCTGTTTGTTCGACCTGTTCAATCGCAAGCCGAGGATATTCTTGGTCGTGCTCAGATGTGTCTTCATCCTCCTCAGAGGATCTAGCTTCACCAACAGGGACAGCGTCCGCATTTACGACAATGACAACATCTTCGCTCAGGTCGAATCTGTCTTTCTGCTCCTTGATCCAGCTCACAGGGTCGCTGATCTTCTTGCGCCGGAAGTATCGCATCAGTTCCGTGTGGTCGACACGCTCGCCACGAATGTGGAAGTTTGGCATGCTAGTACGGTTGCCTGTTGTAATGCTGTGTCCAGATCCCGATGCGTTCGATTGCTGCTGCTGGCGGTCAATATACTCCGCTAGAAGATGAGCGGCCATTCGCATTTCGCTAAATTTATGATTGCGACCAATTTTCCACTTGCGGATGCGAGTATGCAGCATGCGTTCGCTGTGTAAGACGAAGGTCAGCAGTCTAGATGTCTAGCCTTGTGGTTAGACAAGGAGTCGTTGTTGATGAGGCTCAAGTACAGACACAAAGAGACGAAAACCCATATTTATATCATGAGAACAAACTCAACTGGGATCGAAGTGCACAGGGCTGAGTTACAGCCAAGAGGGGAACTCGAATCTTCCAGGCATTACAAGGCATAGTTTCACGTACTTGACCTCGAACCCCATCCCATGTAGCCGGCGGATGAGTTCAGCCACAGTCACCCGCTCCTCGCAGTAAAGCTGAGTGATGATCTCTTTCATCCTCCTCCATTCTGTGCTGTTGTATTGCTTGGCGGGGAGCTTGGACTTCTGGTGGGCTCTGGCTTGTCTTCCGCCTTGCGTGACATCCGAAGACGATGAACGAGACCTAGACAGCTTCTCACTCCGTCGAGATTGTGCAACTACCGCCATACAGTCCCGAGTCAGCAGAATGCCGGTCTTGAAAATTTGATGGATTGTCTCGTGATGCTGGTCCCGCCGCAAGGATGAATTTCAAGGGAGAGAACCAGGGTGGGGTTTGATCGAGGGCACTTTGTACGACGGCACCAGTTAGCTGCGCGCCAGTCTCGGTCCTCGCAGTAGAGCTGGAGTGTCCTTTCGAAGGTGGATGTTCAGACTCAGATCGAGCGAACTCTAACTTCGTCGGCGACGTTCACATAAACGGAGGAAGACAGCCTTGCAGGCCAGGATCGGCTCGAAGGATTTATGGCGTGGGGAAAACTTGGTTGGGCACTTTGGCGCACTGCTATGGTCTCAGCCGGTCAGGCGCAGTCCAATGCCAACCATTCATGGGGGCGGAATGCAAGGTGGTTTTGTTCGACTTGCATAAGTGTGGCTGCATCTGTCCAATGGAATTATTTAGTGCTTGCCTCTGTTAAGCTGTCGTGCTTGGGGCTTATTGGCTCAGGTTGAATACCCCGTGTCGGCCGCTGCGAAGCCCTGTGGGCTGTGTACAAAACTACCAGGAGCTTCTCAAAGTTAGCACTTACCACACAACATCTGGGGCTTGGTTATACCATATTAACAGTAGCACCACCTTGCATCCCGTTGTTCGCTGTCTGGTCAGATAAGACGCGGAGGGACAGGTGATGTGGGGGAGGTCGACTAACATAGAGCGCTTAGTGAAGGCGGTAATTGGGCGGATACACATTGCCTGGAATGTGTTGCTAGATCGCGCTGTGAAATCTTCCGTTGGTGATATTCCAGCGACTTGGGAATAAACTGATGAATGCCACCACGTTTTGTCAGGCCTCGTATTCTTTTCCGGCATCCTCTTGCAAGGTTAGAGACGACAAGGAAAACCGCGATATTGGCTAGCTGAAATGACTGGGCAGCCGCATTGATTTGCAGCACATCAAATAATCTCGCCTCAAGACCTTGTACATGCCACAAGGTCATGAAAGCCCGCACACCTTCGGCTACCCGCCTTTGCCTGGCTGCACGAGGCGAGTTCGTCGGTGACGAGGGCGTGGCCGTCCATGGGAAGTCATGGAGGCCTCCATCTTGCTCAATTTCAGCCGAATGTCTCAGTCTCGATTTCGAGGTCTGAGTGCACTGGATCAGCTATCTCTTTGGGACTGTCGAATGCCTGAAACGGTCGATAGAAGTGCATCCAACGAGGAAACCACGGGCCTAACAATGGCGAGGCGTATTCTGGATTAGGAGGCACATAGCTTGTCCGCGGTCAATGAATTGCTGTCATGTGTGTTGGTCAAGGACGGTCCCGTCCATCAATTGCCTGACAATCGAGGGGCCACTCCTCCGTCTCAGCTATGAGGATTGTTGCCTATTTGCCGATGATGAATGCTGGGGGCTAGAGAAGGGAGAGTCGGAAAGAAGACTTGGTTCAGGATTACATGCTGGTCACTGCTGGTCAGTGGCACCACGCACCAGTGGTACGTACAAGTATATTGTGTGAAAATGCGGTTGCAGGCTGCATGCGTGGCAGCAGCGCGAGTGGGCAATGATCTGCCATAGTTGACGCCATCACATTCACCTGCTTGATGCCCCTTTTCAGCCTCATCAGGGCGACTCACAACTGCTTCCATCTCTCAATCCCTCAATTTTCCTTCCATTGGCGCTACGAGATACGAACACCCGCACGGAGACTGAGAAGTATCTCAGCTGCGGCTGCTTTACAGCGAACATAGCACCTAGTGCAGCCAAGCCCAAGGATGCAGCAGGCGACAGCACGAAAGAGGAGGCAGGATTGGATGAAAAGTCCCAGAGGCCAAGCAACCCCAAGAAAGTCCAAGATGTTACCATAACCACGACTGCCTTGGTTTCTTGGTGAATGTTCTCAAGAGTTGGCCGTCGCCTACATCCGACCCGACCTTCCTGAGGTTTGTCCTCCCTCAGCAGACTGAGCACCTGTCACTTGGCGCCTCTCGAGGAGCTCTCGCTGTCCCTCGACTAGCTCTCAATCAGCCCCTACCCATGTTCCGGCATGACAACTACGTATGCCATTCTGCACCGCCCCCCTTGGCTCCAACACTCTACTCTGCTCGAGGCTTGGGCCTCAGGATTCAGTTGAAAACATCAAGTTCAGCTTGAGAGAACAGCGAATCCGCCATGAATACCAGACTCGACAGGAGTAGTAGAGTAGCACAAAAGTGATCTTTTATCTGCTCTACAGTATCCAAGGGTTGCTTTTGTCGGATTGGCCTTTCTCTCATCGGCACTCTCGGTACGAACCCAGTCTTTCAACCTCGTGTCCTCTTGACAATGCTATCTCGATTGGGGCCAGTTCCTCTTGACCATGCGTCCTCCCCTGCTCTTACGGCCAGCATCTAGCCCAATCCGATGGCATCACTCGTGTTGAACGTCAAGAACAGACTCCGAGAGAGCCCCAAATGATGGGTGTGCACTTCACAGCTCTCTGGCCCCTTCTTGAGGGTGCCAACTCGAAGCAGCATCCAGGCCCTCACTCCCAGGTCAAGCTCTCTTAAGTCTCTGACGGGTGCTGAGCTCTCGTCGTTTTGGCCCTCTTCATTCCTGCTCAACGGCTAGAAGCTGCAGACACACCGACGCCTCTATTTATCTCCACAGTTTGCAACTGCAGAGCTCCTTTTTTGACATTGCCCCTTCTCTCACAATTCGAAGCCCTCCTACCTGCGTCAACCGGTGAAGATGGAATTGACTACCTGCCAAAACCTCGCTGAGCCCCTGCTTCTGCGATTGGGGTACCACAACGTGAGTTCAGATGGATCTGCTGCCCCATCTTGGGGTATCGCCGTGGAGATTGGTACACCGCCGCAGCGGTTCTCACTTCGTCCCTCAATCTTTGATGCCACACGATTGTCAAACTACGATCATTGCTCTTCGCAATATGATTATGGATGCTTGGCTGCACAGGGTGGTGTCTACAACCCAGAATTTTCAAGCACCGGAAACGTATCCCTTTCCACAGAGTGGAACGGTACGCTCGGGGACACCGATGCCGAGGACTACTCATTCTACGTTTTCTACAACGATCTCCTCAGATTCGGGTACAACGAGACTGAAGTCTGGGGATTCCCTTTTGTGACTGATGATGCACAAGAATGGGGTAAGTTACGACGTCGCTCTGCCACTCCGTCCCCAGCTCATTTCCGCTCACACAGCATACTATGGCACCCTTGGCGTTGGCATGAACTCGACTTTCCTTCATGCTGCGGTCGAAAGCGGCGCCGCGCCGTCCATGTCCTGGGGTCTCTGGGTCGGAAGCCGTTCGGTAGAGAATAAGCAAGACGGAGTCCTGGTCGTCGGGGGCTACGACAACGCCCGAACAACCGACTTCTCCACGTTTGACAGCCTTCCCGAATGCACGACTTGCATTCAGATCCAGAATCTGACCTGGGTCTCTGATTATGGAGTAATCCCTTTGATGAACGACACAACGACGGATTTTCAGGTCGCCGTGAGTCCCAGGTACAGGTACATTGAGCTCCCCCAAGATTCGTGGGAACTATTCGGCGCTGCGACAAATGGTTTCTACGACGAGTATCTAGGCGCTTACACCTACGCCGTGTCGGACCTGCCGGTTGGAAGTCTCAGCTTCACCATCAAGGATGGCTACACCACGTCGATCCCTGCGAGCGAACTATTCCAGTATCTTTTCGAATACGACAGTGTCGGAAACGAAGTCATCGCCAACGACACACTCCAATACGCCGTGGTGTACAATTACACCAACGAAAACAGCAACGACGGCAACTACATTTTCAACTGGGGACTCCCGTTCCTCACCATGAACTATCTCATCCTCGACGTCGAGCAGCAGCAATTCCGGCTGTCCGAGGCCATCCGCCAGGACTTTGGCAACGAAGGGGGCGTCATGCCCAGGAAGCTGTGTACCGGCGGCACTTCACCAATTCAGGACCCGCCGCCGTCGTCTGACGGAGTCAATATCGGTGCCATCGTGGGGGGAGTGGTCGGAGGAGTTGCTGTCTTATTGATCCTAGCTCTGGGAGCCTGCCTCTGCTACCGCTGGAAGAGAACTCGCAGCAAGAAGGTCGCTGCCCAGGCCGCCGCTTCGCAGAACCAGACATACCAGCCCGTCTCGCCGGGACCACCACAACTCTACCCACCTCCTGGCGCTGCAGGGTACCTGATTCCACCTGGAGGAAGTTATCCGCCGCAGGTGCCGACGGGTTACGCAGGGCACCCGGCCGCCGGATATGCTCCCATGACGCAGTACGAGGCGCCGTTGCCCCGCCAGGCATCGTATCCGGTGTACAGCCCTCCCAGCTCGCCGCCCGCCCCGACGGCGTCCGTGGTCTATTCCGACACGGCCAGCACCGCCGTGCAGGAACTCCCTTCCGGCGACCACAACGCAAGGGAATGGCGAGGCTCGCAGGTCAGCGGCGACACCAACGCGACGACGGTGAGTGCTTGATTTTTCTTTCCTCTGGTGTTCGGATTGGCTAACCGCGCGTTTTGGGGATCCAGAAAGGGCTGTCGGAGATTCTCACCTCGGAGACTCCGTCCAAGCAGCGCTGAGCTATTAGATGTGGTTCCAAGGAAGGAGAGTGTTCCCCAGGCCCCAAAGTCGGGTACTTGCGAACAAATTCGGAGGCTGCCCCAAGGCTGGAAAATCCAGGGGATGTCAACCCCCGAGCAACCTCAACCTCAATTCCTCAAACGTTCTTCCCCCCACCTTGACGCAGGGGACGGGTCTCAAACTAACCCGTCCATGTAGCTAGGTATCGTAGGTAGTCAACCTGGAAGGTACATAGTCGAGGTCTGTGATCGAGGTCATCGACGCTATAGGGTGGATTCATGATTTTCCAATGATCACCAAGTCTGCTTTTCCCTATGAACCTACCCAGTAACTATGTTCCTCGTTATGTGCCTGGTTATGTACTAAGTTTGTATGTTTGGCGACCCATAGCTGAGAGCGCGAGGATATGATCCGGTGACATTCCGCCAACTTTTCGGGATCCTTCAAACACACGCAAAATTTGATTCCAAATACATTGCTACATGGTAGTTTTTGTCTTCTCGTCACTCGCAAAGGACTATGCTTGATGCTAATGCTCGCTTGCTAGCTCGCTCGCTGGAGATATGCCACGCAGATCAAGAGACTTGGCGGGACAGAAGGAGAAGGAGAATCAAAAAGCAGGAGGGGACAGTAAAGATAAAAGGAGGTCGAGTGACAGTGTCATAGCCTTCCTCGGAATCCTACCCCTAGACGGTAACAATAGGGAACGTGCAAGAGAAGATGCCCCAGCCATGCCATAGCCCATCCATACCACACCTACGTGCGTAGGTACGAACAAGATCTCCTCATGCCTTGTATAACGTATCCAAATATGCCACGACGATCTTCTCCACGATGCTCTTGTCCGGGAGACTCCCCGCGACGCCGTATAATTGTGCACTGGTGCCTTTGGCCTTCTGCTTCTTGACCACCGCACCCCCTACAACTCCACTGCCGGTGACCTGTTGACTCACAATCTTCTCCTTCTCTTCCTTGACCACCGCGACGAGGTCGTCAATCATCCCGTCCACGGCCCCGGGTCGTGTCATGGGCAAGGTCACGGCAACGTGGACCCCCGGCGGATCTTGGAGCGAGTTGAGATGCCACTGCCGCTTGGACATGGCGTCGGCGATGTCGTAGATTGAGATTTGCGGGTCGAGCGACTCAAACGCCACCACGCTGACCATGGGTTTGCCCAATACCCCCAATGTTGATTTCAGGACAGGATGTTCCTTCACGGCGTTTTCGATCGTTTGTTTCGTGGTCACGATTTTGTTTGTGGCGTCAATATACCCCTTTTCGCCCACGGCCATCATACTGGCCCAGCATCCGGCGATCAGCGCTCCGGGCCGGGAGCCAGCTATAGAGGGACTCCCGTAGACGCCACCGGACCAGTCGGGACAGATGAAGTACTGATATTCCCGCAACTGTCTATTTCTGTACAGAACGCACGAGTTTCCCTTGGGAGCGAAGCCGTACTTGTGCGTATCCACGGAGATGGATGTTACCCCCGGGAGACGGAAATCGAATCCTCCTTCCTCGGCAAATGGTGAGGGAAACCCGGCTTTGGAGAGGTGCGGCATGAGGAAGGATCCCAAACAGCAGTCCACGTGCAATGGGATCTTGTATGTCACGGCAAGTTTCGAGAGGGCGGGAATGTTGTCCACGATCCCGTGCGGGTAGTTCGGGGCACTGCCCACAAGGAGGATTGTATTGGGGTTGATCAGGCGGCGAACGCGAGAGATGTCGACCATGTACTCGGGCGCCGGACAGCGGACAACATGTAGCTTGATCTTGAAATATGATGCTGCCTTGTGGAAGGCCGCGTGTGCGGTATGCGGAATGATCATTTCCGGCTCTGTGATTCCCCTCTCTGCATAGCCCTTCTGCCGGGCTGACAGGCAGGCCATCAGGATCGACTCGGTGCCTCCCGAGGTAGTCACGCCAGCACCTGTACCGGGGGCGTTGAACATGGCGAGGACCATCGCCACGATTTCAGCTTCCATCTTGCGGACGGCGGGGAACACATCCGCGTGGATGGGGTTGGACACGCTAAAGAAGCGCATGGCCTGGAACTGGATGTCCAACAGCTCTTGCTCGCCGTGGTAGACCGCACCTGAAACTTTGCCTTCCTCCCACCGCGTACGTTTCATGGACGCCAAGGTCTCCAATTCGGTGTGTAACTGATCCTTGGTCCATGGCTCCTTCGGGAGGTGCAAGTACCGGTTCACGCCGGGACCGGTCGGGGCAAGTTTATCTTCGAGATCTTTTCGTGCAGCGTCAAGTTGTTTGGAGACCTTTGACCGTACACCGGGAAGGTTGAGGAAGATTTTGTATAGGGTTTTGTGTGTGGTGTGGTAGAAAAGAGCGAGAGAACCGAGCAGGCCGTGGCCGCGTAGGAAGTAGAAGGACCGCCGGAGGATGCGGAGGACGAAGAAGATGAAGATTATATTGCGGAGTCTGCAGAGGTTGAAGATTAGTTGGCTGAATAGCAGGGCAACCAGCAAAAACCGATCTCAAGCAGATGCTAACGTTGAAGACCCAGGATGGACATACATGTTGAAATTGCCCTGGTAGTCCCGTAGGCGAGCCAAATGACCAGCTCGAGCTCGCTGGAACTTGCTCTGCAGACTGAGGGGGAGGGGAGAAGAGCCGCCCATGATGGGACCGAGGTTCTGGGTCATCGACGAGACATAGAAAAGATGGATTGCGAGTAATGTCAAAGAGAGGAGAGGGAAGGGAGCTGGGCTCTTTTTCTGTCACCAAATGTGACGACAGCCACGGCGCATTTTCATATGCTCGCTTCAACGTCCTTCTCCGCAGTTTGACGTCGGTTCGTTCCTCGTATACCGCGGGTCGGCAAATTGATGATCCGAAGCCTGCCCGCTCGTATTTCGTTCAGAAAGCCGTGCCTGGCCTCTATCAGGTATAATTATACTTCCCCAGACACGATGACATCCTATATTGACCCAGGAGCTGATGACTGGTCGGAAGTATTTATATCATTGACGTACACACTCGTCTATGGAGCCCTTTTGGTCTTCTTCTTGCTTTTGTTGTCCAAGTCGAGCCCTCAGCTGTCGTTTAGGTCGTGCTATGTGCAAATCCAGCTGGGCTGACAGATTTTCAATGCAGAGGTGTCCTCATCTCGGGGAATATCTCAGGCCGTTGCATCAGATAACCTAAACTCCGGAAAAAATGCAAGCACATCTTCGTTTGGATGCGCGCCATCTATGCCGTGACACCCGTCGTCCTAGCCTTCTTGACCACCTGCTCCGTTGCGACCTGGTCCTCAACCGCCTCCTCCAAACGCCTCTTTTCCGGTACTGCTTGATCCTCTTGCTGCTTCTCGGCCAGCAGTCTCTTCTCCTTCTCCGTCATGTTGGGCAGTTCAACTTCGCTCCCTGGGTTCTTCTTGCCCAGCTTGACATTGCGGTGATAGGCGTGGATGATCGAATCCGCGTCATCAATGGCAATGGGTCTGATATCAGCCAGTCTCTTGATGGCCGCGGTGACTTCCTTGTACTGTGCGTCCGTCATCTCGATCTTGAGTTGCTGTGCTCTTGACTTGATGGCGTTCCACCCGGTCAGGCGAGAAGCGAAATGGATGTATCGGCCAATACCGAAATCTGAGGGGTCGATGATTTCGTATGTGCTCGGGTTGGCCAGGATAGCCTTGGCGTGGATACCGGCCTTGTGAGTGAAGGCACAGAAACCGGTAATGGGGTTGTTGAAGGGGATGTTGACGGCGACAGCTTCGGCCACCAACTCCTCGATATCCTTGATCTTCTCCAGCTTGTACTTGCTCTTGACATAGTCGCGATCGGCCGTGATCATCCGTGCCATCAGCCCACCAAGCGTGGTGATGCCATTTCGCTCGCCAATGCCGAGAACTGAAGTATCGATGTGGGTGGCACCAGCTTCTAGAGCGCAGTATGCATTTGCAATAGCACAGCCGGTGTCGTTGTGGAAGTGGGTCTCAATGTCGCAGCTGACAACGCCGCGCAGTGTTCGGACGAGGTCATAAACTTGTCTGGGAGATGCGCATCCGACCGTGTCGGCGATACCCACCCGATTCACACCGACCTTGTCAACGGCTTGATAGAGCGACAACAGGTCGACTAGATCAGACCGGAACGAATCTTCGCTGGAAAACCGAATTTCGATGCCCTTGGACTTGACAAAGTTAATGACCTCGATGGCGGTGTTCTTGATGTAGGTCATATCCTTGCCGTGAGAATGCTCTCGGAGGAAGGATGATGTGCCAATCACGACGTCGACGCCGTCGACACCGGTTTCGACTGCTATTCTTGCGTCGTCCATGTGGCATCGGATGTGGGTGAGGATCTTGGACTTCAAGCCGAGCTTGCAGATGGCCTCGCAGTCCTTGCGAGACTGCTCTGAGGCGGCCGGGCTAGTGAGCTCGATATAGTCTGCACCAAACTCGTCCAGAGCCTTTGCGATTTCAATCTTCTTGGCGGTGTCAAAGTAGGCATTCGCGAATCTGTTTGATGGGTCAGCGACTTTCTGTTTCCCAGAGCGAGGGTTTTATCCAACATACTGCTCGCCCTCTCTTAACGTGCTCTCGATGATCTTAAATCTGCCGACGTTGCTGAGGAAGTCGCCCACAGGCATGTAAGGATTTCTGGCATTTCGCGGAGTCGGGTTGGTGTTGATTCCAGTGTAACCCGGGTGACCTACACCTTGTCAGTAGGGTATCGCGACTGAAGCAGTGGATGACCATACTGGCATTCCCATTCACTCCATTTGAGTGGCCATTGGCACCGTTGGTCTGTCCGTTGACGCCGTTTGAGTCAACCTCGTCGGCTGAAGGACACATTTTGAGCGGTGAACAAGGAGAGAGAGTGTGAGAGTTGATGGAGGAGGTCCGAGGAACAAGTCTGAGGTAGGGGATCAGAGTACAGAGCAGAGTCAGAGAGAGCAAGGTGAGCGGTGAGGAGGGCAGTAGATGTAGGTCTGGAGAAGGAGAATAATGAGTCAAAATGGCGAGTCGGTGATTTGATGGAGACGATGGCAGGGAAGATGCTGCCGCGAGCGAGAAATCTACCCAGCAAGAGGGAAAAAAAGTGGGAGTGAATAGTGGATGCGGATTTGGAGGGGGGAAAAGTCTGAAGCTGCAGCAGTTGCGGGGGGCCAGCAGTGAATTTTTTGGCTGGCCCATTAATGGCTGCGTCTCCGGTCTCGGTCCTCACTGGGCAAAATTTTCTCCCTCCTAAAAGTGGCTCGTCCACGCTTCTCTGAAGTCATTATACCTTTTGATGTCCTCCTTCTCGCGTCTCTAGCCATATTGACAGATCACAGCCCCCTTATTGACTGCGGAAGCATTGATCCTCTCTGTTTATCCCAATTGCGAAGGGCTGTTCTTCTGTGCGCATGCTCGACGTCATCGCTATCACGTGATACGCGTCAATCAACCTCGGGCCTTTTGACGAGGCTGAGATTTCGTGTGCAGCCTTGTTCCGCGGAGCCCAAGAGCCCTCGGCTTCCTCGAACACAGGTCGAGAATGACATTCGTCAGGATCGTCCAACCTTTCTCGAAATCATGTTGCTTGCCATACTCCATCGACAGGAAGACAGCAGACTCAGCTGCATCGGACCTAGGTAGAGAAGAACACAGCGTATCGACTAAAAGCTGTTGATTGTGACGTACTTGTAGAACGAAAGGCAAAAGGTCATGGTCTTGACCTGCTCCGTGTGCTAGCGATGCCACTAATATTTCAACTTGGTTGTGCATCACGAGGCTGAGAAAGTGTGTACATGACGATCTCTCCAACACGTAGAAATTGGTCGCCTGAATCCCTGGGGGGCCTTATTGAGCTCAATGCCAGTACATAACTCCGCACAGAGCTACTTTCAAACCCAGTCCATCGCTCCAGCTGTAGGTCCGCAGAGAGAGATGGCGAAACCCACGCTCTTGTTCGTGCCTGGTGCATGGCATTCGCCCCCTCATTACGAGGCACTCATGAAGGTCCTCGAGAAGCATGGATACCAGTGTGAAGCTGTAGCCTTGCCTTCAGTCGATCCCAAGGATCCTCCAAACACCGACGCCGACACGGATGCCTCTGCCATATCCGCCGCAATCAGGAACATCTTGTCCTCAGGCAACGATGTCGTCCTCATCACCCATTCATACAGCGGCATCCCAGGTCAAAGCGCGGCATACTCGTTCGTTGGCCAGAACCAAAACGGGCCCAGGCTCACCTCGATCGCCATGATGTGTTCATTCCTGTATCCGCCGCAAACAGCTCTTCTCGCGCCCCTGGGAGGCAAACCCCATCCGATCCACAACGTCTCTGCTGATGGAAATCTGGTGAATGTCGGAGCACCGGGTCCCGAGGTCATCTTCTACAACGATGTACCGGCTGAGGAGGCGGCTCGCTGCAAAGTCATGATCAAGACTCACTCCTGGCGCTGTAAGCTGCTGCCGCCGAGTGCTGAAGGTGCTGGATGGTGGGAGATCCCCACCAGCTATTTGATCTGTGAGAAAGACAACGCCATCCCAGCAGATTTGCAGAGGAAGATGGTCGCGGACGCAAATGAAGCGTTGGCCCAGAGAGGTTCTGAGCTGACAATTCGGGAGGAGACGGTAGAGAGCGGGCACAGCCCATTCTTGAGTATGACCGAGAGGACGGCAGAGTTCATCCGGCGCAGTGCTGGAGAACAGGTGCCTATGATGTGATATGTGCAGGGAGAGCCCCCTGCCATTGGTCTTCCCAATAAGAACAGCCGGGCTTTGTCTATAGAAGTCATCTAAATGTTCGTCTGTGGCCGGCAGAGTCAATGGGTGATTTCTCCATTCTGCTCCCGGACCATGGCATCAAATCTTGCTTTCAACAGCGCATACAGCATGTCCGTCAGAGGCATGTCGACTCCCCATTGCCGCCCCAGGCGAGCAGTATTGCCCACGATTGCTTCAACCTCGAACAGTCGGCCTTGCTTGACATCCTGCACCATACTCGTCTCCCTCCCCTGCCTCGTCTCTGCCCGTCGTTTGCCGATTGCCAGCTTCTGCTCCGCGACTTTCTCGTCCACATTGGGGACTCCCATCTTCTTGGCCAGCCCGATGATTTCTTTCATGATCGACCACACCAGCTCGTAAGAATACGGAGAAGATGAATTGCAGAAATCCGCATCTGTGGACATTGAGAGAGCACAGGTGGGACTCCAAGCACAATTCAGCATGATCTTGCCCCAGCGGGCGATTTGAATATCATCGTGGACTTCGGCCTGCCCTCCGCCGGCGATCATCAATTCTGCCAACCTGGTCGCGGCAGCCTTGTGGGATGCGGGGGCGGTCGAGGGGAAGGTGCCAATCTCGAGGAGATTCAGCATCTCGGGATACTCGATCACGCCCTGGGCCGTCTGCGTGGCCGGGAGGTAGACGGCGCAGCTCAGGAGGGGGTTGTCCGGATATGCCTGGGCCACCTCGTCCTCGATGGCGATTCCATTCTGAGCGAGCACAATGGCTGTCCGAGGTCGACCACGGACAGCAGGTCGAATCAGGTCGCTCAACGAGGGCGTCGAACCGGGGAATGATTTGGTGGCAATGAAGACAAAATCATAGGTGATGTCCTCTGGACACTCCGCGGCGCTTCTCACAACCTGGTCTGGGCGGAACTGCACATTGCCGAATCGCTTGCTGAGCAGCGTAAAGCCATTCTGCCTTACCGCTTCATAGTTGGACCGGCACACGGCTGTGACCTGACAGCCAGCCCGCTGGAGCTGATACAGATAGACAGCACCGATGCTTCCAGCCCCGAAGAGGAGGATTCGAGGTGCGTGGTCCATGGTCTTGATGGAGATGTTCCTGTGAGGATACCGGAGCCACACAAAATCGAGGGCGACGATAAACACCGGCCGATACAGGCCGGAGATTGGCCGGTAGGGCCTAAGATAAAGTCCTTACCTAGGTATATACCTACATATCTCCTGCACAAACCCAGAATCGCAAGTTTGGCGGATATGACGGCCGAACGGGGTGCCTGACCGGGGCCCTTCGAGGGACTGTGGACCAGTGAACTAAAGGTTTATATCAAGCAACAGCCTCAGCATAAGGCTGAAGGTGTCCCATTCTGAGTGGCTTGACCCGAGAAACGCGAGCACCAGACTTGAACCGGAATCTACATTCTCCGCCATTCTTGGTAACCCGCTACAAACATTAAATGACCAGATCGAGACAAAGGTTAGACATGATATGGAAGACTAATCGTAAATCTGTGGTCGAGGCACAGATTCACAGGGTGCTCGGCTCTAGTAAAGGCCCGAATTGCGATCTGCCCCACCAACTAACCAACGCTGGGGCTGAGGGATGCTCTGGAAGACACATGCTAATCGTGATAGACGTGCAAAAGAGTGCTCCGTACGCCGTACCACAGCTGTGGTAACGGGGGGAGACGCCAGATCGGATGGTGGCAAGCCCGTGCTCGCTTCACTTTTGTCCTAAACCGGCATCTTTGAAGCAGTTTACCAAGCAGAGCTCCACCGGGGGCTGCTCCAAGGGCTGGGCCTCTCCCAACGAAGGGTCGATCTGCCGAAATACGCATGGCAAAAAGCCATGCAAAACTTCGTCGGTGCAAAAAGAAAGGAGGCGCTAGAGCAATGAGCCCACCAATGGTGCTGCCCAGCCTTGCACCCTCCCTATAACCCAGCGGAGCCAACAGCAAAAATCATGACGTGCTAGGCCATTCAAGCTTTTTGTCCGTTGTTTAGGGGACCGGGAAAGGACATCGACGCGCAATGGCTGTGCCCAAGGTGCCGTATACCCGAGATCGCGGAGCACCCACACCGGCATCCACATTACCAATCAGTGGGCGAGGTTGCATGGCATGATCTGTGAAAAACATGCCGGCTAAGGGGCTAGGGTTCATATCTCTTGGTATATCTTTCGTCATGGGCATGCTCTTCGCCATATATACTCCCTTTGACGTCCCCTTTAAAGGCCGATACAACCACCACCGCCACCACAACACCACCAGTCATGGAGATGATAGAGAGGATCCTGTCCAAACCCGTCGCCAAACCCTACCGTTCTCGAAAGATCGACCCCACCATACAGCCATATCTGAACAGGTTCGGCCAGGTAGACTTTGCCCCCGGCGATATCGAAAACCCCAAAGAATGGTCGACCGTCCGCCGATGGTACTGCACGCTCGTGGGCGTCGTGCTGGTGTGCAATGCCACATTTGCTTCGTCCAGCCCCTCGGGGTCTCTGCGCGGCATTGCTAGAGAGTTCCACGTGTCCGAGGTCGCAGCCGGGCTCGTCATCACCCTCTTTCTGCTTGGATACGTGGCGGGGCCCCTGATATTTGCTCCCTTGTCCGAGTTCTACGGACGGAGATACGTCTTCTACGTGACGTTCACCCTCTATGTGGTGTTCAACTTCCTCTGCGCCTTTGCGCCCAACTTTGCCTCCTTACTCATTGGACGTTTGTTGACCGGCACATTCGCGAGCGCCCCTTTGACCAACGCTCCTGGAGTGCTTGCCGATGTCTGGGGTCCGGTCGAACGTGGGAACGCAATGGCGATATTCAGCATGATGACCTTCATCGGCCCTGCCATCGGGCCTGTGATTTCCGGGTTCCTCGAGCTCAAGGAAGATTGGAGATGGTCGTTCTACGTGCTGCTATGGCTGGGAGGGGCGACGGAATTGCTGATGTTCACCATCCCCGAAACATACCCCCCGCTCGTCCTGATCAACAAGGCCCGTCGACTGAGGGCCACCGGAATTCCCGAATACCAAGAGCTGCAAGCCCCCGCTGAAGCGGAGGGGCGACGACTGGCCGATATGTTCAAGGTCGCATTGGTCCGACCCTGGCAGATCCTCTTCGACACGATCTCGATGCTGATCGCCGTCTACATCTCGGTGGTCTATCTGCTCCTCTACATGCTCTTCACAATCTATCCCATTGTGTTCCAGGAGAAGCGAGGATGGAACTCTGGCGTGGGCGAGCTACCTCTGGTCGGAACGGTTATCGGAGCATGCATCGGCGGAAGCATCATTTTCTACGTCTCGTCGCGGGACAAGAAACGAATGCTGGCTGGGGTACCGCGCAAACCCGAGGACCGATTGCCAGTCGCGATGATAGGCGGCATCATGTTTGCCGTGACGATGTTTTGGTTTGCCTGGACCGCCAACTTCAACAGCATCCACTGGATCGTCCCCACCATCGCCGGCACGTTCTTGTCGACTTCCATCCTCCTCATCTTCGTCGCGTACCTCAACTACCTCACCGACACTTACCTGATGTACACGGCCAGCGCAATGGCCGCCAACACCATCTGTCGCTCGGCTTGTGGAGCCGCTGCACCCCTTTTCACGAATCAAATGTTCACCGCGCTAGGAGTTGGCGGCGGCGGCTCGCTGATCGCGGGCGTTGCCTGCCTCCTCGCACCGATTCCTTTCATCTTCTACAAGTACGGCGCGCGAATCCGACAACGGAGTCGCTTCGCTCCCACCGACCCCCCTCAACCCCGAGACGAGGAAAGTCAGGACGAAAAGCCTAAAGAGCCCATTGACGTGGAAACCCCGTCAAGTTCGAGCTCCGCCTCATCGATCGCCAGTCTCCGTTCGGGGACATCTTCACCACTCGGTGCCGAGTCCTCGGCGGCTGTCATCGAGGAAAAGACGGGTGACTCAGAAGCAGAACCTCGCCACGAGCCCGGAGAGGGAGCCGGCGACAAGAAGGAGTTTGCTTGAGCCGGATTTCTCTTGTTGCGACTCTGATGGACAAGCTGGAGTTTGTTGGCCTGGCCTGATTCGTGGGATACTGGTATTCGGATAGAACTCGCCTCCCTTAAGTCCGCAAACGAGGCGCTGGGCCATGTGGGATTTTGATTTTCACCGACTCCACCTCGAAATTGAATTCGGATCATTCCGACAACTCCGTCAGGAAAATGCCTACGGGGGTTGTGATTTGTGGCGCAACGCTGGGACAGTGGTGACTGTGACTCATAGAGGATGGATGGATGGATGGATGGATTTAAGGATTGGTTTTATGAATCACCGCACTTTGTACACAACTATTGGGGCAGGTTTTATCCAGCGTTTCGAATTCTCTTTTTTGGGGGGGTTCTTGCGCTACGACGCTACATGCATGGCGATGGCGCAATCAGAAGCAGTTTTTCGTGTCTTTGAGCGAATGTGGCTACACTGACGATGATGATGGAATGGACTTTTTCGGGCAAAAAAAAGTATCCTTGTCAGGAGGGAACCAACCCTCTTCCCATCCAGGTCCGATTATCCCGTGTATAGGTAAATTGGGCACATATATTTTGCCATGTATCTAGGAAGGGAATAATGCAATTGACTTGACCCGGGCATGGCCACGCGCGCGACACCCCTTGTCAGATTAGGAGATTATGCAAGCACGAGTAGGGACAGAGTACCCTCCCTGCTTACACAGGGGGTTTAGCGGAGTACACTACTCGGTCCGGAGCACGGAGTGTAGATAATAATGATGGTTCAACTTACTCATTCCCCCTCGCGGCTCGCGACTATAGATCGCCCGATATGTCCGGACCCCTTGTTGCGGAGCAGCCAAGCGCAGATGGACAAGGAGTTGCGACGTTGTCCACGAACGTCGCTTGAGTAAGCAAGCCACCAGCCATTGCCAGAATCCGAGGATGCGCGTTGAATACGAGGAGTTTAGTAATTGTAGTCCTTTACCATCACCGCTGTAGTACTTGCCAATACGAGGTATTATATGGCTACCAATCCACGCTCATCCACCTGACTGACTGCCTGACTGGCTTGCCAACATTCACCTAAAATCAAGAGACACATCATAATCGTGTACCATTCCTTCGTGGCGTGCAATACCCCATATACCCATGTCATCTCGAGGTACTCACGTAGGTAGTCTATGTTCCATGTCACGATACAGGACAGGGGTGATAGGGTAGGGGTAAGAGCAAGTGTAGTGAGTAACAGGAGGAGGAAGTCGGGCCGGATTTTGAACTGTAGGTTCGCGTTTTCGAAACCAGGACACTTGTTCTCGTTGACGCGATGCTGCTTGCTCGCCTTATTGCTACACGATAATAGACTGGATGACATAGTTCCGGGATACTGTATGTATTTCTTCCAGCAGGTAGTAGTAGAAGTGTTTACGAGGTAATGCAGATTTCTTGCAGAACAGCGACTTCGCGAGGAGTCCCTTTACCTCCCTAGTGCTTGCATGTCTGTATCTCTCGTCTCTCGTGTCTTTGGCAATCGTTTCTAGGCTGGCCCTCTGGTCGTCTCTTCAAGCGCGTAATCATATATCCACCACGCCCATTCCCTTGCCCAGCTCCCTCACGCTGCGTACGCCACGTTCTCTCCAGTATCTCTCCTAACCACGTGGACGCGCGTTGTTCCAAGGGAGACGAGGCCGCTTTAGGGCGTGAGGACCCCGGCGCCGTGGATAGCCCGAACGACCGAAACAGGCTGGACGCCTGGGCTTGGATGTATCCCGCCGGACGCGTTAGTTCAGGCGAAGTGCTCGTCCATCACGGAGATCGAGAAGCGCGAGAGAGCGAGCGAGTATGCCCTCTTGACCGGTGCTGTGACTCGCGAGTCGGCGGTCGTTCCTGAGTCTCCCTGTGTCGGTACCTGCGTTTTGTGGTAGTGGGGGCAAGCTCCGCCGGAAACGGAGTCCAGCTGCAAAGATCCAGAGTGCATGTGCACGTTACCCGGGAATTGTGTACATGGATCTCCGTGGACGAACTGCCCTCGTCTCGCAACGGTAGCTGTGGCTTGGTCGAGCCAATATGTCGAGGTGAACGCCCCAAAATTAGGGGCGTCTGCTCTCAGTTAGGATCTCCTAGTGGACGGCCGGGCCGTGCGTGCCAACAGTAGACGAGATCTGTGAACGAGCTATTCGTTTCGTGAAGCTTGTGGGCTTCGGCAGACTTGATAGTACTGTACTTGCGCCCGCCGGGATCGATATTCTTCGGCTCGGACGATCTGATTGATTCCGCCTGAATAAGCGATCATGTCTGGCCCAATCTGATCGCTGCAAGAAGTTGTCGAGGTCTATCCAGGTCACCTTAATTCTTGAGAATGTGCCACGTTCTTAGGATATGGTTCCCCACTCGAGGTAAATTGTATGTCGTGATAGGGCAGATGACACAAGCCACCCGCTGGTCGTAAAGTGCACCGCGACGATCCTAGTATTTATGCTTGATCTCGTGGTGCGGCTGGGAGAAAAGTGTATCTTCACTTCAGCCCACTTGAGTCTGAGGTGTGTGAGGAGGGCTTTTGAATCGCTCGAATATACTGTTGCAGGTTCGTCTTAAGCGTATCTGGGCTAAGCATACACAGAATGGATATGATGCGTAACAGCGCACCGGACATCATCATGGCGCTACATCAGTACGCCTCCGACAAGGCTGCAGCGACGCGAGTGCACGACGATCAACGTTAAGCTATCACAATGCAACTTGGTAGATCATGGCTGTCATTCTGGGCTCGGCATGCTGAGGCATCAAAAGGAGAAGGCGCCGACAGACGAGCTAAACAACCTACGAGTCTTCGTGCTTCGGCTGACGTCTTTGCTAACAAGTGGCAGGCGAGATATCTACCCTGAACGGCCTGGAATGTCCCGCAGACCACACACCGGATCAGCAATGTATCCCGAGGCCTGGCAATGTTGCACAACCCTCTGAGCCCACAGATAGACCTAGTGTGTGTAAACAAAGAAGGGGTTCTCTCGGTCCGTCTTATCGGCGTACGCCAATTGCTGCCGCAAAGTCTCCTTCTCATCCTCGGTCATGAGGGCCAGCTTCTCGCGATTCTTCTTGTTGAGCCGGTCATTTCGAAATCTGAGGGCCAGGCAAACCAGGACTTGGAATGACAAGGTGCTGGATGGTTGTTAGCATGTGCGACCCATACAAATAGGGATATAGCATCGGAAAACCCAGCACTACTTGTACGCGTTGAGGGCACACTTACGCCATGATGGCCGCTTTTCCACTGATATATCCAGGGGCCTCAGAAGCACGGAATGATTCAGTACCGGCAATGTTTCCAGCACAGTACAAGACAAGTGTCAAAGCATTGACTGTGACTTTCTTTGTATGGCCTCCAAGATTCGACGCATTCCAGACTAGAAGTAGCATGAAAGCCTGAAGTGGTTCTTAGCTACATGGCAAAACGAGAAGAGTACAGAAGGCTTACCGCCGTGAAGGAGTTGCACAAATAAAGTGCAAATAGTAATGCCCCTTTGCTCTTCGGGACACCGCCAGGGTCGAGCCCAATCATCATGGCAAATGCTGCAATAGTTGGCACAATACTGATAATCATAACGAGGCTTCGATCGTTCCAGCGGTCGCTAAGATATCCAGTGAGAATGGTTGAGACAGCCCCGACCACGCCGCCAGGAATATTCAGGATTAGCTATTTGTGGTCAGTGGCAATTCTTTTGTTTTAGAGATCCTGTCAAACTCGACGATCCAGAGTCACTCACCGCTTGCTGCGCGCTGTAGCCAAACGTTGTCAACAAGATGCTGGAGAAGTTCGGGATCGCAGTCGGAACACTCAGCATCAGAACGCTTACGGCGACAAGCCAAACACCAGGGTCTTTGAAGACCAAGCGTAACTGAGACGTTTTGATCTTGGCATTCTGTGTTCCCGACTGGTTGTCCTTCACTCGTAAGAGTGTCGCGACCTTCTCTGCATCGGAAAATCGTCGAGCTTTGACTGGAGAATCCGGCAGATAGAAGAAGACAACGACGCCGACTACGACGGTCACAAGACCGATCGTCAGAAGGAAGATGCGCCAGCTAGCAAAGCTCTTGTTCTTGGAGTGAGACACGCCCCACGAGACTAAGCCAGCGAAGATGGATGTCAAGCTGTTATTATCTGTTAGCAGAGTGAGCGGTAGCTAAGGAGAGGGCAATTCGTACCTGTTACAAACGTAGACATAGGAGATCCTTCGTCCTTGCTCCGATTTCTTATACCACATGGCAACCACAAGCACGAGAGTTGGCGTCACACAAGATTCGAAAACCCCCAAGAGAGCACGGCAGATCATTAGACCAGCGTAGTTTTGGCAAGCCGCATGAGCTGCCAGCACTGCACCCCAGAGTATGATATTGGCACCGAGGTATTTTCCAAGCCTTGAAACCCGCTGCGAGATATATTGGGTCGGAAATTCGGCGGCAAGGTAGCCGACGTACTGTCATTGTCTTAGTGCTACAGAATTGACTGGAAAATAAAGACTTCAACCGAGCTGGGAAAGTCACAGACGACCAATCCACTTAGAGTGATGGGTTCGACTTACGAAAATCATGGCAACATCAGAATATTGTTGACCCTTGAGATGAGTATCTTCCCGTAGTCCCATGACGGCAGCATAGCCGATGGTCGTCTTGTCCAAGAATTGGAGGAAGTATGTAGCGATCATGCAAGGAAGGATGGCCCAGTCAATCTTTCGCAACAGCTTCTTCCGTTTCTGTTCATCGGCCAGAATATTCAAGGCTTCCTGGGTGACACCGTCGGCGTTCGGATGGTCCCGAAGAAATTCAAAGGCCTCATCAGCATCCTTGGGATCGATGTTCAGAGTGGCTAATGCATCCTCGAGGTGAACAACTGTCTCTTGGAGTTGCTTCTCCGAGTCCGTCGGAGCACTGACGACCTCTGCAGCCATGCTGATCGAGGGCTTGTTCTGGTCGAGCAGGAACAATGCTGCTTTACTTTGGGGATGGCCGCAGCGTATGGGTCTGGTCCTTGCACACCATGATGCTGTCGTGGAGGGAATTCCTCATATATCTGTGACGACGAAGTGATGAACGGCAGTTGGGACCGATCAACTGCCGTGATCGACGAGGCGGTATTCCACCGTGCACATGTACACCAGCATGATTAGCGTCGCTCCAGTATCCAAAGAGATGACATTCAATTCGCGACGACCATGTTCGGTGAGACGACCATACTTGGCATACTGTAGTTGCGGGGATTTTGGGGTCAAGTCGTGGGGAATATGGACAGTTGGGGGTCCGATGGGGCTCGACAGCTGTCTTAGCTGGAGATCAAACAGGGCCGAAGGGTCCTCGCAAATGAATTAGCTGTGTGAAGGATTGAGATAGCTTGGGTTAAGGCAAGCATGCCGCCAATCGCAATAGCGATATCTGTGTCAACTCCGGCAGCAGTTCCAGTCGTCGGCAGCTCGAATGGGGCCATCCTAACCGGACAGCGCATGCGGTATTCTTCCTCAACAGGTAGCCTCCGCAACTCGTCAGATACATAGACTTGTCTTCGAGGCACGCCGGCCTCCAATGTGGCATTTCGGCAGTTCTAAACGACCCGAATTTGTGGTGCTTCGCGAACGACGAATGAGGATGTGGTCTGGGACTCAGGGCAGGTCGTATTCAAGAACCGGTGGCCCCTCCGCGAGCCTTCGTCCAGGGTCTCCTTTGGTCATCGAAGTTGCTTATGTTAGGCGAACGCACCATGAGCGTGCATACCACTTCCTGTATGCGAAGTGTATGCGAAGTATCTTGCTCATTCTGAGACAATTGAGTTGGAGGAAGAGCCTCGAAACGCCAAGAGGTGGGATCAAGAACCTGCGCTTTAGTTCAAATGCGCTTCTCTATGAGACTGACTAAAATACGGTGGAGCTTCTCTGCCCGGAACCGCAATTTCTTGGAGACTCATTTCAACCCAGTTTGGCCCGGACTGTTCAACCTTCGCTCAGCTTAGCATCCTCATCCTTTGGCTGCCCACGGTCTAAAACCTGCTAAAGGTATTGGGAATTACATAAGAGAGGGGAGCTTTATACTCAAGTTTAATCGTCATAGTATTACGTCGCCAGCGTGGTATATCTAACATCTCATGACCGTCTGGGTATTCTAATTCTATCTATACATTGGGACAAGTGTTCAAGTAAGATCGGCCAGACCGTCTAGCTCGAAATATACCTGCAGTAGAGTCTTCTCGCATTTGAAGTCTTCAGCCGCATAGTCACAGGTCTCAGGAAGCAGATAGCCAAGTAACAGTTGCGACAGGGCATCGACCGTGGAAATATTCAAATGCTTGATTGCATTCACCATTTCCACAATTGGCCAAGTTCTTGGATGAAGTTGCAGCCGCGGAGCTTCTTGCTCCGTCATGAGAACCTGCCAGACCTTTTCAGGGGAGCCTTCTTTGTCGATACGATGATCAACAAATCGCTTCTGGACTGCGACCAACGGATCTCTGCGGGGAGAGGCTCCTCCGTGCGTGGATTCCGTCACTTCCACAAAGACATCGAAGATGAAAAGTAAGGTGGATAGCAATGAAGTCGACTTGCGGAGTCTATTCATTGGCGTCGTTTGTCCATGAAGAGCATGCCGCATCACATTCAGTCGCAGCAACACTGTTCTCAAGGGCGAAAATGATACGTCGTGGAGGATGTTTGGTTGGAAACGACGTAACGACACATGCTTTTGGACTTTTGCCAACGTCTCAAACAGCCTTGAAGGGCGGTAAGAAGGGTCGACCGCTGTTCGCAAGGAACAGTTACTGCCAACATCGGGCGCCATCATCCTGGTGTCGATAGGAGAATATCCTGGGAGTGTACATACACACCTGAGCAGTCAGCGAAATTCCCAGAAGTTGTTGGATTCAACCCACCAAGCAAGGAGCCATAGCGTCTCTGGTGAAAGATTACGCAATCCGCCACGACACTCGATGGATCGTTGAAGCCCATGCAAATGTGTCTGGATATTATCTGTCAATGACTTAGGAATTATTTTCCCTTGGGCCGAGGCGGTGTCTGTTCCACTTCTAGCAGATCCTATCGACAACGTAACTTCGTATGCCCATAGATTGATCACTGCCAGGATGGTGTCGTCAGAAACGGCACTAGGGCTTTGTAGGTGCTCTTTCAGCGAGCTGATGCCTTCGAGGACCAAGCTGAGAGTTTCCGAGCTCGGTGTCTGATGTCCTACTTCGATGTCATGGTGAAGACTGGAAATTGCGAGAAGTATTCGTGCCGGTACCGCGCGAGGTATGACGTGATTCACCAAGGCGGTCGCTGGGGAGTTGGAGTTACTCGACTGCTCCGTCTCGTATAGGCGACATATCACAGAACGGTGCACTGCTGACCTCAGTCACCGTTGATGGTGAGATGCAGACCCAGATAAGACTTACAGTAGTCGACCAGCTCTTGGGACTCATAAGAAGAATTAATCGAGCTCTCTGGTATCTCAACTGGGTCCGGAAGAGAGGATGGCGAAGTGAAACATGGCGAGGAGTGCGACTCGCCCATTGTGCATCCAGCGGCCCATTGGAAATGTGGAGGGGACGAAGGTCTTGAACTGGAGTCGCTCGGAGTATCAGACGATACTCCGCCATCGACCGCAGGCGACGCATCTGTTCGAGCCGGCACTGGTTCTATATCTTCTCGGCGCAGCCAGGGAAGCACACGGCTCCGGGATCGGGCAGCTAATTGCTTCTGGCGACGGATAGAATCGCGCTTGCGCAGAACTGATCAAAGGCGCGATATCTCAGTGAAGGGGAATATCAGGCGTCAGGTGCGGACTCTTACATTCTTTCATGACATGACGACTTTTGCCAGTCCCCCGCTGACAATCGCCAGAAACGAAGAGATATTTGGGGACATATTGCGTGGCGGTAGTCTGGGTGAGAATGATACTCATCTTTGGCCTGAGGCATCTATCTCTCTCGAGGGAAAAGGCAAGGAGATTTCCAGCAGTGCAGAAGATTGCTGCGGACTCTGGGAGGCGCCCAGGGCGCAGTTAACCTTCTTGTAATCATGGGCATGGAGCACAAAACGAGCGAAACGAGGTCGTGTCTCCGGAGAGGTTCAGAAATCTCGATGGCCCAGTCACCGTCATCTTGCCGGCCCCTGCTCATTCGTCCTTGTAGGGCGAGATGGGTTGCATGACCCGGAATTTCACTGGGGCCCGATGACTTTGGAAGTAACCAGCCAAAGCCAGCATTCTCGTGTCACCTGAGGCGTTGATTGGCTGACAACCGTTATCCCAAAAGAGCTCGGAGTCTCGACCAATCATGTACTGTAATCACTGCCTACCCTTTAGGGACTAGTTGATTTAGATGGGGCTACAGCCTGCAAGAGGCCTTTGGTGCTTACCAATAGTACGAATAAATGTGGGCTTGCACCAATCATACTGGGGATTACGAAACGCACTAACATCGGTTCGAGGCAACGGCAGTTTTGGGCAGTCACCCTGAGAAAGTCAAAAGGGGGAACAGGTTGCGCAAGTTTGTCCTGATTCGCTTGTCCACCCGTCGAAATTGACACACTTTGGTTGGTGACGGGCGCAAACCAGATTCGGCATAGCGGTGGCGAGCGGACTTCAACTCTTCTGCTCAACCATTGGAGTCGACCGCTGGTTCCAAGACGAGCGGGCGCTCTGCTTCTCTGTCGAGCTGGCCAGACTTGCAGATGTTGGCGAGGAATGGAACCCTCCCTGCGGAGTCTCCCTCTACCAACTCAATGATTCATCTTTGCATTAACTCTTCAAGCTGCGCCCGCGTTTACCTCTTTGAGGATGGATAAACGCAATGAGCCGAATCATGCTGCTCATGGCGCCCTACATAACCCTGGAACAGGAGACCGATCATCAGACCGAGACGATGAAAGCAGGGGAGCCGAGTCGTCGAATAAGTATCGAAGAATCGATCGGGAGGGAGCCAGAGCTTCGACGGCTTCCGAGCAAAGCGGCCGTTTCTTGTTTGTCGACTCGTCCTCCAGTGGGCAAAGACCGCGTTCTGACCAGCGAGCAATAAATGCACACATTCAGCAGACTGCGCACAGAAATCGAAGGCAAGCCGCACAAAAGCAGAAAACCACCGGAGCTGCGAATATAGGACGGTATCGACGTGAGCCACAGTTGCAGCCGCGTCCTATCGAGCCTCAACCGACAACCCCGGTCACGTTTGAGCGACGGAGCCCCTCCCAGCAACAGCAATCGACCAGTCGTGAAAGCTCTGCGGCACCACGATCATCGCTGAATCCATCAGAGGAAACTGTTACTCACGAACCATCATCCCCTAGACCCTCGGAGACTCTTCCAGAATTCGACCGTGGGCATGTGGACCGATTGCGGCACTATAGCACCGTTCGTGGAGCTGAGGTTCGCGAGGCCATCAACGCTCAGCAACATTCACAAAATGCATTTACAGAAATCGCTCGGCGGGAGCACCCCCAAGACGAGACGACCTCGGTGAGGTCCATGCTCACACAGATTTTGCAACGACTGGATGCTGGCCATGCGGGCCGCTTGATTCAGCCGTCTCCTAATTCATCACTGAATAACACTCTCCTTGACCCTTTTAATATCAGCTCTGTACATATTACCCCGAGCATGAATGCTGTTTTACGCCATTGTAAGTTGCCTATTTTCCCTGTACTCTGTTGGCTGATCTGTTCGTCCGAGCTGGGCTTGGGAGAGAGACGCGTGGGTTGTTCAGATGGACTACACTTCTGTTTACTATAGGAGATTTCCGAACTGGCGTCCCAGCAGCTCCTACTATACTCTGCGTTTTTCGCAGAAATTGAGGAGCTTTTGACACGAATTCTTTTTTCATGTTCTCTTTCCCAGAATTAAAACTGAAAGGAGTCGAGCCTTGATTTCATCTTACCTCAGACCCCACAGCCATAAGTCACAAGATTGGCTGAAGTTTGGGCAGACATTGACTTCTTTTTCGAATAGTTTCCGATGTTATGATACCCACCGTGTTTCCTACGCGACATCAAGCCGAGATTCAGACTCGATGGGCTTTTCAGAATGCTGCGCAAGATCCACTGGTCTTGTATTCGCTATTGGCGATTGCGTCGGCCGAGAGAAGTGCGCGACTGGGAGAATTGCGGAGCGGTGCGATCGAGACGACATTCACCGAAGCAGACCTCGAAAACCGCACCGCCCCCGATTTTGTGTCGTATAAAGTGAACGCAGTGAGGATTGCAAATGAGACGATGAAATCTATGGAAAAGGCGACCCAGGCTTCGACGATTTTTGCTATGATGTGCTTGCTTTCAATTGAGGTGTGTGGTAATTTTGCCAGGCATGCCAGCAGGGGCCCGATACTGATGGATTCGCGATAGGTCATCACGGGAAACCAAAAGGAAATATTCGCGCACGTTTCTGGACTGCAAAAACTGATCGCCTGGCGGGGCGGGTATCATGGGATACCTCCTCACGCTACAGAGCTCATCCTCTCGTAAGGCATTGAAATATCCTCAAGTTATGGAATTCGGGATCTAACTGATACAACAGATCCTCCTACATGTGCGCTGCGTTGACACGATCTTTGCCTGCGGCTCCCCCTACTTCAGCACTGCCTGCCCTACCTGCGAGCTTGGTCGAAGAGATAAGGCAAAACGTAAGCGAGGACGTGAAAAAAATGGGCATGGGCATATTGACCGCGGACGTTGATTCGATCCTGGACTGGAGAATATCACAAGCCTTTCGAGATATGAAGGATGTCGTCCAATACCGCGAATACTACCACGAAAAGCAGCTGCTGCCTGCGCCGGAGGAAAATGAGTACATCAACGCCAAAAGCTACCATTTTCGGTATGCAGCCTTGTCCGCCCCGTTCGAACTACGGGAACCCGCCAGCGACAAAGAGGAGGCCTGTCGCCTTGCGATGCTCATTTTCTGGTTCAGCAACTTTCAGATCTCTCGACCTGACTCTGCGCTCAACCGGACCTTGACCGCACAACTGAAGACGGCCCTGCAAGCTTCGGACTTGAAAGGTCTCTGGGGCCCGCACTATGAACTCCTGGTATGGGTTCTCCTGCTGGGTGCGTTCATATCTGCTGGCCAGAGAGAGAGGCCGTGGTTCGTCCTGAATCTTGCCAGGGTGTCCCGAGTGCTCAAACTGCACAACTGGGACGAAGTCCGCCAACTTCTGTTGAGATTTTTCTATCTCGACCGAATCTACGCTGAGGGCATGCGGCAGAGCTGGGAGGAAGCGGCATTATTAGCAGAGACGATGGAGGCCGGGCTGTCATGACTTACGAATTTACTGAACGACTGTTATGTTATTAGTGCTGGCACTTACTAGGTTGCATTTGTTTCGTGAGCGTTCCGCATATGAGCCACGACATGAGCGTTTTATGGCATTGGTTTGTCCTTGAGCTTCAAGCTTAATTCCCGCCGCGAGTGGGCAGCAGCTTCTCAGCATTGAGATACCTGAGTCGAATCCAGATGGGTCGATTTTGAAGAGCGTTTTCAAACCGGCGTATGGATTCCACAAGCCTACGAGACGCCCCGATCCACGGCAGCAGTGTGCATTATTCCGAAGGAATAACCTACGGGTTTAAGTATAGCTCCTCCTCAACTTACTGGCCCTATCTATCAAGTCGACTAATACTAGTTGCCGATGCCGGAACGGGAAGGATTCCAGTCTGACAAAATATGGGGCCTAATTCGGAAGGAGAGAGCAATCAAGCGACCACATCCACAGAAAACCCTCTTTGTCAGACGGAATGATTTTGTCTCGGACTAGTTCGAGCTTCTCTTGTCCAACCCTCGCCGTCAACCTCTCTTCTCTCCTTCTGGCGGTTGTGCACACTGCTTCGAGTTCTGTAAGAGGTATATGTTGTGAGGCAGAGAGCTGGATGATGATCTGATGCGTCGCCGAACATCTTGCTAGCCGAGTTCACAATTCGTCACCGTACCATAGAAGTCGTTCTTATCTTGGTACCACTATACGGTCGCTAAACTCCGGAGGATGGCACGCATGGCGCATTCTCGACTCCGCGAGGAGACTGCCTCGAGCTTTGATGGCGATGATTTTGTCGTGCTCTCCAAACGCGCCCGGTCATCACAGGATGAAATGCCTGAGGTCTTCCGATTGCCGCGCTGCAATGGCCTGGATCTGTACGAGGTCTCGGTTGATGAGCTCCAACATCTCTATTCCACTGGGGCGTTGTCTTCTGTTGACTATGTGAAATTCTGCTTGGAGAGAGTCCAAAAAGTGAAGCCTTCCTCCTTAGTGTCTCTCAAAGACGCTGACGATACCAGACTAATCCGTACCTCGAATGTGTCATTGAGACCAATCCTGACGCAGTCGAACATGCACGTGCCTCGGATGAGGAAAGAAAGCAAGGCAGCGTTAGGGGTCCGCTGCATGGTATTCCAGTACTTGTCAAAGATGTAGGTCATCACCGATGGTCTGCTTGATGCGCGGCTGACTCAGAGTCTGTGCGGCAAAGAACATGGCCACGGCAGACAAAATGCAAACGACGGCAGGTTCCTGGGCTTTGCTCGGCTGTATCGTCCCAAAGGATGCACACATTGTCCATCTTCTGCGCCAAGCTGGGGCGATCATCCTCGGCAAGGCCAACCTCGATGAGTGGGCAGGTATGAGAGGCAGCATCTATTCAATGGGATACTCTGCCCGCGGCGGGCAATGTCGCAATCCGTATATGCTGACCCGCTCGCCAAGTAAGCACCTGTTCCTCCACTTCCAGCAGGTCCCGCCACAATGGCTGATTTGAACAGACGGCAGCAGTTCAGGGAGTGCCGTCAGCGTCTCGGCAAATGTTGTCCCTCTAGCCTTTGGTACAGAAACCGACTGCAGCGTGATCAGCCCAGGCATGGTCAGTGGAGTCGCTGCAATCAAGCCAACGGTTGGGCTCACTTCGCGAGGAGGAGTCATTCCTATTTCAGAGACTCAAGACTCTGTCGGCCACTATGGAAAATGCGTCGCAGACGTTGCCCGTGGGCTGGATGTCATTGCGGGACCCGACCCTGACGACAAGTTCAGTACTCAGCCTGGCAGGCGTCAGCCAAAGAGCTACTATGCATGCCTCGCTGACAGGCATGCTCTCAAGGGTGCAAAGTTCGGTCTGCCGAGCAAATGTTTCTGGGATACTGCTCCATACCCTCAGAAACTGGTCGCAGAGAAAGTCCTGCATCTCATAAAGCAGGCCGGGGCCGAGATTATACCTGTTGATATGCCCAGTGCTGAAGAGAGATTAGGCAAACACGGAATCTGGGACTGGTAAGTTCCAACCCCCCTGAAACCATCGACAGTTTCCGCTTCTCGTCAGATACATGCCCTAACCCCCGGTGTTTAGGGAACGCTATGGCGAATCAAACCCTGAAATCTCCGAAATCACCGTCAGCAAAGTCCAGACCTATTATCTCATGAACCAATACCTGAGCAAGCTGAAAAACACACCCATCAAGACTCTGGAGGACGTCGTGCGGTTTAATGACGACAACCGCGGCTCTGAAGGCGGCCATGAAGCCGACCTTCCAGCATTTCCCGATGGCCAGATCCTCTTTCGCAAATGCGTCGAGACGAAAGGGATTAAAGACAAGACGTACTACGCCGCCTTGAAGCATATTCAATATCAGTGTCGCGACAACGGGATTGATGCTGCGCTGAAATGTCCCTCGAGCGAACGCCGTCCGCAATCCGCCGGTGAGGGAGAAGAAGTAGAGCTTCTGGACGCCCTCCTCTTCTGCGATGTGAAAGCGGGAGGCATCCAGATTGCAGCTCAAGCGGGCTATCCTATCATGACGATTCCTATCGGTCTGGATCCGGACGGGATGCCCGTGCCGCTGACCCTACAGCACAGCGCTTGGCAGGAAGACAAACTGATCAAGTGGGCGAGTGCCATCGAGGATCTGCTGAACCGCTATAATGAAGAGCACGCTATACCGCCGAGCGATCGATGGAGTAGACTGGGGCGTCTCCCGCCTACTTACATGAAGCACTTGCGCAAGAACATCCCCACTGACATGGACTATCACTGGCCTGGTCGGCATCGACATCATGCTGCTTAAAAAGTCTTCGATCCCTTTTCACGCGTCTGGCATATCTGCAACGTCAGCCTCGTACGTGGTAGGCCCAGCCTCCATCGTCCATGGACCGGCGAAATTAGCAGAGAGGGCACAGGCGTGTGAACGGCTCAACACTACCAGCCGTTTGAATGTCTTCGCTCATACATTTATAGCGGCCATTTCCTTCTTGTGCCAAGTAAGAAAAGACGCAATCCTCGAACATGACCCAAACGCCGCGACTCTTCCCTGTGGACAAACAGAGTGGAATGCTCCCCCTAGTCTTCTGTCGGGCTGGAGATTTCCAACCTAGTTTCAGGCCAGGGGTCGTCTATGCGGCCAGGGGAGTATGCAAGCATACATGCAGCAGTGACGTTCTGGTCTGATTTGATTCGTCGAGCACACATTTTAGGGAGATGCAAACGTAAATTCAGGGGGCTGGGGCATGGGAGCAAGATCCACGATCTCCAAAGAGTCCTGCTTCTACGGTGCAGTGCTGAAAGGATCTCACGGCCATTGAATGTACGTCACAAACGGGCTTGGGGGAGCGTCATCGATTAGTCTGCGATATTGAGCCTTGCGCACGATCGACATTAGTCACAACGAAGTGTTCCATACCACAACAGGAAGGTTACGTTTGCGGTATAGCATTCCTGTAGCAATGCCAATAGACGTGACAAGCAATATCGCCATGAATTACGGCTGTATATGAAGATGAAATGTGCGGCGTGAACGTAGAGTCCTGGTGATCAGTGCCTTTGACCCAGAAGAAGAAAAAAAATCAGAAGCCAGCCTCGCTGGGATGTCGTCCCGAATTTACCTGTGCCTCGCACTGAATTTCCTTTGTACGTCCCCAAGGCATCCATTTGTGTTTCATAGCTAACCGACATAGTAACTACAGCTTAGGCCCAGGATGCTGACAGCGACGGCGCGAATCGAGACGGAAGCAGTGCCGAAGAGGGCGGTTCAGCCCATCACCCGGCGTTTTATGACAAAGTGGTAATCGCCCACGCCGCCCTCGCAAGTGTATCCTGGGTCATATTCTTCCCCTTCGGAGCGGTGCTCATGCGCCTCCTGACCGGACCAACGACCATATGGATCCACGCTGCAATCCAGGGTCTCGCCACCGCTGTATTCACCGCCGCCGTCGGAATGGGCATTTGGATGGCGCGCATCACCGGCAACCTGGACTCATATCACCCAACCATCGGACTCGTCATCTTTGCGGTAATTTGGCTCCAAAATGTTGGAGGCGTGGTGCATCACTGTGCCCTGTTCCCAAAGCATGGCCGCCGAACGACACTTGCTATCATCCACATATGGCTGGGCCGGATCCAGATTACGCTGGGGATGATCAATGGTGGACTCGGCTTGAAACTCTCGGGGGATGCCGAAAGGGGAGAGTACATCACGTATCGTGTCGTCAGTGGTGTGGCCTGGCTCCTGTATGTCTCGTTGATCACATCCTACGAGATTAGAGCACCTGGGATGAATGGTGGAGGCTGGCCAGAAGGGGGAGAGAAGAAAGCGTATGACTGCGACTCGGAGGATAGCTCTATGGACTGAACTCGTTATTCTGTGTATTTATATCATGTCTAGCGAACAAGGAGGAATGGCCTCAATGGCCTCGTTGGCAATGAAACCTTTGTTGCGGATCTATCCATCTGAGAGCAAGAGAGAGTAAAGCAGATGGTCCTTGAAAAGAGGATGCCATAAGGCTAGTCCTTAGAATAGCCTAGTGGTTGCCATGTGACAGTTTAACCACCGCAATGGAACAACATTGATCCGTTGAGCGTTCAACGTGTAAGTTAACGACTTCACAGCCTCACTTCTTCGCAGGCAGAAGGAAGAACCTCTTGAGCTTCATGTGTATCTATCAACATAAAATTCGCTGTCATTGTTTTGGTACACCCTGTTGTTCAGGCTGCTATGGATCTTTTCGAGGAAGCGCAGCGGAAGTTCCGCGCAGGCTTGTCCACGCGGCCACGCCGGACAAGCTTTTGTTTACTCAGAGCGCAACGGCCGACGAGGTGTTGTTGGCAGTTCAGTCCTTGGAACAACAACATCGCGACCGTAGTCGCACCTTGAGACTGGTACAAAAGGTTGACCCTTTCATCCGAGGCATTGAGCAGTATAGCAACGCACTGGGTTAGTTTGCGAATGCGAAGCCGGAGATCTTGAGCTTTATCTGGGGATCTGCTTGCATCATCATCCGTGTAAGGTTTCCGATATGCTCAAAATCTACCACGGCTGATGCCGCAGGCTAGCTCCTTCGTGACTTTCTGGATCTCTTCGACAAATTGGCAGACATGCTTCAACGCTTGGCAAGACAACTTGCGCTGTTTGACCTCTACGCCCGCTTGTATCCACACTCAACCCGGCTCAGGGAAAGCCTAGTAGAGGGCTACGACGCTTACCTGGAGTTTTGTTTGTCGGTGGTGAAGATGCTGGAGGGAGGTTCATCCAGGAAGAATCGATGCATGTTACCAATGCCCCTCCACTCGACACCTTGAATCAACCTAACCGTCCGTGACAGGGCTCAAAAGCGGCAGCCTGAAACTCATGACGAAGACTCTCTTCAAGTCTGTCAAACAAGACTTTGGAAGGGTCATCAGTCGCCTCGAGTCTCTTGTCGACAGTATCGAAACGGAAGCCAACGCCGCCGAAAAAGAGGCTGCTGCCGACCACAGAGAGGTGGTCAATGAACAAATCGACTGTATGCTCTCTGCGTTTCAGAAAGATACTGAATGGATTTACAGTGTTTTTTTGACAGTCAAAAAGTACCAGGATTTGCTCCAGTGGCTCGATCCCGTGGACACCGCGGCAGTTTTGCTTGATCTTTCAGACATTCACCTTCCCGGCACCGGACAGTGGCTGATCGGGAACGAGGCCTGCATTAAGTGGTTCACGAACCCATCATCAATTCTCTGCGTAAGTACCGTGTTCGGTGCGTCCTATCCCTGATATATACTGAATATGAATAGCTGGAGGCGGTACGACATTGCTAGCGCAAGTACAACCATGCTCTCAATCACGATAAGCCATTGACCGGAACAGATATAATCTGATCAAGCATCTGCAACAGCATGTCACCGATAAGTCGATTGTCCTTTACTACTTTTCTGACTACAGGAGCGTCAAGTCCCAACAGACTCGTACCGTCATCCAAACATTGCTTGCAGACCTAGGTCGACAAAGCAATCAAGTTTTGGAGATTCTCGAAGCCAGCACACGACGATACCGGAAAGAAAACCTTGCCTGCTCCCTCCAAGTAGTCACTGAAATTCTCATCCAATGTTTGGCCCTATATCAAGAGGTTCATGTGGTGATTGATGCTCTAGACGAGAGCGGAAACAGGCCGGAACTCATCCAACTTTTGCTGTCTTTGCAGTCTAAGAGCCAAGCGACTAATCTGTTTCTCACCAGTCGAGACGAATATGACATTCGAGATATGCTGGGTCATGTTGAGCAGATTTCTGTGGATAGTAGCGATATGACATCGGACATCGATCATTTCATCCAACATACTGTCAAGGAACTCATCAACAACGGGAGGTTGAAGCTGCGAGACAAGACTCTGCGAGAAACTATCGCTCAAAGGCTCGGCGACGAAGCTGACGGAATGTCTGTTGAATCTGCCCTTCGAGCACCATGACACTGATTCTCTGCAGGTTTCAGTATGTTAAGTGTCAGCTAGACACTCTAAGTCAATGCATCAGCGATAGAGCCATCATCATAATGCTCGAAAACCTCCCCTCGAGCCTTGACCAGACCTACGTTCGTGCCTTGGAGAGACTAAAGACTACATTTCCAGACACGATCGGCTTGATCACGTGGATTTTCTGCTGCATTGTGCACTCGACAAGGCCACTGTCTCTCGCCGAGCTTTCGCAGCCGGTATCTTTTGATGTGAAAAGGGGCATGTTTGATTGTACAGCTGTTCCAACTGATCCCCACGATCTCTTCCGTTACTCAGGAGGTTTGTTCAGATTTTCGGATGCCAAAGGAACGTTGTCCTTGGTACACTTCTCGGTGAAGGAGTTCCTTCAATCCGAACGAATCTGCGAGACTTCAGCGCGAGACTTCTACATGGGTGGCGACACTGCCCATCTCCACATGTTCAGAGCCTGTTTGTCATATTTGCTATAGCCTGATTTTTCCCAAGGGGTGTGTCTAACAGAAAGGCAACTGCGCCTAAGGGCCAAACGTTTCGTGTTCCTCAACTATGCTTCCCGCAGCTGGATGAAGCACTACTGCCAACTTTCGTCTGGCATTGGAAATGACTGGGAACGCAAAGTACTATCATTTCTATGTCACGCCGACTTGAGAGGTAACTTTTCTACTTGGAGACAACAGCAGGCCTCGAGGTTCGTAGAATTACCGCCTTCCCTCCGACAGTCCAGGGCCTCAGACAACCCCATGAAATACGCTGTGGAGTGCTTCAGCTGGCCTCTGACGGAACTGCTTGTGCGTGAGGGATTTGGTGTTAATCAGAGCGGAGAATACGGGATACCTCCTATCTTGGAGGCAGTCTTTGGGTACAATCCTTTGCAGCAGAGGCAAGTCGATTGGAGCTACATAAGGAAGCTTCTTGAGGCTGGTGCGGACCCGCGTGTGAGATCACCTTATGGCGTTTGGAATCGTGCGTTTTGGTGGCCCCGACGACTGGAATCTAATCAAAGAGCTGCCGTTTTGCTCAGCAGATTTTGAGGTAAGATCAACCCGTTACTTGGACACTTCGACGATACTTCAGGTCATTGCAACGCATCCATCTGATCCTGTTGAATGGTTGGCATACGTGCTGGCCCAAGGCGTGGATGTCAATGAGGCGGACATTTGGGCAAAGGACGGCTGCGACTCACCTTATCGTCATTGTCGTTCACGTGGGCCTCCACTCCAACAGTCATGCTTCTACGGGCTGGAGAGCTGCGCAACGTTACTATTGGATAGTGGCGCGGATATCAATTACTCGGCATGCGAGTTAGGGAGTCCCTTGCAAGCAGCCACTAGATCGAGTCACCATGCTATGGTGCGACTGTTGTTGGATCGACATGCCGACGTTAACCAGGTAGGAGGTGAATTCGGAACTCCTCTGCAGGCTGCCGTGTGGGTAGGCGACAAAGAACTCATCCTCTTGCTCCTCGATAATGGTGCCGATATTAACAGTACTGGAGGGGCTCTTGGGAGTCCTCTTGCGGCAGCGATAGCGAAGCAGCACTCCGGTATCATAGATCTGTTGTTCGACCGTGACGCAGACCCTGGATCTACCGCTTATTTGCAGCTCATGAAGATTGGCAGAGCAAATAGCCTTGCCATAAGCGCAGGATTTGAGTATATTTGGGGTGAAATATGCTGCAGAACGCCCCTCATATGGGCGGTCCACCACGAAGACAAAACCATGGTGCAAAAGCTGCTTATGAAAGGAGCTGGGGTCAATTTCCCTTCCGAGAGGTGTCGAATAAACACAAATTTTGTCAGGAACTCTCAATTGTACCATCCTTTATGTCCGGCGATCAAAACTGGCAACGCAGAGATTATCGAATTGATTCGACAGAGTTCGGCAAACATTTGGATTGACGCTGGTTGATATTTCACAAGTTGTGGCAATCGGATGTTGGCTCTGCTGACGTGAACGCCATTCTCCTTGAAGCATTGCGCAGATGCAAGAACGATGAGCTCTGCTCTGAACTCGCCACATTTATAGATGCACAACCGGTCGCTGCTGACTTCGAAACAGTCAAGTGTCTCTGGTTCAAGGCCCCAATTCCAAGCGCGAAGGCTAAATGGCTGTTGTCGAAAGGGTCAATCCCTATGGGTTGCCATCGCCACCATCCCTGGGTCAACGCGAGTCACTGTCATGGTGGTACTGAAACCACTCCGTTACTTTCCGCCATCGGAGAACGAGACGAAGAACTTGTCGAAATTCTGTTGCAAGCCGGCCTCGACCTCAACATGTATGACGCGGTCAGCAGTACACCTCTGCTTGGCGCCATTCTGCACGGAGATCATGCGCTGATGAAGCGATTGCTTGATCTCGGCGCTTCCCCGACAATGAACGTTTTCCGATTTCAGTCTTGTTACAACGTGTTACATCAGACTGGTGACACCGAAGCTATCGACATTCTGCTCAACTACGGAGTTGAAGTTGATGGTCCGTGTGAGTACTGCCCGACAGCACTCTGGAAGAGCGTACAAACGGAGAATCATGATCGCATCTTGCACCTTGCCTCGCAAGGCGCAGACGTTAACTCGCCCAATTTCGAAGGAGAAAATCCACTACAATACGCTCGACGCTTTCACATGGACGACATCGCGGAACTGCTCGAAAGGCTGGGCGGGATAGAGGCAAATGAAAAAGCTCGGCGTGCAGCGCAGATAAGCAGCGTCCTCAGAATAACAAGCCAATTCAAGTTGGTGAGTACGGAAGAGCCAGAATGGGTCTCACAGAGACGACGGGTAATGTTGGGAAGATGCCTGTTCCTTCTAGGAGATTATGACAACAGCGTTATTGCCATAGAGGGGACTTTCAATATAGGGCAGCAAGGCGGGATATATCCATATGTCGATTGCAGTGGATGCCGAAGCCGACAGAGCGGTAGATATCACCTTTGCCGCGACACAGGCTTCGGGTACTGCCATGCTCGCTGTCTTGCAACACATCAGAAAGAGATCAATCATGTGGCCTCCATGAAGGACCACGTATATGTGACATTTCCACGTCCTTTCCTTCGTGATTGTCCTGCTGGATTTGTTGCCCTGGATCAGGTAACCCACATTACCCGGAATGAGTGGCTGGATCGAGTGCTTGCGAAGTGGCAGCCACAGACAGACACTACCAATGCCATGAGTGCTGTCAGAGCAGAGGGGGAGCTATGACTGACTACCATGGACAAGCATTCTTGAAGCGGAGGGACTGACTGGGCAATGGAGACTCTTCTTACTGGCCGCGGTATCAGTTCTACAACTCTGGGTGCTCGAAACCCCGGTACTCTGCACAGCGTGCCGCTGGTTGCCATCACACGAACATCTCTATTGTTGGTATGTCAAGTTTTGTTCGTTCGGATGGGTCCCGTCCTAGTCGGGCTTCACACAAGTCCTATTTTCTACACCTTCTCAAAATTGCGGTGGACGGACACCAAAACAGCAGAGAACATAAAACGAGAGGCATACACGCATCGTGGACGTTTCGAGAGTGCCTCGAATGCAATGGAATCCCTCAGGCTCTGCGATGGACAATAACTGGAGCCTTTTCTGTGGCAACGCTGCGACAAGGAGTGTGAAGGAAGGATTGTGAAGACGGAGGAGATGGATCGATACAGCAATATTTCGGTCAATGATTTTGCAATTGACTGTCGAGATTGTCAACCACTGTCGTAGAGCTCCATAGTCGACATCCATCAACGCATAGCATCCAGGCTGATCTGGGTACCAGTGTGGTCGTACAGGCCCAGCCTCTGGACTTCCGAGCCCTCCTCTGCTTGTTCCTCGACCCTTAAGCATGCACAGAGACTCAATACATGACCCTCTGGAATCTGCGCCAAGGCAAGGGGACCTTTGGTCGTGAAAAAGAGTATTCTACTCCGTGCGGCCCTCTATAGGTATCCAATGCCCCCCGGTTTGGAAATCGACCCGGCCCCGTGCCTTGTTAGATCGGGGTCGGACAGATATCTCCCCGAGCAAAGCCCTCAGCCCGATACCCTTTGATATTGCCTACTGGCAACGAACATGAACATAGCCAATGTCAACTCTGGCAACCATCGCCACAGCCGGGGCTGTTCGATCAGCTCAGCCGGCTTAGTTCGTCCAAGACTTGTGCCTGAAAGAAATCAATCAAGTCCGTCGTGACAGCCCTTTGCACTCGTCCGATCCCCTGTCCTTTGAACTCCGGCCAGGGGTCGCGAGCCAAGATGACGATGTGCGAATTCTTCTGATCTTCGAGGAGGAGTACGACCCCAGCCGACTTTCATGGCGCCATGGGATTTCGTCCGTCCGCGAGCGGCGGTCGAAGTCGCCTACAACTACGAATACTGGGGCAATGGAGGCCTAGACAGCCGTTGAGGAATATAAAATACAAAATGAAACATACAGTCGATGATTCAAGAGAACGGCCATAGTATCTCGACAACATATTCTTCTTCTCCAGATTCAACGACTTCAAAACACACATCATGTCCAAACTCATCGTCGTGGTCGGCGCCACAGGCACCCAGGGCGGGTCGGTTGTCGATACGTTCCTCCAGGAGCCAGGCTGGAAAGTCCGGGCCCTCACGCGCAACGCGAACAGCGCCGCGGCCAAGAAGCTCAGAGACAAAGGCGTGCACGAGATCGTGTCGGCGTCACTCGACAATGTCTCTTCTCTCGTGCAGGCTTTCCATGGCGCACACGCCATCTTCGCGGTGACGGATTTCTGGGGACCGTATTATGACCCCGAGACAACGCCGCAAGCCACCGCCGCAGGCGTGCCGAAGAATGTGTGGGCGGCACGCAGGGAGGAGCAGCAAGGCAGGAACGTCTTCGACGCGGCTGCCCAGGTTCAGGGGCTCCAGCGTTTGATATTCTCCAGCCTATCGAACGCCACCAAGTGGTCGGGTGGGAAGTACACCCACGTGTACCACTTCGACAGCAAGGCCCACGCGGCAGAGTACGGGCAGGCCAGATACCCGGAGCTGTGGAAGAAAACGAGCATAATCCAGGTCGGCTTCTACTTGTCGAACGTCTTGACATATCCGTTCATGCGGCCGCAGAAGGTAAGCACTCGCGCCACCCGACATCACTCCTTTTGATCTAACTCACGTACGACCGAACAAACATGGCCTAACGAAAATCTCTCACAATAGGACGCGGACGGGGTATACACCTTTTCATTCACCGGGTCGACGAATGGGAAGCTGCCGTTCGTCGCGGCCGAAGAAGACACGGGCCCGTTCACGAGGGCGCTCGTCGCGACGCCCGAGGCCGGGAAAAACCTCATCGCGTACCGTGCGTGGATGTCGATGGACGAATACATCGCCATCCTGTCGCAGACGCTGGGAGTGAAAACAAAGACCAGGGTTCTCTCGCCTGAGGGCGCCAGCAGCGTGTTGAGCACCCTCCCTGAAGATTTGCTCGAGGAGCTAGTGGAAAACGCGAACTACTTCGCGGAGTTCGGATACGAAGGACGTGACGATCCCTCGCTCGTGCACCCCAAGGATGTAAGCTCCCCGAAGACCTCTTCGAGTATTTGGTAAACCGACCCAGAGACTGACTGTTGCGATAGCTCGGTATTGAGGTGAAACTGCCTTCTGTGGAGGACTGGGTCAAAAAGCAGGATTGGAGTGCTATCTTCAGTTGAACGACAACTTGGTGGTAGGCCGATATCTCCATTGTTGGGCGATTGTTCGGGCTATTCCTTTCATCTCTTTTGCTCGGGTGCCAGACTTAGCTTTGAAGAGCCGACATGTTCGCAGTGACCAAATTGAAGAGGATTTAACATCGGAAAGGATACAGTGCACATCCATTGACCATGTTGAAAGTGTGACTCGAAGTTTCAATGAGGCGTTGAGTATTCTTCCCCATTGTCTCGCCCTTGTTCTCAGCCCAACGTCCGGCGTCGTGGCTTGATCACCAAAATACCCCTCCCAGCCCCGTCACCTTCAAAAAGGCCCATCCGACAAAAACTGTCTAAGCTCTATTATCCATTCAAGTCCGCCTTTTGGTACGTAGCTTCTTGGTACAGTGAAGTGAATCCATTCAACTCCTTGTCGTGCTTCTACAGCGCGCAGTCCATCCTATCCTACACTTCCTGGTGCGAAAAGGTGCCGGACGCCGCGGTATATCTATCTCCCCGGCGCCGTCATGCCCATCGCATCCAAGAATCATCAAGACCTCGTCGCCTTCCTGATCCATCGGAGCTTGACTCTCTCGGCGTCGACCATCTTCAACGTCACTTCGACCCTCGACTCGTTGACGACCTGCAAGATCCTCGCTTTCGTCGCCTGCTCGCTCTCGCCGGGCTCGGGGACCAGCTCGACCCGCGAGCCACTGGCGAACAGGCTGAAGATGACGCGGGTGAACTCGACCTGGGAGAATTTCTTGCCGGGGCAGATGCGCGGGCCGGCGTTCCAGGGCACGAACGATCCGGGGACGGGCTGCAGCAGGGACGACGATTCGGAGTCGCCGCCATCGGCGCGCTTCTCTCCCTCGGACGGCTCAATCCAGCGGTCAGGCCGGAAGGTCGTGGAGTCTGGTCCCCAGTAGTCCGGGTGTGAGTGGAGGGCGGCGAAGTTCAGGGTCACGGAGGTGTTTGGCGGGATGACGTGTTCTTTGTCGCGGATGCTGAGGCGCTGTGCAGCATCTCCCGTGTAGCGAGGCATCATCACCACAGGTCCGTAAAGCCGAACTGTCTCGTACTATTTGTACCCCCTGTGTGTCAGCGGCATCGAGTTTCGGAGAGGTGTGATGCTTACCATGAGCGCCAGACATCGCTCCAGCTTGGGGAAAGTCTCCTCATAGTACCACGTGCCCGACGGGTCTGCTTTTCGTACTTGATCGATCTCTTCGGCAATCCAGGTCTGCCACTCGGGGTAAAGCGCCAGGAGCGTGATGGCGAAATGGAGCGTCGCGGCCGTGGTGTCGTGACCAGCCAGGTTGTAAATGAAGAGGTTCCCGTATACCTCTTCGTCCGAGAGCCCTGCGGCAGTCGTTGTCGCGGGAGGATCTTGTGCGCTCCGTGCCGTCTCGTTTGATTGTTCAGAGGCTCTGACCAACGCGCTCATAAGGTTATGCCTCGTCAGATCGCCCTGTTCAAAGGCCGTTTTCTCCTGTGCCAGCATCTCACTCATGTATCTCTTGAACTCTTCATAGGCAACAGAGAGTTTTTGCATATTGCCGAAGAATACCCAGTCCGGAAAGCCAGCCTTCTTCAAAACGCTCAGGAGGACGAGCTGAACAATGTTTGCAAGTAACATCCGCAAGCTCTCTCGATAACCGAGTTGGGTCTGCGTTTGGTCCTCGCCACTTGACAGCTTCGAGTCAATAAAGCTGCTGTGGATGCCGAAGCCAGCGCCGCACAACACGTTGAGTGCAACGGCGTGCACGTCGGGCTGTGTGCTTGTGACATGATCTTTCTCAGACCAGATTTTCAGCATCTGGTCTGCCTGTTCTGCGGTTTCGCGCCAGACCAGGGCACTATTTTGTTCGTTGAACGGTGGGACCGTGATTTTGCGGTGGCGATCCCACACCTTGCCATTGACGGTGTCAAGGTTCGGTCCGTAGATGTTCAACATGCCGTACATGGCCGGATCCTTGATGAAGTCGTTGCGCCGTCGCATTATGTCCTCCGTGGCGGAGGGCTCCGCGATGTAGATTTCATTTGTTCCGGGCGAGACAATCGTGAAAGCCTCGCCGTACTTCGCGTGGACTGAATATCTTTGGTAGAAAGTCCAGCCGACTTCGGCCCTAGCAGCCCATTCACCTAGTCCCCAAGGTAAGGAAGTGAAGACAGGTATGAGACGGTCCTTTGTGAGCATCCATAACGGGCTTGCTGGATTGACGGGAGTGATAAGAATGGGCAGTCCAATCTTCTTAGCTTCCAAGTAGTTGTTCGTAAACCGGATCAAGGTCCAGATTAGATAAGCCAACACCAAAGACCAGAACGCATAAAGGAGGAACATGCTGGGCGCATGAGTAATAGAAACCAGAAAGGCAGGGACGGAAAGAGTGCGAAAGAGGGCGTAAAAGGGGGTCCTGAGGTAAAGAAGTGTCAGATTTAGGAGTGGAGCATTCGGTTTCATATCGTTGATTGGCTGCCTTGTTATCACCAAATCCGGCTGAATTCCGCAACATGCTTACCTAATTCAAACCCGCTCTCATCGCAGCTCATCACCAGAATCATAATCATCAACAGGGCGCGAACTCGATCGGTGCTTGATACAGGGGGTCTGGGATTATGCCAGACAGGTAGTCCCTGGGAATATCCTCGTATTCAAGCCATGATCGTGGGATAACTTCCTTATCTTCGGGTCATAGACGGGCTCTGCCTACATGTAGGCATCGCCGCCCCGTAATCCCTGTATCCTTTCGTGTCCATTTGTTCTCTAAACGGCTTGCGTTAAAGATCAGGGAGCCTCAATCCCCGTGAGCTCTTCCAGCTGGCTGATGAGATTCTCCTGAACAGTTTCATCGGTTGATTCTCTCTTTGGCGATCTTATCTTACAGTGATACCAGTACTTGCCAGAGGCATCCTTAGCCGCCCCAGTTCCTTCCGCGAGCATCACATAGGTATCGACCGCGGCATTGATGTCTCCTGTGGCGCCTGCACCTCCCATCTTGGTGGCTACCCAGCCTGGGTCCAACGAATTACTCTTCACATGAGGCCATCTCCTAGCAAAAAAGCAGGCCAACAGAATATCGTGCAGCTTAGTATCCGAGTATGCCTGGAAATCTCTAAAGCCCTTTTCTCCACGCTCTTGCCATGTGATATCTTTGCATGCAGGGTCGCCACCGCTATGAAGGCCGGAAGACACGAACACGAGTCGCTTCGGCTTAGGTTCGATCAGGCTTGTGAGGATATAGGGGCTTAGGGTGTTGACTGCGACGATGCTCGGCCAACCCTCTTTGGTCCTTCGGTAGGGACCTGTATAAAGACCAGCATTGTGGATTACTGCGTCAAAGGCTCCAAGGTTATTGATATCTTGGGCCATGGTTTTTGTCTGTGCGATGTCGGACAGATCGGCGACGACACATGTCTCGGCGCCCGGGCAAGCGGCCCTCGCATCTTGGGCTCGCTGGTCGTTCCTCGCATGCAGGACCACGGAATGCCCTCTCTTGACCAGGGCGCGGGCAGTGAGGGAACCTAGCCCGTCTGAGGAGCCTGTGATGAGTATACGAGCCATAGACGTGATTGTACAGAATTACCGACGAGAAGAGATGTCGAGGAGAATCAATGGATTGCAAATCCGAAGCGCAGCCTTGCGCCCATACTTGACGTCATTAGCCTCGCTTCTTCTACGGCGAGGCATTGGGAAACACAACGTCCGCCCTCAATCAACAATGCATCCAGGGATTCATTCGACTGCAGCTTCTTTCTCATTCCTTGCTGCTCCCTTCGCCATCGTCCCTGGAGGCCTGTCTCTGTCAATTGGAGTTTGGCCCGGTTCTCCTGCATATGTGGCTTTGGGGCATTTTTCCCATGCTACTCACCTCGGCCATTTCTCCCCTCCCCCTACATTCCCCCCTTTCTTCGGACCGCCTGTTGACGTCCAACCAGTTCGACATCTCATGGGAGTAACACAAACAATGCCCAGCCACATTCCCTCCTTGCTTGGTCCATCCACAGAGTTCTTGCCAAGATGGGCCTTGCTTTTTCGAGGAGCTGTTGTTTGCCAGGAATGGGGCAGGCTCTACACCATCTGACTTTTCATCTCCTCAACAGAGGGCCATTTGGCTGTCAATTTTCGTCATGTCTGTCCTTGGTTGTCTCTCGCAGACAGCTGCCACAGTTCCTTGCTGGGTTCAAGACCCCCTCTTTAATATGGTTTAGAACCCTTTTGAGCCCAGATCTCTGATATCCCGAGTTTTCTTCGAGCAGCGTATTTGGCTAACGAGGAATTGAATTTTCTTTTTTGGCCGTTTAATGCTACGAACTGTTTGCCCCCTTCGATGCTGAATTTTTTCAAACTAGGATCCTGATGTCGTGCTGGTTGACTGTGGTAACCACTCACGTCCCCATTGCCGGTCTATCCCTGCGAACCTCCGTCGCCATGTGGGAGGATGTCTAAACAACCCTCTATCAAAATTGCATACACTACGTTTCAGAGCATGAAATGTTCCTCCCTTACAGACATTTGGTTGTTGTCAACACAGCAATACTTTCATTTTTCTTGCCTGCCATTTGTGCCACCATACATGCCATCGCCCATGGGTGCCATTGCTGGGCCCGAGTCGCCCGAGTTTGTTATGGTGTGCGGGCACGGACCCGGTCCAGTTCATGCCAAAGTCTACCCTTCAGCTCAGCCGCCTGTTGATCTGCCCTTGTTGACTCACTCTCTCCCCAATACCCCCTTCTCAACTCTGGTCAGAATCTCTTTGCTTCTCTGGTCGCTCAACCCTCTTGAAACATCTCCGAAGAAGAAAAAGACACGACTGCTCTCATTCTCAGTCCCTACAAGACCGCGCCTTTAGCAGCAGACCGCCTTAAACATCCATCATCAAGAACGAAGATACGCCTCAAGCACGCCAAAACAAACAACGATCGACGACATCGAAGCTAGGGGTTCCGACCCAACACCGTTACTTCGTCCAATCGCACCCCTTTGTTCCAGACAGAGGGTATTCCGTCCCTGTGGACCACCTATCGATCTTCGATTTGATCCGGTAGCTCGATGCACGACGCAGCAACAGTGCCACCTGTTCGAGACCCTTCTAAATAGTGTTCCTGGCCTCGGGAATCTCGTCAGTCTGCTTTATCCCAGGCCATCATCTTTGCCGGTCATCTTCTTCGCCATGTCTTTTGAGGCATCATTATCTACAGCAATAACAGAGGAGGTATCTGGATGGTGGCCCTCTGAACGAAGCGCCAAATCTCGATTTAAGGCCCTTCTTAGTCGCACAAAGTTGGAGAAGCTCACAAGGACAAGCAGGGCTGAATCAACGCCTGTCCGTCCCAATACATCCCAGCCTGTGTATTCAAGACGGGTGGCTCCAGCTCCAGGGGTTGCATGCGCGAAAGATTCCAACGGTGACATAACTTTTTCAAATCCAACCCAGCGCACGTCGCCGCAACACGAGAGGCCAGCCCAGCGGCTAAAGGCTCAGAAAAGTCTTTCAAGCATCTGTCCAAGGTACCGGCGAAAACCTGTCGCACGGCCAGTCTACGATGGGTCGTCGGCTCCTGTAAGTTCGCAACCAGTCATGTATGGGGAGACTTCGCGGAACGTGTCTCGCTCGACCGCGGATTCATCAGTCCACACGTTGAACAGCGTCGACCCTCCGACCGAGCCCTCGTTGTCAGACGACCGCTCAGTCTACACCACGCATACGAGTTTCTCCAGCTACGCAAGCTCATCGTCATATGCTGCGGAGCCCTGTTTCACGGTTGCCGACTGCCATGACGCCCACGCACCAAGCCACTCCCGGCCAGAAATATGCACCCCTACTCCTGATGACTCAGGCGTCTTGTGCATGTACATGCAAACTCCGAAGAAGAACACCAGACTTTTACCAAGTCTAGCACCTCCGTTGGATCTTAGCCATGGCTCGATCGTACAGAAGCCTTTGCCACCCATCCCCGCCGCATCCTCGCGCCAACTCGGCGGCTCCGACAGGCGCGTATCCACCGTTGCTCCCCTGCCCGAGCCAGGCCACATCAGGAAGACGTCGGCTCGCTATCGCTGCGACCCCCCAGAGCCCACGAGCCGGTGCGCCACGCCTTTGTCGCCTTCCTCGAGGCCCTCTAGCACCAGAAGCAGAAGCTCTTCATATACACAGGAGTCGGCGGAGGGAGGTCGGAAAAGGGCTGCGTCGTATAGTCTCTTCCCCCGGACGCCCTCGACGGGGCAGCAGAAGCTGCCTATAAACGGCATGCCTTCACCGCCCGCGACTGGGACCGTTACCACGACCCCGTGCAGTCCGCGATGCACGAGCACATCAACAGACGCGGGGAGAGGGAACTTGACTCGTTCACCGCCGCCGCCGCCTCCACCACCACCGTCGCGAGACCCGAGGAGAAATGGCAAGGTCCTATCCTTAGGCACGAGCCTCGCTCCAGGCCCGACTGAAGAGCTTCAAGCTCCACAAATCCCTTCTACTGGAGGGGAATTCAGCCACCGACCCCCGCTGAGAGTAGCAGGGACACCCGGCCAGTCTGTACTCCAGCGGCAGAAGAGCATGCCTTGTCTAGTCCGTCCCTGGACCCCGTCGTCAGGACCTCCTCCCACCGACCCTCTTCCGGCCTTGCCTCCAGTGGCCTCGGGTTGTTTACCACTGCCTCAAGGACACCACGAGAGAATGAATCCATGATTGACGGCGTAGCCAGTGATGTGAAGGGGAGATGTGAACGGAAGAGGACGTTGGATGGTTCAATGTTATTTCTGGTCGTCTCTACGACGACGCCAATGCATCAACTTGTGATGCCTCTGATTTGCGCCAGCAATGCAATTTCCCGTTCGCCTTATTCCCGTTAGCGCCAGCTCCCAATGCAATGCGGTTTCGTCATTCGTTCAATTCACGCCTACTCAGGCAAAGGCAAGTCCTTCAAGTATGGCCAGCCAGTCTCCTCCTCTGGCTTCTCTGCCTCCATCCCCAAGCATCGCCTCAAGCATCTCACTTCCCCCTGCAATGCTGCAACGATGGTGTATTCTTCGCACCACTCATCGGTCCTCAATCGATGTGCTGTCCTAATCATCTCACACACCTTGAGGGTTTGCGCATACCAGTGATCTCTATCCAGTCGCGACTGCAAGTGGTCATCCTTCTCCTGCTGCAAGAGGTCGTTGTAATGTTTGCGTTGTCTTAGGAATCGTCCCTCGATGTCGCCGCAGTAGTTTCGGATCTGTTCGACAGCTGTCCCCATTGCTTCTTCGTACATGGCGATCAAGCTGGTGTTCTCTTTCTGCTCGTGCTTGTATAGCTCAACGAGCTGTTTCTGCTTTGCGAGTTCGAGTTCCAGTTCGCGGATACGTGCTTCTAGCAAGGACAGAGAAGTTAGTAAAGACACTCGCGTAGAAACATGAAGAACGGCAGTGCAACTTACTGTCATTGTCTGGGTGGGCTGGTTCATCATCTGTAAGTGCTCCATTTGCGCGTTTCGCGACCTCCTCAGCATTACGTGTAATGGAGTTGACTTTTTCGCGGTTGCTTCTCAAAAGCGCTCCCAACTCTTGGATTTGGTTGAAGAGATGATTTAGGTCTTGCTGATGGCCGACCGGTAGAGGAGGCATGTATCCTGCAGCCGCTGCCGCACCCGAACCAGGGCCGTTGATGCCATTGCTGCCGTTGATAGAGGAAGGGCCGGTAGGTGAGGCGGCCGACACGCGGTTGCCAGCGGGAGGAAGGGAGGTGTCGAGGGATGGGAACGCGTTTGGGGAGGCCATGCCGCTGTAGGGACTGTAGCCGCGGATGTTGACGTAGATTGAGTCTGGGTCAAGCTGAGGTTCTTGTTCGATGACAGAGGCCTGGCTGTTGAGATGGTCTTGAAGGACCTGGCTCAGTTCATTCGGTTCGACGAGCTGGGCGTTGGTGAACTGGCGGAGTAATTCATCGTCCTCCTTACCTTCCTCTCTTGGCTCACTGACAGATTGGCGACGAGAACCGACCGGGGAGCGAAGAAACGCAGTGGTGTAGCCTGATGAGGTGGACGGAGCTGTGAGTCGGGTGGAGCGACGACGATGCCCTCTCAAGGTAGGGAGATTGGTGGGGTAAGGGAGGCGGGGTGCTGGTAGTGGTGGTGGTGAACCTGAAATGAGACGAAAGTTAGGTCAGTCTGAACTTCTGAACTTCTGAACTTCACGATGCGGGAAGGCTCATCGGAAACGGATTTTCTATTATTCCGATAGATGGGGAAAGGGTTATCGATCTGCACGGCTCGGCCCGAGCTTGAATGGCCAAAGCCGATTGGTTTTCGGCAAACTTACCACCACGGGGGGAGGACGAAGACGAAGAAGCCATCGCTGTCGCTTGTCAACAACGACGTCCTGGAGCACGATGAAAGAAATGGAGATTTTGAAGTGAGTTGGGCGACCCGTTCCAAATTAGCGCCAAGAGATCAGATTCACATTCACTACTAACGCGTCTATAGTTCGGATGGGCGGGCATCGAAAGAACAACGCCATGTAGACGACGGGAATTGAACGTCTGATGTCCCCTCTCTCCTTCAACTCCTTTGTGTGAGGCAGCCTTCTCAAGGCAGATCTACAAATTTGCGTACTCCATTCTGTCTCCCGCCTTTTTTACTAGTGAAGTTGGAAAAGGTGACCTCCCAAAGGCTAATGCCAAAGAATAGACAAATATATTCTGGTCAGCACATCGGGTCACGAACTGGTCTGAAGAGTATAAAATGGGGTGTACAGGGTGCTAGCCCGAGGCCATGGGCAGGTACTCGTGGTCTGTCTGTCGGCTGCAATGAACGTTGATTCTGTAGGCGAGGGACAAAGATTTGACGTACGCTGTCTCGTTGCGTACCCATGCGATGTGCTCTTCGAAGAAAAGGAGACGCTTCTTTCGGTAGGTGCATTATCGATCCCTTTTCTATGTGAACCTCACTATATCATCACTTGGAGACCAAGAAGACTCATCGAGCCCCAAAGTTCCAGTTCGTCGAGCTGGCCTTACCAATATATTCACCAGGATACTGAATAGGGATCAAAGATACGCTCTCTGCGATCCCAGCCATCCCAAGCCTTCTTTTCAGAGAGACTTCGTTAAGCACACTCTGAATACACTCCTCAAAGTCTACATGTCTCCCTCATACGGCGGCCGACCTCCATATTTGCATTCCCCAAAGTTGAAACATTATGAGGTCTGCGCCGCATTCTGCGTCAGGCGCAGGGTTACTTGTAGTGTGACATGCTGATGTTTCTGCATTGCCTATACATTTAAATTCACAATCACTGCTGAATATCAAACCTTGAAGTGGTTGATGAGCATTAAGCCTAGCTACTCAGTAGAAATGTGTGGTGGTGAACTTCTGGGCCTGCGAGGCTGAGCTAAAAAATGACCCCCACCAACCAAGAATTCTGGTTTGAGCGACAATGGAAAAATCTTGGCGGCGCACACATTCCACACTTCTAGACACGTCCAATTCATCGCTTTCCGATCTCCTCCAGTTCATCTCAGCTTCGAGCCTTCCATCGCACCACGAGACTTTCGAGAAGTCTCTTCCAAGCGACAAGATGTATGAGAGAATCCCTGCATGTTGCTGCGGAATTGGGTCTGCAGCGCAAAATGCTGATTCGGGGATTTCATAGTGAACCAAAATAATTCTTGGGACGGTCTCAAGTCGGCAACATGCCTTTCACCAAGCTGTAAGTGCAAGAGTTCGAGTGTCCTGATGGAATTTCCAGTTCCTGGAGCTGACATACGTCTACGACAGCGTCAAGAACTCCCCTTACTACTCTCGCTTCCAGACCAAGTACAAGCGTAGACGGGCCGGCAAGGTACGGTGATGAAGCTGCACTCCTCTTGCTACAGATTGATGGGCTGACACTGAAATCAGACCGACTACTATGCTCGTAAGCGATTGATCAGCCAGGCCAAGAACAAGTACAACGCCCCCAAGTACCGCCTTGTCGTCCGCTTCACCAACCGAGATATCATCTGCCAATTGGTTACTGCGGAGATCACGGGCGACAAGGTCTTTGTTGCCGCCTACTCGCACGAGCTCAAGAGATATGGTATCAGCAATGGCTTGACCAACTGGTCTGCCGCATATGCTACTGGCTTGCTGTTGGCCCGCCGTGCTCTCACGAAGTTGAAGCTGGATGAGCAGTTCACGGGTGTGGATGAGCCGGATGGAGAATACAAGCTCACCGAAGCTGCTGAGGAGGACGGAGAGGAACGTCGTCCCTTCAAGTGCTTCCTTGATGTGGGTCTGCACCGTACCTCTACGGGCGCCCGTGTCTTCGGTGCGATGAAGGGAGCATCTGACGGCGGGTTGTACATCCCCCACAACGAGAAGCGATTCCCGGGCTACGACCAAGAAAGCAAGGAACTGGACAGCGACCTCCTGCGCAAGTACATCTTCGGCGGTCATGTGGCCGAGTACATGGAAACTCTGGCAGATGATGACGAAGAGCGCTACAAGTCTCAATTCGTGAAGTACATCGATGCCGAGATCGAGGCGGATGGACTTGAGGATATGTACACCGAGGCCCACTCTGCTATCCGCGAGGATCCTTTCAAGAAGGACGAAGATGAAGGCGACAAGAAGTCCAAGGAGGAGTGGAAGGCAGAGGGCAAGAAATACAAGGTTTCCAAGATGTCCAAGGAGGAGAAGGACCGCCGAGTCAAGGAGAAAATTGCGACTCTTGCTTCCTGAGTGCATTGACCGTGGCAGCGGAAAAAGGAGTTAATTCGGCACTGTTGAGAAGGGCTCATATGAGGGTTGTTGATGACTTGGAGTCAGGAGATGCGGGACCACAATGTGTGGCATTCGCCAAAAGACTCAACCGAACCGTACTGTGTAGATGCCCGTGATGAGCCTGGGACGGAGTTCCTTCCACGAAATCTGATGCCTGGCTTGCTAGAGGCCATCTGAGATGACGAGAAGGTACAGATAGTCATGGATCAGAAGAATGTCGATCCAAGCTACTTTGACACCGCAGCAATCTGCCGAATTTGTTGCGGGAATAGACTGCGGGCATCCCAAGTAATAATCCCATGTAATTTGCCCGAACAGTAATATTCTCGTTTTGCCAGAATGTGCGACAAGTCTTACTGGTAGGCCGGTAGGTCCGCTGATTACCCATTTTCGCTCTTTATCGAGTCCAGCCGCTCTGGGCGCCATGGTCTCGACGCTATCTGACATAAGATGCTGACCTGAACCAGCCAACTTGGGGGGCCCCTTAGGTGCCTTTGGGTGCCTCTAGGAGCCTCCGAATCGACCCTTACTGTGCCTGGTGGGTTTGCGAGCCCCCATGCCTAATGCCCCAGAAGCTGTTGGGTGGTTCTCGCAAGGCCTTCTACTGGAGACAGGTCTAAGCAGAGCTGTCCAACTAAGCAATCCGGCAAGCAAGGGCAGGGGGCCCCATATGCCAGGCACCACGGCCATGACACGAGTGGTGTCCCAGTGTTGACCAGTAACCAATGTCGGTGGCACTGTTTGCATGTGTGTCATCAGGGCTCATCATCACACTGCAGGGTTTGGAAACAAGATGAGAGATATATTATGGCTTTGGTCGATGGCCATTTTTTTTCTCCTGCGACCCCGTGAACTTCTTGGTCCTTTTCTTTTCTTCCTCGGCCGGGTCACGCGTGCAGCAGAGCGCGGGCATTTCGGGGGCGCCATCATTAATAAGGGAACGCTCGAGAAGCGAGAAAGCGTCGGCTGGGGATTCTCTTGGACAAGTGACGCCAACGAGGGAGGGTTCCGTGACGACGGTTTCCGAAATCCCACGATCTCCTCCGAGAGTTTTGCCGCTGTGTGCTGGAGAGTCGTTTGCTGCATCATCGCCTTCTGATAGTGACGCTGTGTCGGTGGATGGTGACAATGACCGCATAGAGGCACCAGAAGCTGAAAGCCAGAGTTCGCAGTGGTGTCAGTGGTGCATGTCAGTTGGTCCACTTCCCTGGATCCCCTCTTGTTGCACCCATTCAGCACACTCCACCATCCTCTGCCACCTCCAGCTATTATTCCCGAACCGGGGCACTCGTCGACGCATTGGACCTTTGGCCGCACCGCAGTCACGGCACGCCTCCCCAAGCTTATCGAGTTACCACCGCGGGCTGGGTTGTCAGTGGCGGCCGAATCCTGCCACAAGATCCCAAAAGCCCAGACCGAAGTCGATCGCGATTTCTGGCCAACAACAATAGCCGCATTGCTTTCCTGCACCTTTAACCCCGCCGGCCGCCCTGCACAGACCATCGTCGCCCGTCATCCAGCTCCCCTCAAGTTCGATAACCAACCCTTCCCTTTCCGACATCCGTCCTCGGTCCAGCCTATATGACATCCCTAGAGCAGAGTATCCTATTCTGATCCTCGCGGCGTCTGCGCATTACCTCAGTCACAATGGCTGCGGCCACCGAAAGTGGTCTGGACGTCGACTGGCTGTTGCATTCCAAGAAAGGTGTGGTCCCACAATGTCGGCTCTCAGTTGCGCCTGCTTTTGCTTCGTCTGAACAGCCACTGTTGAAGAGAAGGGATGCACTGACCTTTACACCAGATTTGGCACATTCGGTGGGAGACAGAAATGGCCGAAAGCCAGATTCACAGTCCTCCACAGCCTCCCGAGGCAATCAGCGCGAGCCTCTCCCTGCGCAACCTCGACCTGATCACACACCACTTAAAGAAACGCAAAATGGAATCCCTCCAGCAGTCCAGCAACAAAAGTCTACAGTCACCGTCAATGGCAAGGAGAACCACTCACAGCCTACGCCGCCGAAGACAGGCCCGACTGTCTCCCAGCCTACCCAGATCCAATCCCCCAGACCCACGATGTCGAAAGGCCAAAGTACGGAGGACAGCAAAAAAGGCCTGAGGCCAGGTACCCCCAACAAGAAGGAGGGCAGAAGGAGTTCGTGGATTGCGAGTTTCAGCTCCAAGTTCTCTTCTGCAAATTCACCGACACCTTCTCGCAATTCTAGCATCGATGTACAACAAGCGAACAATACCCTAACGGCGTCTCCTCAGCCAAGTCCGAAGATCGAGTTAACGAATCCATTCGAGAAGAATCGATCACCTAAAGATGGACAAAAAGAGGCCAAAAAGGAAGAATCCAAACCACCTGTCGTCACCCATACTGCTCCTCGGCGACCTTCTGTCCTCGTCGCTGCCGGGAAAGAAACAAAATTAGAGCATCCTGGATTTCTGTCGAGTGCGCTCCGGAGACTGTCTTCCTCCACCAGCACTACCATGGGTAAAGGCGCAACCAGTGGAGCAATCTGTCCAAGAAGGGTTATGAACGTCGACCCCAACCGTGAACGCATCAAGATCAGCGAGTTTGACCAGAACAAGCTCAAGAGAGTGTCTTTTTGCGTAGACGTAGAGATTGCTGGATTTGCTTCTCAGGCCGACGAAGACCCAGAGCAGTATCATCGCCCAGCTGTGTCAAACGCCCAGAAGCAGAACATCTCCACATCCGACAAGCAAGTAACCAGCAACAAGGATTCAAAGGACGCAAGGACCAAAGAGAAAGGTGAAGGGGCGGCCTTGAAGGCCCCTCAACCGGTAGCCGAGGAAAAGGAAAAGGAGGAGGTAGAGCCGACTAAACCACAGCCAGAACCTCAGGCTCAGCCACCGGAGGAGAAAAAGGAGGAAAAAGACAAAGACACATCAGAAACGCTGCAAGGCCCCGAACCTCTCGCCGTGCCCGGAACACGAAAAAAGGAGAAAAAGAAACGGTCAGAAGCCGAGCGCAAAGAACGTAAAGAGCGAAAAAGACGACACGCTGAAGCAAACGGTCTGGTGCCCCTGGAGTTGACTCGGGAAGACGATGATTCGGACTCAAATTCAAGCGCAACACCACCAGGCGCCTCAACACCCAGCAGGCGGTCTGCGGAAGGGACTGATGGTCGTACGACGGATCCTCTAAGGATATACAAGCGCTGTTGTCAGTTGCGCGAAACCACGGTTCTAAGCAAAGTCAAAGAGCAAATATCCAAGCCTTCCGCAGGTGTGGCAGAAGCCCCTGGGACCGTGGCCGTGATGGATCTTTCGGGGTTTCAGATGCAGCTGCAAGATATTGTAACTTTGGGCGACTGGCTCGCTATCGTTCCTGTCCGGAAACTCGTCCTAGACAACTGTGGGCTGACAGACGAGGGCGTCCGAGTGGTTTTGTCGGGCCTTTCGAGTTGCAAATCTGCAGAACAAACTCGACAGAACAGGAAATTGCCGAAGAGACTGAGCGGGAAGAGCGGCAAGGAGCAAATGGGTGTTATCGAGAAGCTCTCTTTGAAGGACAACCCCGGGATTACGAATCTGGGATGGAGACACATTGCTCTTTTCATGCATATGTCACGGTCGCTAAGGGCTATTGACCTGTCGGGGATCCAATTTCCCAAGGCAGGCGATCTCTCACGCACAGTCTCTACAACGAGTTCCAACAGCAGTGGATCAAATGACACAAACTCGAAAGTGATGGATCTGGGGACTCTGATTATCTACGCATTGTCTGAGCGTTTGGGCGACAAACTTGAAGAGCTGATCCTCAGTGACTGCGGCCTCGCTGCTGCCAATATTCGAGACCTAGTGGACTGCGCCATCAAATGCAAGATCCGACGGCTGGGTCTTTCGGGCAACAACCTGGAGCAAGAAGCTCTCGGCTACCTCGTGCGATATATCAAGTCCGGCCACTGTGAGGGTCTCGATCTTGGAAGCAACGACCTACATGGAATTGCATATATCCTTGCAGAAGCTGCTGACAGAGATTGCCCCTTGTTTGCAATCAGCTTGTCAGATTGTAATTTGACGCCCGGCGATCTCAATTCGATCTTGATACCATTTGCAAAGTTGAAGAACCTCAAGTTCATCGACCTCTCCCGCAATATGGCGTTGTTCAACAGTCAACCCAGCGCCGTCCCGGTCTTCCGCAAACTCCTCCCAAAATTGGCGCCTTTGAAGCGTCTCCATCTCTCAGATGTGGGCATGACGTCTGAACAAGTCATTGCTTTGGCCGAGATCCTGCCGGATTGCCCATCAATGGCCCATCTCAGCATCCTGGACAACGCGCCGCTGATTCACGCCATGAATTCGAGAGATGCTAGCTCACAAGAGGAGGCTTGCGCTTTCTTCGCATCCTTGATGACCGCTGTCAGGGTGTCAGAGACTATTGTCGCTGTGGAGATTGAAATGCCTAGTGCAGACAGTAGTGAGGTTGTCAAAGCACTGGCGTCACAGGTCGTGGCTTACAGCCTTCGAAATATGGAGCGCACAACTCTCAGCGAGGTCGGCGTCAAGCCGGACGAACTTACCGAGAAGGACGCCCCAGAAGTGTTGCTCCACCTCGTTGGTCATATGGACGGCTACGCGGCAAATTACGATAAGGACGAGCCAGCACCAGACGAGGACTATATGATTGCATCCACAGGCATTGTCAAAGCTTTGGGTGTCTGCTTGGATCGCAAGGACGGCAACAGTCGCGCACAGTCTAGAAATATCAGTCCTACGGCGAGTGGAACCTCCACGCCGCGAGGACCGCTCCGGCAGAGGACGGTATCCAAGCCTCGGGATGTGAGCTTGGAGCTCTGTGAGAGTGCGAGAAAGATCAGGCGAAGGTTGCAGCCTGTCCTGGTCAGAGAAGATCGGGCGGGAAATCACGACAACTATCGTAAGTCACACTCCGACAACTCGAAGGATATACCTTTCTAACAAACGTAAATAGGTCGTCTTTTCTTCCTCGACCAGACTCTTCAGCGGATGATACAGAGATTCGAGGACGAGTATCCCGAGACCAAAGTCACATCCTCGTCTCCTCCAACTGCCAACGGCATGCCTTCACCAGATCCATCGATGGGAGACACCTCTCTGCTATCGGGTTCGGTTGATTCCAACGGAATGCTGAAGATGGCTGATGCTGACGACTACTTCCCGGCCGAGCGTGAGGCACAAGACGAATATGCCCTGAAACTATCTCGAACGTCGTCCAATACGTCTCTTGCCGCCAAAGCTTTTACAGACGAAGAAGGCCGCATGCACCGTTTTGGACAGAGTATACGGAGAGAAGTTCTCAAACCTACGGGTATGGAAGATACTCTGCATGGATCCCATGTAACCGACTCGGACCCACCTCATCTGGCTGCCCTCCGGGCGAAGTTGGACGAATTCCGTGGCGAGGACATTCGGTACAAAGTCGAAAGGGAGGGCGCGGACAATGTCGTGCGCGAGCTAGGCTTGAACGCTCAAGAGCTTCTCATGCTGAGGGAGAAGGACCCCGAAGGCTTTGATGCTTTCAGAGAGTCGCAGCTGGCTGCGCAGATCAATGCGGGCTTGATTCCCGTGGACGAGATGAGGAGTGCGAAGGTGTGATTGACTGCCATCTGAGTGGCAGGGTGCAATGTGGAGACGGAGGTCTTGTATATCATGTTGGATGCTTGACGATATTTTGGCAATATGCCCTGTGAGCGATTCTGTTTTGAGATCGATCTATATGATGACGACGACGACTTTGACGAAAGGGGGTATCTCACCGGTACCAGACCTGGGCTATTACTTGGAGTAATGTTTCGATGTTAATTAGCCTGGACATGCATTCGGCTGCACGACGACGACTTGCCTGACGAACGAAGAAGAGGTGGAGCAGAACAGTGCAGAGCAGAGTAGAAAGGAATATACTCCCTTGCCTCGACCAGCATTGGCGACGACTACGATGAGCTCTGTCTTTCCTCTTTCAATTGTTGAGTATCTTGTATTCTTGATGGCCTCACATCGGTGCTGGAGGGCACAGCGCTTCTACCCTGATGGCTCCATCCGAACAATCTTATCGCAGTTGAATATACATCGTGGATCGAGAGCACTCTTCAAGCGACGCATCATATCGACTGCTGGCTTGCCCAATTCCTTTTCCAGATAATCTCTTTTCACAAGGCCAACGCCGTGTTCTCCTGTCGCAGTGCCTTGCATCTCTATCGCCCTCTCGACCATCCTGTGGACTACTCCTTCGGCGACAGGGCGCTTACCTTCGGGAAACAGGAGCAAAGAGTGAAAGTTGCCGTCGCCAACATGTCCAACTATCGAGCCCAGGAGTCCGGAGCCCACAATATCGGCCTTTGTCTCTTCGATAAGATCTGGCAGGCGACTCATGGGAACGGCGACGTCGGTAGTCCAGACTTTGTCTGTAGGTGACTGCCGTAAAGCCATCATTGACCAGAGAGCATTCTTCCTCGCCGACCACAACTCCTCTCGTTCAGCCTCATCACCGGCGAAACAATACGATGTCGAGCCGTTATCTTTTGAGATTTCGCCCACCAGCTTCGCAGTGTCTTCAACCATAAGGTCAGAGCTACCGGTAAACTTGAAGAAGAGACTAGGCTGTTCAGACCATTTGCGTTTCGTCAGGGCCGCTTCGTTAAGACTTCGCATCTGTACATCGTCCAGAATCTCGACGGCGGCGACTTGGATCCCGCGAGAGATGACTTCCTGAGCTGCTGAGGCGGCATGTCTGACAGAAGGAAAGGTGCAGACGGCAACGACCTCGCACTTTGGCTTCACCGCCAACTTCAATGTCGCCTCTGTTACCAACCCAAGTGTTCCTTCACTGCCAATGATAATCCTCGTGAGGTCATAGCCCGCGCTAGATTTCCTAGGCCTCTGTCTAGTTTTCACCACTGTGCCGTCAGCAAGTACGACGGTGAGTGAAAGCACCCAGTCTTTCATGGTCCCATAGGCTGCGGCATTTGTTCCTGAGCATCCCGTTCCAACCATTCCACCAATCATGGCACCGGGGCCGGGATCCGGTGGGAAGAAGAGATTCTTCTCTTCCAGTTCCTGGTTCAAATCCATCCAGCGAATGCCTGGCTGAACCGTGCAATCGAGGTCAATCGGATTGAGCTCGAGCACCTGATCCATTCGGGTAAAGTCGATACACACACCACCCATGGTGGGGATATATTGACCTTCGATGGACGTACCCCCAGAATACGGCGTCACCGGTATTCGGCGGCGGTGACATACTTTGACGATTTCCGCCACCTCTTCCGTGGTGGCAGGATACACGACAACCTGGCCTGGCGTTGCTGTCTCCTCGGTCCATGCGTATGACTGATAATCAGAACCCGAATGAGACAACAAGTCAGCGGCCACTGTTGATACGTTCTCTGCTCCCACGATGCTGGAGAATTCCTTACAAGCTTCTCTTATGTTTGTGGAAGAGAGATCGTGCTGAATCCGTGGTCCATCAGTGAGGCTTTGCGTGGATGAAGAGGATTCGTCGGTCCATCGTGAGAAGAGGTATCCCGCTGTACCGGCTCCTATCCCAGCTCCTGCGAGCCCGAGCGCCGGGAAGACTCCTGGGAAAGATCAGATCAATTCACAGACGAGCGCGGAGACTCTCTCTCCCTCTCTCTCTCTCGCGTGCGCAGATCAACGTACCCATAGTGTTTTTCATTCGCTGCGCCGACCTAGCTCCTCCTCCGCTCAGGCTCCTTGACCAAAATCTTGCATCTTGGCGGACAGGCTCTTTGAAGATAGCCCCAGCTCTCAATGAGCGCCTGAGAACTGTCCATGTTACGGAGTTGTTCATGCTGTATTGGCCTCGAAGGAAACAGTGGAAAAAGGACGGCAAATGCAAGGTGGATTTTGAGACGATCGGGGATGATTACGCTGGTCAGGTCTAGGTCCAGGTCATGGCCTAGGATGTTATATTGAATACCTCGCTAATTCCGATTTGTCTCTTGGCTATGAGGGCCTTCTTCGGTCCTCTGAGAGGAACCGAGATATGCGGAAAGTGTCCATCCTCGAGCCCTCACCGTTCACGAGAAGACGGGGCAAGGTCTAGGCCTTACTCCGCGTTTGAGGATACTCCTCCATTCGCATGATCAGGGCTGCCGACGACTATAGAGCTTGCCCGCCTGTGGTGGGGCCGACGGCTATGGCCATTGGCCATCGCCGAACCATAGGCGATGGACGGCGCCAATCATGGGATAACATCCATCATGGGGCAGTCGCACATCTAGCAAATCACACTCCAGAACTGAAAACCCAAGCGGGCCAGGCCAAGTCGACTATCACGGCAGGGTAGCATTTGGTTCCATTCTGGTTATCATGGCTCTTGTGGAGAATATCCTCAACCCGTAATAGTCGGACTCCCCGTGCATTCCCAAAGTTCGCGCCCGAAACCACAGGCTTCACGTGGGCACGACTATGCCAGTCGGGACATATATTTGTTCACCTCTGACCCCAGAAAAAAACCAGGCTAGTCCCTCCAGTATCCAGAGCCCTTCCTTCCGACAATCCACTATTATCTCCCCCTCTGTTTGCTCTTCATCACCATGCACGAGGAAAAGTCTGTGGTCTATCAAGAAGAAAATATGTCGGTCAAGGATGAGAAGTTCGAGAACGATGTACTGCCTGTCGTCGACGACCATTATGACACGAAGTTCGAAAAAAGAGTCCTCCGCAAGATTGATGTTCGCCTTCTCCCCATTCTAGGGGCGCTGTATACCATCTCCCTCGTTGATCGAAGCAATATCTCGGTGGCCCGGATCTCCGGGCTGGATGAAGATGTCGGCCTCGACGTCGGCAACCGTGCCAGCGTCGCGTTGATGGTCTTCTTTATTGGCTACGTCATTTTCGAGATACCCAGCAACATGTTTATTCACCATGTCGGAGCGGCGAATTGGCTAGCCTTTATCTGCTTTGCCTGGGGTCTTGTATCCATTGGCATTGGCTTTCTGCACAGCTGGGCCGGCCTTGCGGCCTGCCGCGCCATCCTGGGGATTCTGGAAGCCGGTTTCTTTCCCGGGTAAGCCCCAGATATTCAGGACAAGAGGAAAGGGCAGTTGAGATGCTGAACAAGACAACAGATGCGTCTACCTGGTTTCTTCTTGGTATTGCCGATACGAGGTCCAGAAACGCCTGGCAGGCTTCTTCCTGACCGCGTCCGCCCTGAGCGCATTCGCAAACATCCTAGCCTATGGCATCATACAAATCGCAAACCACACGAAGTACAAGGGTTGGCGATGGATCTTCATCATTGAAGGAGCAATTACCTGTGTCGCAGCGATCATTGCTTGGTTCATCATTATCGACTTTCCGCACTCGAAACGAAACAAATTCCTGTCCGCAGAGGAGAAGGAATTCGTCAGGGCTCGACTGGCAGATGATCGTGGGACAGAAGAGAGAGAAAAAGTGACGATGAAGGTTATTCTCAAGACTGCAGCCGACTGGAAAGTGTGGGCGTTTTCCTTGATGTAGTAAGTATTTCCCTTCACATCTTCCGTTTCTCACGAGGAGCCCGCTATGATCGTGGGAAGAAATTGACTGACTGGGAACCATTCACGGTGAAACAGCATGTCCGGGGCCGTGGGCGTGTATGCCTTCCTCTTTTTCCTCCCACTCATCCTGCGAAATGGGCTCGGGTATTCCCTGGAACTTTCGTTTGTTCTCTCTGCTCCGCCGTCTCTGTTCTCCGTCATCGAGGCCATGTTCGTCTCCTGGCTCGCCGACAAGACCAAAAGGCGAGGCCCATTCGTCATCTTCCAGGGATGCATCGGTATTATTGGGCTCTGCATGACCGGTTTCCTCGATGCCCCCACTCCCCGGTACATTGGCACGTTCATGGGAGTGTGTGGCGCCAACGGACTGGTGGTGACGACGCTTGCATGGCAGCAGAACAACATCGTCGGAGACAGCAAAAGAGCCGTTGGGACGGCAATCTTGATCAGCGTCAGTGGCGTGGGCGGCATCTACAGCTCTCTGGTTTTCCGGCAGCAGGTTCGTTTCTCGTGCCCTTTTGGCGGGTTTCAGAGGCTTACAGATGTGCTTTAGGATGCCCCCAACTACCTACCTGGGATCATGGCTGTTATGGCTACTTGTATCGCCACCGTGATCATTGCATGCGGCACCATCATCGCCCTCAGTTGGCAGAACAAGCAAGCGGATAGGGGAAAGAGAATCATTGAAGGCCGAGAAGGGTTTAGGTGGACAATCTAGGGGATCCGGGTTAATGTGTGACCTGAGGAAGCGTGTGATTTCTCTTTCGACGGAGCGTATGCCTGTGGGATGTGGAGAAGGGTGGGCATCGAAAGGCAGATTGCGCCTAGATACGAAATTATGGTAGTCAAACAAAACAAAGCTGTCATGAGACTTCTATTTAACATAATCCATATGCAGAAATCACTGTCACAAAAGGTATCACACTTAATTGCAAAGCCTTGTTATGATCAACTTGGTAGAAATTGCCCTGGAATATCCTCCAGATTCCCTTTTTGAGCCTTCCCGATCTGATGGGAATAGGGACTTGTTGTTTAGATGCAGCTCCAAAGCTCTGGCCAGTTGGACGCTAGAAACCCCCCCCCCCCCCAAAGCTGGGGGACTCCAGCTTGGGGTATCAACCGTGGAGGAATTCCCCTCAATATTCGACTTCTCACCGCCCAGCTCGGCTAGGTCGGCTAGAGGCCCGAATGGTTAAATTCAAGCAATTGAAAGCGACAGTTGCAAAGGTGATGATGATAAGCTTGCCGTCCCCGCACTTTGATGTTGTCCACATCGAACAACAGACACCCCAGACGCTGGTTCCCATGGGCTTTGCTTCTACCGTCTTTGTAATGCCCCAATTGTCGCCGGACGCCCCTCGCAAAAGGAGAGGCGCCGCTTGTGAAAGATGCCACCGGCGCAGAGTGAGGTGTGATGCTTCGGCGAACGGGGCGCCTTGTTCTGAATGTCAGAGAAGCAACTCCAGGGATTGCCAGATAGTTCCATCCAAACGCAGGAGGTAAGTTGGTAATCTAGGCATCAGAGCCTTCCGTTGACGAGTTACTCTCCGCAGAGGACCAGATGGCCGATACATTATGCCAGATTCAAACGGGGCCCAGTCACCCAGTCCTAGCACAGCAGATGATGGTGATGTACCCATGGCAGTACAGAAGGCGGCCGACCTGCGTGGGTCGATCACCAGCACAGCACGCGAGCCTGGAATTTCGTTGGACCTGGTCAGATTAGTCGGAGCCGAACATGACGGCCAACCCGGGGACCAGTCCAGCAGCAAACATGGGACGGTCGTTCCCGAACACCTTGGTAACATGGGCGATGAGTCGGGTTCACAGCCGGATACCAGAGCAAAGACTTTCGTGGGAGAGAGTTGGTATGCCTCCTACGTCCTGTCAACCTCAGCCGCAGGCCCCGCAGAACTCCATCGACCGATAGAGCGACGCCCCAAAATGTTCATTCCAGACGCTCAAGGCTTGGGGTCCGGGAAGCCTTCAGCTATAAGGTCAAAGAAAGTACCGCCCGCGGACCTCCCTCCTCAGCATCTCACCGAGCGCCTCCTCGAAGCGTATTTCAAACGATTTCACGTCTACTGTCCCATCCTCGATCGCCGCTCTTTTCTTGCGACGGTCCGAGACGGAACTGTATCCGTTGTCCTTCTAAGATGCGTCCTCTTCGTGGCCTCAATCCACTGCGACCCCGAGGTATTCCACCTCATGGGTTATGGAACGCGCTTTGATGCCATTGATGAGCTGTTTGGCAAGGCGGTGACCTCTTTCGATACAGACCAGGAGTCGGACCGCACTACCATGGTGCTCTCCTCTTACTTACTGCACTACTACTTTGGAAAGCCCAGCTCGTATCGAGATACACTATGGTGGCTAGCAACCGCCATCCGTTCCGCCCAGTGTATGGGATATCACCGAAATACCAGGCAGAGTAGTATGCCCCAAAGAGACAAGGCGCAGTGGAAGAGAGTATGGTGGTGCTTATACGTGAGTGATCCACCATCGTCAAGAGCTAGCGTTGCTGATGCTTCAAGATTCGTGATCGTCAAGTCTGCCTTTCGACCGGGGCGCCGATGGTCATCAATGACCTTGATCACGACGTCGAAGATTTGACAATCGAGGACTTTCCCGACGAGTCTCCGGAAACAGCTCAATATATAATTGCTCAAGCTAGCCTTAACAAAGCAGGTGAGTTTTGGCTGTGATCTCTCTCTCTCTCCTCCAATTTCTCACCTCGTTAGCTTCGAGCATGTTTTTCCGTTATTGCTCGCCCTCACAACTACATTTGAGCTATAACGCCTCGACCCGACTAGCTGCGAGACAAGCGATTCAGTCTATACTGGAGGAGTGGTACGCCACCTGTCTATGTCAGGGAGGTCATGATAATTATCATCACTTGGCGTTGACGGTGAAAGTTTGCTACCAGTGAGCAAGCTGTCCATCTGGAAAAGAAGTATTTTAACAGGTCCTTAGCTATTACATTATCAACCTTCAACAGCGACTACAACGACTATGTCCCAGACCATTCGCGGACTCGGATGGATCAAAGATGATTCTAGAGGCTGCAAAGAATGTCTCCAATTTGGTCGAGGACTCCCTCTTATATTGGACCCCGGAGCATTTTCCCATGATATAGTGGGTTCCTCCCCTCTGACTCCCTGAGATGCCGTGTATTTTAATTCTGACATTTATCAAAGCATTTCCGCCGTCTTCACGGCGATGACGGCGCAAGTCGCTGAGTGCGGAGTCTCGGGCCGGAACCGCCAACAACTCTCGCAGAAATTGCGGCCGACCCTTCTATCCCTCAAGCAGTTTGAGCAATGCTATGTCCTTGCCCGCTGGATTCGCAACATGTTCATGGACATCATCAACAGACCGAGCCGGCCAAGCAACGAGACGACGCGGACGTCTGAGATCCCCCGAATCGACAGCCGCATGAACGAACTGCAACCATTAGCCGAACGCGACCTGCATTCTCTCGCACAAACCAACATGACCATCTCTGACTCGGGAACAGTCCCCGCCACAGAAACCTTGTATCCCTTCAGCGAAGAAAGAGCATCCCACAATATAGCCAGCCACGATTTTTCTTTCGTCTGCTCAGGCCCATACGGCCAATCAGCTTCACCAACCGGCTACCTCATCGACACCCTTATCCCCAACTCTCCTCCGAACGATTTCTTCCCTCCACTGGCCAGCTTTGAAGGCGTGAACATGACGGATTTTCCCTCGCCGAGCTCCATGGAATATCAGAGTCTTCATTTCCTTGCCGAGCTGGGATTGTGTGGGTTGAGCAACCCTAGTTGAGCAAAGTATATCGAATCACCGAGAATTTAATGGCTGGAGAAAGAAAAGCCGTACGGGTTGGGGAATTCGAGAAGGGCCCCTTTGTTGTCGAACATCTTGATACAAGGACTTGGCGATAGTTCAAATGGGGAAAACTAAAGAATCACGAGCATCAAAGTAAAACTGTTCTCCTCTTTCTTAGCGATGACATGATCGTGGTTGAATTTGGCTACTTCGTCAAGCTTTTCCATCGACGACCTCGGCATGGCTTCCACTCGGGCGACTATGAAAAATCTACAATACGGCAGTGTTACCCAATTCATCAACGGGACCACTCACTCACCCCTGGCTCCGGTCAGGATACCTGATCCTGTCTCGCCGAGGCTCCTTCGCAAGCGATTAGTAGATTGATCCGAAGATGAGATCGAGGGATTCATGACTTTCAGGACTCGGAAAGATAAGGACGTCGTCACAACCGGAGATGCTGAGAGCGCCTCCAAGTGAACCCTTTCACATTTGCTGGAAGCCGAGTTGGTTAGCGGGCGCAGTGAGGACGCATCGAAAACTTACCCCCGCCGATGCCGCCATTCAGCGTTGCCGAAGTGGCAAAGCTTGCCCGCCTGGAGAGGTACCCGCTCGAAATGCACCGTCTTCGGCTATGGTGATTGGGAATAGTCAAGCAGAGAAGGCTGGCGGAAATTGGAAGACGATGTCCCTGGTATTGGTGCAACGGATCGACGATTTCGTTCGACGGTTTTGCGTTTTCGTCAACTCGTGGGAAGCCTCAAGTGCGGTGTTACCGGCACAGGGTCGCTGAAGAACTACCAATCCGTTGACCGATGCGAGAAGAAAAAGGTATTTGGGCTCTCGATTTTGGTGGCAGTTAATAGTGCTAAGTGGATTATCCCTTTTGTTCTGTTATTGAGCAAAATAGGGTTAATCCGCTCCAAGCTAGCCCCAGTAGCACGGTATGAAGGCGGCCAGTCACATCGTTAATGGGTTCCACCCCAGTACGTCGTATGGTGCACGTACAAAAGTTAGGACTAAGCGCACACAATGTCTACACGGGCATTCGGAAGCTCGGCTCGTCCTCCAAAGCCACTTACCCTTAATATTCTGGGATAACCAAGGTATGGGAATTTACTTTTCTCCTAATCGCGAAGACATTCCTAGCCACCCATTTCCCCCAGATCCGGGGAATGTGGATACCAGAGATGTCCAGGACCATAGCCGATGGGCCGGAGGGATCGAGATTTTGAAAGACTCCAAGAATCATGCATGAGAGGGAAGTATTTTTTTGCGTCCTATATGTGGTATGTCCCCTTCGATGCTCGCACGAAGATTCATGTGCCGGTATTGAGGCGGCAACAGATGAACATTCTCAGTCTTATCTCTCCCTTGGTACGAAACATCGGGCGACATGTCTATCCGTGTTCAAGCTCTCTTTTGCTCCGTGGCCGTCCTGGTTTCGGCCCTGGTGGACCAGGGCAATTCTCTGTTCATCGAGAAACGGCAGGCAGCCATTGCGTGTGCAGACATTCCAGCGCCGATATTACCTGGTGCCCAGATTCTGAGTGTGCATGGCGCAGAACGACATAATGTCTCGGGTCAATTCTCCAGCATGGGGATGGGCCTGACCCTGAACCAGACGGGCTTGAACTTCTGTGACGTGAACGTCACCTACACGCATCCCGGGGTGAATGACACCATCACCGCCCGATACTGGCTTCCTCTCAAAGCATGGAATGGCCGCTACCAATCCACGGGAGGGGGTGGGCTCAGCGCGGGCGGAACCACTCAGAACATGGGCTCGGCTCTCGCGGCGGGATTTTCGGCTGGCACGACAGACGGGGGACATTTGAGCAACGACGGCGTGCTGCCGAGCCCTCAGGCACTCCCAAGCCCTGGCCATATCGACTTCGGCTTGATTACCGACTTCTCTGGTCGGGGGCTACACGAAATGACGGTGATCGGGAAACAGGTTTCTGCCAGTTACTATGGCACTCCGCCCCATCATAGTTATTGGGCTGGATGCTCGACTGGAGGAAGACAGGGGTATATGATGGCCCAGCGCTATCCGGAAGATTTCGATGGCATTCTCGCAGACGCGCCAGCAGTCTATTGGGTGCCCATCATGATGCACCTTGAATACCCGTTGATCCTCATGAGACAAGAAGACTATTTTCCGACCCCTTGCGAGTTCGATGCCTTCACCAGCGCCGCGGTCCAGCTTTGTGATGGACTCGACGGATTTGTCGACGGCATCATTTCAGAACCTGATAGCTGTCCCTTTGACCCCCAGTCCCTGGTAGGAAAATCCATCACCTGCGATGGGAAGAACGTCACACTCAACCAGGCCACGGCGGCCATCTTTCAAGGGATCCACGACGGTTTCACCTCTCCTGGCGGTCGCAAGATGTGGTCCGGCTACAACTGGGGCACCGTCATGTCTCCGCTTCCCCCAAGCTCCACAAACCTCTCAGTGACTCTCGCGGCGATTGCAGACTCCTGGGCTCGGGTGATGGTGGAACAAGACAACCACTTCGACACGGCAGATTTGACCCGAGCGGACTGGATGGAAGTGTATATTCAGTCATACATCCATTACGGGGGCGTCATCGACACCGCCGATCCCGATCTGACCCCCTTCCGCGACCACGGAGGCAAACTATTGACCTGGCAAGGACTCGGCGACAATTCGGTCCCGCCCAACGGCACCAAGTACTATCGCAGTCTGGTCGAAGGGGTGGTCGGCGGCCCCGACGAAGCCAACGCGTTCCACCGCCTGTTCTTCGCCCCGGGAGTAGGGCACTGTGGCACCGGCACGGGGGCCATTCCCACCGACGCAATGGACAAATTGGTGGCATGGGTCGAACAAGGTCAAGCCCCGACCAACTTGTCAGGAACCTGGCAAACGTTGAATGGCATCGCCGGCCAGAGGCCCATCTGCATGTACCCACATGTTGCTCAATACAAAGGGCGTGGAGATATCACAGTAGAAAGCAGCTATGAGTGCGTCCAGAAGACCTGAGTTTCTTCTCCAGCCTGGGTATGCGATAAGAAAAGGACTGACGGCGGCCAGATCAGACGTTGTGATGGAGTGCCAGAACAACTGTATTGATACGGAGAATCTCTCGTGACAGTGGAGCGACCACGTTGAAGGCTTCGCAGAAAATGGAGTCCGTACACATTTACGTGGCAATCGTTTTCACATTCTCTGAATCATGAATTAGTCCATTCTCGCTTCCCTGTTTATCCGATATATCCCGTCTATCGGATATCCTGGCCCCTCGCCACCGCCTCTTTATGCAGCTTCCTTGGTGTTGATATCTCAGGGCGTAGTTGGTGATGATCACAAATCGTAAATGCTGGAAGACTATGATTCCTTGAATCTCTCTCGAGCAGCTCGCAAGCGAAATTATCTCGGATTCAGCAAACATCTTTGAGCACCCTCCTGATCGTTAGGCAAGAGTGTAATGAAGGGTCTAGGCCAGATCTAAGAGAGGTAAGGGGGTAATATTAATAGTAGGTTAAAGGGCTGATAGACCCATCTTAATCACTTGGGGTTATATCAGACCCGGTGGAGACGAATTCACCTGAGGATCTCTAACAATCGATGCGTTCTGGAACTGTCGAGCTCTTCATCTCTCGTCTTAGACTTTGAAATAATACCGAGATATTAATGTTGAAGACTCTTTGGCAATTGAACGTCGTCGAGAAGCCCTTCGAAACCCTCGAAAACCCATCTTTCGTCTCCGCGAGCGCAGAAGCTGAAGGAGCCCTTCCGCCTACATAGCTTTTTCAAGACACTCCACACCAGGGGGGGGGCGGGGGCGAAACGAACTCTTTGAAATGCATACATACCAACTCCTGTATCGAGGCGCTCTGGTCTCATCCTGCACCCGGCACGCCTCTGCTCATCACATGTGGCCCAGCCTAGAGCCTTGTCCCCCTCGTATCCACAATTGAAAACAGTAGTGGATTCGGTGATGGTGATGGTGATGGTGTTCGGCTATGGTGATTCGGCGGCGGTGGTGGTTCGGCGATGGGCGCTTCAGGTAATGGAGATACATACACACAATGCTGTCTCACGTGGCGACAGACAATATGTCGTGGGGAATCTGCTGCAGCGGGCCAAGCTTGGAGTCTTATGAACACTATCATTACCCTCGTACTATTTCACCTGCTAAACCGAAAAGCTATCGTACCTTGCTCATTCCAGATCAGAAGTTTCGGACTTCAGAATTCGCTACGGTACAGCAAAAAGCTCGCTATGGAGCGGAATGCCTCCGGCAGCCAGATGCCGTTAGAGATGGTCATTTGGTTCAGAGAAAGTTCGGTGGGAGCTCAGTCGTGGGAAAGATTTCGTAGAGGAAATTCTTCGCATGTTTGGGGGTCGTCTATATATGTAGGTATCCACAATGAAATGGTGTCGACTCTTCTTCCCCCCCCCCCCGGAGGAGGACACTGTGCATGTCCAAGTACAAATGGATGGACCTGTACCAACTGACTGACTCCTTCGCCGCACTAGTCAATTGGGTAGAGAAGGGGGATCGCTCCGGAAACCATTTACCGCGGCCTATACAGACGTCAACGGCACCCATTGGGCCAAAAAATCTTTGAACCTTTCCAAAAGTCTCGAGGTATGACGGTGAGGGTGACTCAAAGCTCGCAGCTAGCCACAGCTGTGCCGACTCGTATAGCCCCGTCTGAAAATTTAACAGTTCCGATACATAGCCATGTATTGAAGAATCGGGACCAGGAGAAAGTAGTGCAGGCCATAAACAGAATATACTAAGTGAGAACGCCTGAGCGTACGGGAAGGTTGCCATAGAGATAATATGTCACGAACAACTTATGTGGGCGGGTGGAAACCCGAAGAACGCAGAAAGCAAGCTCGAGGTCATCTGGTGTGCCGTATTCTCAAGATTTCATCCCGAGTCTATCCAGTCATCATCCCGAGCTTCTTGTGAGGATATCAGGACCCAGTGCTTACCAGGTGATAATAGGGACTAGCTCTGACAAAGGAGTAGGAGGGAGCGGACGAGGGAGCGAGTCGACTAAATGGTCGTTAGCGGAAGAGTAAAGCGGTGGGTAATCCGTCAGTTAAGTAGGCACAAAGGACGATGATACAGAGATTATATATATGTGTATATATCTAATCGTATGTAATTGTATGCTGCAACTTTTTTGGCGTCGTTGGTTCATTGGGTCATGGTTCATGGTCTCATCTCGTTATCATTCGTTGATTTGGCCGTTAAATTCATATCATGTTCGTGGCATCGCTCATATCACCAATTTCAGACCAGGTTCAAAAGGGGTCATGTGAAGGCCAGTCTCTGGCGAGCCGGCTAGCTGAACATCCTGGGGCGCACATGGATCGACATTCCTCGCATCCGTCAGATGGTGATGATTGAAGAGAGGTTCGCCATTCTGAGGACAGGTCATCCCCTCTTTGGCTGAGCCTGGAACCTGTCCGTCGTGGTGCGCAGCAGCGTGGAGAGCGCGTTCCGACTGTCCCAGTTGCGGATCGTCCAGATCTCGACCTCTTTGCCGTCCACAATCTGCCTGCTCGACTTCAGCGGTTCGCCCACGGCGGCTTCCTCGGCCTCGTTGAGCCAGTCGCTCCATGCCGGCGTCCTAGGAGCCCAGCCCGCCTCCTTGACCCAGTTGCTCGTCCCCGTCACGGCGATGGCCTTCCACAGCGCCTCGGTGTAGGTAGGTGAATAGTTATCGACTTTTGCACTCCGAGGCGGCGTGCCTCCGTGCACCTCGATATGCTCCACCTCGAGTCTGGACAGGTCCCAGTGCTGGGCGGGGGGTAGCGCGGCACCGATCCAGTAAAAGATGTTGATGAGCATGTACGACCCCGCAAAGGCTGTCTGGGTCTGGATCTTGGCGTTGGCCAGCGAGATCACCCCACCCATGAGCAATAGGGTCGATATCAAAGAGAGTCCTCTATAGATGGCCGTGCTTTTCACCGAGTAGATACAGCGCTCGCTGGGGTTGAAGTAGAGATACCGCGCTGTGCGTTCTTCGCAGCTCACCACAATAAACGCACCTTGGGGGTACTTGATGACCACGTCGCCGGGCGGGGAGTGAGGATCGGGTTTCGGGTCGTTGGGCGTGGGTGACCACTTGTTGGCGATACCGGTGACGGTGCTCAGGGCCGACAGTAGCACGGTCGCGAGCAACGACATTCTAAGAAGCGGTTGGTTCAGTGTGATGCTCCGGGGGGTCCCAACGGACCTTCAGACTTACCCGTCCTCGTAGTATATCGAAAGGCCCAACAATGCAGCGCTCATGGCCGCGCCCAGAAATGCCAACCAGGCCAACGGACCGAACCTCTTGATGGACGGACGAGGCTTGTTGTTTTCTTTGACCCGCACGCAACTGACAGTGTTTGGACGCAGCTTGTCACCCCGGTGCAAGGCGTGGGCCACATGGTGGATGTCTTCCCCGGTGTTACCAGAGTGGACTCCAATGACTTTGGCTCCCGCGGTGGTCTCTAACTTTTCCGGGCGAGAGGGTCTGATGAAGATCTGAGGCGCAGGGAGGAGGCGGGGGACGTAGATGAGGTAGCTCAGGGTAGCGACTTGGGCGATTGTCTCAACGGAACCTTCACCAAGGATGGCGAGGAAACCTGTATGAAGAGAGGAATGCTTAGCAGTTCTGATCTGGTGGATTTCCTGGGAGGGGTCGGTGTGCGTATAACCCGAATGGATTGGCTGTCGACTCACCAACGATGTCAAGCTGAAAGCCCTGGTTATTGCTGATGTACTGGTCGATGAACCGCATCCTGGCTCACTTTGGGCAGGAAAAAGCAAACTGCTGGTATATCACAACGCAGCATCGGGTTGTGGCGTGGCAAGAAATAGTCGGTGAACATGCAGAAACAGAGGGCGGCGGTCGACAGCCAAAAGCATCAGAGTGTAGGAGCCGGCAGCAGCGGCATTATGGCCCCCAAAAACAATACAAAACTCTTACCTCGATTCCAGCCACCCAGGCCAGCCTTGTGATGGAGGGAGGACAAGTGTTTGGTCCAAGAGAGTCTTTGGTGGCAGGTAAATGGGGACCCATGGAAGCGTTTCACAGTCAGCTATGCTGCAGCCAAGCCAAGTACGAGTAACCCGTTATCGGTCATAGGCTGATGCTGCCCTATGCTCACCCCAGGCCCGCGAGCTGGTAGGTCTGACCCCCACGTGACTCTACTGGGAGATCTCTGGCTTATGTCATCAATTCGGTCACGTGTCTACGCGTTCAAGGGTGGAACGAGGCTGGACCTGGCGAGTGACAGGGCTGACGAAGCCGGTGACTAGGCGATTTGTCGATGCAGTGTGTCTATTCCAACCATACCAACGAAGAACTTTCTTTGATGCTGCGTCCGTATAAATACGTATATGTAGATTTAGGAAGAATCGCCAGTGAAGCCAATTCTATCTTGGCTTGGGGTTTTATCACCCGTTTCCAAGGTTGAGTCCCTTACACGAACAGCCTCTTACAGAAACCGCCTCCATCTCCGATTGCGTCGAGCCCGGTTGACCTTGTCCATCACGTCCTTCGACCCAAATGCAAACCAGTTGACCGCCATTGTGCGCTTGATGTTGTCCAAAGTCTGCTCAACGGCCGCAATGAACTTCTCACTGGGCACGACATTGGCCTCAACCACGCTTGCCAAAGCCGCTAGAAACTCGCGCTGCAATGCCTGGTTGTCCTGCTTCTCTGGCTCATCGGCGACCAAGGCAAGTTTCTTCTGCCCATTCAAAGACAGGTGCCTCGTGGAAATACCGCCGGCGCCATCTGACGCGATGTACGCCTGCCCTATCCACAACCCAGCCGAGTTTGACTGCCAGTCCAGGTCAGTGTTCGTGTCGCGGATGACGTTGTGGTCGGTCGTGACCCTTTGGCAGACAAAGTGATCCGCGAGCTGGATCTGGAGAGGTAGAGGATCGGGGCCACCTTGAACTGGCGCGCTGCCACCGGCGTCAACACTGGCAATCTCTATTTCGCGGGTCGGTTCGAGGCAGAAGACGACCTTGGCGAGGATGATGGCGACCTCCAGCCCGATCCATGGGTATGCCCACGCCGTGAGGCCGACTATTAAGACGGTCGAAACCAAGTCAAGAACACCGCTGATGAGGATCAGGCCACCGGCAACCCTCAAGATTGGCTGCTCGTAATTCGCACGATACACTTGGAATCCGCTGAGGTTGTTGAGGTGGAAACTGAGGATTGCGCAAGTGACGTGCTCCCCAGCTGTAGGTATCTGAAGACAACGGTACTCAGGAGACCCCAACCGATTGAGCTGAACTTCAGATTTGCCCTGGCCGCGGGCAACTTGGGTCATGACTACAGCACCCAGCCACAGGCAGACACAGACGGTTTGCACGACGGTCAACAGCCGGCCAGTGCCCTCCGCCCCGTTCTGAACGGCCAGAAAGGTTTCCCCACTGTACAGGGCCAGATAGATGACGGATCCCACTAACAACCTCACGTAGTTGTTCTGCCTCAGTTGAACAGTGGACGCGCGCCCTCGTGCTTTGAACCACGCCTCGACCATGTAGGCTTCGGCGGGATTGTGGTTGATGATGAGGCTTGTCGTGTGACGTTCAGCTGTCCCCGAAGGGATATGCCGCAGCTTTGGCATGAATCGGTTCACGTACTCGTCGTGGGCGTAGGACAACTCGGCCACGGTGTTGCGGTAGAGCTCGAAACTCCACAGGAGGATGCCCAGCTGCAACTTAGACAACACGCGCCCGGCGCCAATTCCAGCCACCACAAACGATGCAGGAAGGGAGCGACTGGCGATGAGTTTGACATTCTGCACCTTACCCGTCAAGACGGGGAGAAGTGTAAGGATCGAATTCATGCCGTTTATGTTCTGGACCGCTGACTGCCAATCCCTTCCGTGTGCGCCAGTAGCGAGATCCCGAGGGAGGACAACAGCTCGAGTTAAACCAAGGATAGCAAGGAAAATTGTGGGAAGTTGAAGCATGTTTTCCCATTTCTCCCTCCTCTTCCCCTCCGCTTGTTCTTTGCACAGGTGAGAACATGGTCAAATCCCGTTGGGCTGAAAATTGCTTTAAATGCCCCCCGAATAACGTATCCTGTCTCAGGTCACTCAGGGTGATCAACACTCAGATCCAGGGGTAAGTGTTCCAGCCTCATTGCCTCCCATCAGGCTGAAAAGCCCAAAACGGCTTCTTGCATAGTACAGGGGCGGACACGTGTCTGTTTCCATGTATCCGATACGGCGTCATTGAAACGGTCACAGTCTTGTCGCCGCTGGAGTTTTCATACCCTCGTATTGCTTGTTGTGGGTCTCGAGACATGAACCCCATGACTAGGCTCTGTTGGTTGTTGAAACAAGGCAACTGGTCTGCAGAATTCCAAGCCAGTTCCTTACGAATGTCTCACCGCCCAATCATCCGGAAGTCGAAAGTCCGGCGGCAAGACGTATTGCCCACGACAATGACCAGGGCTTGAGCAGCCGTTGAGATTACAGCGGCCGTACAAGCGGCAGTAGCATTCGTCGGCGGGCGGGCATGCCAAGGAATTGAGCCGGTTTAGATCGATGTGAGAAGATTCGCCCCGCGGCATAAATAGGATGTGCCATATGTATGACAAGATGCGGCCAGCGATGCGGTCGTCAGGTGGTGCCGCCCTCTCGCCTTGGTCCAGCAGCCACTGGCGGAGAGCAACATATTCATCGCGGGAATGTTGCCGCATACGCTCTCGGGAAACGACAAATTGCGCGCAGCACTGCGACCGGATGGCGTCTGTACGACCCAGCAACAATCCCGCAGAGCCCTTCCCCCCATCTGCCCCATCGCTGCCGAATAGATCCACGATCGCACGCGGGAGTGCCCTGTCCGAGACCAAGCGTAAGTTCCACGGCTCGAGCACAGAGCGCGCCAGCGTTTCCAGGCTGCCCTGCGCAGGGGCCTCGGCAGGTGAACATGTGCTGGCGCTCCAGTCGCAACGTAGGTTGTGGTATCCGAACGGGGCGAGGGCGGCCGACACGTTCAAGGCGGCCAGGAGAGCTGCATTGTCGTAATCAGGAGCGTCATTGTGCCATGCCCAGCGAGAGCCGTGAACAAAGACGGCGCCAGCCGCAGGGAGGCGGTCGTAGTTGTCGATCAGGAAGGTGAGGTAGGCCATGGCTTCATGGCCCCGGTTCGCGGGCACTTGGAGATGCCATGAGGTCACGTCCTGGAGGTCAGTCCTGTACACGCACAGGTGGTAAGAGGCTGCCAGGGCGTCAAGCCATGAACGGTCTTCGGCGCCAACTCTTGCCACTACTAGTGTGGGCTTTGAGTTGTCTTCCAAGCCGGGACAGCTGCCGCGAGGTTCAGGGAGGGCGGTGGTGGAGGTCTTGTAGTGGATTCTAGCCCACGCGAAGGTCTTGGTAGTCGATCCCCAATCATGGTTGGCGTAGATGATGAGGAACAGGACTGTCCAGAACAAGAGGGCGTTGACTATCAGACTGCGCGTGGTCCGTCTCATTAGGAAAAATATCACAATGTCGCAATAGCAACATTCTATCGCAAGATGGTCAAATTGGAACGTGGAATGGGATGAAAAAGAAAAGGATTCGCACCTGCAGCCGCGAGGTGCCGGGCGACCTTTATTAGAGCGGCGGCAGCTTGTTCCCCAAAATAGGTGCTTATCAAAACCCAGCCGCACGCCACAAATGCTAAGGATCATGGCAGTTGCAAGTCTCAATTGAACTCCCATCCAAGGGACGATTGGTATTCCAATGCTCACGGGCCCTTTATGAGGCTCCGGTGATCTATATGATGATGTTACATAAGAAGAATAATAACCTTGATACTAGTAACAACAGACAAAAGAGCCTCCCCTGAATTGTCAATAGTAGCGACAAGAAAAGAAATGTCCGTTGCCAGACGGGTTGTCAGTCTAGTGTGTGTCATCAGGTCATATATGCTTTTTGGGTATCTCTTGTGAAAATCAAACTCCCGCGCCATTGTGGTGGACCGTTGGTACAAAGTATGCGTGATGCATATGCAGTTCCCCTTACTTTTTGGTAACTTTCTCCTCGATCTCACGGTTAGATCGTCTGGCCGCATCCACCTCTTCGACACTGGACCCACGCTCCCTGCCTCGGTCACTTGACAGTCCGCGTGAAAGAAAATCTCGAAGCACGTTTGGTCGGGAAGTCCGCTCGTTGACGTCTTGCAATGACCAGGGCATCAGCTTGGGCTCCTGCTTGGCGATTTTGCAAAACAGAGTCGAGAATATGAACTCTTCTCCTTGTCCGTTAAACAGGGGGAGATGTCGGTATCCTTTCTGCAGGCTGCCGAGCTTGGCTGTAAACGCCGCGAGCTGTCTGACACCTTTGCCCGTGTGCCTTCCGTCGTCCGAGTTCAGGACGATGAAACGAACGAAGACAAGCTCGGGGTATTTGGTCTCAAGGCAGAGCTCAATGTTCTCGCCAAATTGAGGGTTGTACCCATTGCCAAACCGGATCTGGGTTTGCCGCCGATATGGTGATCCAATGCCATGGTAACCGTTGGAGTAGGTCTCGGTGCCACCAGTGCCGTTTGCTATTCCCCGAGCTCGGTCCTCTGCGCTGAACATTTGAACCTCGATGAACGGATTCAAAGGAGTGTCCTTGCCCATGTTCGTCGCTCGGGGCAGTTGTTGAGCTGAAATCACTTGGACCGAGAACCTGATCTTATACCGAGGCAATTTCACTCGATGCTCGAAGTCTCCGGGCTTAGTACGGGGCTTTCTGAGGTAGTCCGGCTTCAACACATAGCCATACGCATCTGTTCCGGCAGCAAACATTGCCTGGTTCATCTGCATATGAGCGTCAAAAGTCTGCCAGTTGAGGGCAACCATCTGGACACCCCTCCTCCAGAAGGTGTTAGGATCAAAGTTGGACGACTGGAATCGCAGAGTCTTAGGATAGACCCGGCACAGGTGGTGAAGATTGTGATCCTCAAAGAGAGCTTTGTGCTCTGTCGAACGACAGATCTCAATGGCCCTGTTTTCGTTGAGTGAGAATATATGATTGTATTGCTGGAAGCGAAGGTCTTTGGCGTCGCGGAGAGTATAGCCTTTCATATAAACGCCGAGAGCAGACAGCTGGGAGCCCACTTTGCTCAGCTTCGGGGCACGGCGCTGATTCTCGATAGTTGAAGGCGAGGTGGGTGGGACATCACTCTCCTCATCGGGACTGCTGTCGCTCGTTGCCGTGACCGATCGGTCAGTCGGAGAGTAGATGGTCTCTGGGGGTGTGACCAATGCAGGACTCGAGACATATGGTACCTTTGGAAGGATCCAGTTTGTTGGTTGGGTATTGAGCCGGTTCGGAGAACTTGCGCTCCGATCTCGATTTGCGGGGCCAGGACGCCGCGAGGCCGTGAGGTCAGCGTGAAGCTCGGTGGACTTAACTTTGATGAGGATTTTGTACTTGAGGTCTTCGGGCGAAGGAAGTTGTGTGGTAAATCCGGGCAAAGGGTAAACAAGAAGCCGCTCTCCGAACACGTCATTCATGATGTGCACCATTTTGGCTTGTTGCTCGGCATCACAGTGGACTTCTAGAGAAATGATCACCGGGTAAGGGCTGACATCGAAGGCGCATCTTTGAATGGCGTTAATACAATCGGAGAAGAGCACGGAACTGGTCCTTGTGCGACCGTGAGTCACCCTCGGCTGACCGTCTTGACCGTTCCAGCAGTCAATTTCAACGCATCGACATCCGTGTCGCAACGCCGTGAGGTAGGTCTCGGCGGAGGCCGTGCCTCCCACTTGCCAACCGGTCAGATAGGTGTTGTGAGAGCTTGAAATAAAGTATTCGCCAAGAGGCTGATCAAACTTGGGAACGGAAGGTTCGGGAATGGAATAGACGTGGCAATCCTTGGAGACAATGAACGATGCAAAAGCGTTGGCGTCAATGAGACCGGATTTTTGCGTAGATGCATCCTCCGGGAAAGACATTGCTACCAAGTCGTTGATCTTCTCGTCCCAGACACTAGGGTCTGCAAGAGAGTGGATGTCAATCCCTTGATGGCGTTTCAGGAAGTTGACGAACTGAGACCTTGACACGCCCTTGGCATTATCGCCTCTCACGTCGTCGAAGATCTTCCTGATGTCGCTTCTTTCTCGAAGACGTCTCAGGAAGTCCCTGAATTGGGGATAGTCCAAGAGGTCTGACTTATTGACGTCAACGGAATGAAAATGTTCCTCCAACTCCCTCTCGGGAATGTGGATATGGAGTTTACGACAAAGCACCTGAATGGCAGGAAGGTCAAGCCCATCAGCCTTGGCCGTATTGGGTTTGACCGTCTGCTTCGCCATTTCATTGTCCCAGTGAGCTCGCACGACCGACTCGCGTTCGGTGGAGCCAACCATGCTCATCATCAGCTCCTCTCGGTGCTTTGCCAGGCTCTCTAATGTTTCGACCCAGAGTCGGAGGTCTCGGTGGTTGCGAGCAACAAGGTGCAATGACTTGACCTGCTTCGCCGAATCCGAGCTGGTATAGTTGATGGTGAAACACAGTTCGGGGTCGACGGCTTCACCTCGGAGCTGTGACTGGAAGCTCGCAGCTTCTTCGCCACTTCGGATGCTCTTAATGTTGTCAATATGGAAGACTTTGGTTGTCACAGCACCCTTCCACGAGACACGGGAGCCCTCGACGTCCATGAAGAATAGTTTCTCTTGCTTTTTATTCTTGGTAATCTTGGTCAATGGGCAACCGGCCACCAAGTGTTCTGGGACGCACGGAGCTTGGCCCTCGGGACTCGTGTCAATCAACGTCGTGGGCTCGCTGGAGATGCTCATGGCATCACCATACAGCCCCAACCCCGTCTGGAGGTCCAAGGGCAGGGCATCCAAGGACGGGGAGTCCATTGAGTAACCAATTGCAACGGCATTCTTGCTGTCACTTCGGCGTCTGGTGATTGGGCCTGTGCTTTCATCACGACGAGAATGCGCCGACGATGAAGCCTTTCTCCGCAGAGTCTGTCGAGCAGAGGACACGCCATCTTTGGCACTTTGGGAGAGCTTGCGCATGATTCCGACGGATCTGGGGCCGGCCGGGAGTTCCTTCGGAGGCGAGAAGACATGAGGAGAGACAAGGCTCTCGCCCAGCTCAAGTGGAACCGGGGTCCCAAGGTGAGGTAGGTGGTAGATTGAATGAGACACCAAGGGAGAAGATTGTATGGAGCTGATATAAGGGCTCTGGGTCATGGAGGATGCGCTGTTGGCAGAGGCTGGAGTGACAGAGGAGGATAGATGAAGAGCCGTGTTCACCCGCTGGTTTGAGGGCATGCGAGCCAAGACACGCGGATGAGGCGACGGGGAGTTGTCCCGGCTCCTCAGCGCCCTGGTAGAGGGCGAGGGGGTTGCAGAGATCATGGCCACGAAAGCCAGAAGGTAGAAGGATGAGGCCGGTTGTTGTTGTTGTTTTTTTCTCTCTTCTTTCTTTGGGCAACTAAGCTCAGGTTCGAGGGTGACAATGTCGGGGAGTCCAGCTCTGTCTATAGCGTTTTGACGGCTTCATTATGCTGTCTCGTGTACGGTGGGAGATCCGGATCAATGCCACCGAACTTGTAGAGAACTTAGCGCAGTAGCATTCAGCAGCCCTGGGCGAAGGCCATGTGGGCGTACGCCTGATGGTGGTGGTGTAGCGGCTCTCCGGATTTGTGATGGTGCAGCTGCAATGCACAGCCGGGGGGGAGGGGGTCCAGACGCAAGTACAACGCGTTGCTGTGCGGTAGCAGTGTCAGATCGAAGGTGCGCAAGGCGTCGAGAAGTCGAGGTTGGCCTTGCAGAAGTCGGGAGCTGGTGCGTGGGAGGCTAGCAGGTTTTTGAGTCGAGGGCGCAGCAGGCGCAATGCGGTGGTCGATGAGCACTGCACGCGGTGAGAGCGATGTAGCACGCAGTCAGATGGCCGGTCAGCTCGGGCGGACAAGAGGACTTCCAGCAAGTATAGAGGAAGAGTGACACGGCGGAGTTGGTGGGATGGCGTCTTCTGGGAGGCTTGTCCGCAGGGGGTGGGAAGTGTGCGCGGACGACTCGAACAAAGGAAGGGACGAGGCAGATGCAACAAGTGGGCAAGTCTGCTCCTAATTGGGGACGATACAGCAGTAATTAAATTATTTTCGTGTGCACAGCACAGCAGGAGGAGCAAGTGGACGGTTGGTCAGTGGTCCGCTGGAGGAGAAAATGAGTCAAGGGAGTGTCTGGGACGGTCGTGTTTGCAAGGCCAAATGCGAGAGAGGGAAAAAGGATAGGGCGGAGAAATGAGGATGAAATGAGGAATATGCACGAATGATGAATTTAGTGTGCGGGTGTGGGAGTCTGGGAGATGGCAGTGGATCGCAAGCTAGCAGCATTACTCGTACTACTCGTGCTAAGGCCGTGGGATATGGGCTCGATGGCTCGATGGGCTCGATGGAACCATGGTCCACGGCCAGGGCGTTCCCACGTTTCCTGTTCCTCGACAGGGCTCCCGTGGGCGCTCCCCCTTTTTAGGAAGCCTGGGCAGCTGGGCGGGAAGGGGAATGGTAACAGGCCTGTAAATGACCCGGTAATACATGGTAATATGGTGGTTAGGCAGACTGTCATTCATAAATCCTGCCTGGCTGGCCCAAGTTTTTGGTACCTGACCAGACTCTGGGTACCTGGCGAGCTCTGGGACTTGACCTCATCATCATCATTACCTTCTTCCTCAGATTCCTTCCTCCCAGTTCTATTTCGAGTGATTGCCAGTGTTGGTGTCCATGACACAGTACCGAGTACAACGGGCTCGACAACTGGCTTGAGTACTGTCTCCAGCCGCTACTACCAGGAAAGAGTCAGAAAACAAAACCCAAATTCCCCCTCCTTGAGATTTTTCTCTGTGACGCGGCCCCCTTGCTTCCTTGCTTTGCTTGTCTGCTTCCCTCCTTGCTCCCCTTGCTCCCCTTGCTCCCCTTGCTCCCAGGTTCCCTGGCTCAAGGTAGCCTCCGCGCTCCTCTCGTCTCTCGTCTTCCTCCAGCCCTGGTTCCGAGCACCACCAAGGAATAACCCATCATGCCTTCGCCCAGGGCTGCTTCTTCCACAGCGTTTCTGCCTTTTTCTTCGCCTCCACCTCTCGCTTGGTTAAACTCGGAAGAGTTGGCGGAGGCGGGTGGTCGACAGGGGCAAAAAAACCGCTCCTTCTGCACCAAACTCTCCTTGCTTTGCTTCTCCTCCTCTACTACCTCTTCCCGGGTTTTCACCTTTTTTTTTCTCTCTCCCCCTCGTAGAATCCAGGCAATCGCTTCCCTTGGCCCCTGGTCCCGGACAAAGAAGAAACAATCATGCCTGGCCAAACTACTACAGGGACATCAACTGCTAACGTACATACTTTGGCCACGGCTCTTCGACGCCCTTTTTGCCCTTGGTATGTTTCCGTCCTATCTCCCTTGTCCCTGTCAAACCCCCCCCCCCCCCGGTCTCGTAATGCGCAATTCTGCTATTTCATCCATCCTCGCTTCTTGGTGCATAATTTTTCGCCTCCCCAGGGTTCATCTGTTTGCCATCTCGAATCACGACAGAATCTTCCACTCATCTTCGGTCTTGGCTCGAGAAATGCGCCTGCGCCCATGTCCGTCTATTCCTGCCATTCTCCCCCTTTCTCTGGCAACCCCTAGCTCACTCTCCCGCTTACCCAACTTATTGTCCACCTTGAGTATTGACCCTCCAGATCATCCGGTTCTGTCCGTCACGATGTACAAGTATAGTAAAATGGTCCCATCAAACGGGCGATTGCCTAGGAGCGAGTCCATTGTAGTGAAGTCGGACTTAACTCACCAATTGTCATAATGGAGCACGTGCAAACTACCAGCTGGGAAGCCCCCATCGTCAGTTCAGCTGACGGCATGAGCTTCTACTGCAACACCGCTTTCTGGGTCAAGCAGATGGCTTGGACGGCATCTGGACGGCAGACACAAGTGCATGTCAAAAGCCTCGCCTCACCACTCCGCTGACCTGTTCTGCTGCACAGGACCCAATCTGGTCGTCTCAGTGTGTCCGCTGACGATGCATCCCTCCACATTCCTCCACGCCGACACGAACTCGTGAACCAGCAAAAGAACCGGCCCTTACGCATTCAAGAATCGCGCATCTGCAACCCGCCTGTCGCATCGTGCCGACCAGCTGCGGCTTAGGTCGCGCGGTGCAAGAACCCTTTGGACCGAGCTCGATCAAGAGCGCACGAGTTGACATGCATGGAATGGCGATTTCTGCACCGCGCCGCATACGTGGCAGATGCCATCTCCAATCTTTCTCGGATCCTCCGCTGCAGCTGCGAGTCAATAGCCTGCAAACCCCCACACTGATGACCACCGCTTGGACCAGATTACAATCTGGTGTTCACTCTGCGGAGCATCTAGAATGTGGCCCGCGTGCTTCTTGTTGTTGTGGTCGTGGTTGTGGTTGTTCGCACACGCACTCTCCTTCTAGCCTAGACTCGCCCATACCACAGAGGCGAGCCCATGCGCCGATCACAAAAAAAAGAGCCTGCGGTTTGACACAAAAATATGCTCTCTCTTCAGCCATTGAATCGAGGGACGGCGCAGTCTGACGAGGGAGGCCTGGCTTTCGACGGCCTTACGGCACTTCAACGTATCTGCCCTATGAAGTAATCAGCGGAGTCCCTTCGTTGGCATCTGGGGGCATTGCACGGTGCAGAGCAGATCATGCTGTCCTCCGTAGAAATCGAGTAGTTTCTCCTGCATGTCATATGTACAGCTGACTTAACATGGAAACAACGCTCGGTTGGGTGTCGGTGGAAGGTCTCTCGCACCAGTCCGACGGACTTTATTTGCGGGCGTGGTCGATCCTTGAAGGAGTGGTTGACTTGACCTGATGTCAGACTCGGATACTTTGACGGTGGATGGGAGACGTGGAAAATGCCCTTGAAATGACCGGTATTGGCGTATCCAAGAACCGACCCATCGGGCCTCACTAGCCCACGCTAGGCACCCATCATCCGTCCGGGCAGCCAACTTGATGGATTTCCCCCCCTTCCATCAACACTGCGGCACCGCCTCAACAAGTCCACAAGTCCACAAACCCACACGTCCCTAAGTCCGGGTTTCGGTCGACAAAAAGCTACCTGGACTATAATTCCTTCAATGCGACAGCGGCACCTGCTAGTCGTGTCCACGTTGCTTTCGGCCCCAGAAGATCGTCTCATTTAGGCGTCAACAAGAGTCCCTGCACACCTCTGTCGACCCCCCGGGCCACCTACGTGTCGGGCGCAGCCAAGAAGTTGCGAGATGAGATGGAGACGGACACTGGCAATTGGCACAGTCACCTTGAGCCAACCAAAGGCGGACGACGTACATACCTCGTGCCAGGCTGCTGACCCTGCCGTCTGAAGCGAGCCCTGACATTCCGGGCGCGGATACTGTGTACGACTACGAGCACTCATCCCCGAATGTGTCTGGCACTGATTATTGATCTATTCTTGTGTCTGCTCGCCCTGGAACCTGACTAGCCTCCTTTCTCCGCAACGCCGGTAAGGGAAAAAAAAATGACCTGTACCTGTTTCAGAAAAAGCTCAAGAGGTGGCAGCCAGGCCGATAACCGGATCGAAGGTGGATCGAGTTGACGTCGTGCTCCCTCGCTTGTCGGGTATGTCGGGCGCCCTCACTGGCCGGCAGATAAGACCAGAGCAGGACCTCCCTGACGGGCAGACGCACCCCGGATTTGACCACGCCTCCATCACATCATTTGTCCTGTGCGCCCAAACGCCCTAAAGCCTCGGCGGGACAGGGTGCCTTGTCCCAGCTGTCCTCTGACGTGGGGGGCCCCTGCCCAGCACCGGGCGACTAGGATACCCGTTGGCTCTCGTTTGGCCTTCATTGGTTGGGTGCCACCGCCGTGCACCAAAAGCCCTCTTGTTTTCAGCTCCCGGCCGCCCAAAAGCGAGCACCAATCCTCTGCAGCGAAGCTTCGACGGCTTCCTCCAGGTTTCTTTCTGGACCTCGCTTCCGCGCTCCGGCCGTTTCGACCTGCACCTCGAAGGAAATGGGCGTTCCGCGTACAGCTCAAATCGGGAAGGGTCAGCATCATTTCCAAAGTTTGCGCCGTGACGAGAGGCTGGAACACTCTTCCATCCGCAAACCTCACCCGTCTATTTGCGAAAGCCAGTCTTCGCTGTCACACCGCCCCGAGGTGCATCTTCCACTCTTTGCGTGTCCTATCCATGTCGATTCGTCAACCCGTTCGCGAATCGTGTCACTGAGCTCGCAACCGCACTATCCGTCACGAGACCAGTTAGTTCAATTATTCCAAGGAATTTCTTCTCTTCTCGGACGAATCAGAAAACCGGGCAATGGCAAAATCATCATCTGTCTGCATTACATACATCATTTTGGGGACGGGATTCGCCATTGTGCGCTGGCAAGCTCTGTTTTCGCTCCCTGCGTCCGGTGCATTCCCCCACTCGTAAGCGCCGTGGGATGTATACGGAGTACTTGGTTCCAATTCGCGCTGGTCTTTTCCAGAGTAAACATCCCTAGCACCTCGCGTACCAACGGTGTGGAGAAGTCCAGGCATTGTTCGGAAATGACTTATTGCAGTCAAATGCACTCGTGACCTTGATATGCGACCATCAATTCCTGGTTTAGAGATTGACACGTCACGGTCAGCAGCAGCAGGTTGATCGAAACACTTCTTGATAGGGGCAAATTTCCGGCCAGACAAAGGCGAGTCCCGGAGTCAAGCATCGCCAGGGGGAAAGTACTACGCGCTCGTGATAGACCGGCACCTCCTGTGATGACCATCAGCGACCAAGGACACGATTCGTACAAGATACGTGCTTGGGGTTGGATCGAAGCTACTGCCGCGCTTCAGCTTGCCTCTATTCCATCTCTCCCTGTCTGCCTTTCTCGAACAAGAACCCTCCGGATTATCCGACCTTGTGGGGCTGAAGTCCAGGTCATGATGATGATGCACTGGATGATACTTTTCTGGTGCCTCTGGAACCGTGCAAATAGGCTTGGGTGTGACGACGTTCAAGCTTACGTTTTGGGCGATTCTGGTCCTCGTTTTCCGCCTCTGGAGCCAATTCATTGGTGCTACCAAGCTGGACCGCACCGAGAAGTGGCATTCAGCTGCGGGTTTCTCTGTGGTTGACACAGGACTTGGACGTTGCCAGCCATTGCGTCCACCAAACCTGGATGCGCGAATTATCAGCCTGGTTTCGGTAGGCCCTTGCCCACGACAACCGCTCATCTGTGGGCATCCAAACGGCTACCACAGCCAAAACGGACCCTTGGGACACTGGTTCAAGTACCGTTACCCATTCTATATTTGACAACTATCTCGCCGGAGGATAGAAACTCCGGCAACTCCAGGGGTAATCCTTCGGGTTCAAGCAGCAATCCAAGCTATGTGGATATCCCCATCACCTGATAGACAACGAGGATCAAAGGGTCTGTCTGCCTTGGGATGATCGGGGTCTCCAAACTTGGGCCAAAACCTGAAACGCCAGAAATTTGGTCGACTGCGGAGAAACTCAGCCCCGGGACCGAAGTTGCCCATATCTTTCGCAATCTAAGTCCAAGATAAGGTTATCCTCCGACAAGCGATCGCTCTTCGAAAAGGGGCTGTCGCTTCCTTTAGTATTGCCTGCTGGACGAGATCAATTTCGAACCCCCACATCAAGGATGAGTGCAGCCTTCCTCGCCGATGGACTCCTGCAAGCAACTCAGGGTCCATCCCGGGTCAATTGATGGGGGAATGAGCAGCATGGCGAGGAAGCGCAGCCTGAAACTACTGGGACCTAGGCTAGCGCGGGTCCAGTATTGCTTGCGATGAGCCAAAACACACGCAAGTCGCATCAAACCTTTTGTCTAGTCATGACGCGGCCCTTCGAGTCGGTTACCAATGTTTGACAGTGTACTGACAGGTACGGCAGAAACAGGTATCAAGACCGTATCCTGGCCATCCAGAAATCTTGGCCATATCTCGCAAGGACAACTCGAGTTGTCGTGATTGCTGAGATGAAAGATCTCCACCGCAATCTTTCGGTCGCCGTTCATTGTTGGCATGATTATTATACACCGAGAGTGATCGTCCATCCGAAGACCATGATCTCGACCCTGTAGCGGGACGAAGGCCTCTCGTCAATCCTTTCATCAAAGACACAAAGAAGGGACACTTATCGTACAACGGTTGCTCTATGTCTTTCGTTGTCGGTAACACTCAGTTGATTTTCTGCCCTCTGCATAGGGCCGTCCAATAGACATCCGTTCCGACTATTATCTGCGTCACCGCAGGTACGGCTGCGCAAGGTGAAAGCTGCAGTCCGAAAGGCCCGTTACCCTCCGATTCGACTGGCTGCGCATTCATCCATTCGCGCAATGTCGTTCATGCAAGCAAACCGACGTGCGTGACGCGCGTGCGAGTCCCGAAATCCTATCGACGACTAACTTTTGGGCTTTATTCTTCCTTTTTCAGCTAACCTCCAATGGTGGCGAGGTGTGGCTACATTCGGATGCACCTATATGCTTCCGAAGTGGATGGCTGTGTCCTTGGTATGTATGGCTCGCGGGGAAAGATGAACGGTTTGGTCCAACCCAAGCTGGGCCTACATGCGAGCAATCGAACGATGATCCGAAAGCTTGAATAATTGATTGATTGAGTGACTGATTGAGATCGAAAAGTTTGCACTTGGTCGAGCCAAAGGGAAACGCATCCCCATTTGACAGTCGGTCTGTCTATCCGATACCTAGGTGTCCAGTCCTCGGTAGGTAGGTAGGTTGTGCATCTACTTGTTCAGCTGTCCCTGTCCTATCTAGACGTCACGGATCCGCGGGCCCGCAGCTGACAAGACGACATAGATATCCAGCTCGACGGTCCCTTCTCCTCAGGGCCCCAGCACCGGCAGCTCCGTCCGCTTGAACCCGACTGGAAAGAAAAGGCAGGGGAGCCAGCCCCAAGGGCCAGCGCAAGAGTCAAAGTCAAAGTCAAAGTTCAAATGCTAAGGCCCAATGCCCAAAGCCCAGCGCAAGTCCTGGCGCAAAACAATAACAATAACAACAACAAGAAAACGAAAAAAAAAGGATACATCAGCAAAGAGGAGCGTGGACTACTACTGGGCAAGGGAAAGCAAGGTAAGGTTTAAGAAAAAGGGACAGGAAATTAGAGAAGGCAGGAATCGAATCACGAAAAGTAGATCCCAGTCTCGAAAGGGGGTGGAGTATACAATCACAGCAAAGACGAGAGACAGGTCGTTTTCAATGTTTTGCATACCGACCAAGTGTTAGAACAACAAACATTTATCACTTCGTCATGGTTCCTGGGTCGTGCGAACACATGTCCAAAGCAGAGCGAGACATCATCTCTTTCGTCACTCGCCACCATCTCTTCAATTGAGACTTTGTCACATCAACCCAAAGCTCCGAAAACACATGGATGGTCCTTGTCATACATACGCCTTGCTGAAATCTCAAATGTCCGTAGTTCTACAACATACCAGTGCCAGACACATTACTCAGCTGTGACAAGCTCTCCGTTACCATACCAGGCACTCAGCCACATAGACTTTGAAGTCGTACGCAGAACGAGAAACTTCTCCCACAATCATGACAACCTCATGGCAGAGGTCACTGCATCACAAGAGTCCACTAACCGTCCGCAATCCGCCTCCTTTTTCTCGCTGTGCCCGTAACTGATGCCGCTGGAGTACTCGGCGCTGCTCCTTCATCCTCTTTCTCAACACTCTCCGAGTGTCTGAGGCTCGGGTTGGCGCTGACAACGACGCTCACATTCGCACTCCCATTTCCACTATGGCTCCCCAGTGCCGGTGCATGGGGTGTTGACTTCAAGGCGCTCGGAACCGGGGTCGCCGCGGCGTGCTCGGTCTCTGTATTCAACCCAGCACCCACGTTTCCCAGTCTTTCAAGCTCAAGCTCTTTCCACTTCTTAAGCTTGGTCATAACGTCCTCGAACATCTCTCGCGTGTCAGAGATTATGCCGATCTCCTCGCTGGGACTGCCTTCGTCTGATTCTTCGCTCTCTACCGATCCTGCGTCACGATCACCATCCACGTCGTGGGATTGGGGAGCAACATCTCCACCTCGTTTCCTTAGGCGTAGAGAGCGGCCGAATCCTCGTTCTGAGCTTGGCAAAGGGTTGAACATGACTGCATTTGCAAACATCCGAACGAGCTCCGTCTCGAGCTGCGCCGAGTTCACGATTCCTTTTGGAGGGACAAGGTCTTCTGTTGCTCCGACAATGTAGACTCCATTTCCCAGCGCCCTCTCGCCCCCCGTCGAATTCCCATCCAACGCAGTCGCGGCTGCCGTGGCATTGGCCGCAGAATTCTGCTCACTCTCACCTTCATTCCCTCCTACAGTTTTGCTTTCGGTTCTCTCTTCGAACGCCTCAATTGCCGCCAAAGCCGCTTTCCCTCCTTTCGTGATCGCCGCCTTGATGCTCTTCAGATCCTGGGGTTTTGATACAAGATGTTTATATCCCGGCGCATCGCGCTCGGAAAGCGGCTTGGCGAAGATGCTTGCGAGTTTGTGGGAGACGAGGTCATTCAGTAAGAGCTGAGCCGTTTTTGCGAAGCTTCTAGATACACAAACGAGTGAAGGATCGTGCGACATAGAGGCCGATAATTGGCGATGCACAGAGGGTTGAGAGAGCATACGTGTTGCTGCCGTGGTTGCTGGGGATGGTAACTGTGATACGAGCGACGCAGGAGGAGTGGCAGAATCGCGGTCTAGTGAACGCTTGCGTTTATTTGTGGCGGCAGCTGGTTGGACCAGATCAGCCTTGGTCGTCGCAGTCGTGGTTCGAGGTCTGCCTCGTCGAGTGCTGGTTCTTTGGGGCGGCTGCTCCGTGTCCGACGGTATTGGTACAGGAGTACTGGGTGGTTCAGCCTTGATCTTTTGAGCCTGTCCACCCTTCTTGCGCCTATCTGTGGGTGTATCCGACGTGAAAGAGGCAAGCGACTGTGATCGTGACCCAGCGAATGCGCTGGGGGTCGCACTTGTTGCTTGTCGGCCTCTCGCCGTCTGTGCAACTTCTCGAGTGGGAATGCTACTTTCTTCGGCCTTGTGGTCTGCCTTGCCGGGAGATTTGGTGACCTTTCCTCTCCGAGTCGGCGATTCCGTATCGGTGAGAGGACTAACCTCGCGCTCTGGTCGAGTCGGGCTGGATGGCCGTACACCAACGGGAACTTGAGAACGCCTCTTCCATGGCGTTGACGATCTTCCTCTCGGTAATGCTTGCCGCGAGTCGCTTCTAGGTACTGGTGTCACGTTCGCAGAACCAGGATAGCCATAGTATGGCTGACCAGGCTGTGGTGATGGCCATATTTGAGGATGTGGAGACTGCCCCTGGTAGTGGATCGGCGCACTTTGAGGATACGGGGCGTATCCCGGATGATGTGGAGTTTGATATGGTATTGTAGGCCGCCCAGGAGGTGATTGCATGTAATATGGAGAGTTAGGATATGGCGGAGGCTGGGCATACTGAGGCGGCATATGATGAGGCCAGGGAGGTTGCTGTGGGTACCCAGCATACCCTGGATATGGTTGTTGAGACTGCATTGGAATAGGAGATCCTCTTCCCTGACCAGATGCCGAACTTCCGCGCTTTTGAGGAGGAAATTCTGCAGGTGGAGGCATGTGAGGCGATCCCGCATACTGTGGTAATACCGGTACGGGTTGGCCTTGAGGACCAGGCTGAAAATGTTGGGGGTTAATAGCGCCATAGTTCGGTCGTTGAGGCGAAGGGACTGGAAGAGTGCGATGAAATGCTCCTGGCGACAGATGAGGATGTGCCTGAGGAGGTTGCGACGGTCTTATCGAAGCAGAGTCCGTTGATACTTTGGGAGCAAGGGTGGGAGTACTGGGTGCAGGAGAACGAGCAGGCGCTACAGGTTGGTGCAGGCTGCTGCGAACAGATGTAGGCGACGCCTCTGCATCTGGTGCTGGAGTCGCTGCCGCCGCGCTCGAGGTGAGCTGCTCGGTTCGATTGACCTCGAGGTTAGCAGGCAGCGCCGCGGCTGCGGCATCAGTGCTGCTCTCAACCGCTGGTGGCTTAGGGATTGCCTCTGCGGTCGTCTTGGGTGGTTCAACTTGTGCCCTTTTCGTTTCTTCAGTATCGGTTTGTTGCTTGTTATTGAGGTCTTCAGCCTTTTCCAGTTCTGCGATTTCAGCCTGCAATCTGAGATAGTCTTCCTCTTCCTGCCGAATCTCTTTTATGGTCTGCTCCCTGAAGCGAGCATACAGCTTGTCCACCAGTGCTTGCAGGATTCTTTGTTCATCTCCATCGTCGCCTCTAGTCGCGGCTGGAGATGGAGCTGGCGAAGTGGACAACTTTCGCTTTCGCGGATTTGTACCGTTTGGACCGTTGTCGCCATTGACCATGGAAAAGGTCTGCGCATTCCTTTCTTCGACCAGGAGCTCATGGTACAGTCCTTGCAGCGCTGCGGCCGTCAAACGAGTCTGGTCATATGTTTCGCTGTCCCGGATAAGTTGGTTGGCATTCAAGGCGGTCGCGATGCCCTCAAAGGCAGCAGTATCAGAGCCATGACAGGCAACAGATTGGCAGAAGGCGAGTGTCTCATAAGGCGTGTAGGCTTTTAGTGAAGGCATCCCATCGTCGCGGTGGTGGAAGGAAGAAGTCGCTCTGGTTACAGATGCGACCGAGCGTGCCTCTTTGGGAAGGTGAAACCACGATCCCTAGGGGGCAAAAAGGGCCCAGAAACGCGTCAAGGGACGGCCTGGGACGTCAAGGGCACCAGGAGGGTGGTGGTGGAGATGGAATGAAGGAAAATGTGGTGACACGAAATGAAAGTGCTCAGTGCTCAACGGTGAAATTTGCAAAATTGTTTGATGCGACAGACACGCTACACACTGTTTGGTGCGGGAAAGTGCAAGGCGTAGAGGAACGGAAAGCAGGTGATGCAACTGGTGCTAGCCTAGCCGAACGTTCTTGGACTTTTCGGTGCCCAGCGAGCGCCAGCTGCTCTCAGCGGTTTCAGGGTCACTAGGCGTAGGCGGTCAGTTACTCCGGGCTAGAGCCCGGGGATCGGCATGCCCCAATCATCTTGAGGAAGCCTAACACATCTAGTCGCTGCGCCCTAAACTCTCCCAGTGGTGGCCAGTCGTGCCAGTTCCTCAGGGACCATCTTGACCGGTGAACCCCTTTTGCTAGGATGCTGGGCGCGACAATCTCGTCAAGGATGCGGTCTGCCTCAGATGGCAGACAGGCAATCACGACCTCTACTCCTCCTCCATCGCACCTGGGCAGACGGCATGAACCAGTCTGCCTGAGGCTCAGCGCACTTCTTGCTCCCCAAGGCTTCCTTCACTTGACCTGCATCAAGTGACTCATTCGTTGATTTCGATCTGCTGCCTGTACGACTCATACGCAACTGCAACTATATCAATATCTCGACATCTTGGTTTCGCTTTTTGGCCCTTCGTTGTCCTCCTGTCCACCTCTTTCTTTACACGATATCATACACGACCGAACGATACAATGAGCGCATCCAACGAAGCCAATCCCGATGCGGGCTGGCAACCCAAAGGGCGCCCCCAATCGTGAGCCTCGCCCTGCAAGAAGCCGTCAAGGCAAACACCCAGAGGATTCCCGAGATGCTAACTCGATGATGCTGCCCAGAACAATCGCCCTTGACTTCTCTGCTGCCCTGGACGATCTTTTCAAGCTCAACGGCATTGGCGCACTGGAGGAATCTGTGGTTCAGAAGTACGCCATATCCTGGCCCTTCTCTCCCCCCCCCCTTTTGCCGAGCGAAATGTCACTGACAGCAATGCCTTGAAATGCAGACAAGACACAGTCCTCTCCCAAAGATACGAACTCGAGACACTCGAGACAAAACTGCGCGAAGCAGATGAGAAGCTGAAACGCCTTGAAGCAAACCACAGACGGCAGCAAAGCCAAATGATCACCAAGCAGAAACCCGTGTCTGCCGATACTTTCAATGCTGCAGACAATGAAACGGAGGAAGACAGCTCCGGAGACAGTGACGGTCAACAAGGGAGATCTCCTTCGTCAGGGAGAGCTCATGGGACCGGATAGGATCTCCCAAGAACATGACTGCCGGTTCCTGATTGTTCACTCATGCCAATCCCCGGTGTTGCTACATAAATGACGGTTGGGTTCGTACCTTGTTTGGCTTTGGGCTCGCAAACATACCCTTTTTGTGTTATGATGCATTGGGTAGAAATCAGGCTGTTTTGGCGTTTAGGGTACAATGAGGCTTCTCACGGTCCAGAGAGATCGAAGAATCTGCCTTCGTTGGACACATCTGTAGAGAGTACTCCATTGCTCTAATCCTAATGGTACAGCGACGAGATTCGCTTCTCACATTTTGCTCTTCGGCGGCGAGGTCTTGGTGATTACATGACATGTGTGGCTATTTCTGATGTCTCGAACGACATGGGTCGAATTTTGCTGTAGATTCTGTTTGCCCTGATTCGTCCACCAAAGCGAACCCGAACAAGTAGCCTCGTTAGTCCTATCAACCCCAGCCCCAGCACCACCAGGACGTCCTAAAAGTGCAGGGTGGCTTAGGCAATTCACGCACATTTTAACCCGGTGCATAGTCCTTAATGCAAGGCCCCCGCAGCGAAAGACGGCACACAATCATAAGACGTACTTGCGGTACGGGCAGGTCGTCAACCTCCTGCTCCCTTCCGCGGCGTGGATTAATCAGATATACGCGTCAATCCGGCCTTTTCCGGTATGGTGTGATTTTCTCGTCGCAGGGTGGGAGGTATCAAGAAACCTCTTCTGCCGTGCCCAGGTGCCTAGTCGACACGGTTTTGATAGCTGGATGTCCCGAGAGGTGGCCGGAAAGGGCAAACGGACGGCTTCAGAGTGCAAAGAGAATTCTCGACCTGGACAAGGAGTCCCGTTGGTTCTCGCCATAAGTACAAATTAGAGTTGAGAAGAGCCTGGCTGCGAGGGTTCCAGTTTGTTGTACAAGGTGGTTGTGTATATAACTGCCTCCCCAGAGTTCCTGCCCGTTCGGTTTTCAGACACGGAGCGCCATTTGGGCCATTTTGACGCGAAATCACCGCCAGGTCCACGTCGAGGTCTCCTCCATTGCATCCAAAGAAAAGAAAACAGTACATAACATGGCGACGACGATGAAGGCCGTGGTGATTCACGAGGCCGGCGGGCCCGAAGTCCTCAAGATCGAACAGCTCTCGATCCCCACGCCCAAGGAGGACGAGGTCCTCATCCACATCAAAGCCTTTGGGCTCAATCGCTCCGAGCTCTTCACTCGCCAGGGGTACAGTCCCGGCGTGAAGTTCCCTCGCGTGTTGGGGATCGAGGCTGCCGGCGTCGTCGAAAAGTGCCCCGGCGGCAAATTCAAGGTCGGCCAAAAGGTCGCCTCCGCGATGGGGGGCATGGGCCGCGATTTCGACGGCGGATACGCCGAGTACACCTGCGTCAAGGCGGACAACACGCAGGCGCTAGACACGGACCTGGACTGGGCCATTGTGGGCGCCGTGCCAGAGATGTTGCAGACGAGTTATGGGTGTCTCTTCAAAGCCCTCAAACTCAGGAGCGAGGACCGTCTGCTCATTCGAGGTGGGACGACCTCGATTGGGTTGGCCGCGGCCGCCATTGCGAAGAACCATGGTTGCTTTGTTGCGGGCACAACGAGAAATGCTGGAAAGGCCACGGCCGAATTGATGCACAAGAGTGGAATCGATCAGGTCTTCATCGACGACGGGCACGTCGCCGAGCAGGTCAAAAACAACAAATTCGACAAAGTCTTGGAGTTGGTAGGGACAACTACTCTAAGAGACTCCTTGCGGTGTGCCGTCGGAGGTGGAATCGTCTGCATGGCCGGCATCGTTGGCAAGTACTCGACTGCTTTGTATTTCGTTTTGAGTCGTGCTGATGATAATCTCTCAGGGAATAGTTGGACAATGGAAAGCCTGTCTCCAATGGAGCTCATCCCCCATACTGTCTGTTTGACTGTTTACTCTGGTGGTCCAGACGAATTCAAAGAGACCCCCCTAAACGACTTGCTCAAGCAGATCGAGAGAGGCACCTTGCCTATCCAGATTGGGAGAGTGTTCAAGTTGGACCAGATTGTCGAGGCTCACGATACCATGGAGAAGAACCTTGCCCGCGGCAAGATTGTCGTCTTGACGGATTAGAGAAGGGCAAGGAAGTACAAAGGACGGGCACTCCTCGTGATTGTGATTCTCTAATCAACCGCATTGAGAAACGACGCTGGTCGCGGGACATGACATAGCAGATTGCAATCCAGATATGGATAGAATGACATGCTCTTTTCCACATCTCCGTCGAATTCAAGTAAACAACTCTGACCATTTGCCGCCACCAGCGAGAATTAATGGGGCAGACATCCGTTGAGCTCTGCGTCGGTATAGACCCAGTGCTTTAGATTCCAGCCAGGGCAGCCCTGCGGTGCATCTTCTCTCGTTTCTTTGCGCCGCTCATCGGCTTACGAGGGCGCGCAGCTCTGTTCGTCTGAGGCTTTCCTGTATTCCACATTTGCCACACACCGAGGCAGTTTCTTTGTCCGATGAATTTGCCGTTTGGCGTGAAGACCTCGACTTCAGGAAAGTTGAGAGACGGCTCCGAGTCTTCACCGGTCCGAACAGAGGTGAAGGGGGTAAACGTGCTTCTGCCAATGGACAGACCTTCAGCCGTGGGCACGCCCGACCTTCCGATGTCTGATCCGGTAGAATCTTCAGCAGGCGACTCAGACTGATGTACGCGTTTGCTTTTCCTGGCCTGGCAGGCCAGTTCCACCCATCCAATTCCTTCGATGAGAATGTCAGTCGCGAAGACGCGGAATGGCAATTTCTCAATGTTAACCCCAGCTCTGATCATAGAGCCGGCTCTAGACTTTGTGACATCGGTCTGCAACTTGAATCGACCGGCAGAAGACATGCAAGTCCCTGCCCCTTCTGCCAGGATCGATTCCACACCGCTTGCGCGCTCTTGCATCTGCGTGCCCCATGCTTTCTCCGTAGACGTGACGTGGGTTTTGAGCGGAACAAAGGGATACGCCAGCACGGTGGTACTCGGGTCGGATTCATCGAGGAGCGGCGTGATACGGACTAGTCCCCCTCCCAAGAGCAGAGACTGACCAGGCTTGATAATGTGCTGAGCGACGGTTGGACGTTGTGTCATGACGAGGTCAGCCTTGTCCTCGGGTTTGACATATTGCTCAAGGCCCCCGCGTTCCAGACCCGGCATGTCAATCAGCTCTCCCTTGTGGTTGCCGAAGGGAAGTCGGATTGGGGATGCCGTTGTCCCCGGCAGACTTGACACCAGAGGCATCGCCGGAAAAGGAACTTCCGGCTGAGGAGGAGGCAACAGTTTCTTCTCAGAGAAAAAGCCGGTATCGGTTGACTTATGCGGAGACTCGATCTCCTGCTGTCGCTGAATTTCTGTATACACAGGCGCCCTGCTGTACGAGCCTTTGGGGAAAAGGACCTCAAAGAGGTTTGACTTTCCCACATTGAACTTCCCAACGAGCCAATTGCCGCCACCCCTTTGCCAAATACTTTCTTTGATGTCCTTTGTCCACCATCCTCGTTTCGACGAGACCAGATGCACATTGCCCAGCCTGAGCTTTTGTCCCATTCGACCCAAGGCAGTCCTCAGGATGGCGATGAATTTGGGCATCATACTGTCCACCATCTCCTTGGTTGGAGCTAGCAGATCGGACCGGGTGATGATGAAGGATACAGAGGGCCGGGATGAAAACGAATGCTGAGACCTACGATTCTGAGTTCGAGGTTTCGCCAAAGCCAAGTTCTTGTAAACGGAAGGGATGAGAGACATGGGGAAATCTGCAGCATCAAGGACGTGGTAGACATGATTCCTGGCGAAGGGAGATTCCGCGATCGAGTCCGCGATGGCTTCAATGGAGGGATGGGCAATGGGGGCACCTCGCGAGTCATGGATCAAATAATGACATCTATCGCAGACAGGAGGTGTTACATGGACTTGATGCTGGACTATACCGTGCTCATTCCTGTGACTTTCATCATCTTGTGAGCTGATCGGGGCGCCGACGTGTGCCCCGTCTGCGTCAGCGTGTCCTTCATTCTGCAGCCGACTCGAGGCCTCGAGGTCTCCGAGGTATTTCACCACTGCTTTTCTTGACAATGTATAAAACCCCGCCTCTCCAGCGTCGACATCTTGGGTGAGAGCGCCACACCCAGGACAGGATACTGGAAGGCGTGCAGGATTGTGATTTCTCTGTTCGGGCTGCGCGTTCGGGGACGACGAGGCACGGCTCAGTGCCTGTAGAGAAACATTTGTCCGCAGCACAGGCCGAGAGAGGGTTTCTGGACGAAGTCTCTCGAACTCAGCCGCGGCGCCGGATAGAGGACGGTGGCTGGATGAGAGAGTTCGTCCGGGTTTGACGCGAGCGCAGAAGTAGTGGGAGCGCGATTTGAGGTTCGGTAAACATGACGGACGCCAGCACCGCGGGACCAATTCCATGTAGAAATCAGCTCATGCCCGTTGAAGGCGTCAGGACAGGCGTGCTGAGAAGAGGGAGGTAACCGAGATGGAAGCTATACGAAGCAATAGACTGAGGCGATGTCCGTACGTATACGAGTGGGTGCGTTTGAGATGTGCAGGGGAGGATGGAGAAGCAGTTTAGCGGTCATGCAAAATTCCATAAGATTTCGTCGTGTTTTTCCACGCGTGTGGTGTTTTCCGTGCAGCCTACGCCCATCCACCGATACCACCCTACAAGACTGAAAAATGGGACAGTCTGACAGAGAAAAAAAAGCCATCCCAGAATATACCTAGTGCCTAAGTAGCCAGTCGCTCTATAGCGACGAGCAGACGAGGTACCTTTTCTCGCCAGACTGTTGCCATTTAATTAAGTTGCCATCGCCCATCAGATTCCGTCATCCGATGAGTCAGTCAGAATTAACACAAACGAGCTACTTCTATTTGCTTGTGTTTGGGGGCTGCAACCCCATATTCTTGCACTGAATTTGAAAACACCTCAACTTTATCTAATGTTTGTCATCAATTGACCACAGGTCATCTCTCCCAACACCCTGAAGCCCAGCGTCCTCTGTCATACACTGTAATCCGAAGCCAAGCTCATGGCACTGCTCATCATCGGCTACACAACAAATGACTCCAATGTAAGCGGAACAGCACGCCTGTCAAGCATTCGAATCCTTCAGCGACAAACCCGCGGCACAACGCTCATTGTCCGGAGCCTACATGCAGCCAGGGCTATATGCATACATGCCTGGGTATGTAGAGCAGAAGGTATACTCGTAGGAGGACCTAGCAAGGGATCAAAGACGCAGCTCACCAAGAACCATGTTAAAGAAAAAGAGGCCAAGCGGGTGGTCCGTGTAAGAATATCGCATGGTATTTCACATCTCACACTTCGCCTTCCTGGCACCTTTTACTGGAAAGAGAAACCTCCTCGTGCCTAAATAGGCCCCCTTTCTCCTCCACTATTCCACTTTGCCTCAGAGCCGAGGAGTTGGGGCTCTTGATCCTTTTCTCGCCCAATTTTCTTGAGTTTCATCTTGGTCCTGGTCAGCTTCCAAAAGAGCAAGCGGCAGCGACATCTTGTTCGCTGACCTGGGCCTCCTTGCTTCAACATGACTCAGCTCGACGTTCCATTCCCGCCTATCATATTGATTCAAAGCCTGGCCATGTCAATCGCTAACCTCTTGTGGCAGTCCGTAGACTTCTGCTCCCCCATACCTCGTCTCCCGTCTCCCTTTCCCGAGAAGGCTGGGAATGACAGTCGGTGTGGGAAAACAGCTGAGCCTGAATGGTGACAGATTATCCGACATGGCAAGCAGAGGCCAAGCTTTGATACCCCTGGCCTCACATACCACTGATCTGTCAGACCTAGACAACTTCGCCCCTATACCACCTTACTTCCGCGGGCAGATTTAAACATTGCTATGGCAAATTATGGGTCCTTTCGTTTAGAGAATCTTGCTCTGGGGAGAGGGTGTAGCGCGTCCCTTTGCCTAGGAAATGTCCCAGTCAGCTCAAGTCTGGTCCGCCTCGCCAGATCCGCCTATATAAGGTCGTGGATTGCGGCTGGAAGGGGGGCAGTCGTGCTCTTCTTGAACAGAAACACAACCAAAGAACAGACCTATCCCTTCTAGACTAACCTTCACATCTTCCAAGATAATCACATACACCTCCACCGGCAAGATGGGCTCTTCGATGCCAGAGAGATTCGACTTCGTTGTCGTCGGCGCCGGCGCCGCAGGGGCGGTCCTCGCAGCTCGCCTCGCAAGCAGCAAACAACATCCTTCGGTCCTTCTCGTGGAGGCTGGAGGCAAAAATGACTCCAAGGAGGTCCGTGTCGACGCGGAAAAATGGCTGCATCGAATGATCCCTTCGCAGAATTGGGGTTACAAGACTTCGCCGGTCAAAGGCTTCGACGGGAACATCATCGACTACGATCGTGGCAAAGGGCTTGGAGGAAGTACCGCCATCAACTTCTCCGTTTGGACCATTGGCCCGAAGGACGACCACGATGAGATCGCACGCCTCGTAGGCGATGAAGAATGGAGCTGGAACAATGCCCAGAAAAGGTACAAACGACTTGAATCTTATTACGCAACCAGACCAAATGTACCAGGTGATGCCAAGCGGTACCTTGACCCTAATCCAAAAGACCATGGGTACGATGGTCCCATCAAGGTCGGCTTTCCTCAGGTCTGGGAGCCTTCTTGTACCGAGCTGATGGACATCTGGTATGCCAATGGTGCGAAACCCAATCCAGACCACAATTCCGGAGATCCCATCGGCCTTGCTGCATGCGTTTCAACTGCGTACAAAGGAGTTAGATCGACAGCCGCAGATGCTTTGGTTGGAGCACCCAGTAACTTGCACATTTTGGTCGATACCGAAGTAGCTCAAGTGACTTTCGATGGCACCAAGGCGACCGGTATCAAAACCACCGGAGGCAAGGTTATACAAGCCGATAAAGAAGTCATCCTGGCGTGTGGCGCTCTCGACACTCCAAGGATACTTATGCATTCCGGCATAGGCCCTGTTGACGAACTCAGCAGCTTCAACATTCCTGTTATCAAAGGAAACGAAAACGTTGGCAGGCACCTCAAGGATCATCACCATATCATGATCCCGGCTCTCCGAGCAGACCATACGAGTGAAAGAACTCGATTCTACAAAAGCCAGGAGCTTCAAGCGGCAGCTCGAGCGGCATGGGAGAAAGACGGTAGCGGCCCATTGTCGGAGTACGCCTGTGCCATGGGCGTCGCATATCTGAAGCTGGAATCATTGTATGACAGCCCGGAGTTCCAAGCTCTTCCCAAAAAAGACCAAGATCACCTGCGAAAGCCGACAGTTCCTCACTACGAAGTACTTCTCAATGGGCCATGGCTTCCGAATTTCCTCGACCCACAAAACGCGCAGGCTGGAACAAAAGTATTTTTGTTCATCCTCAATCAGCAATCGACGGGAGCCGTGAGACTCCAATCATCTGATCCCAAGCAGCCACTTGTCTTCGACCCCAACTTCTTTTCCCACCCTTTTGACAAAAGAGTGGCGGTGGAGGCTACCCGAGACGTCCTCAAGGTCATGAAGAGTCCCGAGTTCCAGAAAGATACTCTGGCTATTGATGGCCCCAAGAGTGAGTCGGAGGATGACATCCTAGCATTCTGGCGAGCGGGCAGCGGTTCGACGTGGCACATGATGGGGACTGCCAGGATGGGCAAGGACGAAGCTACCGGCGTTGTGGACAACAACTTCAAGGTGTTTGGGGTGGAGAATCTCAGAGTGGCTGATATGAGTGTCATCCCCATCGTCGCCAAGTAAGTCATGCTACTGCCGACCTACATATCTGAGACATATGCTAACAAGGCTCTGCAGCAACCACACTCAATCGACGGCGTACCTCGCTGGGCTGACTGCGGCCGACAAGCTAGCTCAAGAATATGGGCTTGACGGCTAATCGGCCCTTGGATCAACACCCCCAACGGAGCACGAGGTACTCGGTACATATGTTGCTGTTTGAAGATTTAGCGAGCGGGAATTGCTTGGGAATTGGCACCGGTATTTTAGCAGAAGAGATGGATGACAGTGACTGGGTAGGGCTTATATGAATTTGAGACAAGACCCGTCTGGTGCCGTACTCGTATGATGTGACACAGCTCGGCCACTGTACCTTTGCGCATCCTGACCCTACCTAACGAACCTATGAAGGAAACCCAACATGGAAAGACGCCTAGTCAGAGTTTAATCCTTACTCTGTACGGAGATCCAACGCGCCGAAAATAGAATGCTTGAAGGCACATCCCCATGTCCTAGCAAAAGAGCGTTCGCTTGCAAGGCTCCGTAATTCCCCCCTGGCGCAATATCGGTGCTTGGGTGTGATGTAAACGTCCCCCCACCCGGGGGTCCAGGCGCTGCTCTCAGTGGACAGCGCCTGTAGGGACGCCCCCAATCAAGCAATTCAGCCCCTGACGCTCGCGCGCCGATGACCCGAGACTCCAGAGTCTCCAGGGCCACAGAGGCCCCTGTCAGGTCCCAGGGTCCCTTATTCTCGCTGTTGACTCCCTGGATCTTGTTTCTCGGTGGCCTTGGCAAATTCCCCTCGCAAAACAGTTCTCGTCTATGCCGCCATGAGAACCACTTTCGCCCTCTAGACACCGCACCCACTTCGACTTCGGCCTGGTGGCGATGAGGTCTGCTCTCGTCTCATTCCCTGTCGCCCAAAGCACCGCGTGAACGACGCTGATCGCGCCTGCCCTGCTCCCAGCAGTATTGTTGGCGTCTGTGACGGGACAATATGCTGGGGCTCCTTCTCATTCTCCTTCACTCCGACCATCAGTGCTGCGACGCCATCCCAGGAGATTGAGTACTGGATTGACCTGGCAAATCCGCCTTGCGACTTGCTTTCTAAGCGAATGAGCATCGTGACCAAGGCACACTATACTATACACCAAACACGCAAACAGCTTGCGCTGCCGCCTAAGCCCGCAGTTTCTGAGACATCGACTGCGGCGTCCGTGGACCAGATTTACTAACCCACTCTTATGAATACCTCGCTCGCCTCGCCCCATCACCGAGATCTGAGGCTCTGTCGCAATTCTACATGACGACAATGGCGTCGCTGCCATCATCTGCGTCCCACGATCACCACCCCAGCCGGCCTCGACCTCGCAACATCCAGCTTACACGGAGTTCGAGCCATGATCAACCCAAGACCGCCGACCTCAATCGACCACTGCCCCCGCCTCCTGTCACTGCTGCGGCCGAGACATTTGAGATTCCTACCCTGCGTCGAAAACCCCTCCCTGATTCACCAGATTCTGGTACCGCAAAGCTCAACCACAGTCGTTCCTTCAGTCACCCCTTCCCGTCCATCTTTGGTTCCAAAAAGGCGGAGAAGAAGAACAAGCATGGCATTGACTTTGATGGAGCACGCGATACTCGGCACGAAGAAGGAAATATGAAGCAACATGCCGCTGAAGCGTCCGTGCCACGGGGTGATCGCCAGCCCGTCACCGGGAAGTGTATGACCTGCGATTCAACCGTCCGGTGGCCGCAAGGGCTTAAGGTGTTCCGATGCACAACCTGTCTGACTATCAACGATCTTGAATACAACCCCGAGACCAAAGATGATGCCCAAGCATCGGCAGCTGGGCCCTCGTCCCAGCGCAAAGTCGTCCCTATGTCGGTCGAGAGGACGAGAACCCTGCTTGATCGCTGTCTCAGACACTACCTCGAGTCTCGTATTGAGCACGACGAGGCTTTTACACCTACGCACTCAATTCCGATCGAAAATCACTCGCCAGCCGAGGACTCCTTTCTGTTGGACGGAACCCCGCCAGAAGGCGTCTTGTATGGACAGTTCAACGACGAACAGGACTCTCCGCCACCTTCGCCGCACCTCGGTATAAAACCACGAAGCCCTTCAGAGGAGTCCAACCTGTCTCCCCGTTACCCCATAAGGCATGGCGGGCCATCCTTTGTTCAAGGTCATCCTACCGACCCCTTCAACTCGTTCGCACCGACCCACCACAGGCCCCAGGACGCCAGAGGACGCCAATCTTCTGAGCCTGTACAGCATTCAGCCACGTTACTCAGATCTGATGTTTTTCGTCTAGTTGAAAACTATATTGCTGGCTGTTTCGTCGGATGTGCCACGTTAAACCAGTCTTTCCTCACCCCCCGACCGCCTCAAGAACATAAACCTAGGTCCGGTTCAGGAACACAACAAAGGCGACAATTATCTGAACCAGCTTCTGCTCCAGTGGTCGAACCTGACGTCTTCTTGTCCGAGCTTGACGCCAAAACTTTGCTTCTTGGCGACGTTGCGGAGAACGGGTCGTGGTGGTTGGGCGCCCCGAGTGGCCGTGTGGCCATGTCAGGAAAGGAACCTCATCATCAGCGAGACAGGTCGCCAGAAAAGACCCGCAGTTCCGCAAGTGCGAGAAATCCTAGGATCAATTGGCTCGAACTTGCCGAATGGTATCGTCTAGTCATATACGCAGGCGATCTTTGGGAACAACGGTGGCACGAACTGAGGTCGAGGTTGACAGATCCCAAGGCACAGCAGCGCTGGCATTCGACCTCTTTGGAGAGTATTCAGCGAGATATCATTGAGTCCCGAATACACCTACAGCGGAGCTTATTGAAGATTACAGAGAATCTCTTGAAACGGCCCAGGCAACCGTTGAAGCATCCCGAGGATTGTCGATTCTTGTTGATGCTTCTGGCTAACCCGTTGTTGACACCTGCGAGACTGGAGACAGGAAAGATGTTTGGGGTTACAATACCCCATCCACCCATACCTGGGGGAAAACAAGTTGACGACAAAGCCCGTGACTCGCCGTCGAAACGTGTTCCAAGCAATGGCAGACGACCGGGAAGTCTCGGCCACCATTCCGGCATAATAAAGCGGATATTAGGCCTGATGGCCAATCTCTCGAACGAAAACCACCAATATCTTGTGTCATGGTTTTCTAGATACTCTGACGGCCACTTCCAAAGGACGGTGGAGATGGTGGGCAGTTTCGTAAGTTACAGACTGTCTCGACAACAGAAAATGCCTGCCCACGAACTCATCAATCCCACGGAGGGGCTGGTTCCCAGCTTCTCTGACTCTGGGATGCACCACGCCTCTCAAATTCACGCTGCACTAGGAGGCAGACCTTCTTCCACTTCGGCAGGCAAGTCTGACGGGAAGCCCAAGCTGTCTTCATACGGTGAAGATTGGCAAATCCGCGTGGCCGCAAGGGTCATGGCCTTGCTGTTCCACGCGAATGTGGGTCACACTGCGCGGAAGAGGGATGCCTTTGCGGCGCACGAGCAAAGGCTGCAGAGTCCAGGTCTCAATGCCAAGTATCACGCGTACTCTCATGGTCAGATCATACCGATCAGCAACTTCTACAACACGATGCTAGACTATGCAGATCTTGTGGCCGACTTTGAAACTTGGGAGACAACCAAGACAAAGTTTACCTTCTGCCAATATCCTTTTTTTCTGAGCATATATGCGAAAATCCACATCCTCGAGCACGATGCCCGAAGGCAGATGGAAATCAAAGCAAGGGAGGCCTTCTTTGACAGCATTCTCAGTCGCAAAGCTGTCAGCCAGTACCTCATCCTCAAAGTTCGACGAGAATGTCTGGTTGAGGATAGTCTCCGAAGCGTTTCTGAGGTGGTCGGATCTGGCGGCAGTGACATCAAGAAAGGCCTGCGCATCGATTTTCAGGGAGAAGAAGGGGTCGATGCAGGCGGTCTCCGCAAGGAATGGTTCCTGTTGCTGGTGAGAGAGATATTTGATCCTCATCACGGCCTGTTCGTTTATGACGACGATTCTCTATACTGCTACTTCAACCCCTTTTGCTTCGAATCCTCTGAGCAGTTCTTCCTGGTTGGGGTGTTGGTCGGACTGGCCATTTACAACTCGACTATTTTGGACGTGGCGTTCCCTCCATTCGTGTTCAAGAAGATGTTAGCTTCAGCGCCTTCAACCAGCGACAAGTTGTCATCGATTCCCAAGGTTGGCCACGGGTTCACCCTCGAAGATTTGGCCGAGTTCCGACCTGCTTTGGCGCGAGGCTTCAGGCAGCTGCTCGAATTTGAGGGCGACGTTGAGGAGACGTTCTGTCGCGACTTTGTGGCTGAAATGGACCGCTATGGCGATGTTGTTCAGGTGCCTCTGTGTCCCGGCGGCGAGAAACGAGCAGTGACCAACTCGAATCGACGAGAATTTGTCGATCTCTACATCCATTATCTGCTCGACACGGCTGTGGCGAGACAGTACGAACCGTTTAAACGCGGCTTCTTCACTGTCTGTGGAGGCAATGCGCTATCCTTGTTCCGACCCGAAGAGATCGAACTTCTCGTACGAGGTTCTGATGAACCACTTGACATCGCTAGCTTGCGCGCGGTTGCAACATACGAAGGCTGGCCCAAGCAGGAAGGACCGCCCGAACAGCAACCCCAGGTCGTCTGGTTTTGGGACTTTTTCGCACGCGTATCACCCGTGGATCAACGGAAAATCCTGAGCTTCATTACCGCAAGCGATCGGATTCCGGCCATGGGAGCCACAAACCTGGTAATCCGCATCCAGTTAATTCGCGCCAAGGAGGAGATGGATGACTTTGGAAGGCCAACAAATAAACCGGTGGAGAGATTTCCCATCGCGAGAACATGCTTTAATACTCTGAGTCTGTATCGGTATGCGTCGAGGGAGAAGTTGGAAGAGAAGCTCTGGATGGCGGTGCAGGGGAGTGAAGGATTCGGTTTGAAGTAGATCCTGTGGTTATGCACTGGGCTGATACACGATATGGGCGAGACAAGTGGCGGATGCGAAGGAACGGAGATGGAGCTCACCATGCTCTCTGTGTTGGATCATGTTTCACGCATTTCTCTGGGTTTGATTCGGGAGCGTCGGCGCTGGTGGGGGAAATCTGCGAGCTGAAGCATTTGACCGGCCCCGCAGATTCATTGGGAAACAGGCGCAGCTTGTCAGCGCCGTAGGGGAACGAAGTCGGGAATTTTGGACTCGCTCGATGGTTTCTCTTATACGGGCACCTCGACCAGGAGCATTCTGTGGCGCCGCATGGCTTTGCACGCTGGTTCCATTGGGTCCAGCAGGGGGGCAATGAAAGACACCTCTGGCTCTGGGATATAAGAAAAGTAGAACCATTCATGCTGTCACGAGTATAGGAATGCATAGCGATCACAGCATTGTTTCCCGGCCCGTAGACGAGCGGCTAGAAAAATGCCAGTGTTATTTAATCGACGTGGCTTAGTGATGGGTATATGGATATACCTTGTGGGTGTTTGGATGTGGCAGTCGGTGGCCATAGGGTCGCGAACTAGGAATTATGGACCAAGAGGAAGAGACGGACGACTTCTCTAGAAGTCTGGACCGCTGGACTGTGACCTGTTTGGTGCGTTTGCACAGCAACTATGTAGATGGTTGTAGCTACTGCAGAGCAAACAAATGCAACAAATAAATAGCATAACGGTGGTGATAAGGCGAGTGCACGACTTTTCCGGCATTTCGAACACCTGAGCAGGTGAATAAGTGCAATCGGCAAACGTCGCCGAGGCAAAAGAAGTTGTATTCACACAGGAAGGAGGAACGCTGGGCCTCGAGAGGACAAGGGAGGTGTTGGATTCCAAGGGCATAAGGAGGCAGTCGACGCAAGAGCCTCATGCGAAGAGGTGGTCGGAAGCGGGCCCAGATGGATCCACGACGATAGGTGGAAGCAAGACCAAGTCCATTGGCATTTGCTCCCTTGTCGAGGAGCATCTGCACCACCTTCTCGTCACCATGCTCGCGTTGATACATATATACATCGATCTCATACTGCGCTGCGACCGATCTAGCAAGGCAGGCGAACGGCGGGTAACATAATGCAAGAGGAGTAATATCGCAGACGACAAGGAAGAGAGAGGAGCAGGGAGAGAGAGGCGGAGGGATGTCTATCTTTCCTTTTTTTCCCCATCCCGCATATTGCTTTTCCCCCCGGGGAGCAGCAGCGCCAACGCGTCACGCGACAAAGCAAACAAGCAAAAAGTAGAACAGCCTGAGAGCTTGACGGTAAAAGATTCAAGCGCATGTTGCCTGGGGCAGCCCCCTTTTCCAGATCGTGGGATTTTCTCGGTGCTTAGAAGGAGCAGGGAAGGACCTCTGACTGAGTCACCTGCATTTTTCACCAAAAAAGAAAAACATCCGTGGGAGCTGCATGAGCAGCTGGTTTGTTTTTCCGATCATCTGGTCTGGAAAATGGTGAAATGCACCGTTTTGAATCGGAATCAAGGTTCCTGCCCGTGCGCAGCCACCAGGCCAAGGGAGCAATAGTCGGCGAAAAGGGACCGAGTAGGAGCTCTGCAAAACAGCTCAAGGTTTCTAGCGCTAGAGTGCAACTTTGATTAGCCATGTGAGACAGGTTCCAAAACGCACCTGGAACTGTCCCAGCGGATAATATTTGCTTGAGAGGCACAACAAGGACGAATGGCAACTTCGGCCTCAACACCGTGAGCGTCTCGGGTCCAAGGCTGCACTCACCGACTTTACCAGGAAACTGGATCATTTGTCACAGAAAATTGCCCATCCCGCGGTAAGAACATGTCCGAACTGCATGGCGGAGACATTAGTGAACAAGCTCGGCGACGGGGAAGCTGGCTAGACGAGATCTTTGTCTGCGGCCGCAAAGGTCTGGCTGTAGGAATGAGATAACGCACGGGTGCACGATGATATCTCGGAGGGGGCGTGAGATCGTCCATGGCCATTTGGTTGGTCGTCGGAAAATGTCGACAAAAAGTTTCGATCAAGCAGAAACACGCCCCGCACTCGGCTGCACTGCCCAAGCTATCATTTTTGTTGCTGTCTGGCTACGTCTGGTAGCTTTGGCTGGCGGGAGGACCCCCCTCAACAATATTTCTTTTTGATCCCTCGACTGTCCTGGAAGTTTTTTGTTGCTCTTCTCCCGTACAGTATCTTCTGCGACTCGCTCATTCTGTTGTCCTGCTGCATTTTCCATAGACCAGAGATCCTAGATCAAGATGGGTTCCGCAAGTCTTCCCTCCCAAATGAAGGCGTTGAGTATGACTCCCTCCCGTCACTGCGTTGGCTCTTGATTCCGAAAAGAAGCGGTCAGAGGGTGAAATCTGTCCGGAAAATCGACTGATCTGTGTGTGTCTAGAGTACGATGAGCCAGAAAAGTTCAGCGTCGTCGAGGTCCCTCTCCCCAAGCTCCGTGAACATGACATCCTGGTACGTAGACTCGACACAGACTGGACGAAGAGACTGCTGAGAACAAGATATAGATCAAGGTCAAGGCTTGCGGTGTCTGCGGCACTGACCTGCACATCCACGAGGGTGAATTCTTGGCCAAGGTATGAGCAAAAAGCTCACTGTGTCGACTGCGAACAAATCTGACAGAAGCTGCAGTTCCCCTTGATCCCTGGCCACGAGACCGTCGGCGTCGTTGCAGCCCTCGGGCCCAAAGTCAAGGGGTTCGAAGTTGGTCAGCGGGTGGTTGCAGACAACTCCGAACTCTGTGGAGAATGCTTCTATTGCCGTCGCGGTGAGGAGCTTCTTTGCGAAGATTTCCAAGCTCATGGTGTGACCATGGATGGTGGCTTTGCCGAGTATTGCGCATACCCTGCCAAACGAGTCTTCCCCATCAAGAACCTGTCCGATGTTGACGCCACCCTCCTCGAGCCCGCCTCCTGCGCCGCCCACGGTCTGGATAAGATTGCACCCAAGATGGGCTCCAGTGTGCTCATGTTCGGTGCGGGACCTACGGGTCTCGTCCTGACACAGATGCTCCGCCAGAACGGTGGTTGCCATGTTGTCATTGCAGCGCCTGAGGGACTGAAGATGAACCTCGCCAAGTCCCTGGATGCCGCTGATGAGTATGTTGAGCTGTCCCGAAAGGACCCCGGCCCGCAGTTCGAAAAGATCAAGAGAGAGAATCCTTATGGCTTCGACGTTGTTGTTGAAGCCACGGGCAGCGTTAAGATCTTGGAAGACTCGATCAACTATGTGCGAAGAGGCGGCAAGCTTGTGGTGTATGGCGTCTACGGCAACAAGGACCGTGTGTCGTGGCCACCGACCAAGATCTTCGGTGACGAAATCACCATCCTCGGGTCGTTCAGTGAGACGTACAAGTTCCCTGCTGCCATCGACTATCTTGGTATGTATTGTCCATTCCCAGCTCTTCCTCGGTCGATGTGGCTGACAATTCGTTCAATAGACTCGGGCAAGGTCAAGGTCGCAGGCATCGTGAACAAGACATTCAAGCTGGAGCAGTGGGCCGAGTGTCTGGAGTCGATGAAGAACAAGAGTGCCATTAAGGCAGCCATTGTTTTCGATTAGAGGAGCGCGTCACAAATGTAGACGGCAGGTCTCGGCAGTAGGCGAATCTGTAAGGGCTGTAGACGGCTCTGTCTTCGAACTGAGGGTCATAGGTGTCTTGGAGATCAAGTTCTCCTACGGTCGGTAGGGGAGTGGCAAGGGAAAAGGCGCAGGAATGAGTTGTCGAGACGGTGTAGAAATGGTCAAGCCACTATTATTTGATCCCAGATCCTTTGAACGTTTCGTGTGCCTTTCCTATTCGAGCATTGAGCAACAATGCGGCCTGACCACCTCCAATGCATCCCTGACCTGTCTCAGTATCGCCATTATTCCTCGAATTGACCATGGCTTTATTATATGTTGGTGCGAGACCTCGACCTAAAGATGATCAGCGAGGACGCCGACCATTGTCAACTTCACCAAACTGAAGATTAGATACGTCCTGGAACAGTCAACATGCATGAGCTCGCGATGCTTATTCAGCCCACAACGTCGTCTGTTTGCTCTTTCCAGACTGATGGCCGTAGTCGTGGCTCCAAGCCCTTCAACATCGAGTGCTCAGTGTTGAGATCCTATATACCTACACAGGTAGGCGTATGGCATGTGTTTCCTGCCACGCCGTGTACTTACCATTCAACCACTAATGGGATGCTCGAATATAGCTGTTGTTTGACGAGACGTCGGCAGCGAGATTTGGCAATCTTTCATGCGATCCAAGCAAGTGCAGCTTCCATTCTGATTAGCAGCTCAGCTGGACGAGAAGGACTTGATCGCCCACGATGGCATCCTCAAGGAATCTTCGGCCGCCGGGAAAACATGATGGAACCGGAATACATCAAGGAGTCAGATGATGATAGGATTGCAGAGTCTGTGGGCCAACAAGACAACCTTCTTCTGGACTTCTCCCCAGTCAATTCAGAGTTGCCAAAAGATGACGAGGGATATCAGAGAACAAGCTGTCGTGTAGCAAGGGCGGGATGGAGTGAAGGGAAAGCGACTAAACACACACCACCAGTCCAAAGTGATATCCAGATCACTCACTCGTCCAGTTCGGATAAAACCTGCTCTGCCACACCCATGGATGTACTGCCCCCAGCCTCCTGGTTCCCAGAGACCTCAGTGTTTAAATATCTTACTTCTGTTTGATCTCACCGTCGACCATTCCTGCCATCGCCGACTCAATATCAACCGCCATCCCTAAAAGCATCATCTTCAGAGTACTTGTATAACACCACATCCTGCTGTACCAGCAAACATGTTGCCTCCCAAGTCTCCCAACACGTCCTCGACCACCACGACCCTTACACTCCCATTGAGGGCTGCACCGCCAAAGTCAGTTATCCTTGATCCCTATTTCACCCTCCTGTACGAAGACAACAAGAAGAACTTACAACACTTCCTTGACAACAAAGCGCCTCTTCCTGTCAAGGAAGTTCTCGCCACATCAAGATTTGCCGAATACCTTTTGAGCAAGGAGCCAGGTCCAAGGGTCCAGTACGGAAACCTTCGGCCTGCTCTGAGTGCCATCCGTTCCTTCTTGGTCAGCTCTCCCGGTGGCAAGAAGCTGTTGGCATTCTATAAGCACCTCCTGCAAGTTCAAGGTCGTTGGTTGATGGCGACAGCCCAGTTGGTCAGCTTTGAACTCTATGTCAAGCTCACTTACGCCCTCTTCATCTCCCGTGATGACAAGAAGCTCTTAGACCATTTCATCAAGGTCATCCCAGGAGCTCTGTCCAAGGTGGCGAACTACAGCAATGTTGACAGAGCTAGCTTTGACACCTTGCTGAATCTCGAAAAGAATCGTCTTCAGGAAGCCAGCTTCAGTGCAGCAGACAGCCTCTTCAACTTCAAAGTCTCTAAGGAATTCTACCACACTCACGGGAAACTTCTCACTGCCATCGAGGTGCACGAAGCCAAGCTTGAGGAACTGCGTGAGCGAGCCGCTCGCCGCAAAGCTGAACGGCAGGCTAGGATTCAAGCCGCGTACACACGAAATTCAGCTACGCTCAACCGACAGATGGGTATGGCTGGTATGACTCCCCACCATCCGGAGGTTGAAGCCTCTGTCTGTCAGTACACCAAGGAGATTCGTAATGAATTCTTCTCTTTCAACGAAGATACTGATGCTCAAGAGCCTCTCGGTGAGTCTTTTCGTTTCCAACCTTGCCGACAGCATCGCTAACCAATCTGTTGAGACTTGACCGGTGAATAGTACTGGGGGATCAACTTCACGGTCACAACGTCACTGCTTTCCCGTTGGTGTTCTCTGTCGGCTGCATATGGAATGCTCTTCTTCGAGCCCACCTGTGTAAGGCAACGCTTTCCCTCATGAGGATTGGCGTATCCTAAACATGAAAGGCATAAATCCAAGAGTCATGTCACTGGCAAGCTCACCAAGAGAAAGGTTGCATGCACTCGAGCGTATGGCATTTGAATGAGCTTTGGAAAGGACGGATGCGATTTTATGGCCCATGCCCAGTTGCCATGAGCCTAAGGAAAATCCATTTGGAATGACTTTCTTGGATCGAAGTGAACAGGAGAATTGACTTCTTGTCAAGCAGACATTGTCGGCCAAATGAGAATCAGAAGCAAATGTCCACCTTCACATTGAACGGTACATGAAAGCTTGGTGATAGGAATTCCCAAGGGCTTTGCGGATGGTTTCAAAACACCAATTCGAGCTCTTGAACAAGACAGACTGCTGCTGCAGGACTTTTTCAATATGATTGAAATTGAATTCTAGCCGTTGGTTCCTCACTTTTGTTTTGCATTTTTCTTCTCCCTCTGTCAACAAGTCGTCCTGCGCGGGGGCAAGTGAGACCTTGATACCATCAAGGATGTTGATAGGCTAGAAGCAAGAGTCGAGCAAACATGATCTAAGCTTAGTGCCACGACAGAACCCTCCATCTTCGTAATCGTCAAGACACAAATCGCCCTGTCAAAAGTCGGCTGCCTGTCCACGGGACTTGGGACTCGTCTTTTGCCACGTTCCGCACCAGAACAAGGACCCTCCCCCCTTCCACGGAGAAGCAACCCCCTTTGCAGAGTGCAACCAACCCCGTATTTTCCTACGCCCACGATGTTTGCACCTCCGGTAGAGTATCTTTTGCATCACTTTCTGATGGCTCTCTGGTAGAACGCCAACTCGTCACCCTCCAGGACGTAGCCGTCCACTCTCCCGCTCTGGCCGGGCCGAGAGCTGATGACGGCGTAGAGCCGACCGGCCTCGAACTGTCTCTCCAACGCGGGCTCGATCTTGCCGCTCTTCTTCAACCGCTCCTCCCGCTTCGCCTGCACGCTCCTGCTGACCTTGGCCTCCCCGGCACCCCCCTCGGCCGCCGCGGCCCCGGCGCCCGCAGCCTTGGTCTGCTGTGTTCGCTTCCGCCCGATGTTCGTGCCGTAATGCGCTTCGTACCAGGTTCTGAAGGGGGCCGCGTCGATCTGCACCACGGCGGACTTGGTGAGGGTGTTTGTGCGGACGAGTTCGTTGTTGGACGGGTGGTAGGCCACGACAATGACGCGGACCTTGCGGGCGATGCCCTCGCTGCCCCAAGAGAAGTTGCCGCTCTCCAGGCGCAGGGCGCGGTATTTGGTGTTGCCGCCCCGGGTGCGGACAAGGTGGATGCGTTTGGCGCCGATACGTGTGTTGGCGGGTTGGCGGCCCTTTTCGAATGCTCTACAGGTAGAAACCAAAAGCAACAATGTCAGAAATCCGATTTTCTCATGCTTGTGCTTTTCTCTCTCTTGCTCAACGAAACTTGCTGGTAGGGTGGGGAGAAATGTACCTCTTCTTGCGGTAGTATGCGCGCTTCGCACCGGTGGCAGACCGCTTGTGGCGGCTGTCTCGTGAGATACCCATGATTGCGGTTCTGAGGAGGACTGCAAAGGAGGCAAATTTGTCAGTATTCACATCGTTTGCATGTTCACAAAAGCAGGTGTCAATCGCAGGATGGGAAGAGGTCGAGTGACCAAAAGCTTCGGGAGGGTGATGTTGTAATGGGTTTCCTCAATGCATTTCCTCCCATCTGGTGTACGTAGGGATTCGAATACTGACCTGACCAAATCAGCAATCCCTCAGTGAGCAATTAAGAGTATGTCGTCGAGATCTCGTTGAGATGGAGTGTGTATTGTCGTCTGAGTGCAGAGGGTCGTTCAATCCCACGAATCCAAAAATCGCAAAATCGAGAGCGTGCGCCGGGTCGCCCGCCAAGAATTTTCTTGCCAAGGATGGACTGGGGGTACGGTGAGGTATTGAGACAGTCAGCGTGGCTTTGCTACTGGCCAGTCAGCCAGTTTGGGTCCGTCCAGACTGTCCCGATAATCCGCTGTAGAAAGTGCCAAGATTTTAATCTTGGCGTAGACTCGCACACATTCGGCCCTGGGCGTGCATGTAAAGTCTTCTCCGCCTCGACCTTTTCCACCGCTACCACTACCTTGTTCCAAGTTCTCTCTTGTTGTGTGCGATTCCCCGAAGAGCGCCAGGAACTCGCAGCAACAATTTCCCACCTCTGCACCAAAGTCCATTCACAGGAAACCCAAGGGACATCGCAAAAATGTGAGATCTGGGCGCTGCCCTCTCTCAGAATTGCATTACTGACGGATTCTGTGCCCTGCAGGCTTATCCCCAAGGCTGACCGCAAGAAGATCCACGAGTATCTCTTCCGTGAAGGTGTGCTCGTGGCCAAGAAGGACTACAACCTCCCCAAGCACGGCGACATCGATACCAAGAACCTCTTCGTATGTTCGACCGAAGCCGCAACAGCAGTATGACAACCCGACTAACGCGACACGATGTGCTATAGGTCATCAAGGCTTGCCAATCCCTCACCTCCCGTGGCTATCTCAAGACGCAGTTCTCTTGGCAATACTACTACTACACCTTGACCCCCGAGGGTCTGGACTACCTGCGCGAATGGCTTCACTTGCCTGCTGAGATCGTCCCTGCGACGCACATCAAGCAGCAGCGCAGCCATGCTCCTCCTCGTGGCATGATGGGTGGCGACGACCGTGAGCGCCGTGGCGGCGGCCGTGGAGGACCACGTGGTGATCGTGAGGGTGGATATCGTCGTCGTGAGGACCGTGGTGAGGGCAAAGAGGGTGGTGCTCCCGGCGAGTTTGCGCCTACATTCCGTGGTGGCTTCGGCCGTGGTCGTGGTGCCCCTCCGGCCTCCTAGACGGTTGGACGATCCACTTCGTCAGGAGCTCGTCCGTGTGCACACGCACATTCCTGCGTGACGACGACCTCTTTTCTGAGAAGCACATCGGTGATGGCCTTGCACACGAGGCGGCAGAGAGTTGAGCATGTCTTGGGAGGAGCAACGGATCTGATATCTTTGCAGACTCCCATGAAATCACATAGAGCAATGACAAGTTGTCATGCACCGGGGCCACAATTCCCCCTTGGACAGTCACCGCGTCGCTGTTGCGGCATTATTTCCTTTGTCATCCCTTGATGTTGTCCCGCACACTGCTTTCTGCCTGCTTCCTTTGATTCTTCTCAGTCAAAATCTCCTCGCTCCTTCCTCAGCCGATCCATTCTCAGCACCGAATGCAGAAGGACATTCGCCCCCACAGCACAATCTTCCTCCTCGCACCACTCGCTCGGATTGTGCGAGACGCCATCTTTGCAAGGGACAAAGATCATCCCCGTGGGACAGTGCACGTTGGTACAGACGCTATCGTGCCCTGCACCGCTTGTCATCTTCTGGAGCTTGCTTGCATCACCTCCCAAGACAGCCAGCGCGCTCTCCTCAATACACTTGATGGCCTCGTGATTAAATGTGATGGCATCGCTCGAAAAATCTTCCTTCATCCCAACGCGGATCTTCGTGAGCGGATTGTCCTTCAACCTTGAAACCCTCTCTGAGGGAGATGCTGTAGAAGCTCTGATATTTTTGCCGGCTCCCTGCTTCGCGTCATATGGGTCCATATGGTCCCCGTCGTTCACCAGCTGAATGAATTCCTCGATCTTGTTGACCATCCTCTTCAGGCCCCTATCGAGAGGATTTCTCAGATCCAAACTCATCTCGACCTGTCCGGGAACGGTATTGACGCTTCCAGGAGAGACGTTCATTATTCCCACCGTCGCCAACCCCTTTAAACTCTCCGCGATTTTGCGGATCTTGTGCAGAAAGGTGGCTGCAAGATAAAGGGCGTCGGCGCGATTCTCGAAATCCGTGGTCCCGGCATGCGATTCCCTCCCGGTTATTGTAACAGTGAACCACTTGTAAGCTTGAACGCCCTCGACGATTCCAATCTTTTGTCTCGCTCTTTCGAGTTTCGGACCTTGTTCGATATGCAGTTCAAAGTGTGCGCCTAGGGGCGTGCCGGGTTTCCCGTCACGGTAGCAAGGGGCATCTCCCAGATATCCAATCCTTTGCAATTCATCCTTGACCGTGGCCTGGGGCAGTCCCGGACTGACGCTGCGTACGCTCCAGGCTTTCTCCAGTCCGATGCGCCCAGACCAGACGGAGCTCCCCATCATGCTCACCGGAAACCTGGCGCCCTCCTCGTTGGTCCAGTTCACCACGCCCACGTCGCCCTCGGTCTCGATCCAGTTCTCATTCAGCACCCTCAACATCTCGATCCCCGCGGCGACGCCCAAGACGCCGTCGAAGCGCCCGCCGCTGGGTTGGCTGTCCAAGTGGCTGCCCGCGAACGTGGCTGGGGCTTCGACTCTGTGGCCAGATCGGGACGACGACGACGACGACGACGACAGGCCCGGCCTGATGGCAAAGATGTTGCCCATCTGATCCACGTGGGTCCTGCATCCCAGAGCCTGGGTGGTGGCGATGAACCAGTCGCGTGCGGACCTGTCCTCGTCGCCGAGTGCCAGGCGCGAGAGGCCTGCGGTCTTGACATCGCCCATCTTCGGTCTCGTGGCCGAGGTCCATTGCGCGGTTGCGTGGATCGTGTCCCAGAGCCGGGCGGAGTTGACCTTCAGCCCGCTCAGTTTGGGTCCGTCGAGCTCCGTCGTGCGGAGGCGCAGAGGCCCTGAAGTCGTAAAGGCCCTGGTCGGGAATGATAACCCATGGCCGCAGTGAAGCTTCAGCCTGTTGTTGAGCTTGGACAGGGTTGATGGCGACGGTCTGTTCATGGCCATCAATCGAAGGAAGTAGCTGTGTTCCAATTGGATATAGGTAGATTCTTTTCCCCTGGATCCCTAATACAAAAGCTCCAAAGGGGTTTAGGGACCAAAGAGACCGAATCAAAAGGTGTAGTTCCTTGCTCAACGGAGTATGATGTTGGAATGTTCACTATACCTAAATGTACGCTTTGGTTGCTACAGACATAAGCCACGGTAAGTTTCAATGCAAAGAAGAGACCAAAGCATAAAGTGCAGACTAAGATTGGCCCTGTTTACCTCCTTGTTCGGTGATTTCGGGTCAATGAACCACCGATAGACGACAGTACAAATTAATCAAACAGCACTTGTGTCCTCTATCTAGCCCTGTGTCCTGGAGAATCTCTTCATGGTCAAATACTCTGTACACTGCCTCCTAAGCCCAGAAACTTGTAATGAGGGCTATCTCAAACTTGGGACACGGAAATATCTTGGGAACGGCGGACAAACAGTCTGGAGGTTTTCCCATGACGGCCAATCAATATGGAACCCCAAAGCTATTCGAGAAACAACGCAATCAGGGCATGGTCCAGGATCGAGGGAGGTTTTATGCTCCTTTCCCAGCTCGGCTGAGTTGCCGTTTCCTTTGTTCCATCCCTCCAAACCTGCAGAGATCTATGGATGTCTCCGCTGACTCCGAAGCTGGACTCGACTTCCGCTCGTTGCCCCCAATGATCATGCGACTACCAGCCTGCCGCAACTGGCTGGGTGCCGACCGACACCCATCTCTGTTTGATTCGGCCCACAGCACTTTGTCGAGGGCTGAGAATGTACCAGGAATCTCTCGGGGTTGCACATGGACTGACTGCTATCTCGCTTGAGATACGCCTTGGGACGGGTCCGCATGCCCGGGATATGCATGCGAGTCGCAATTTATCCAGCCAAGGCCGCTACAGGAGTCGGCTTTACACGTTGTGTCTGTCGTGGACATGGGGTTATGGACATAGAAGCGGCCGTTCCCCGTGGTTGGTCAATGGACTTTTTTGGCTCATCCTTTTGTCTCCCGATCCACGCTGTACACCTTGAAAACCTTCTGTCGATCGTCAGGCGGCGGCGTTAATCCTAGTGATGCTTCGATTTGATCCGAGAACAGCAGCATCGCGGACGCATTGAGCATTAGGGCAACACCTATGACAGCGCGGGTCTTTGGAGAAAGAGCTTTGTAGGAGCTGCACGACGGGTCAGCCACGTGTTCTGCAGAAGGAAGCAGGGAGTGACGCGGGGACACACCTCCACAGGGTCATGCTGAAAAGTAGAATCGCTGATTTTGGCTCGCGGCGAAGCACCGAGATCTCAATGAGTGTTTTGGTTCGAACTGTCCCAAAGGCATTGCGGACTTGGAGAACTGTCGAGCCATGGATCATCAGGTACCTCGCTCGCTCGTCCGCAGCCAGCTGCATTACAAGGCAGGTATTCCGAGTCTGCACCATACCTCATGTGTGCACCTTGATTCTGCCGATCATAGAGACAAGGATATACTCTATCCAGGCTGCAAAGTAAATAAAAGACGAATATCAGGCCCAAAAGATGACTTGCGTTATCTCCAAATGGTACATGGATGCCACGTGTGTACTGTAAATGTTTCTGCACTGCTCACCCCATTATAACAGAGCACTGTCTTCGTCGTGGTCGAGCAACGGCGCCGTGCACTTCAGACTCTTATGATCAACCGTAAATTGCGTGCTTGACAGATCCGTTCCACGTCGTCTCTGAGTGGCTGAACCCGACTCCCTGTTGGACTGTTCAGCTCCATTCAGTAACGTATTGTGGATAAGGATGCTGATATTCTCAGCCTTGCGAGGTCGTAGCAGCGATATCTAGTTGTATACGAGCTTCGGGTCTCAGGCAGAGAGGCCTTATGGCCATGGGAAGGGAGCATTCTGCAGATGTAGAATGCCCCATTCCTGTACTGGCCGATTGTGCCCCGCACTCGCTATACATTGACCCATTCTCCTCTCAGGACGTGATTGGGGTTTCGGGGAACAGCGTCAGCGAGTGCAATTGCGAGATGGCGGTGGGAACAATCACCCTCATCCTTCGGACCTCCCACCGCTCCCTCGGCCACAGACCACCGCATCATCCATCTCAACAGCCATATCTTCTCTTCGGGTGCTATCTTTCCAAAGAGCATCACAGACGCCGTACTCCTCCGCCATGCCGGTTGTAGGTCTACCGTGCATTTTGCTGCCTGGGCTTCATGCTGGCAAGGGACAGCTCACAATGACTGACTGACCGGCTGGAATAGGTCAAAGTTTGTCCGTACGACGATGGCACGGTCGAGAAGCCCATCAATCGGGAACCCTACATGATCGATCTCGTTTCAAGGTATGGGAACGTTCCCTTTCCCTGGTCAAGAATAGCCTCTCAATGGCCCACAACAGCTTCATCACCAAAAGCGACAATTATGACCGGAACCACGGCCCAATTCAGCACAAGATCGGGACGGATCACCGAGTCACAGTAGACGGGGCGGGCTTCGTCTCCGAGACTCTCAGTTTCACCGTCGACCAGCTCGTGAATGACTTCCCGCAAGCCAGGGTGACCTGCACGCTGCAGTGCGCTGGAAACCGCCGACACACCATGCGCACACGCATCAAGGAGGTCTTGGGTGTAGATTGGGAGGATGCTGCTCTCATGACATGTGCGTGGGAGGGCCCTCGGGTTCGTGACATCCTGCTCGCGGCCGGAGTCCAGGACCACCACACCATGGGTGACAACGTACCACCGAAGCATGTCCACTTTGCCAATTATGGCGGCAGGACTCAGGCCGACGAGTGGTATGGAGGGAGCATCCCCTTCGACCGGGCTATGGACCCAGCCATGGATGTGATCCTGGCGGTCAAGGTACGAATCGCGAGCGCTTCGTAACCCTTCCCCCTTTTCGGCGGCACGTCTGCTGACTTGTCACCTCTCGGGCACGTCTGCTGACTTGTAACCTCTCGGGCAACAGATGAATGGCTTGCCTTTGCCAGCCCGACACGGCTTCCCCGTCCGCGCCATCGTCCCGGGAGTTCTGGGCGCTCGTTCTGTGAAATGGCTTGACCGCGTCACCGTTTCCGACAGGGAATCACCATGTTTCTATCAGCAGCGTGACTACAAGATTTTGCCGCCGGAGGCAGTTTGTGCTGAAACCGCTGAGAAATATTGGGACCAGTGTCCCTCGATGCTGGACATGCCCATTAACTCTTGTGTTGCGTACCCAATCTCGGGCTCCACCATTGTTCTGCCTTCATCCGGGATGATTGAGGTGCTTGGGTATGCCGTTCCACAAGGCGCTCAAGGCCCGGTTGTCAGAGTTCAGGTGTCGGGTGATGAAGGCAGGACTTGGACCGATGCGCACCTCGAGGATGGTGGCAAAGATGCGAGCCGGTGGACCTGGTCTTTGTGGCAGGCCGAGATCAAGATGGAGAAGGGCAAAGACCAAAGGATTTTCGCAAAAGCCACCGACGCCGGAGGTAATACGCAGACCTGTGAACGATCAGCTTGGAATTTGAGAGGCGTGGCCTACAATGGCTATGAAGCTGCATTCGATTTGACCATTCTCTAGGTGATTGTTCTGGAGCAGTCTGTGATCAGCAGCAGATCGTGGTTGATTTTGAGTGAGAGGTTGAGCAAAAGAGAGCGTTTCCAGCCTTTCACCTCTGATATAGCGGTTTGTTTATGGTGAGTTTGACAGCGGCACAGCCGGGGATGGGTGTTCGGATTGGGCATCAGGATCAGCTGTAGCACAGGTCGATCCATAGCCCGACAAGATACCAATACTGCAAGATGAACATCTTGTCCTAAGACTGACATTGGGCATCTATGCTTTGCTTTCTGGTAACCTCGGATCTGAAGATCTGGAGGATCTCCATCTGTCGGTCTTCCCAGGAGAGAAATCCAATATGAGGCACATGAGGTCAACCAGGCTACCTGAGGCATGGCATCACTGGCTCAGCTGACGATGAATGGGCTGGCAGGTCGCTTGTGATGGAAGCTCAAAGTGGTTTGGTTGGGGGTCGGTAGTAAAAGAGAGGGAGGTGGGGAGCTAACTGTCTAGCTTAGGTAGGTTCTTAGCCGATTGGAAGGGCCACCGAAAGGGAGGGTGAAAGGGAGAGGGCCCGGGACAGCGTGGGCAACCCGGAGCACGGGCAAAGGCACGGGCGCGGGCGTGGGCGTGCCGCTTCAGCACCTGCAGCCTGCAGCAAGCCCGTTTCAGACGGCCCTTCCCATGCCACCAAGCCCACCAAACCCAGAAGTTCACTGCAATATATTATTACTTGTAGTAGTGTCTTGATCCGACAATGACGTGGTTGTTTCCAGCGTGCGGGAACTACTTGCTCGTTATGTTATCACGTTGGAGGCGATATAGGCCTTGATTTGCATTTTGCCTTGACAAGCAGTAGCGGTGCTCTCTATATTCTTCATTCCCAATGTGAAGTATAGATTTGCACGGTGACCACCCATCAACCTCAGGTGCTTTTCTTGAGGCGCACAAAGTATTTCCGTGTCAGATGGTGGCACTTATTCTTCGAAGCTGGATTGCCACAAGCCATGGCCCACGAATCCCTGCTGCCCTAGCCCTCAGGGCCTTGTCAAAACCCATCTGCTCGTGCACCGGAACTCGGGAATGGGCGCCTTTCCCTTCTGGAATTGATAGTCACTTGACATTCGAGTCTGGCAAGTGCCCTCTACTCCCTACCAGGATGGACGACCACGGGCTGTGGTCTGCGCACTCGGCGTGCATTGGCAGACGTGATGTGATAGACAGGACCCTTGTTGTCAATCTGTGTCAACCTGCGTCAGCCAGTGCAAGGAAACAAGACCGTCAACACAACAGGCCTCCTCTTTGTGGTACATTTGGGCCCCTCGGGGTGCCACTGGCAGCACGCCAACGCTCGGGGCTCATGGAAGACCTGAAGACCAACGCACCAGCCTGCAGACAGTGCAGAGTCGAGGGTGGACCCGCGCGCTGAGGATGATGGATGCGGTCCCGGAGCACAAAAGTGTGAAGTTCTGCTTGATTAAGTGGCATCTGTTTCCGTTAAGCTTTTTCGCACAGAGGCCTCGCTGCGAATCCCACGTTTCCGGAATTTGGTGGATGTGGTAGAGAGCCCAGCAGTAGCCCACAGTTAGTAGCCTAACTGACAGCCTCTCCCCTGGCACGCATGGGAGCTTCTAGCTCACGGAATTGACAGGCGGGGCCTTACTTGAACCGTGCTTCGCAGCTCCACCAGCCAGCATTAGTTGATCAGGCCGTTTACCGGAAGTCCAGGGCCCAGCGTCCTGAAACAAGCCACATTGACCACGCAGGTGGGAGACAATTATTAAATTTTTCTGACGTCCTTGGTCTATGTTTGTTTGTGCGAGTGTGGCCGCGGTTGGCTGCACGCGAAGAAGGCTGTCAGATACTGCAGACATCCACGAGAGGGCATTGCAAAATAAGACGTCGCGTGCTGAAAGAGACAGTATTAGTAGAGCAGGAATGAACGGGGATGCTGGTCGCATTCATGCTGGCTTTCCCCTTCTCTGTGCCGTCATCAATCAAACATGCGTAGGACGGCATGGGCAGCCCATGGCCACGGTACCCTCGCCTGGCGGCCCCCCGGAGTGATGGAGACCAAGCAGTAGGCAGATGCTTCGAGGGTCGCACTTCCATGCACCTGAGATTCGAGAAAATATGGGTGACAGCAACAGCCCCAACGGCCTACGCAGGCCCACCATCTGAGGAATCCCAGTGGACGGAGTCTTTTTGCACAAGTACCGCGGGCATTGGATTTGCACCGTGGAAAAAAGGAACAAAGAGAGAATCGCTTGCAAACCAGCCACCACCAAAACCCAGGAATCCGGTCAGTGGTCTGCAGCCGTTTGTTCCTTAACTTAGGTTTAGCGGTTTGGTTTGCGTGGGAGTGGGATAGAGTAAGCCCACTGGTGACTGGAGTGGAAAAGCCGAGTTGAACGTGAGTTTGTGGTTTAGCTCCCCCGATTTTGCCTCGACAAACTTGACTGCTTGCACCCGAAGTCAACTCCATCTCTGCTGTCGTTTCCACTTGGGATTCTCATCTTTCTCCCCAACTCACATTCGCAGCCATCGGCACCACTCCCGTCCCTTTTGATCTTTGTCGAATTGCCTCTCTTTTCCTCCAGATCCTGTTGTCTTCAGGGGGAAGCCGAGAGAGGTTGGCCTGTATCAAATTCATCTTCGCCGCTTGTCCTGCACTTACCTTCCCCGAGCTGCTGGAGTTGGGTCGGGTGTCTGCTTTTTTTTCTGACTCGACGTTTGTGAGCTCTTCTCTGGTACCCTTTTCTTACCCTGCCCACTCGTCGAAAATTCCTGGCTGACGAGGTCAAAAGCATAGCCCAAAATCTCGACTTGCTCGATAATTTGCCCGCCTACCCTGTCCTCCCAGCGTAACTACCTGTCAAACTTTTCCATCCGCCATGGCGACCGCTGCTCCATCAGTGCCCAAGCTTGACCGCTACGTGGTCATCCACGTTGCGACCACTTGCGATGAACATGGTGTTTATGTCACAAAAGATTCTGCAGAAGTGATTGAACTGGGTTGGATCTTGCTCGACAGTAAGACGTGTGACGAGGTATGTGTTCTTGGCGATCCCTGCTACGGAGGAGGATAAAGGAGATGAAAGGCGATGAAAGAAAAGACCGGACCTGTTGACGGATGTTCCAGATCTATCGGGAGAGCGTCCTAGTGAAGCCCGTCAACACGCCCATCACACCCCTTTGCAGTGAGTACTTGTGTGTCGGGAGGACGGAGATTTGCATGAACTGATCCTTGGAATCACAGCCAGCCTCACCACGTTGACTTGGGAGCACGTTCGCAATGCCGGCTCTTTCCGAGATGCAGTCACTCGCTTCGACCATTTCGCTCAGGAGCACCTTATATCCAAGAACCTGGAGTTTTCCTTTGTGACACTGGATTCCTGGGACTTGCGGGTCCAGTTGCCTCGAGAAGCTCGCGACAAGGCAGTCGTCCTACCGGCATACCTGCAACACTCGCGGACCTTCGACTTGCGTTCAGAGTATGCCCGATGGCAGCAGCACCATCCAGAGTCCCTGCCCTTCGGCCCCAGTTCCCTAGCAAACATCTGTGCTGCTCTTGAGGTGGAGCCTGTGCAATCGTCGGCGCCAATCAAGCACAACCTGCCCTTCCATCTGCAGGCATTGGCGCCTGCCTCGCCTCGGCGGGCCATGGAAGAGGCAGTCACTCTTGCCAGGGTGCTCCGCGGCCTCATTCGGAAGTCTCAGCCCGCCCATGAGCATCCGGATGTTTTGACTCGCCCCATGGACGCCAGGGCCGATGTGAATGCCTTCCTGAAGGAACGCAGCAAGGTTCTACACATGAACGGTCTGCCACACGACACAACTCAGTCAGAACTTGAAAGCTGGTTTACTCAATTCGGAGGGAGGCCAATCGCTTTCTGGACCCTTCGTACTCCAGATCAGCACAAGCCCACAGGGTCAGGTTTCGCCGTGTTCTCTTCGCACGAAGAGGTATGTCTCACTTTCATTTCCCAGTTTCACCTCTACGGCACTGATATTAACCCTTTCCCCCATTACCCTCAACCTCGGCGCCGTTTCCTTTCCACATATCCAGTACTGACACAAATTTTGTCTTCGCAGGCCGCTGAAAGTCTCTGTATGAACGGACGCGCCCTCAACGAAAAGGCCATCGAGGTCTCGCCTTCTTCAAGCCGAGTCCTCGATCGTGCCGCCGAGATCTTGACTCCGTTCCCTCCCAGCAAAAACCGACCACGACCAGGTGACTGGAACTGTCCTTCATGTGGCTTCTCCAACTTCCAACGCCGTACTGCCTGCTTCAGATGTTCTTTCCCTGCTGGAGGGGCCACGGGTGTTGATCCATACTACAATTCCTACGCCGGTTATGGACCTCCTCACATGATGGGACATCATCCTCACATGGGACATCATGGACATGGAGTGGGACATCACGGCCGTGGCGGAGCTGGTATTGTCCCTTTCAGAGCTGGTGATTGGCGATGCGGCGCAGAAGGCTGTTCGTACCACAACTTTGCCAAGAATGTCAACTGTCTGCGCTGTGGTGCGCCTCGCTCTGGAGCTGCAGTCGTGGTCGATTCGGCCTATCCTTCTCCAATGGCACCGCCTTCGGAGTATGGTATGGGACCAGGTTCGATGGCCAGCACTCCAGGACCCGCTCCATATGGTGCTGGTGCGGCTGCTTTCGGTTCTGGTGCAGCTTTTGCCCAGCCACCAAGTCAATTTGGCATGCCTTCTGGTATGGGTGGTCCACCAGCCGCTCCCTTCCCACAGATGGGCAGCATGACTCCCGGCTACGCATCCAGCACCATGTCTCACTCCTCCTTTGGTCCTGCGGCTCAAGCTGCTTTCAGTGGTGCCGTTGACACGAATGCACCGAGCAATCTTCCTCAGAATGGCTTTTACGGCAACGGACCTGGTGGAGATCCCTTCGCCTTCCTCTCTGCTGGCATTGACAGCCTCAGCATGGTGACGCCTGATGAAAACCAAGGCCCTCGTCGCAATGGTGGTCCTCAGAGCGCGAAAAGCCCGGCTTAACCACCCCGATCGCCCCGAACTCTGCCTTCCCAAGTCGCCACGCAACGTCACTAAAGTTCACTCATTGGCTGATTAACGACTCCGACGACATCTTTCATGTTGAGCAAGGTTGTCTACTTCATTTTTTTTCCCGACTTTCATGTACTTGATTCTTGGCAGATTCAATGCACATCTGTTTACTAGCTTTGTATCGTGGATATTGGCGGGCGGTGCTGGAGGCTGGGCTGCTGGAGGGTTTGAACTTGGTCGAAAGCGCCGGCAATGGGGACAATCTTTGCATATGAGGGACGACCTAGAGAACTTGGCTTGTGTTTTTGCTCGGGACCATGGGGCTGGGATTGAAGAAGATGCGATGAGGCACAAATTGCGATTGAACAACCCAGGAATAGGCGGCACGAACAAGGGAGCATGGAGGTCTAGAGAAAACAAAAACTACCTGGTACAAGTGCGAGCAAAACTGTATGGCATCGATGGGACTGTGTTGCGTTGGAGCTTGTGCGTGCCCATGTGTATGTTGCTGTTGTCTAGGGGCTATTGCCAGCATAGCGAAGGAGCAAGAGCGTGGAACAAAGGGTATGGATCAGGACAAGGGCAAAAAGGGACAGACAAAAGTTGTGGAAAAACATCCAGTATGACATCGAACAGGACCGAGCACAACCAGGCTGCGACACAACCCCGGCACATACGTTTTGAGAACGCCCACAGTATGATCTGTTTGCACATGGCTATTTGAGGAATGGGAGAATTCGAAGCTGGACATTGGCAATCACGGTCAAGGATGGCTTTAACTAACTTGTTCAAACGCGGGTGGACAATGTCAAATCACTTTTGAAAAACTTGATGGACTTGGTGTCGGCCGTTGCAGGATGTGATTCTTGTAGTGGTGGTGGTGGTGGTGGTGGTGGTGGTGGTGGTGGGCATTGCTCGCGTACACTTTGTTTCTTCTCCTCGTAATCGTGCTGGCCTGACCAAGACTGACATTGGACTTCCCATTCTTTTCCTTCGCACACTTCTCAGTTTTTGTTCTTCTGCGTCATACAAGGGTGGTGAGGAGCTTCAGCCATATTGCGTCCGCGACCGATGCCGCTCTCCGCGAGCAGAGAGGGACCTCATCGATGGCTCAGACTCGTCGTCCGTGTCCTTGGATATCCGTTACCGCCTAGACGTGTGCCGACCTACATACAGACTGTCTGCTTGCCTGCCTGCCAACATTCCGAGCACCTGGGCACGAGATGCGTGACTGCCACTCCTGCCACTACCAACGACACCAACGACACCAGCGACAACGACATTCGCATTCACGTCACAAATGTGCACGATCTAGAGGTTAAGGAGCACCAGCACCAGCAAAGCAGGGATACGCAACTCGGTAATATACAGGACAAGAGTCAGGGTTGGCAAGAGGTGGTAGTTCGATTGCGGGATCAACGTGTATGGTCAACTATAACTAGACGGTTCAAAGTGATATTGATATAACTTGTTCTATCTCTTGGGACCCTTCCCTGCTATGCCTAGAGTCCCTGGTCCGCTCCCACAAGATACATCCCTCGTGGACACTCGATATCTGGAAGCCAGACATGAGGGGTCCGGGGAGGGCCAGCTTTGGGCGGACGAGGCTCTTGCCCACTGAATGTGGACGTGGGAAGAATCTCTCAACACCACTCATTAACCCACCTTCAAGGCTGCGGCACCTCGAAATTTTGGATGTTCCCTGTCCCGGGGGATTGCGTGTCGCGAAGCAACTCTCCCAGGCAGCGTCGATCAGGTCGCCATACAACCGCCCACTCAGCAGAGGTTTGAAATGTTGAAACTAGTGCTGCTTGCAACCTGCAAATCTTCGACTTCCTTCACACCCGAAAGAGCACCGGAGCATTGCTTGAACCAAAGATCCGCAACAGGGCGCCGGCACCGCTATAGCAGCCGGTCAACGTGAACCCCATAGTACAAAATCAACGCTTGCTCTTCACGCTCATGTAGAACTGATATCTCCTCTTTCTCGGTAGCGCCTCAAGCCAGAACCCCATGAACACAGCTTGTACCACATCGGCCGCTCGCTATTCACAATTCGCAGATTCGAATGGAAGACTTCGCATCTTCCCGATATCATGATTCCAGCGATGTTATCCCTGTGCCTGGGCTTGTTGGACTTGAGCAGCCTGGGTCGCAGCGGCATGGTTCACAACACTCTGCAAGACGTCACGGTCTCCTTGCTCCAAGATCGCCGTCAAGTTTTGATATAGCTGGGGCTGTTCTGCCTGGAGCGTGTCCAAAGACTCCTTGAACGCGGAATAAGGATCGAACTTGTCCAGCGGGCTCTCCAGAAGGCTGTCATCGTCGAGGACGCTATCATCGTCATCATCTGCCAGAGCGCCAAATTTCTTGGCCTCTTCGCTGAGGAAGTCCAGATAGGCCTGTGATTCGTCTTTGATATCACCTTTGGTATCCGGTAAAGAGGCCGCACTCACGTTACCCCATTCCTGCCCCTCGGCGCCAGGTTCGTCAGCCCAATCTTCAGCTTCGTCGTCCGACCCATAGTCTGATATCGTGTCAGACACGCCGTCAGAGGCTTTGACAGCCTCCTCCCGTTGCTTGATCGCAGCGGGAAGAGTTCGGAAGAGATAAGTTGCCCCAGTCAGAAGGCGTGGCCAGCCGGTTTGGACAGAATGAGGAACTTGGTCGGCACGGATGGTGAGGAGGGAGCAGATGGCCGCAAGACAAAGTTTCTTGTCGTGGACCCGGCGGAAATTGTCAATCATGCCGAACCAGATCGAGAAGAATTTGTTGGTCCAACCATGTGATTCAAGGACCTGGAGTGCCAGAATGGGATTGTAATAGAGACAGTTGATAACCATCTCTACCAGATGCAGTTTGTAACTTTTGATCACTGTCTTGGCTTGTGCGCTGGTCAAAACCTCCATGGGCAAGGTCACAAAAGTCGGTATGTAGCTGTCGAGAGGGCCACCTCGAAGATTCAGCATCATGGCCTCGGCCAGCTTGCATCCGCAGATGCGATCCACACCTCCGACCTTGGGATCGGAGAAGATGTCTCGGACCATACCGGCTATTGCTGCCAGGTATGGTGGGTGTTCGATGAACCTTTGCTGACCGTAAGTAACGAAGTTGTCTAGAGCAGGCAGCATGTCTTCTAGGTACAGTTCGGCGCCGTCTTTGAACGTTTTGTGCATCAGCTCAAAGGCTTGCCACATTGTTGGCGATATGGATTTTGAGGCATAGGTACACGAATCAATGATTTCAAAGACTTCGTTGTAGAGATCATAGAGCTTGTTTTCCAGGGTGATGGTAATGACCGGCATAAGGATGGATTCGAGAAGGAGCAGAACGTCTGGTGTTGCCTCGAGAGTAAGAATAAGAGTGCCGACTGTCTGCAGCACTCCTAGCGCCGCGATGGACTTGTCGTCCAGATACTCGTTGTGTGCATCGCCAGTTTCCGCCGCCCTGGCCTCATTCCGTTCCAGAATTTCCCGGATGATTCGAAGATACGTGTCTCGCAGATTGGTACTCAGTGCTACCGCAAAGGGGGTGAGTTGCTCTGCGAAAACTTCGACAAAGTCCTCCATGACGTTGGACAGCGAGTCGACGTCAACTTCGTTCATCAATTGCAGCAGTTGATGCATGATTTGTGGAATGTTCGACTGCATTGTGATGCGGATGGCATCATGCCTGATAAGGGGTTGCAGGGCCAATGAAGCCTCCACCCTGACAGGCAGTTCTGGATCAGCCATGGACTCCATTATGTTCTGGTAGATGATCATGAGATTGTTCTGGTCCTTGAAATCCAGCTGCTCATACTTCTCCATTGTCTCACAGGCTCTAGCCCGCAGAAAGCCATGGGGGGACCTAAACTCGGGGAACACATGGCGCACGAAGAAGTATTCAACCTGATCGGCAATCGGGCTCTTCTTGCCCAATATGACCGATGCGAGGGAACCTATCATCCGAAGAGCACCATCTTTCTCTCGCGGGTTCTTTTGGTCATCCGGAGCAGACTCGTAGCGAGAAACGACCTCATTGACGTACGAGAGGATGACGTAAGTCTGTTGTTTCCGCGATTTTGTCAGAGCGATTAAAAAATTGGTCGCGGCCATGTCTGGCGCAGAGACTTCCTCGTAGTAGTTGAGTTTCCGGTGCAAGTAGTCGGCCGGATTGTCTGTGAACAATTCCAAGTCCTCGTCGGAAAGACACATGACTGGGAAGATCAAATGTTTGATGAGGCTGTCCATGTGCGGCTTGAGCTTGTCCCACATCGCTTTGGGCTTCACACATTCTTCTAGAAAGATCAAGGTGTACGACAAAGAAGGCTTGCTCAGCCAGTGATTGCCCCCAACCCATTTCTCAATTTCGCCGAGATAGCCCTTGAGAATTTCCGGCGCAAAATTTGTGATGAAGTTCTTTGCGAATCCACCATATTCCTTCTCTTGAGCCGAGGACAGCGCTGATGGGTTCCCATACCTCACAAAGAGCCTGTTGAGGTTTGCGTAGGACCATTTCCGTGCTTTCCACCAATGATTGCGTTCCCGGTCTTCAGCATCGTCGGGCATAGCACTCTCCGGAGGCTTCTTTGAGATGATGGTCAAGAAGAGAGTGCACCAGTCCACAGTCGCCTGGTGCGACTGGAGCGGGACAGGTAGGCCATAGTAGACAGCATGTTTGTAGCATTTGACGCATATCCTGAGCATTTCACCTGCTTCCAGACTGGTTTCATTCACCAACTTATTGCCGATGCCCAACAAGGTGGGGAAGGCCACGTTGACGACCTTGTCCAAATTTTGCCTTTCTTCCCCAGCGCGGAAACGATATGTGCGACAAACAGCCAACAGACACTGCAGCCCTGCATAGACCTGGTTGGCATCTTGAGTATTCATCAATTGCAGCGTAATATCCATCAGCTCGGGCCATTTTGTGGGAAAATCGTACTGCAGGATGGTCTGGAGGATGGGAATGAGCTGTGCTCGAATCAGCGGAGGAGAGGAGGACAAGACAGGCAGTAAGCGATCTCTGAAGGGCTTTCGTTCAGGCTCGGAAATGGGCTGGTGAGGAGTGTGTTCGGTGGCCCATCCCCGGGATATTCGATTCTTGAGGTAGACGGCAACCGACAGGCGGATGGGAGGGTCCTGCTCTGACTGTAGGATGTCGAGGAGGGCTCCGATGAAGCCAGGATGCTGTTCAGCTTGCTTCAGGGCCGTCTCAGCTTGGGAGCGGATGGTTGCGTCGGCTGACAAAGTCGACTGGATGGTGGTTCTCAGATCCATGGTCGTCGAAGAATGCTGCCCTTGATAGGGCCAATGCTTGAATACAACAAAACAGCCTAGGAAATCACAGAAGCTTCACAGCAAAGCAGACGTTGTGAGGATGCCGAGACAGGTCCTGCCAGCAGATAAATTTTTCTCATTTGCAGGTGGCAGTCGATGGCGGCGAGGGAGAAGTGCAATCCAATACGGAGTATGCCCCCAAAAACATCCCAAGATTCGAATGGGAGCGACCGCCAAGCCCCGCCAGCCTGATCACTTCTGACTAGTATGGCACCGTCCTCCGCCTCACCAGGTACAGGGCTTTTGGAAAATATGGAGCTCGAGTCTTGCCGCTCTATGTGCGTGTATGAGGTCTATGGTGCACATGTCGGAGAATTTGTAGGGTTCAGCACGGCAGGATTCAATCTTGTTCTATTCTACCTTCCTGACCTCATCCTTCAGGGTGGCTAGATGGACCACATAGCCGGAGCCAGACCGTAGCTGGGATGAAAGCTCTTGGTCCGGGACACGCCATACGTTGAATTCCTTCATTAAGGCGTCCAAAAACAATTCGCAGACTGTGTCAGAGCGAAGTTGTTGAGCCACCAAAACGACAGTCGGCTTTGTTGCCGTTGATCCCAGACGGCACGCATCCACACAAGTCTGCACCAACGGAGAGATGAGATACTCATTATAAACACAGTCGCAGAGCACAAGCAGGTCGATCAGAGCGCCAGCGGGGATGGCTGACTTGAGATTTTCAACGCTGTCCGCCTCCCAATCGAGGGGTAAGACCTTGAGGCGTTCTTCCTGAGCCACCCCTTTGTCGTTGGATTTCTTCTTGTAGCTCTTCTTCCCTTTCGGAGATGTCGCGTTGGCGGCTATGTTCTCCCTCAGGTATTTCACCACGTAGGCTTGATCCGTGAGGACATAGCACTGCACAAACCTCGACAGGACCAAGCCTAGCAAGCCGGTAACGCCACAACCAAGCTCGACCACCACCGCAGTGTCATATAGAGCGCCACTCAGTATTGAAGGCAAAGACGTCAACCATGCCGCCAGGAGTGGAGTAATCTTCCAGATCACCGCCCCTGTGGTTCCTTCCTGTCTATTGGAGTGGAGAAGGCCTGGGGATTGCCGCAGAATGTAGTCATGGCCAGCGATTTCAATCTCTAAAGAATCGGCCTTGGGGTCAACAAAGCCCAGGTTGTTGCTCGGGATGTCTCGGCTGAACAGGAGGAAAGTTTCTAGAGCTCTCGGTCAGACTACGATCCCCTTGATAGGTGTCCCACGAGAGTCATCTACCTTCGCCAGCATCTTCAATTGGATGTCCCAAGGCGGCGACAAACGACTGGGACGCCATCGCTGCTTATTCTCCAGAAAGGGGAGGTCCAACAAAAGGGCGCGTTCAGGTGTGGCCCTCCAGAGCTTCTTTGCTCCGCAAACCGAATGAACGCTGAAGCGCAGGCAGAGGGAGGCTCACATAAGCATGATGGCACTACCGTGAGCGTCGACCAAAAAGAGACATGGTTGAGCAATATTAATGGCTTGCTTGACTCGATATGACAAAAGGAGAGTAATAGCCTTACTACCTTGGGTATGTTGGTAGGAGGGACGGCTAAGTGGAGTCTAGGGACGCGATCCGAGGACGACGCATATCGTGCTTATGGCGGCCTTGTAATCGTACAGGCACCCCAGGGGTATGGAATACAAGATCTGCCTGTTGGCCACACGGTCTTGTGCAGTGTTGAGGGTCAAGAGTACTCGGTGCTGGCGATGAAAAAGAGCAACGAGAGTTGTTTGGGACTCGGAGATAGGGTGAGTATCTGGGCACAGGCGTAGGCTTGTCGGACCGACCAGTTGATCCGATGCTCCGGGCATCGTTTTGAGCCAGGAGGGATGGACGGATGATCGCTGGGCAGTCATTGGTGACACGCATCGTGCACCGCCACCGAGTCAACAGGATCTACTGCCTCTCGCATCGCAACACATCAGCTCTTCAAATTGAGTATCACTGGATAGCCATCCATAGGTATTTCTCGGACAAGCACGAGGACAAGACGAAGCTGTCGCCAGGAGGCTGAAGCCTGACACCCTGGGCTAGCTTCCAGTGTCAGGTAGTGAAAGGGCTTGGAACGCCCCTGGGAAGCCTAGATACAACTGCCTACAAGTACTCCGTACGGAGTACCTACTAATCACTAGCCACTTGGAGCCACTGTTGCTGGGCAGACAAGTGACGTAACGAGTTAGATCATTCGCACCCCCCAACCCCGGATTATTCGTTGCTCGTTCACCGGCCGCGCCAACCGGCCAGCCTGCGAGTCGCAAGGAGACTGGAGGTTGTGAGGTTGGGGGGCTCTGACACTCTCAAGAAACTCGCACACAACCCATCCCTCAACGCTCAAGAACCTTGCCGCGCCACAATCATCCCCGGTCGCAACGCAGGCAGCTACGTCTCTTTCCCCCTTCCACCTTTTATTATCGCTCTCTTCTTTCCTCCTACCTCCATCGCCACGAGCTCCTCTGTTTGTCGTCACCTGGTTCTGGTGGGAAGTGACAAATATCCACCTACAGCAACCCCCGTCCCACCCACGAGCCTCTTCCCTCTATAGTGTCCAGCGCTTGGGGCTACGGCTCCTCCAATTCCACAACTCATCACATATCACAGTACTCCATCCTCCGCCATTGCGTCCATGTCTGCAGCCGAGATGTCGCTCGAGAATGACAACCGGCCAAGGGTCGACGGCTATGTCCAACCTCAAATGATCAAGAAACCACCTTTCTCTGTCGAAGCCTCTGGTTACGAGAAGAAAGAAGGCGAAACCATCCCCCGACGCAATCCTCTGGCCAAGGACAAGCTCATTGTTCAACCCTCGGATGACGTCAAAACCGTGTTTGACAATCTCAAACGGGCGGCCTCCAAGTTCGGAAATGCCAAAGCCATTGGATCGAGAAGGATACTCAAGACGCACGTCGAGAATAAGAAGGTCAAAAAGATTGTCGATGGCCGGGAGCAAGAGGTGGACAAGAAATGGACCTACTTCGAGCTCAGCGGATATGAATACATGACTTTCATCGAGTATGAGAAGCTGGCTCTTGACTGCGGCTCGGGTCTAGCGCGTCTTGGAATCTCCAAAGAGAACAAGATGCACCTGTACGGTGCCACCAGGTATGCCTTTCTCTTCTTTACGCCTATAGCTTGTCTGACCTCTCTAGTGCCCACTGGCTGGCCATGTCGCATGCTGCCGCCTCTCAATCGATCCCTATAGTCACTGCTTACGACTCTCTTGGTGAGGAGGGACTGAAACATTCTCTTATTCAGACCGGATCTGTAGCCATTTTCTTAGATGCCAACCTCATCCCCACCTTACTGAGAGTCCTTAAGGATGTCAAGCACCTCAAGACCGTCATCTACAACACGGAACCAGAGATCAAGCAGGCGGACCTGGACAAGCTGAAATCCACCCATCCCGATCTGAAAATACTCAGCTTTGAAGAACTTCGAAAGTCCGGTGCTGAGAATTCTGTGGACCCCGTGCCTCCCGGCCCAGAAGATCTGGCTTGCATCATGTATACCTCCGGTTCGACGGGCCCGCCAAAGGGCGTGACGATTAAACACAAGGCCGTGGTTGCCGCAATGGCTGGAGTCCAGACGGTCGTGGCCCCCTATATCGGTCCGGCCGATGCATTGCTCACTTATCTACCCCAATCGCACATTTTCGAATACATGTTTGAAAATGTCTGCTTGTTCTGGGGTGGAACCATGGGCTATGGTAACCCTAAGACACTGTCTGACGCATCTGTCCGGAATTGCAAAGGAGATATTCGTGAATTCCGACCCACTATTTTGATAGGCGTCCCTGCCGTCTGGGAAAGCGTCAAAAAGGGTATTCTTTCGAGGGTCAACAGCGGCTCCTTCATCGTCAGGAACATGTTCTGGGGCGCCTTGTCCCTGAAACAGACTCTCCTTTCAGTGGGCCTGCCGGGCGCCGGTCTTTTGGACGCTGTGGTGTTCAAGAAGTTGAAGGATGCCACCGGTGGCCGGCTTCGCATCGCGTTCAACGGAGGCGGCCCCATCTCGGAAGAAACAATCAAATTCATTAGTTACGCAGTAACTCCCATGATTTCTGGCTATGGCCTCACTGAGACTTCTGCGATGGGCTGCATTCAAGATCCATTGGCCTGGGATCCCTATGCCTTGGGCGACATCACCGGATGTATTGAGATCAAGCTGGTTGACTTCCCTGATGCTGGTTACTACTCAACGAACAAGCCTCCGCAAGGCGAAATTTGGATCCGGGGCCCTTCGGTCACGGAAGGCTATTGGGACAATGAAAAAGAGACTCAGGAAGCAATCACTGAAGATGGATGGTTCAAGACTGGAGATATTGGCGAATTCAATGCCAATGGCCACCTTCGCATCATTGACCGGAAGAAAAACTTGGTCAAGACACTGAATGGCGAATACATTGCCCTCGAAAAGCTGGAATCAGCCTACCGAACAGCCCCCGTTGTCGGAAATATTTGCGTTTTCGCTGCTGCAGACAAGGCCAAACCGATTGCGATCATCGTGCCAGTCGAAGCCACTCTGCAGAAAATTGCAGCAGCCAATGGCATTCTGGGAGAAAATCTGGAAGAAATGGTTCACGATGAAAAACTCAACGCAATCGTGCTGAAGGAAGTGCAGAAAGCAGGTCGTGATGCTGGTCTTTCTGGTATTGAGATCGTTGACGGCGTGGTTCTGGCAGACGAGGAATGGACTCCTCAAAACGTAAGTGGTCCAGAGCTTTCCAAGTCGACTACTAACCTTCTGGTAGGGTCTGATTTCCCCGGCCCAAAAAGTTCAGAGGAAGAAGATTCAGCAGCATTTCGAAAAGGAAATCAAGCATGCCTACGGAGACTGAACCGAAAAATAATATCAGCATAGACACCAGCGCTCCCCACAGGTGCTCTGAAGCGCTGACTGAAAATCAAATCAATCCCATAGTGAATCGAGGGAAGGAATCCTATCAAACGAAACGACGAGCGCGCACGGTGTTTGGAATTGCTTCGTGCTGATGATATCCCAATACAATATGTAGTATACAGTTGTTGGCAGTCTTGCATCGCTTCCTGACGCATCTCAATTTAACACAGCTAGAGACCACGGGCCATGTTTCTCTGATTTCCACGTCACCACAATTTCTTTCAGACTTCCCGAGCTTCGAAGCCCTCGTTCTCAAAACAGTCGTTCGATACCAGCTCATCAGGCACCTCAGTTCCCTCCTCGAGATGATCAGAATTCAGAACTCAACGTCTCTTCGAGTTACTGGTGATCTTCATGCCGTCGATAAGCCTGCCAAATGTGTCAGATCTTGGTAGTGAAGCTCGGCAGAAGGAGACCCTACCACCCTGCATTCTCAACCGCAATGCTCGGGCATTTACCATCGCTCTGGCATTCGATCGGGCAGCATATCCCTGGATCTTTGCTGCATTCGTTGCATATGACGCTGCCTTCGTTGTCACTTTGGATCGGAATTGGAGTCAGGCTGTCTTCTGGGACAGCGGCTCCGGCTGGGCTGTGTTGGAGATCAGTCTTGCGCCAGTTGATCGATCTGGTTGGAATCTAAACATGCCTGTCATTCTTTCTTTCTACTGTAAGAGCGGTAGTGCTCTGGATCATTGCGCTGACAACAACCAGGAGAAGAGTGACCACCCTCATTTTTGAGGCAGGCTGGAAAGCTGCGATTCCTAGATTCACGAAAAATGAGGTATTTGGTGAGGAAAGTTGCCTGTTGGACAGACTGGCAATTGCTTATGTTCTACCTGATGGAATTTGTTGTCTCGAAGCCACATTCCAGCCAAGGACATTCCTCGCGGTCGGTCGGCTCTACGCGTCGCAGGCCAGCCTCCAAGTCGGCTCGTGTTATGGGTCTTTTCTTTCAGCTTTATCGAAGAACTTCCATCTATCAATGTATTCGTCCTGAGGCACACAGAAGTACTGGGTTATCTTTGCAAAGACCTTGGCTGCGCGAAGATGCATTCTCCTCCTCCAGCTCTCTTCCTCACCCTTCTACACCTTTCGATTCTTATCAGGTCGGTAGCTGCGCAACAGTCTACCTACTGGCTCGCCAACAAGCCGAATGTTGGTAAAGTCGCGTTTCAAGATCCAACTTATCCGGTGTTTCGAAATATCAAAGACTATGGCGCCATTGGTGAGTCTCCAAGGGTCAAATCCTTCTTTCAGGATGCTGACATTGATTGCAGGAGACGGGCTACATGACGATTCTGACGCTATCAACCGAGCCATCGCAGCTCCTGGGAATCGCTGTGGCGGGGGGAATGCAACATATGGATCGTTTTGCCAGTCCTCAACAGTCACACCGGCCCTCGTCTATTTCCCGCCAGGAACCTATAATGTGTCGAAACCTTTGATCATGTACTACTTCACGCAGATGGTAGGAGATGCTGTCAACCCGCCCACCATCCGAGTCAGTTCCAATTTCACCAATATCGTGGGGTTGGCTGTATTTGATGCAGATATCTACATCCCGTCCGGCAGCGGTGCCGAGTGGTACGCCAACCAAAACAACTTCTACCGTCAAGTTCGCAACTTTATCATCGACATGACAAGCGCACCCTTGAAGACAGCTGGCATTCATTGGCAGGTAGCTCAAGCCACGAGTCTGCAGAACATTGTCATCAACATGGTGCCGAAAGACGTGGTCAACAATCAACAACAAGGCATATATATGGAGAATGGATCGGGAGGCTTTTTCTCCGACATGGTCATCACCGGCGGCTCCATCGGGGCTTACCTTGGAAATCAGCAGTTCACGACGCGCAAGATCCAATTCGATGGCTGTTCAACGGCAATCAAAATGAACTTCGACTGGGTGTGGTTGTTCAGCCAGATCACCATTACGAATTCCGATGTCGGGATTGATATGACTAGTGGCGGTTTCTCCAACCTCGCTGTCGGCTCGCTTGTCCTGATCGACAGCGTGATATCTGCGACCCAGGGTATTCTCACGCCTTATGCGCCTGGCTTCAGTTCGCCACAAGCGGCGGGAACTTTAGTCATTGAAAAAGTTGACTTCACGGGCAGCGAGGTCGCCATTTCGGCCGCAGGTGGGACTCAAGCGAGGACGGTTCTTGCTGGTCAACAGTATGTCGACCTCTGGGCGCAGGGAAATGCTTGGACAACGGCGGGCGCAGCTCTGAATGGCCAATACTTCAACGGCACGAGTTGCACCTATCAGAATGCGAGTCAGACCGCCTACACTGCTCAAGAAACGACGATACAACGAGCGCTGGCCCCGATTCCTCGACCCTCGGCGCTGGTCGACAGTAACGGACAATATGTGTACCGCGTCAAACCACAATACGAGACCCTCCAATGGGCGACAGGATTTCTCAGTGCTAAAGCCAATGGGCTTCTGGGTGACGGTTCTACAGGTATGTCTTTTCGTGCTGAAACAACGCGCGTCGGCGTCTGTCTAAGGGTTGCTTCTTTCTAGATGATACGGTTGCGATGCAGGCACTCTTCAATCTTGCCCATACGACAGGGAGAGTCGTCTACTTTGACAGGGGAGCTTACATAGTTTCATCCACCATCAACGTTCCGACGGATATCAAAATCACCGGCGAACTTTACAGCATCATCATGGCTACGGGACCGTTCTTCGGCGACCAATTGAACCCACAGCCAATGTGGAAAATAGGCAATCCTGGTGATGTCGGCACGGTCGAAATCTCAGATATCATCTTCGAAGTCAAAGGACCGTGTCCGGGAGCCATCATTGTGGAGTGGAACATCAAGGCCGCCGGGCCGGCGCTGGCTGGTATGTGGGATGCCCACTGGCGTATCGGCGGGTCAGCAGGGACAAACTTGCAACAGGATGTCTGTATAAAGACCCCGGCGACGCCAATTGCAGGATCGAACCCTGTCTTGACGAACTGCATCGGCGCATATCTGCTGTTGCATGTTACAAGCCAGGCTGACGGCTACTTTGAAAACACTTGGGGATGGGTGGCGGATCACGAGTTGGACATGGCCGATCGGCAGCAAATTTATATCTTCAACAAAGGGTGAGATTCATTCCCCTTTCGGAAAGTAGGGCTTTACTGACCGTGCCGTTCTGCAGTGGTTTCCTTTTTGAATCACAGGGCCCCGTGTGGCTCTACGGCACCGCGGCCGAACACTCGGTCATGTACGACTACCAATTCGTCAACGCGAAGGACGTCTTCATGGGCCACATCCAACACGAAACGGCGTACTTCCAGGGCAATCCCAACGCGCTGGCGCCCTTCACGCCACAAGCATCGTGGCATGATCCGGATTACTCGGATTGCGTGCAAACCAACTGCGCTCGCACTTGGGGTCTCCGTATCGTCAACTCCAGCTCGATCTTCATGTACGGCGGGGGGCTGTACAACTTCTTCGAGAACTGGAACACGCAGGCATGTTTGGGCACGGAGAGCTGCCAGGAGAGGATGGTGGACTTTCGCAATTCGACGGACGTCTATCTCTGGGCCCTGAGCACGAAGGGATCACAGTTCATGATTAGTTACGAGGGAACGGACGTGGTGCCGTACAGTGTGAACAAGGCGAATTTCTGTGAGACGATTGTGCTCTTTGAGCTGGCGAGCGAACAGTAGTCAAGCAAAGATTTGGAAGCGGCATGATTAAGGGAGGTAGGGGATATGACGGGATGAGAAATGCGAAGCGGGTATTGGGGAAAGACACGAGAGATGAGAGGGATAGGGTGGGGAAACCTGGGATAGATCGAAAGTCGTTGCTTTGGTCATACAAAGACCACGTTCTTCCGAGGAAGGAATCCGGCCATCTTGTTGCACGTTCTCGCGGACCGAAAGCCCTGACGGAGCTGGTTCTTTTCTGTTTTACTCCGAGCCTCCCCTAGGGCGAGAAGCATCTTTTCTCCCCTCGTCCCAGAGCTGGGTAGAGCAATGGAAAAATCAAGAAACCTGCAGACGCAAGATGCAAGGTAGAACAACCCTGGTCCTTGCTTAGGTTTTGGGATGACTCGGACCACCAGGACCACTAGCACGTGCAGATTGCTACCACAACATCCCAAACAACACGGCTTAGGTGACGATCTTTTTGTTCTTGTTCGTTAGAGGCCAAAAGGTCTAGCTCTCGACATTATGGAGAACCGGGAGTGAGTCTATCGGTCCTGTACTCGGTATCCGTCCAGCCGTTCCAATTTTTTTTTTATTTTTGTTGCTCAGGCGGACCGGGGCTCCGTTGCAGTATGTCGTTTTGTGATTGCTGGATAATCGTTCTGAGATGGCTGGCTGGCTGAATGGATGGATGGCAGTTGTCCTTGCAAGTAATCCAGTCTCACCACGTGGTGTGAGACCTCATCGACCAGCGGGATTGTGATGGTTGTGCCCACAGCCTTATGCGGTGGATGTTGGACCGGGGCTGGCATGGGCAGGCACCAGGCACCGGGCAGGGCCACATGCTCGTACATACATACATACACATTTGTGTACTCCGTACTGGGTATGGAGTAACGGACGGAGTACGCCGTGGTGGCCGGGATGATGATGATAATGATGGTGGTGGTGGTGGTGGTGGTGGTGGTGGTGTTGTTGTTGTTGTTGTACGTACCTTGCCCTGCAGGATGCAAAAGTTACGGTAGTCGAGGAAGTCCGTGCATAAAGAACTTGGCGACCTGCGTGAAGTCTCTGGTTTGACAGCGAATAGCCGGTCTCAACCAACCCATGACAAAGGACAAATCATACAAGGAGGGATTTGGGGTCCGACGATGGCTCAGGAATGAGGAACAAATTCCTGCTTGGCCCGTCACAAAACATGGCCGGCCCTGTTCACGGGCCATGGATTCACCCAGCCTCCATCCGATTCGGGGGATGTAACAACAATAATGAAACCCCAACCCATCCCAACCCGACGAGACATAATCCTTTGCGTGCCTGGCGTCACCCCCAAAGGGTGCCGAAATGTCTTAGTGATGCTACTACAAGCACAACACCTCAGCACACCTCGATGGGTCAGAAAAGCATGCGACAACTCCACCTCTTCCCAGGCCATGCCGAGAACTCGTCCACAAAGATATTCAAATGACGAGATGCCACAGTGGCAACGGGGACCCAGGGTGGATGTTTGCTTTAGGCTGTTATAGCTAAGCCTTTGAATCCTGGCTGAGGCGGGTATCGTCTCCGCACAATAATTAGGTAGGCACCGCTCGCTTGGGGGATGCCGGGACGACGAGCGAGTCGACGGATGGCTGGCTCTAGGCGTCTGACGAAGATGATATGTATGTAATAGATATGCTCGGTAAGTTCTCTTCGGGTGTATTGTGAGGTAGGGCACTCGGTACCTGGCGTCGACTTCCCAGGTTACTTTTACCTCGCTTCCAGGCAAGATTGTCTTTTGAATGGCGCAGGCACAGTATGCTCTAGTCCGACGATCCGTCATGCCGTACAGAGTGCGTGGTATAACTCGTGAGTTGCTCCATGCCGGCTTATTCCTCGTCAAGTTGAATAAGGCACAATACTCGGTAATGATGGGATGATGAGCATGACGTAAAGTTCGGCGGTCCGTCATCCCAACGAGGTATAGCCGTCACGTCACGGTGGAGTAATAATAATACGCTCCCTCCTCGTACGATGTGGAAATCACAATGCGAGTCCGTGCACACACAATACCGACCTCCCTGCCAGCAGAACCAATACCGAACGACCCTGTGGCACGGCATGAACGACAGCCGTTGGGCGTTGACTGCTGCTGAGGGAGGCTGGACGCGAGCAGGCTGCAGGGTGGATGGCTATGGACAGCCCGTATAGCGCCCAACGGGGCCTAGCGGCTTTGCATGGCTGCAGCCCATGCGAAACATGGCGAGTGAAAACGGGCAGAAACTACACGGGAAAGACAACGGGCAGGCGACGGGGCTGGTCGCTAACGCACAGACCCCATTGGTCCAGGCCCTTGCGGGGGAGCCCTAGGGCGAGGCTAAGCACCGGCCTAAGACGACGCTAATGCGCGCGCTAAGACCCCCGTTCGGCAAAGCGCCAGCTATTTTCGCCATTTCCAAGAAACCGAAGTTTGACTTCAACTGCCAGAAAAACTTTGCACAGCACGGCTTCCGCCTCACCTCACAGCGCTGCCTGTGGTGTCGACACAATGGATTTGGTCACGGATTGCTCAGTCGCTGACACCTATACTTGCTCCCTCGATGCGGATTCGTCCAGCATCTACGACATGCAGAGGTCCAGAGGCCCAGAGGGCCCAAGGCCCCCGTCCACAGGTCCCACCTACTCCCCCCAGCTCTAGTCCTCGCTCCTCGCCTCGCCTCCTCTGGCCTGCACAGTGTCTGTGCTCCGCCCGCCCATCACGATCCCCGCTCCCTTCCATTGCCTCTTTCAGTGCCATCGTCAGCTGAGAGACACGGAAAACCAGGAAAGACCACAGTGAGCGTGAATGTGGCCCAGCCATCATGCTATTCGAGGGACAATGAGTGGCTTCCCTGACTGCAGAGGTCAAGGATATAAAGACATGATGGTAGGTTGCTCAATCAACTTTTTCCTCTCTCATCCATCAATCAGCCCAACAAGCACAATTCAATCCCACGATCTACTTCAGAGATCTTCCTTCGCTTTCCCATCCCAAAAGCCTTTCGTTTTCGAACAGTCCCATCTCCCTCGTTTCTAACCAACCCACATCCAACACCCACCCACCATCAAAATGAAGTTCTTCTCTGCTGCCCTCCTCATCGCCGGCGCCGGTGCTGCCGCCGTTAAGAGAGATGGTACCTGGAACGATTGGTCCAGCACCTGTGTCCCCAGCACCGAATACGTGACCACGACTGAATACTCGACTGCCTGGTCCACTGCCTACTCGACCGTCTATTCCACCGCTTGGTCCACGGCTTATTCCACCGTCTACTCGACTGCCTACTCGACCGCCTACTCCACGGTCTACAAGGTCAGATATCTCCCTTGACGGAGCCTCTTGAAGCACGTTGTACTGACTTTGGAATCAGCCAACTACCGTCACTGCCTACAGCACCGTCTACTCGACTGCTACCGTGACTGAGACCAAGCCCGTCTACAGCACCATCACTGGTGAGTTCACTGTCCAGAAGACACATTGTCGGTGCTCCAACTAACTTGAATCTTCTAGTCCCCACCACGACCACAGCATACAGCACCGTCTACACGACCGAGACCGAGACTGAGACCGTCACTTACACTGCCGTGCCAGAATCTGTCTACATCACCGAGACCGTGACTGCTCCTTGCTCCCAAACCTGGGGTGACTGGAACCGGAAGTGATTTTCTCGACTTCCCCCGGTCGAAGCTTGAGTGGAGAGGAGTGGGGCAGGAAGCTTCAGTGGATATGTAATGGAGTGTGACGTGGAGGCAATTGTGCACAAAAGGGATTGATGAATGGGTTATGATTTTTACTACTAACGCAACTACTAAGACTGATCAACGATCAACGATCACCGACGACGACATGACATCTGTCAACCAAACTCACAGCAACGGCGAAGGGGGGAAACATGAAAAAAACATGGGAAAGGACTGTAATATGGGCATACGACCGGCCTGGCAACGCGGAGCTTTTCAGGGCTCACGGCGACCGCTAGGCTCCTTTTCCTTTCTCACCGGTGATAATTCATAGTGGCGATACTATACATATATTTCGCATTGATGTCCTGCAGCGGCGTCGAAGCGACAATACTATATCCTGAGCCATTGTCTACTTTTACTGCTCCTGAGGCTGAAGAAGAGACCCAAAGGGAGATTGACGTTCAAAGAGGCGATGGGACGCGGGCAAACTCCTAGCTCCTCTTCATGATCGCCATGCTTGTACCTGACGAGGTGGCAAGCTGGGGAGGTTGTGTGACTTCGTCTGGATCGACCAAAAGTCCAACCTTGACTCAGCTCCTCTTTTCTCTTTCTTTCTCTCTTCTCCCACTCGGTGCAGCCCTGGCCCACCCATCCACCCACCAAATCCACGTGAGGTCAGATGTTCGATGGCTGCTGTCAAGGTTTTGGAGAAAACTACTCGCAAGGTAAAGTGCTTGCAGGAGGAGCTGACTTGATTGACCCTTCGTACCCACCCACCTACCCACCCGCACACATTCTGTGTCTCTCTGATTAACTACTTGAGGCAGTACCCTCTCGATCGAGTGTACGATACCTACGTACCCGAGTCCGGGCTCGAAAAGGACAAAATACAAATGATGTCGATGGTTTGTCGATGCTTGCTTCTGATGCCGTCGCTGCCGTACATACCCACCCTGTATAATCCCGTCTTGTTCCTTTTCCCTGCCCACTGGCCCCGTACCCAGACAGGCAGTACATTCTGTGTGGAGGGACGAAGGGAGTTGTTATCGATTCTGCCCTCGTCTCCGGCCCGTGTACCTGAATGTGCCACTTGCCATTCTCAGTTCTACCACGAGTATGGACCTCACTACCACCTCGTACAGTTACAAGCCACGATCCGGGACTCCACCTCCGGAAACCTCCTCGCAGCCCGCTGGCCAGCCAGCCAGCCAGCTTGGGCTCGTATCGCTTCGCATTGCGCTTTTTGTCCGCCAATCTTTTCCTTCCATTCGACGGACAAAATCTTTCCCATCGTGTCTTTTTTTGTTTGCTTGGATCTCAAATTTGGCAGCTGCATGCAGGAGACAGTAGAGAGGAGACAAGTAGTAGCAGTGACAACAGTAGCCAGGGCGCGCCTCTCACCCCCGCCTGACCAACCCCAACCGAGAGGATCACTTCGATGGATGCTCGCCTTTCTCCAGCAAGCCAACACACTGAGCATGAGCACATACGAGGACGGAACCCGCACGAGGCCGAGTCAGTCACTGGCACACACTGGCACACAGGGCACGGTCCCGCCCTCTTGAGGGAGAAGGCGAGATGCGCGGATTCCTCTTCCTGCCCATTATGATTGACATCAGAAAAGCTGTGTCAGACGATGACGGACGGACTGGCTGGCTGGCTGGCAGGCTGAGCAGGTGGTCAGTTGCAGGTGGTCAGTTCGATCTATTACACCATTCCCATTCCCAGTGCTTGCTGCTGCTCCTGCACAGGTGCCAACTTGTTAGGCTTGTCGACTTTGCTGGGGGAGGGGGGCTGAATGGTAAGAGTCAGGCTGAGTCTGAGTCTGAGTCTGAGTCTCAGGCTGAGTACCAGGTAATAGGCGTCAGAGAGAGCATGACCATCTTGGCCCCCTTTCTCTACACACCACCCTCAAGGTCGAGGTGCTCAACCCTCTCCAGCGAGGCTGGGCTGGGTTTGAGGCTCTCTCTCTCTCTCTCTGTCTCTCTCTCACACCTCTTGCAGTCATCAGTCATCAGCAGGCCAGCTCGGATACGATTCTCGACGGCTACATTATCCGGTAAATACGGCAGTTCAAAAGTCCCCCATTTCACCATTTGACAGGGATTTGACGCTGTCCGATGAGATGGGTGGGTAGAGCACTTTACTACATACGGGTAAGTTGGGGTACTGTAGGCATTGCATTTCGGTAGGGTGGGTGGTAGGTTATGTGCTCAGCTGCCTAGTCACCTACTCGGCACCTACAGTACACTAGAGCATGGAACTTGCCCCAGCCTCAGGCCCGCAAAGCCTCGACGGACCAGGCGGAATGCAACAGGGTCAGAGCTCTCGGGGCGAGGGCATTAAAGAGCGGGGCGCACAAGGGTTCCTTCGCCTATGTACGGAGTGCCTGTAATGACAATACAAGACTGCCCCGACAAAACTATACTTGTCTAGGATAAGAGCTACAGTACATTACCAGGGTTTATTACAGTAGTATGTTCGAGTAGCGAGCGAAGTCTCTGCCCACCCCCCGCATACCAAGGTTTTTTGGGGCCCTGACTTTCTCAACACCACCACCATCGCCACCATGCACAAGCACCCCCGGGGATTTCTTTTCAGCCTCTGTAGCTTCGCCATCTCCTTCTTCCACGGAGCCAAGTTTTAAACCATGGAATAATACATCCCTGGATAGCTTCACACACCGGTCACGATTCCTGGGAAACCACCCGACACGTGGGCATCACCGCTGTAAGACAGACCTGCGAGGCGGCATCCTGATCGTCGTCAGACGTGAGACAAGGTCTTTGCTGTTTGGGCTTTGGATTCTTTTTGTTCCTCGATGCATAGTACTGCTTTTTTGCCACCGAAATGTCTCAGTTCCCACGGTTGGACCGGAAGAGAGAGAGAGAAGCGAGGTGGAGGCCTCGACCTTTCCCCTCGAGCTCGTTTCTTACTAACTACTGTCAAAACTCTTGCTCAAAGCCCCCGGTCACTGCTAAAAGTCCCTCCAAAGTATGTGGCATTTTGACCTCTCGCTTAACTTTGCCCCGGGTATCCCTACCTTCCCAGGCGGCCAGCGGCTGCTGGTCCTCCTCGTCGTATACACCATTACTGGTAGCAGTGGTATGGTTGTTACTCGTATGTACCTGGTCCAAACCCCGCGCCCAATCACGCCTGCTGCCATGATGTGCCTCGCTGTTCAATGGCCAGGATCGTCTCGATGTGGCGCATCTCCACATTTGGCCCACGTTGCGCATCCTTGGCCCGTTCCTGGCTGCTGCCGCCTTCGCTTCGTGCCAACATCTGCGCCTGCAAGTTGAGTAGCTGTGTGTTAGCCCAAAGCTCACAATCCATGCATGCAAAGATGGAGGGGGAATTCCCAATGATAATGAATCGACCACCGGAACTTGCTCCGTCCAATCAAAACCATGTCTTTGTCCGTCTCGTTCCCTTTGGCGAGGAGCGCGAGGGCTGGGCAATGCGCAGAGGTAACTTACCGTCTTCAGAATGTTCTTGATTTGTCGCCCGTTCAGGTCCACCCGGGCGAGGCGCTCCAGGTCTTTGCCGCTCACCGGATGATCATGACCCAAAAAGGTCTGCCAGATGTGACGGCGCGACTCGACCGACAGGTTGGGGTAGTTGACCGTCACATGGATGCGGCTGTGGAATGCCTCGTCGATGTTCTTGATCCGGTTGGTCGTTAGGAATAATACGCCCTCATAATATTCCTGCCAAAACCTTGGTCAGAGCCCTGTAATGTCTCAAATGTGGTGAAATGCACGAAAACAAGAAATGACAGACAGCTCAAGCAATTCCAGCTTGTTTGTGGGTTGTGCAAGCGAGCGGACGAAGGTAGGTGGTAGTAGTAGTAGCCCCCAACTTGCCAGCTGCAGCTTAACAGCCTGGGCGCCCACTTGGGACCGGATGATCTTCACAAAAAAAGACCTACTCGCACGGCTTTCAAGTTTTTGGGCGCCCGGAAATGCGCGCACACCGGGTTTTCTCAGACACATAGCACGAGGACAATGACGGGGGCGAGGGACCAGCTGTTGGTGGGAGTGGATGTTGGCTACTTACCAGGACACGAAGGAAGATCGACACCATCTTGTTGCGCTCGAGATCATTGGAGCTTCGTGCCTCGAGAAAGACATCGGCTTCGTCGAGCAGCAGAACTGCGTTCCACTTGCTGACCATGTCGAGCACCAGGTTGAGCGACTCCTCAATCCCGGACGGATCCAGGCCCAGGTCTCCAGCGGACATCATGTAGCTGTGGTTTGCAACATTTCTCGTGTTAGCTCTCGGCGCCCCTCTCCAAATGACCATGATTGTGACGAGTTTCCTTGTATCGTCACAAATAACGGCGAAACTTACAGAGGCACCCGCATATCTTCGGCGACACTCTCGCTCGTCAACGTCTTTCCCACTCCGGGAGGACCTGCCAGGAGCATGATCATACCGCGGCCTTTGCCGGCGATAACATCGTCAAAATCATCCTTGTACTTGACTTGGGACTCGACGAAGGCGCGAATCAACGACTTTTGTTCTTTGGGTAACACCAGCGATGCAAAGGCATTGTCGGCAAATTTGATCTCTTCGATCTGATCAACGTAGAACCAGAGCTGGTTTCCACCTCCGTTAGCATTGGAGAGAACTGCATGAAGGAACGGACGAAAGAGGGTCCTAGGAGACCCCTCTTCCCAGACTGCCAGACGCCACTGGGACAGCATGCTGAACTTACCCATTTCTTGGTTTTTAGCGCATATCCTCGCACGTATGGCACTGCAAGGAGCAATTCTTCTGTGGTAAGCGGACGGTGCTTGGGCTTGCAGGCGTCGTCGTCGGAGTCCGGCGTGGCAACGAAGTCCGACTCGTTGTCCAAGAAGGCGTCGAAGTCGAATTGATCTTCGGACTCGTCCGACGGCGGCTCAAGACTACTGTCCTGTTTCCCTGGCTTGAATAGCGAGTTGAAGTACACCGCGTTGTTGGGCAAGAATCGATTGTGCGCGTCGCAGTCGATGATGATTCGGGACTCCACGTTGTGTCTGATCATCCCACAACGACCGTACCCAAGAGCAACGCCTCGGTATGCCTTGTAATGGTATCCCGCAAAGCGTTCAAAGAGCTTTCCGCGGGCCACGAGTCGAAGTATCAACTGCTCTTTCTCCGGGTGGAACTTCAGCGGATATGCTTGAAGAGAGGTGATGGGCGTTGTACCAGCGAACTCGTAATTCTGGAGGTAAGTCACATGCTGCCCGAACTTGGTGCCGTCCCAGTCCACAGACCAAACGTCCAATTGCAGGAAATCCAGTCCGCGCCTTTGGTCCGTTGCGGTGGTCGAGGAGTTCAGCTTGAAGACACACTCCTTGCCGTCGGATACACTATACACAAGGGTTTGGGGCTCAAAGATTGTCCACAGATATTCAAACGTAATGACTCCGTTCTTGACAAGGTCGACTTTGGCAGCGATTGCGTTCTCGAGTTCCTCGAAAAGGACGTCCCGGAAGAGCTTGAGGTGGTCCCTGGCAATGTCCTCCTCAAATTCGTCTTTCTCGAGAAGCGAGGCCAGCCTGTCCCAACGGTGCACGAATGGGTGAAACGGGGCGCGAAAGACGAGCCGGTCGAGATTTGCCGTGATGCCCGGGTAATCTTCGAGGATGATTCCCAATGACTCTTTGAGCCATCGACTTTGGACAATGATTGAGTGAATGTCGTATTTCTGCAGAAACGTGTGAGGAATCCTTCGATCAACAAGTCATGAAGCTTGGTGGCAAGGGACTCATCACGCGGAATTCAGTAACTCACCTTGCGGCTGTCATAACTTTTCTGCTTGCGCACCAAGAAGGCAAATTTCGCAGTCTCTTCATTCTCGGCGGCCTCGACAACATCCACCGGCTCTTCAGTCACCCACTGGTACTTGCCATCTTGATCTTTCTTCGAATACAACGCCTTGGCTTCGTTGATACTACCCTTGGGTACCGGTGGTTCCTTGGGCTTGTCTTCCTTCACCTCCTCCTTGTTTTCTTTAATTCCTTCAGCCTTGACGTTGCTGGTTTCATCGTGCCCTCCGGCTTTGGAGGCGGTTTCCTGCGTTCTAGGCATCTTGACAAGAAAAACAGATAGAATGCTAAAGCACGATTGCAGGTCCAACGATTGTAATATGAACTGGAGTGAGGAAATATTGCTACAAGTCGGTCGAAGACGAGGGCCGCAGGTTTATACGTATCCAAGAAGAGGCCGTGACGGAGAAGTTGACAAATGAAGGATCCTGTTGCCTGACACACCCAGCTCACAAGTGGGTTGGACTTTGACTCACCGTGGGGGATAATCGAACTGCACTGTCCCTTGATGAGTTGTCATTTTCGGATGGCCATCTGCTAATGACATTGAGCCCTGCTTGGGCCTTTGGTTAGTTGTTCCACAAAGAGGCTGATGCCTGTGAAGGATTCCAGGCAAAACGAGGCGCAGACGCCTTGCAGCCCTCAAGGGAGGTATAATTGGCTTCAGTCATGACTCATGACAGGCAAAAGGCACCCTGAATGTGGGATGTTGAAATTAGGTCAAGTTGGCGTCTCGATAGTAAGATCTGAGCCATGCAGCCTGTGATCTATGTGGACGACAGGATCATGTAGTGATAATAGTTGGGCCGATAAGGATGGATGGTTTGATAGATTGGCGGAGGCCATTTGCAAGGCAGACAAGGTGAGCAGAGAGACTAGCCGCTTCGGGCAAGGTCCGCCCCTGACTATCTTCTCACATGCTTTAACACCACAAGGCTGACGTTTTACTCTGGAGGGCCATTATCTCAAGTCGTAGGCATATGTTGGAATCAAGGCTATCGTCCAGTCGAGGACTTGTTTGTCAAGCGAAGAGATTTGCAACTGCATTTGGACTGTTCTAACTACGGTTTCCATCGACTGTTTGCCTGGACTGGTATCCTTGGGGGCTTTGACGAGGCTGACATGTGGCAGGCCCTGTGAGATTCTCCTGGAAACAGGTACCAGTACAGACGCCTAGTGAAATCATTCTTCCTAACTGTAGATGGAAGACACAATGCTCAACAAGAATGGTCACTTGCATGCTGCTTCTCCCGAGACTGAAAGTCCAGGTGGTCATCATACTCATTGTTGAATCATCAGGGGTTAAAAATATATTGATCAGAGAGCTTTGAACACCCCGAGGAATCTATTTCGCCGTCAGCGCAAAGCTAAATCCCAAAATGCCCATACCCAAGAAAGCAAAGGCGATACATGTGCTCTTGTTGTGACTGAGCTGCAGACTTTCCGAGAACAGCGACAATGCGACGCTGGTCATCACGCCTGACGTGACTGCAAACATCCCACCATAGACTCCTTCAGTGGGAGCACCCAAGCTGCTTCTGTTGGCTATTTTGAACCACAAAGCTGCAATCGCGGCTCCAAGTGGTTGTGAAATGCCGCCCAGAAATGACGACCACGCAATGGCTTTCAATCTGGAGCCAAGCGCGAGATAAAGAGGCAGAGACATTGCGAAACCTTCCGTTATGTTGTGGATGAATAACGCCATGAAGACGGCAAAACCAAGCTGAGGATTTGCGTGATTGGTTGCATATGTAATGAAGCCCTCCGGAGCCTTGTGCAAGGCGATGGCCAATGAAGTTTGCAGACCAATTGACATGAACGCATTGGTGGGGACGTGATGATGGTGTTCATGCCCGCCCGACTGCGAATGCAGAGACGGTCGACGTTCGGACTCCCCCACGCTCGTATGCTGGTGCGCAGGGTGGTGGAAGTGATGCGTTGACGACCTTGTTCGATGCAATTCCGGTTTCAAGCTCCTCGGGTCGCCTTCGTGAGTCGTGTGCCGTCCGAGAGTCGACCCATTTGACAAAATATTCTCATCGACTTCTCCCAGTGTCGGCCCCACGCGCACTTCAGTCGTACCGCTGCGCCACGTGGGTGAGCGCAAGAAAGGACCGTGACCTGGTAACACGGAGCCTCGCCGTTGCACTGCCTTGAAGCAGTCCTGACCACACGGATCCGAAAATCCCATGCATGGGCCGTTCTCATCACAATTCTCCTTTTGGCTCCCCATGTATTTTGAAAGGGTCCTCGACAGCGTTCTAGGCATTATTGATGACCTTCGATGGGTCTGTGCGGTGTGATATGTAGGCTGGCGGTCTGATCCATTCTCCTCAGTCCTGTCATATTGGGGCTTTCTGGGGCTGAGACTTGTGGTCCGTGAAAGCAAAGGAGTGTCCTCATCTTCCTCTTCCGTCTGCGCGGGTTGATTTTTGGATATCGGGAGGCCGTTCGTATGTTCATCATCCTGGGCATGTTCCGACATTTCTTCATGATTCTTCGCCTCCTCGTCGTCATGACTGTGATCGCAGTCCACCACATGTGACGGGATAAATTGGTGCAGCACGCGGGAGAAGATCTGAATGCCTATGACGCCCGCCAAAAACAGCATGATCAGGAGGTACGATGCTGCTCGCGCCGAATAGCCCGCATCTTTAAAATACGTCTTGGATTGTGGAAGCATCGAGTAGAGGGCGGAGAACAACTGCTTTACAGTCAATACTGAGATTGCACAGCATGCATAGAAATACGTACCATAACCCCGAAACTGAGGCTTAATGACGCAGAGAGAAATCCATCACTCTCGGATATCGAAAAGTGTCGCCAACGTGGAAACTGACGGGCCACTATATCGACGCAGATGATTGAGGAGCCTATGACACATGCTGTGGAGATAGAGATCAGTCTTGATTGAGAGAAATTGGGGACACGACTCTGCCTACCAATGCCGCTGATGCATGTCATGATCCATCCTTTGGTATCGTTGTCGATGGCCATCTTGCGCGGTTTGTTTTCGTCTTGAGCCGCAAGGGCATATATATAGCAAAGTACAGTAGAATGGTACAGCCGATGGTGTACAAAATGACCTAGGTACTCATGTTATGCCTGAAATCACCTAGGAAAAGTCGAGACTGGGAAGAGAGGAACAAAAAGTCGGGTTGGAGGAGATATCTACTGGCTAGGAGGCGCGAGCGCAGTTGCAGCAGGCGGGATGACGAACATTCCAAGACTTCCCTGAGAGGACCTTAAGATCATGCGCCTTTGTGGTTTAGTCGAGACACGGGGTGAAGGAGGCGCGAATCATGGGCTGCCCAAATCGCTGCTGCAGGGCTGACCTAGCCTTGTCATCTTTAACTGGAATCCACTGAGGACTAGGCCTAGCGGCCACGCGCAGGGGTCAGCAGATCCGGCGAGCGGCACCACGCGCAGGTGCCGATTGGCCTTAACTCCAAACGGCAGATTCAACTTTTTGCATCGAACCCATTCTACGGACGCGTTTCTTCATGTTATGGGACCGACATTGTCTGCCGAGTCCTGTACATGTCCAAGACCACTATTGCCATCGTAGCAGCGACGTCTGCGCTTGCAGGCGCGTCGCTGACGGCTTTACTGTTTCCTGGCCATCGAAACGATGAGCCCAAACCGACTCCGACATTGAAGGAGAGGCCAGCGGTACCTGCACCATCAACTCCTCCCACTCCTGTCCCTGTCCCAGTCCCAGTCCCTGTGCCAGTTGCTGTACCAGCGCAACCTCCTTCAACTGCCATCCTCCCTCCAGTCGATCCTTCTGGTATCCTTCGATATGGGTTTCCCGGCCCAATTGCCGACACGTTGGCCACACCATCTCACCTCTCTGCTTTCAATAGATTCACTCGGAACCCTCACTGGGTGGCGGAACATTTTACTGCGCAGTCACTGCTACTAAACAACGGATCTCGGCGAAACAGTGTCTTTTATGAGGACTTGTCAATTCCTTCAATGTTTCGAGCAAAACTTTCCGATTACTTTCGGAGCGGGTACGACCGGGGGCACCAGGTTCCAGCAGCAGACGCAAAATGGTCACAAGAGGCAATGGACTCCACGTTCGTCTTAAGCAATATGTGCCCACAAGTTGGAGAAGGATTCAACCGCGATTATTGGGCTCATTTCGAAGAGTTCTGTCGAGGCCTGGTTAAAAAATACCCCAGCGTACGGGTGGTCACTGGTCCTTTATACTTACCCAAGAAAGACGAACGAGACGGGAAATGGAGAGTCTCTTACGAAGTAATTGGGAACCCTCCGAACGTTGCCGTGCCCACCCACTTCTACAAAGTCATATTCGGGGAGGAGGCTGCTCAGAGTCCGAAAGGACCCGTGGCACTCGGTGCATTTGTGCTCCCTAATGCTGAAATACCCAACTCCAAGAGCTTGAGTGATTTTGAAGTTCCTCTTGAAGCGGTGGAAAGAGCCAGCGGACTGGTATTTGCCGAGAAACTACCACCTGAGAGGAGGAAAAGACTTTGCAGGGAAGTCAGATGTGAAATAACGGTTCGGGAATTCGACAAGAGTCGTCAGATATCAAACAATGTCGGCCAAGGGTCGAAAAACACCACTCAAATGCAGCAACCAGCAGGAAAGTGGTAGCCATATTACCAGAGTCAGTCCGTTCTGGGATTGAAGATGCCTGCCTGGATCGGGTCGGCGTTTAGCAGGGATCAGCTACCTAAGCACACCTTTTGGAAGCTGAAGTTCATTCCGACCACTTTTCAGATCTATACCTACCCTTTGCTGGCTCAGAGGCGGCGTGGAAAAGGAAATAAATCCTTTGAGAAAGGAAAGGATACGCTTGTCACTCTGCCACGAGATGGCATCGAGGAGCCCTATCGACAACAGACGAGAATCCATACGCACCTGACTGTTCGTCTTCCGAATCATATCCTCCTGACTGGCCGTAACACAAACCTCCGTTGTCCGCCGCGCAACCTGTACTGTAGACTTTATGGCTTTTATGGCGCGTGCTGTTATCAGTGTTCAAAGGGAGAAGTTCTACCCAAGGTATTGCCGGAATCCCTGGACCACAAACTTCGGTCCAGGGATAGAGCCAGGGAGATCTGCCTTGTCGATATACTTTGGACACCCAACTGTGAGCGCGTGTAATGGATTGGCAGAGTCGAAAAAGCTTTCAGCACGACAAATACAACGCCAAAATTGATCTCAAAATTTCCTGAAGCATTCTCAGATCCGCAAGTCGCGCACATTTCGAAAGAAGTATGCGGATGTATGAGAAAGTGATTTGACAACATCGTTTCCCCTCTGCGGAAGGTGAAGCATTCGCGATTAAATCATCTTCTGCATCTGTACACTACTAAGCCTAGCTTCTATCTTCAAGGGTTGAACGTTTCTCCTCCTTTGCTATGGTGGGTTTATGGTCATATATATGGCACCTGCGAGATAGCGCAGTGTGGGAGAGCGAGCATGCGCATCGTCAGGATACAGTGCAACTAGGAGTGGGTGTTCTTAAGTGCGTTGTGGAAAGTTAGGGGAAAACAGCAGATGACGTCGGTGCAACCCAGGTTGCCAAGCAAGTCGCTTGTGCTTCTCGGAATGCTCAACACTTCCGTCGCGGCAAGTCGTGCGCCCGGGAGATGCAGCTCGAGTATTCCCACAGCCTGCGTCGAGAATCTCCTAACTCAGCGCGAGAGCTGCTGCAGCGCCATACCCACAACATAAGATGACCCAAGTCTGCTTATTGGACTCTGATCGCCTGTCTTCGCTTTTACGGGAAGCTCTGTCCTGGAGTGAAAATGTCTCGTCTCTCATGGTCTCTGCTCTGAACGGATCAATACTCGCGTATGCTTACAGAGACACTACGCCATCGATTAAAGCTATACGCACTCAATCTACCACCATGACTGCAGCTTACACGGTTGCCTCCGAGGATGTTCTCGTCTTCGAGGCACAAAACATGGGCGCAGTCTCCGTCATTACTCCTGTTGCCGATCATGTGCTGTTGGCCGTGACGGGGCCCGAACCGAAGCACAAACAGGCGCCGCCAAATGGTCTTGAATCATCCCAAGGGCACGAGCAGATGGTCAATGGAGCGGAAGATCATTCAGAAGACGAGGAAGGAGAAGAGAATGACAACCAGGACGAGGAGGATGGAGACACCCAAAAGATTCGGGACGACCTTGAGGCTGTAAGCCAAGAGCTGGCCAGCATGCTAAGGGAAGAGTTGGCTGTAATGAAATGGCCAGACGATATATGATGATATCGCATTCTGCTGTGACAATGACTCGCTACCTGGAATCTTTCCAGGCGGCGGCACAATGTCCACAACTTGGTGGACAGAGACTCCAGCCATCATACTCGCCGGGTGCAAATTCACATCGTCCGGCGCTAGTTCAAGAACTTGTACTCCTCTGGAAGAGCTCGACACATGTTTGGCATTTTGCGCCTCACTACAGACTGGGAGGAATTGGTTACCCTTGCAGCAGCAGCAACGATCAACCTTTTGGGTGAAATGTGGACGGGAGACCGCACCCCGCATTAACAGTCGGGACCCACCGAAACCTCGAGGAACACCCGGAGAACAGGTTAGTGGGTGAAGTCGGTAGGGGTAGTTAGGGGCCCCTTGCCAAAGCCCGACCTGCCGTCTCTGCCTCTGAGGCCATTCGATGTCACGATCGAACTCGAAACTCAATCTTCCACCTCCACCGTTCCCAGCATTTTCTGCTTTCCTCCTCGTACAGCTGCCGCCTCCTGGCCTTGCGCAGGCCCCTCGTTCCCTTCATTGACTCTCTGGCGCCAGTGATAAGATCTCTTGCGGTCGTGACCTGTTACGATGTTGTAAGTTGGAGATCCGTTGCGGATTCTGCTGGCTCCCACTGATAGCTTCTGCGCAGTGCGATCCCCCCACCACCGCGGTATCCCACCAACAGCGGCTTGGTCGCGACAACCCTCGAGACTGCAAATACTCTGACCATTCGCGAAGGGCCCGAATACACATTTCAAGCCGGCGAAGGTAGATACTATCCACTTCCGCATCACCGAATGTTCCACTAAGGCATGGGCAGGCACCTATGTTCTAAGAGACGACCTGCAACTCGCAACCCCACCACCTCATCCTTCTGAAGCCCCCGTTGTCAATCCCAATCCTCTAGCCACCAGCGTTACTCCGCCTACGAGTGGTGTTAAACTGTCTCTAGTATCACTTAGCCCGAAACAAATCACTCCGGACCTCTACAGAACCACTACCGCAACAAGTAGTCTTCTGCGCTGGAGGACCTTGGGATTAAACAACTCGAAGGAGACAAAGGAGTCCAAGGAGCTCAAAGATGTGAGAGAGTTGAAAGACATCAAAGAGGTCGAGAAAGAGCCGAGGATATCCATAGAGACTGGCAGCGACAGTAGCAACCTTGCGACATCGCAAAATGGAAGCAACAAGTCGAGCACAGTCAAAGCATTTGGTGAAGGCAATGCCGCCCTGTCTCCAGTCATCAGCAGAGATGGTCTTAAGCGACGGAAACCGAAGAACAACATCATCAAAAGCAATTCCTCGTTCGTCTCTCGCGTCATCCCCCACGAGTCCCTCGCAAAGAAGCTTCAAGAACGAGACCAGCGAGGCACATTTGCTTTTGTCAACATCAATCGAGCTTTTCAGTGGTTGGATCTCTCTTCAGGGGCCAAACAAGACCCAATGACTAAGATCCTCTTTACCAAGGCAAGTGACTCTTGACTTCGCAAGACGATGTTGTACTTGCGCGACTCATCGTTATCACTCCGCCAGTGTCGGTATCAACTAATTGATCCCCATAGGCTCACATGCTGTGCCATGATGTCAATAGCATGACCAAACACTCAACACACATGGACATTGTAATGGGTTCCTCGGCCAGTGACATCATCTGGTACGAGCCCATATCGCAGAAGTATGCCCGCATCAACAAGAATGGGATCATCAATGGCTCGGCCGTTTCCACGATAAGATGGATACCTGGATCAGAGAACCTCTTTCTAGCGGCTCATATGGACGGAACTCTCATCGTGTACGACAAAGAAAAGGAAGATGCACCTTTCGTCTCGGAAGAGCTGGTGGACGAGGGTATCAGTATTGAGGATGAAGACCAGTCCACATTGGTCATCAGCAAGAGTGTGAACTCATCCAATCAAAAGACTAACCCGGTAGCCTGCTGGCGGATTTCCAATCAGAATATCACCGACTTTGCTTTTTCGCCGGATAATAGACATCTCGCCGTCGTCGGTGACGATGGCTATCTCCGGATAATAGATTATCCGCAAGAAAGGTATGCAGAGGGCTCATTTACTCCGCGCGTTTCTTGCAGGATTTGCGAGACTGATGTCGCGCAGGCTGACCGATATATATTCCTCTTATTATGGCGGGTTCACATGCGTATGCTGGTCGCCTGACGGCAAATACGTGCTCACCGGAGGCCAAGACGACCTTGTCACTATTTGGTCGCTATCTGAACGTCAGATTATTGCTCGATGTCCAGGGCACGATTCATGGGTAACGGCTGTTGCCTTCGACCCGTGGCGCTGTGACGAAAGGACATACCGTTTTGGCAGTGTAGGCGACGACTGCAAGCTCCTTCTCTGGGACTTCAGCGTAGGCATGCTTCATCGTCCAAAAGGGGTAAGCTGAGTACTGTGGACGCAAGCCCGATTTGACAGCTGCTTACACAGGATATCAGGCAACCGTTAGGACTAGAGGAAGTATATCAGCCCAATCGGTCTCGCTTCTCCGTCAACGGACGGAGAGCACAAGCATCGTCAATCGAATCAGATCTGACTCCAACCGGACCGGGAGCTTCGTCCAACCCGACACCGTCGACGAATCCGAATTTCTCAACCATGCTGTTGAACCCAGATCAAGGACAGCCCAATTGCCGCCTGTAATGGTACGTATCCAACGACATGGCCAGACAAAATCCTCGATGGTGCGGACACTGACATGTTATTGACAGTCCAAAAAGATAGACGATCATCCGCTGAGTGGTCTCGCGTTTGAGCAGGACTGCATCATCACGACTTGTCATGAAGGTAGGTACGCATTTCCGTCTGTGCTTACCAGTTTGAATACTCACAATCTCCAAGGCCACTTGCGCACTTGGAACCGACCTCGAGAAGCCCCAAATAGCAGTCAAATAGATATCTCAGAGAAGCCGAGGCCCTGAGTTGCATATGCCAAATGGCGATACCGTCGAAGCCTCGTTATGGCAGGGGCCGTCACTACCGGGCGTATCGTTTTATCCGACTACGGTCAGCAAGAGTTTGGCAGAGACGCTTTGGGACGGACCCAGTTAAAGACTTCAGGTGGAGGTTTCTAGCTAACCGCGCATCGTGCATGTCGACAGGGGTAATGAGGCATAGCGCACAAGTATGACTCTTCGTCTGCTGCAGGCGAGCGTGCCATCGGCTTTCGATGTTCGCTAGAAAGCCTGATGTTTGCAAGTTGGGGCGTGAAGACGGTGTGATCGACAACAGAAGACTGTATGGCAATACACCCATAGTGGGTCTGCCAGTATACAAGTCAACAACATCTTGCTGTGACTGCGTGTGACAGACGAGAGACTCCTTCTAGCACTGGAACAAAAGTTACTTTAAGCATGACGAACCACATGACAACCAAATGGAATCATCGGTGACAGCAAGCAATTCCTCAAGCAGACGCTTAGCACGGGGGTGCCGAAGAGCCGGACGATAGGGGAGCTTTTCTCAATTCCCTTGGGCCGATTCCATCCAAATACTTCTAGCTTGTTTTCCATAGAGTTTTGAGCGGCATATTGATTCCGAGATGGTGCCATCGGACCACTCATAACTTCCAACAACTTCTGACATCTTGCACAAGCCAATGCTGAAATCCCGGCCTTCGAAAAGAGCGCGGGGCCGAGGAGAGCGTAAACTCCCCTCCAAGGTACCATCGCTCCGAGTAGACTTTCCCAGAGCAGTCACAAGTGCCATAAGAAAGTGAACAGGGTGGGATGAAGGGGCAGCCACATCTGCATCTCATGCAGGGTACTGTTTCCCTTTGGCATGACAAGGCCAATGAAGGGAGCAGGATCAGAAGGGAGGAAGGGGATGCACTCGTAACGGAGAGATCACGTCTAGCCAGAAAATTAAACGAGCGAAAGGGGGCTGCTGCTGTTCAGGAGCTCGGGGGCCTCGCTTTTGGAGGTGCATACTCCATAATATTGTGTCTGACTGTGCATCCAGTGACAGGAGAGCGCCGGCTTGGTAAGATGCCCATGTTTCCGTGATTGGGATGAGGTCGAGGCGAGCAAGGGCCATTACTTTTTCAGCCCTGACGATCCCTGACGCTCCGAGCGCTGTTGGAGGAGTATGCAACGAATAATGATAAGGGGCAGGCACTCTTTTTAAAAAGTCAAGGCCCAGCTGCTCGTGTGAGGTGTTAAGCTGCGCGCACTGCAGGGCACGTATTCGCAGGCACTGCCCAAGCAGGAAAACGAGGACGGCACAATTTCATTCTCAGCGTCAGATGCTTCGCTCTTGTACCCTCTTGTGCCTTCCCCCATCCTGAATCTCCTTTCCACGTGCCTTGACTCCTCGAGCTTGGTCATTATACCTAGAACGCGCGCGCGAGAGAGAGAGAGAGCGAGCGAGCGAGGGTTACGCCATTCGCCTTTCCCGTCAGAACAAATCAGATCGGCTATTGTGCTTCATTATCACCTGGCAATCAGTGCTATCAGGCTTATCTCTGTCTGGGTATCAGTTTTGCCAGTACCCGCCTGTTCCTGCGATTCCCGACCACTTCCTCCTGACTACCCACGAGCCCACCGTCCAGGTGACAAGGTTTCGGAAGAGATCGCGCCCTACAACAGGGAAATTCGTGAAAGGAGTAGCGCAGCCTCGACGCAGATTGGCCAGATTCGGTGGAACAGGGATCAGCAGGGAGCCAAATGCAGGCAGATTCATTGAGAAGAGTCCAGGATATTGCGAGACAAAGAGAAGGTGAAATATGACGCTGGGGAACCAACGATCGGCGGGGACGAGAGCCATACTACGAGAACTCCCAGCACCCATACTGGCACCTCTAGGCCCTCTCAAGGCCACAGCAAAGATCAGAGCCAAGGTCAAGGCCAGGACACCGTTGGCGGCTCAAGTGGAGGATCCAGATCCAGTCGTGAACCACGGCAGCCACCACCACCACCACCACCACCATCACCAAACCCAGGTAGACGGTGAAGTGGAAAGACTCGAAGACGAAAGTGTGAACAGCAGTAGCGGGCGAGGGAGATCCAACACGACATCCTCTTTCTGGACAACGGGTTCGTCGTCGAGCTCGATACCTGCCATAACGTTCAGCGAGTGCAACCATCCCGATCCTCATCACGAAGATATCCACGAAGCTGCAAGTTCTCCGATCGAAGCACCCATCGAAGCCGAAATCGTTGCAGCAGAGGCACCGTCAGGCACAGGCCCAAGCCTAGGTTCCGCCACTAACGGGGCCTCGGCGTCATCGGTGTCATTTGCGGGAGCCTTACCCAGAAGAGTGCCCCGAAGGACTCATCAGCCCACAGAGTTTGGGCCAAGATCGGCATCTTCAGCATCAGCATCATCAGCAGCGCCCAGTGCGCCCCCAGCGCCAGCACCACCACTGCCGGTATCAACTGGCGGCGGGAGAACAGCCGGAGTGGACCATCATCAGAGGGACCCGCGGCTGATAACAGTAAGTTCCCAAACGGCCCTTTCATTAGCCACTCTGCCTGCATCTTCTCAGCCATTCCCGCCCGGCGCCCACCCAGCACGCAACCTGTCTACCCACTCTTTGTACCCTCCCGTCCAATAATCCCCTCCAACCTGGTCATTATCTTTTTTCTTTCGCAATCATCACCTCAAATTTCTGCTGCATGTCCACCGACGTATGAGTAGAGATTTGTGTGTACCTGCCTGTGCCTTGTCATTGCGCATGCCTGCGTCTCTGTCATATGCTTTGTTCTCATTCTTTGCATTCCACTATCTCGTCACTCTCTTTCTAATGCTCTTACTCCAATCCAGCAGATTAGGCCGCTCCTTCGCTTAAACCGCAAGCATTCTCCCGAATGCTCCTCCGGCCACCATGAGCCAGTCTTGCGCCCTTCCTTGAACCAGCAGCGTCCTTCGAGTTCTTCCTCTTCGTCTACCTCAGCCGACCGTCACCTTCACGGAGCGGCACCGTCCAGATCACAAGCCATGGCGCTCAAATTCCTGAGTGCCCATACCCCTCACTCGGGCTCAAGTAGCAGCGTCAAGTACTTCGATATCCGCCTTGACAATGACTACATTGTCTTTCGGGGCAACGAAGACGAGGCTGCCAGTGCCCAACTTTCGGGCTCTCTGGTTCTATGCCTCACGGAACCCATGACGATCCACCATGTTGACTTGACTCTGAGTGGAATCCTGCATATGTCGTAAGTCAAAAGGTGTCCCCCACGGCAATCCCGGCAACTCCTCTCGCTCGCGTGATCATTTAACAACTAACCTGATGTGTTCAGATGGCAGACCACTTCCACATCCTCCATGTCGGGCAGGCGCACCACTTACAAAGAGAAGACCTTCTTCGAGAAGAATTGGACATTCCGAGACCCGGGGAAAGGGAAGACTGAAGTGTTACAACCTGATAACTATGAGTGGCCATTCCGATGCATCCTCGAAGGCTCTCTGCCCGAAAGTGTGGAAGGTCTGAAAGATGCATGGATCATCTACCGCCTGAAGGCCGAAATCAGCCGCAAGAGAGGGAGGGACATCGTCGTCCGCAAACCATTGCGCATCGTCCGTACACTGGATTCGAACGCATTGGAGCTTTCTCATGCAATGGTACGGAGCCTTCACTCTTATGTATCACCAATACCTCTTTCTTTTGCTGACCCGTTGCTAGTCTGTCGAGAACATATGGCCGAATAAGATAGAATACTCCATCAGCATCCCTAACAAGGCAGTCGCCTTTGGGTCATTCGTACAAGTTGACTTCAAACTGATATCTCTCTTGAAGGGTCTGGTTATCGGCAATGTCTCCACCCAGGTTAAGGAAGAGCAAGAGTTTGTCGTCGATCCAGAGTGGGGTATATCTGCTTTAAACAATGGGCAGACCAAAACGGACAGGGTCATTGCGTCAGACCTTTACAAGGTCAACCCAGAGAATGATGAGCAGATTATCGATGAGGTCGCCGAGGGCTATCAATTTTCTCGATATCTCGAGTTGCCCAAGTCGCTGAACCAGTGCCTACAAGACTGTAATGTCAAAGGGATCAAGGTTCGACATAAGGTGAAATTTAACGTCCAGTTACACAACCCCGACGGCCACATTTCCGAACTCCGCGCCAATCTTCCAGTTTCATTTTACATATCTCCCAGTCTGCCTATCAACGAAAATAACGATCTGGTCGACCAATCGCCTCAAGCTGGAAGGGCGGCTATTGCTAACGATCTCGCTAACGCAGCGCCGCCGGTTTACGGGAAGCACACCTTGGACGTCTTATATTCTGACGTCGATGGCTATCGAACGCCTGGAACTGCACTTTCAACCCCAGGAACCCCATACCTCCACAGCCGCCACGCATCCCACGAAAATCTCGCAAGTCTCGCTGCGATGGCGAATGGAAACTACGTGTCACCCATAGCTCTTCAGAGCAGACTTCAGGACCTCCGAGTGGGCGACTCTTTCATCCAGGATCTACGGAGCAACGAAGACAGCGAGATAAGTAACTTATCGCTGCCGGTGAATGGACGGTCCCGGAGGAATTCATCGTCTACGACAATGCCTGAAGATTATTTCGCGCCACATGATGCATCCAATGCGAGCCCGCATCCCCGAGTCAGCCCTAATGATCAAGGTGCGTGCTCGGGCGGTCCTTCTCATACGCCCAGTCAACCGGGCAGCCTCATGATGTCACGTCGAACTTCCGAAGAAGAAGAGGGACAGCAATCTGGCGCTAGAACGCCATTCCCCCAGTACGATCATATGGAGGATCTGGCTCGCGTTCCCTCATACACCACAGCAGTCAAAACCCCTGCTCCAAGAACGCAATTTGATCAGTCGATACCTCTTCCGACCTACGGGGCTGCTGTTACCGATCCCAGTCCGCCGCCGCTGGCGGAACCCCCAACTGCACACCTTCGGACTTCCCCAAGGTTGCCGGGTACTATAACAGTGACAGCAAATTCACCGGACTCGCCCGTGAACAGCGTGCCAAGGACGTCAATTTCTCACAGAAACGTGAGTTCAATTCAAGACGATGAGAGAAGGTTGCGGATGATGCAACTGCGAGGTCGATAGGGGCCAATTACGGCGGAAGCCCGCATCCCATCGAGATTCCAAAACTTTATGAAGAGAGACGAACAGTTTTCGAATGCTAGGTTCATGTTTTGAGGGCGTTGGGCTCATGATGATTGATACCCGATTGCATTTTTGCCGGATCGAGAGATCGCCACTTCTTTTGAGAATCCCCCTTTTCCCCTACTGCTTTTTGTCGTTTGGGACGCAAATTGGAACCTCTTACGTATGAAACACCACCTACGGAGTCTGGTATGGTACGATCATTGGGTCGGGTTGGGTATACCACGATGATAGTCTGGTCTCGAAATCAGCGGCATTGGTGTTTGCATTGGCATGTTTGGAGGGACTTCATGATACTCATATCATCACTACTGATTCGCGACGCGGTCATGACTTGTTTTCAGAAGCAACGAGCAAAAATTGATGGCTTTCACGTTCGAGATTGGCAACATTTAGGGTCACTGAAAGACAAAAGAGAACATTCCCAGGACAAGGAAGGGGGTGGAACATGGCTGGACAGAATATCCCACAACATATAGTTTCTCACGGAGAGAACAGAAATGGCATGGAAGAGAACCAGACTGATTGGCTTTTTGGAAAGCTAATCGATTGTACATGTCACAGTTCTTCTTCCTTTTTCCCTTGAACCAAGCTGCCCATACCATCCATACACACGACCCAAGTCCACGCATTTCAAGCCCAGAGGAGCATCATCGTCGAAAACGCGCCGGTCGATCTTGACTGTGCGGTGTAAGCTGAAAACCAGGCCTGCAGCACGCGATAGACTCATCCATTCCCATATCCGTTCGTTGCCCATATCCACATCCACATCCACATCTGCGTTCAAGACCAGCGCCACGTTCACCGGCCTCATCCGCACCGCTCTCTACCTCGGCAAAGCATCCAAAGGACCGGAAGATGCCATACTGGATCGTGGGGGGCATGTTTGTACTCGTGGCTTTGCTGCGCCCGTCTCCCGGCCCCAACAGCCCTCCGTTGTTCCTGCGTTTTTCACTCTTCTATCTCCCCCCTTCATTCGCGGGCTTCATTCGCGGGCTTCTTTCTCAGTCCAACACATGGTTCAGTATCGGGGATGTGTCGACAACTACCCAATACGGTGGACCACGCACGAAGGGCAGGGCACTCACGCGACTCAAGACCCGACCTCCTTGCAGCCGAGCCCGAGTGAATATGATATCTTCATGAAAGAACGTCATTCCTATCGAAACGGGCGGGCGTCCGATGAGAAAGTTGCTGCCCACTCGCTCGCTCGATCGGTCGCAGGAAAGACCCCGTGTTATTTTCTTGCTCGGGGGTTGTTCGATGGGATCACCCATATCACCCGGCGTCGGGCTTGAATCCAGACGGATGGACACACGGACGGAAGCTTCGGGTTCTCGTCTTGTTTCCTGGGTTATGAATTCGCCTGGCATATCTCTGTGGACGAGGTCAGTTCGATCGAAGAAACTCCCTTGGTGCTGGCGGCATGGAAATAGCATCGCGTTCATAACAACAGTCGCAAAGCCGGGCGGCGGAGGAGGCAAGAACTTGTAGACGGTCGCTCGGCCAAGCTGTGCGGTTTAGTGTGGTGTCTGCTTCCCTCTCGTCGTTGTCGAGCTGTTGAGTTGAGTGTGTGTTCACCAATAACACCCCTTCTTGGCCAACAACTCCCTGAACCCGTCTCCCATCGCGTCAATGACGATCCTCAATTCCTTCTGCTTCTTCCTCGCCTCGTTTCCAATGCCCACCTCATCTTCCTTGCCATTGTGCCCGAACGGTTGCTGGTCTTCGACCCGGATCTTCTCCCCTCGTGCCTCCTTGTTCCTGAAGTGGACGAGCCTCGAGCCGTCGACGTCTGTCGCACTCGCTTGTATCACCTCCGGCGAGCTCGCCGCTTTCAGACTCCCATGCTGACTCAACGGGGTGATCGGGGTGGCGTCGAGCAGCGCTTGCCAGCGCGCGAGGAATGAGCCGGGCCCCGGGTTCGAAGAGACCTCTGGCGTCGGGTTTTCTTTGATCTCGCGCGACGTCTCGCTTTCCGATACGCTCGTGGGGAATGATGCTGATGTGGGCGTCGACGACGGTGTGGCATTGCCCTCGCCACGATCAAGTGGTGGAGCCGGGCTAGATGTCCTTGAAGAAGGTCGACTGGAGTGGTTCGAGTGGTTGGACGAGAAGATCTTTGCGATGGCTGGGTTCTTGGACGGTGGCGATTTCAACACGTTGGCGAGGCGCGCCGTGGACTGGTCGTGCATCTTGTCCAGGTATCCGGAGTGGGAGTCAAGGATGGGCAGGATGCGGGATTGCGTTTCTTTGGGGAGAGAGGAGAAGAGGTCGTGCAGCGACGCCGTCAAGTTGCCAGCTCCGCCTTTTCCATGCTTTACGACATCGTGGGTATCACCACCCGGCTCCTGTTTGAACTGCGAGGCTGCATTCTTGGCCCACTCGAGGTACCACCCCGTCAGTTCCTTGTCATTCTTTGCGCACTGGTGCATGAAGACGTGACATGACCGCTGATGCTTGCGGAGTAACTGGACAAAGTCTCCCACGGTGGGCACAATGGCTTTGTTGGATTTGTCCGTGTGGATTCTCGCCAGCTTGATCAAGTCTTTGAGGAAGCTTTCAAAATCGGACAGTGTGGAGGACAGATCGATGGCTTTGTGCATGCGTCGTATGACAGGCTCGTAGGCATCGACCACTTCTCTGACAGACATGGTTAAGTGGTCGGGGGAAGATTTGCAGAGGCACTGGATCAGCTGTTTGCGGTCACGAATGGACAGGTGGATCGAGAGATACTCTAATGCTTGCTTGTGGTGGACTTCGGTCAATTCGGTAGAAGCGGATTTGACGTCTTTTAGGATGGCCGTCACGATAGAGATGGACTGCGTTTGACTTTCCTTTCGGATGCGGTCCTGCTCTTCTTGCGGTTGATGGGCGTAGTCTTTCAGGGCATGCAGCTGTTCTTTGCCGAGTTTTGCGCGTTCTCGCTCGAGTTTCGTCGCCCTCGACTCGAGATCCCTGATGTCCCAGTTAAGGACCGTGGAGATGATTCTGCGCGCAATTGAGTCAGGATATCAATCCACACCGAATGTAGGGAAGGCCGATGGCGTACGTTTGCATTAGATTCGTGCCCTCGTCCTGAGACTGCGTCAAGCCTATCCAGTTGGTGACGCTGGTAACACTCATTTTGGCCAGGCCAACTTTGACCATGGCGTTTATCATAGTCGCGACATTTCCGATCTTCAGTGTTTGTCTAAGGACCATGTAGGGCACCAGTTTATTGGCATTGTCGACCAACTTCAGCAGGTACTGACCTTTGGGCGATAAGATCAAAGTGTAGTGCATAAAGGAAGCAATGCTGAGCCGACCGGTCAGTATTTTCATGCGTAGTCAAAGCAGGTAGGACACGGGGCTGCAAAGAAAGGCTGACAAGAAAATCGGCTCACTTGACAAGCACAAACTCGTGCACGGCTTTGGTTAACTGAGGGTGGTCTTCGAGATTGTCCGTCTCGGCGGTCTTCTGTACCATCTCATCGAGGATACCGCCATAGACGCAGTCGTTGAGGAAGTCCCGAAAGGCACGTCGCAGATCATCGGCTTTGGTGACGTCGTAATTCGAGTCGCGGTCCCTGATCTCGGGGAAGCCGGCGAAGGTGCCTCTGACGGGGTATTCGATCAGGGCTGATATGGCCGTGGCGAGGGTCTTGCGGCTGCCGATGACGCCCTTGTCATAGCTCTCGCTCAGGTTGGCCCTCTCCAGACTCTCGATGATTTCTTGACATTGCACGGTCCACCACTTCTCGGGGAGATTGTTCAAGCCCGGCAGATTCAGCAGGAACTTGGAGACCAGAGCCTGCAGGGCGGGCGAGCTGGATGGGCTGTCTTGCTGCGCGGTAAAAGGGGGCCCATAGTTTGAAAGGCTGCCGGGTCTTCGAAACTCGCGGATCTGGGCGTAGGTGTCGTAATGGGTCAGGATGTCGAAGAGTGCAGCCGTCTGCGAGGGTGACAGAACTCCGGTCATGTTGTCTGAGCGATGAGAGGAGTATTGGCGACGGTCTCAGTGTCTGACCTGATGTGAAGGGGAGCCTCTGGGAGACAAGACCTCATGTGTATAGAGGACCAAGTCGTGGTAAAGGGACAAGGCGACAAGGATCAACTAGTGACGTCTTTGGTCGGCTCGAATGTCAAAGGGTCAAGATGCGAAAAATGGGGCTGCATCTCCGACCACAACCAGCCAATCGCTTCGAGGCTCATTAGGACTACTTAGCACTACTGACTTTGATCGTATCTCATCAATCCATGCATCAGCTGTTTGTACATGTCAAGCTCTGTTGCTCCTGTCATAAATGCTGGGATCGAGAATGCCCTCCTCTGCCACCAAAGCTTCGTGTCATTTCATCTCATCTCCTCTCCAGCACCGCCAAACCGCAATAGCCGACTCTCCCTCTTCCCCTCCATCCCTGAGCATAGATCTCTGCTCGGGCCAATGAAGACCTTCGCTCCAGCCTCCAGCTGCCGAACATCGCAGGTCCATCCTCGTTTCTTGAGCCATTCGCCATCCTCTCCTGTCCATAGATGTCTTCTTACCTCATCCACGGAGATCCGCCTCACCTGTAGTTTCCTCACCCCTATCCCACGGGCGTCTTTGGGTTCATCGTGCGCACTGATCCAGCACCTAGCCATTAACGCGCGGGCGATTTCTGCTCCGCCATACATGCCGGCCATGATGTTGCCGCCCAGATACCAGGGATTTTGCGCGTAGTCGAAGGAGTGAAAGAGTAAGGTCAGAGGGAGAGCTCCTGCTAGTCGAACGAGGTGGGTTTGGATGTAAGGCTGCAGATCAGACAGCGGGACTCCGTGGGGCGAGTAGATGACTGAGACGGCTTTGGGACGGGCGGGCGTGATGGGCGCAAGGTTTGGCACGGAAGAGACGCTGGATAAAGATTTCTGGTGGGACGGCACGGAAGAACTGTGGCGATGATGGTAGAGAGTGCTAGTTGGAGATGTGGCTGACGGCTTTGGGGACGAGCCTGCTAGAGACGACGCCGCCGTTGGCACAGGAGAAGCTGGTGGTGTGGGGAGATTCTTGACAAACGTGAATGGTGCAGGGTCGAGTTCAAATCGGAAAGGACTATCCAAGAGGACAGATTGATCAGGGATGGTCAGGACTTTTTGCGCGATGCCTCCACTCTCAGCTTCGGGCTCTGACTGTGTTCGAATGGCAGGTTGGTCAGCCGCCGGGAGGAATTCAGATGAAGCAGTGTTGGACGAGCGAGACAGTCGCGGTCTATGCCCTTTGAAGTGAGCCACATTGGAACCCTGTACGGAGGCCTGGTCATAACCAGGCAGGTCAAAAGACACGGGTCGATCAGCCAGAGGGGTCAAGGGTGCTGGAGGACTTGATGGAGGCATAGTCATTGGACTGAGAGGCATGTGGAAGTATCTTGTCGTTTTTGGAAGATCAACTGTTGCGATGGGTGCGATGCTCCTCGTGTGAGTAGGTGGCTGGTATGTGATGCCGATGGCATTGTGTAGGCCCGTCCTGTAGCGTTTCGCAGGAATGAAGGCGATGTTCAGCTCACCCGGAAAGCCCTGTGGTGATAGAGGAGCGATGGGGTGTCGCAAGGAACGCCCGAACTTGACTTTGGGGTCATACTTGAGCAGTGCATGAACTCGCGTGGGATCAAAGTGGTTCCAGCTCTTGATGGTCTTTGCTGCGCCCGGTTCCGCCGCGATGATGGTTTTCCCTTCCGGAGGTAATTGGAGAAGAGTCTCCTTGTGGCGGTGGTCAGGCTTGTTTTGCGACACGACCAGCACGTCGGGTTCTTCAAGGTCTGAGAGGTGCTCAATCGCGCTCGGGGACTTGTGCTCAGTCTTTGCAAACCAGGACGCAGCATTGATGGAGGGGCCCTTGAGCCATGGATCTATGAGCACCGAAACTGCGCCGCCTGCGGAAGTCAGATCTGAAGGCAGAGGGTGCGCCTTGGGGGAGAAGATGAGGAGAAAGGTTGTATCGGCATTGAGGTTTTTCACAGTCACAGACATGAAGACTAGATCGCAACAGACAGCGGGAACACGGCAGTTATATTGGAGGCATCAACGCACATATACTCCGCACATGATGAAAGTATACAGAAGGTGGAGCTGAGGTACAACGGCCGGAGGATTGAGTGCATAATACAGAACCTGTTCAACCCCATGATTGCGAAGAGCTTTGAATCAGGGTCAAGGCGGGCGGAGACCGGGGCTAGCTAACGAGAAGAGCATTGTGTCGTGTGAGGGAAGCGAAATTTGATGGCTTGGTGACTGCGCTGGTGGCGCCAGGAACAGCCCGTTGCATCGTCGATCATGGCCCATAAACAAGGGGTTGGTGGTGCCGTTAGAATCTAGCCATTGGCGCCACACGTACCTGGCCTCACGTATGTACGAGTAGGTATCGACCGAGTACTCGGCTCTCTGGGAGTGTTCTATTCTTGGTAGATGCCATCCTCCATATCCAACATCTATAGACATGCCCTCAATCCACGCGGAACTTCGCACCACTTACAGCTTATTGGGAAACAATGGCGCAGTCCGTCCCCCTCGGAACAAGTTCAACATTTCCTCACCCATCCAGCTCTTCCTCGACGTCGCTATCCCCTTCTCCAAGTCCGCCACCCGACCACCTTGAACGAGCATCCCTTTGCCATTCGCTTCCATTCCCAAGCTCATCAAGTACACCACGCAGCATGCCACCTCTTGTGGGTCGTTGATGGGAACGCCGACCCTTCTCATTCTCTGAGCCCAGTTGGCCAGAGATTCCTCGGGTTTGCGGCCCGAGATGATGTCGGTCAAAGTGATGCCCGGCGCGACAACAGAGACTGCGATCCCGAGTGTTGCTGTGTCGTTCTTCAGCGCCCTCATCAGGCCCACAATACCTGTCATGAATGTCAGCGACACCACAGAGTACCACCAAATAAATGTCCGAGGACTGACCATGTTTCGCGGCGCTGTACAGCGGTGCCCCAGCACTTGCCAAATAACCCGCTAGACTCGCCGTCATGACAATACTCCCTCCTCTCTTCTGGTTTGGGCCCTTCTTCCTCATGTAGTGAATGGCGAGCTTCGCAGTGTCATTGGCGGCGTGCATGTCAATGTCGATGACCCTCCTATCAGGCTCTTTGAGCAACCCATCTGCGTCCAGTTCGTCCTTGAAGAATTGGTCTTTGTATTCTGCAATGCCAGCGTTGACGAAGACACAGTCAATGGATCCGAACTTCTTGAATCCAGCTTCAAAGGCGGCCCTCTGCTGTTTCCATGACGTGATGTCGCATTGTTGATACAGAAAGCGAGGGGACGAGATCAACTCCTTCGGAGCAGCTGGATGAGGCCGGGCTCTGTCAACGACGATGACATTGTTGCCGAGTTCGTGAAGGATAATAACTGTTTGTAAGCCAATGCCTGATGAGCCGCCCGTGACTAACGCCGTGACACCTTTGGGTCCCGTCAGTTTGTCGCGCGAGACCGTGAAAGCTTCTGTCGCCATTCTCAAATATCTTTGTGGTATTTCCCAAGAAATCTGATCTCACGACAACACCCACTTTCCTTGAGCAAGAAATCTCTTGACTGAAAACTTGTGGACTGCTGTTGTGGCCTTCCCCGCATCTGAAATCTCGGGCTACCAGGCTCGGAGTTGGGACGCGTTGGGTACTTTGCCTCGGGTATGAATCTAGCCGCACCAGCCGGTTAGTATGTGGAACTGAGGTGCAACCTCTATCAGCTCTCAGTGGTCAGACCTGACGCCGTGCAGATATCCGGTGGTACTGACGGTAGCCGCAGAAATCGCACCGCCATTAGCCTCCATATTGATATCGCAACTTGTCGCGCATGATAAGATGGTCTTTGCTGCTTCAAGGCATAGGGATTCGGACGGTTGTAGCATCGCGAACACAGCTGCCAGCCAAAGGCAGTGAGTGTATCATGCTTGAGCCCGTTCTCGGGTGATGCGACACTGCACCAACATTGATAAACTGCTGGAAGTTGGATTGATGAGAAGAACTCAGTGTCCGACGAAAGGAGGAAACCCAATGAGCCTTCTCAGAAGCAGTCGCCCTTGTTTGGCTAGGCTGGATCACGTGGATGCAAGTTCCGGGGGACAAGACTGAATGGCTCGAGCTCTTCGTTTCCAAGGCCAACATCCATATCATGCCTCTGCGTTTAGCAAGAGCCGTTGCTCACTCCCCAAGCTCGCATTCGAAGCACGACTCAAGTTGTCTATTTCGGTTTCCTGCTTTGGCTGAAGATGGAGTTATACGCAAATGCCATTCCCACCGATTTCCCTTTGTCCATGTGAAACCGGAAAGTATGGTCCGGAACGGAAGTTTCAGCGACTACCAGATCGAAGGTATACGTTCCTATGACCTCTTTGGTGTCTTTTTGGTCGCAAGAAGTGGACGCCATCGGCAAGTCATGGAAACAGCCTAGGGACGGGCACGCTGGTTACTTGTTTCGACGACCGGAGTGAAGAGGTGGATAGAAGAATTCAACTGCCACAGACCACTCCGCCACACCGAGGGGATGTTAACGGAATGACGACTTTCTGGCGGCAATTGGGCGTTGCCTGGGTTTCCTTTTACGCATTCGGTGAATCAGCAAGTGGATAAATGGCATTGGCCGAAGACATTAGACAGAGTCTCGATCCAGAGGCCAAGGTCCGTTGGATTAGCGAGGGCCTGTGGAACTTCCTGTGGAACTTTTCGATGTGAAGAGTCCATGTCGGTCAGAAAGCTCCGTGGAGTTACCTAGTTCCTTAGTCCGTCAATCTTCATGCCCGATGCTCAACACTGAACTTTGCCGGTGGGCATTCGTTTCCTGTGTTCGCGTCAAGGCGTGGCGACTCTCCCTCTGCTACTTGGACTCGACAACCGTTTCAACTCCACGATATGTGAACGGCCAGCAATTCGACCACAAGTATTCGTATATCACTATGCTCCTGCATGTTGACGCCGAATACAGTGACTAATGTTGCATCAATGCCGCTAAACGAGCGGTGGGAATTGGTCTTTAGTCATCAGACGAGGCTTCCGTTTCAGGGGTTACGTCGGCAGCCCGCGCCACATGGAGACCAGGAAACCTTCCGCCTTAGGAAACCCCGCTACCGGCCCGCCAATGACCACCGAGGCCAAGTGGAAGCGGACAGTCCTTGTATGGACGAGCCCCGTCTACCGACAAGGCGGATTCCTGTTTTCTGCAAGGTACAGCTCGAGAAGCTGTTGGATGACATAGGACATGCCTTTATTTGTGTTCATGACTTGCCTTTTTCGATCTCGTCGAAGATGTCGTGTACCTTGTCTGGAGGGTGCGTCACCACAGGTATACTTCATTCTCGAACAGTTTTGCTATATAATGGCGGCACTGGCACCTCCAGATGAGAAGGTAAACACCAGCAGTCTATCTTCGAGACGTGGTTTCTGACTCCTCTAGACTCTTTTCGTGCACAACCAGAAGTGTCGAGGAGCATCTCCATCATGGCCAAAGGCGTGCTTTCGAAGCTCTCACAGCTCCTGTGCTTCCTTCCCCTCGTTACCCTCAGCGAACAGACGCCCACCGGGCTGCCCTACACCGTGAGCAATGTCACTCTCCCCAGCGGCATACAGATGTTCTACCGAGAAGCCGGCCCTCCCAACGCCACGACCCTCCTGCTCCTGCACGGCTTCCCCTCCTCGTCCCACCAGTTCCGAAACTTCATCCCGATCCTAGCTGCGCATAACTACCATGTCATCGCCCCCGACTACCCCGGCTTCGGGTTCACGGTGGTGCCAGAGTCGTTGAACTACACGTACAGCTTCGAAGCACTGACGCAGACCGTGGCTTCGTTCCTCGACGCGAAGAACATCACGACCTTTGTCCCATACATGCATGACTACGGGGGTCCCATCGGGTTCCGACTCGCCCTGCAACGTCCCCAGTCCATCCTCGGCTTCATCTCGCAGAACGCCAATGCCTACATCGAAGGCTTTGGCGCCACCTTCTGGCCCCCGATCTTCGCCCTCTGGAACGCCACCACGCCCGCACAGTTCCAGGCCGCGGCCACCCCGATCAACGACACCGCATTGACGCTGGCGGGCTTCAAGTCCCAGTACACCATCGGCAGCGCCCACCCGGAGAGCATCGAGCCCGAGTCTTACTGGCTGGACTACTCCCTGATGGACGAGCAGGTCGGGAACCGGGACATCCAGATCGACCTGCTGACCGACTACCGCTCCAACGTGCCTCTGTACCCGCAGTTCCAGGCGTACTTCCGCCAGAAACAGCCCAAGCTGCTCGCCGCCTGGGGCGAGAACGACATCGTCTTCGTGCCGCCCGGTGCCAAGGCTTTCAAGAAGGACCTGCCCAACGCCGAGGTCGTCTTGCTCAACGCCGGCCATTTCCTGCTCGAGACGAACCTGGCGCAGATGTCGGGCATTGTGTTGGATTTCCTCAAGAAGAATAATCTCTGAACACGTCATTGGTCCGCTGCGAGGAAGCTGATAAGTTGATGAGTCGGCTTGGAAGGAAAGCGAGCTTGCAAGGCGGGGGCTGGGGGTTATCTATACAAAATTAATACCTTCACAATGAGCCTACATTATGTTATCTAAAATTGCGTAATGACAGAGAGCGCAGCGCAGTCTTATGCGACTACAAATCAAAGCTCACACTAATTACAAGAAGCCGTGCCCATCTTCAGCCATATCATATTCGCTGTCAGTATGTTTTATTTATTTAAGCAGAATATTGGCCATGGACATCCTCACAGCTGAAAGAGCTGTGGAAGACAGAAGGAATACGCGATCTGCGTGGCTTTGATAGACATCCTTGGCTGCGGAGATGGTAGTTGCAGGATTCACCATATATAGATGCCACCTTCTTGAGATTCTGGAGATAGGGCCACTTCTGTAGCAACAGAACAGTAATCTACTTTGTCCCCTAGCCCGGAACACTCCTAAGCAGAGCTCTTCTCGTGCTCGTGCATCTCGACCTCGAGAACGTTAGAGCCCTTGACGTCTGGCACGTCCCCTGTCAACCGGGCTCGAAGATCACTGCGAGCCGACTTTTTGGCGAAGAGCGCGTCCACCTCCTCCAGAGGAATGCCTTTGGTTTCTTTGATGCAGAAGAGCGCAAACAGGACCTGCAGCGACAAGCCGACGCAAAACAGCAAGTAGAACCTCCACCCCGTGTTCGAGATGCCGATGGGGCCGACCTTGACGATGATGAAGGTCATCAGCCACTCGACGCCGACGGCGATGGCCGTGCCGAACGCGCGAGCGTGCAAGGGCAGGATCTCCGGGATGTACGTGAACGGCACGCTACACCAGCTGGCCCCGAAACAGAAGTTGTACAGGAAAATACACACCGTCGACATGCGCAGGGTGGTCGTGCTGGCAACCCCGAGGCCCGTCGTGTACAGGACCATCATGATCAGCTGGGTCAATCCGCCCACGAGGAACAGCGTGCGCCGGCCCAGCCGGTCCACGGTGAGCGCACACAGAACGGTGCCACCCCACATAACCATGGACGACCCTCCCGAGGCCAGTGCCGCTTGGTGTTCGCTCATACCGAGACTGCGTGTGAACAGGAGTGTCGCGTAGTAGCCCATCAAGTTGGGTCCTCCCAGCTGTTGAAGCACCATGATGATAACCCCCTGCCAGACACGCCAGGCCGTGTTCAAGTTGGACGTGTCCCAGAAAATGTCGCTCCAGCGAATCTTGTACTCTTTCTCTGCCTCGAGTGCCTCGAGCGTCTCCCTTCGGACGTTGACGACCGTGGGATGATCGGGTGGGACTGAATAGATCCGGGCGACGATCTGATCGGCGTCTTCCATGTGGCCCTTGGAGTACAAATACCGAGGAGACTCGGGGAGGAAAGGGAGGCCCAGCAAACACAGAACACAAAAGGCGGCCTGGAACGCGAGCGGGAATCTCCACACAATCTGGCCAGACAGGTTCGCGATCGTGCCGTAGTCCAGCCAGTACGCTATCACGATGCCAAAAATGACGATTGAGATCTGTGTGGTGACCAGGCCGCCGCGCACATGCGGCTGCGAGCACTCGGCAACCCAGACCGGGACAGCCGCAGTGGTGAAACCCATGCCGATGCCACCTATTACCCTGCCTGCAATGAGGGTGCCTGTTCCGTGAGCTCCGGCCTGCATGCCCGCTCCGACAATGAGCAGGAAGGAGCCAATTGCGATATAGATGCGGCGTCCTAATTTGTGTCCAACCACGGCGCAGATGGCGGAGCCGACAAAGCAGCCGATATCGTAAATGGCGACCATTGTTCCCTGAAGGTTGGCACCGTTAGGTGACACTCCGAGTCCGCCCAGCAGCTCGGGCGTGGTGATGAGGCCACCAAGAACACCCTGGTCGTAGCCAAATAGAAGGAAAGCCATAGCGGAAGTGAACATGATTGAGATTTGGAGGGGGTAGCCCTTCAGAGAAGGGAAGAGACCGATGTTGAAAGCTCCCATGATTGTCACTTTGGAAGTTCTTGCGCAAACTTGAGTGAACAGTTGTAAATCTTCGACGAAGCAACGATCGGTCCATTCTCTAGGACTACCACTCGTCTTTATCCCTGCCGAGATAGCCTTGACAGCCATATCTCGGAAGGTGTAGACCCTGCTCGGAAATTCCGGTGTGACTGTTCTGCAAGGCTCAGCCCGCGTGGGTACTCTCCACACTACCCCCGGACGAGAAACTGCAGGTTCGGCTGGAAACTCGTGAGTCGTGGTGGCGATCTAGACTAGATTGTGCGGGGGAAAAGCGTTCGAACGGATTCGTATACAACAGCGGAGGCCGACGGAGGCCCCGCCGGACAGCCGCAACATGGTGCTTCGGACAAGTGTGATAGCGTTTGAGGATAGTGTGACAAGGGTTATTGAAACGGAAGATATTGGAGTCTTCCAGTGAGGAGAGCAACAGATTCATTAACGTCGGATGTCGTACTTTGAACCTTGGAGGTACCCTAAGAGTCCGGGATTGCGACACCATCTCCAGCATGGGAAGTATTCAAGTGCCGCCAAAATCAGTCCTCCAAAGATTCCTGCTAAACGATAAAACGGTGGTCGTGACTGGAGGTGGACGAGGACTTGGGCTGAGTGTCGCCAGGTCGCTGGCTGAAGTCGGTGCGAACATCGTGGCAATCGACATCCATGACGAGCCTGATGAAGAGTTTGGGGAACTTGCGGCGTTCAGTGTTAAAGTCGTCTACCACAAGTATGCTTGACGGCTCACGTGCGCTTGGATTGTCAAGTCTGACTGCCACAGATGCGATGTCCGAGACCATGCAATGCTGAAGGATACTATCGACCTGGCCGCAAAACAGTTTGGCTCCATTGATGGCTGGTAAGTCAATGCCACCTTTGCATACTATTGAAATCGAACTCAAAGAGGGGAAACAGCATCACGGCCGCTGGTATCATGACCAACAAACCGTTCATGGAGCATACCCCCCAAGATCTGAGCGCTTCATATGCGGTCAACGTAAGAATCCCCGCAGCCATGTTAAACTGCAGTTCGCTGATAATGGATGTCAGCTCATAGGTACCTTTTCGGCAGCGCAGATATGCGCTGAGCATATGATCAAGCAAAAGACGGGTGGCAACATCATCTGCATATCCTCAACAGCGGGACACAGAGGATTGGCTCCTCAAACTGCCACGGCGTATGTTTGTTCGAAACATGCCGTCATCGGGCTGGTGAAGCAGGCCGCAGGAGAACTGGCCAAGCACAATATTCGAATGAACAGTATAAGTCCAGGGTATAACAGCCCCAGCTCGTCACGTAACGGTCTGCCATGCTAACTCCAAGACAGACCGTTTCTGACCAAGATGCTCCGGTCGGTAATGGAGAAGGATCCAAGTCAGGAAGAGCGTTTCGCCCAAAGCAACATACTGAACCGGTTGGCAATGCCAGAAGAATTGGGAGGCGCAATAGTGTACCTGATGAGCGATGCGAGCAGCTTTGTGACGGGCAATGACTTTAACATTGATGGCGGGTCAGGCTGTCAGTAGAATAGGGTTTGAAGAGATTCCATAGATATACTCGCTTGAGGAATTTGTGCCAGCTGAAGCTCTCAATCTTTAATATTTCGAAAGACGAATGTCGAGTGAATGGAGTGAAGCAGGAGGCATGGAGCAGAGGAGATAATGGGTGCTCTGCCAAGGCTCGTAGGGACTCTCTGCCTTGGGCATTGGTTGGTAGTACACCAGCTACTGGGGCACCCGGGGCTCGCTTCAGGCATGCCTAAGCGCCTGCGACTACGCCCAGTGTAGCCCAGACCCCTGGCTTCTCCGCACCTCCGAGTCTTTAAAGAGAGCCAAGAGTTACCATGCAGCACCTGATATCTGGGGGACTCCCTCGTAGCTTTAATTGAGAGGTGTCCGGACGACAATCCTTTCAATCCACCCATTCGAAGTTTGACTCGACATCGCCGACCAAACCTCTTGTCACAGCCCAAGGATTCCTGGTTCAGAGGGACTATGTTAGTTCTGAAAGACTCTCGATCCAGAGAATCGACTCGTCCCGACCTCTCTGGGTTGCAATCATGGTCGAACGCGAGCAAGCATCAGTGCGACCTCCCCCTCACAAGTGACCGGCATTCGTGACTGACTGTTCTTGGCTAGAAAGGTTTTGAGTGCAATATCTGCGGAATGACAATGACCAGGCAGACACACTTACAGCGACATCAACGGATTCACTCGCAGTAAGTTGCCCCAGCATTCAACTCGGGCTTCCAGTGCTACTCTTCTGCCTGCTCTTCGGGAAGTGCTAATATCCTCGAAATTAAGAGGTGCCCAGACGCAGAATTTCCAATGCCAAAGATGCAGCAAATCATTCGCGCGAAAAGATATTCTTCTACGCCATGACCGTATGGTTCATGGCATTTCCAACAAACAAATTGGTGGGCGAAGGACTTCGTGTGAGAACTGTATTCGACAAAAGCTCAGATGCTCTCGGTCGACACCTTGTGAAGCCTGCACGACTAGAGGCATACTCTGCAGTTTTCAGAAGCATCCAGTTGGACAGGCTGCCGCTTCGATGCAAACGTCTGGATTGGTACAGCGAGGTCGAGATACGGTGCCCCTATCACCCGCCGGCACAGACATGTCGGGAACCACCACCGATGAATATCTTGATGGGCCTGAGCTGCTTTTGGTCCGAGGGCGTCCTGCTAGCAGGAGCATTGACTTGGGTGTCGCTAATGTTGCGATCAATACGGCGATAATGCCTGATCAATTCTCCCCGACAAACCAACAAATCATGCCATTGCGTGATACACAGTATCAGACATCGGATCTTGAACATGCAAGCCATACTTTCCAGCACCAAGAATCCCCGTCTGAGCCTCAAGTACAAGGAGAGGTGTATCAATTTGACCCGACTTTGACTGGCTTGCAGCCTCATGACCTCTTGATGGATCAGCCGCTCACTCCTGCAAGACAACTCGATTTTAGGCTCTATGACTTTGACTGGGACTCTTTTGCACCGTGGGGAATAGATTGGCTGGGTCTTGATCAGGACTCCTCACTGACCCAGTCGGCGCTTCCACAACCAGATCCTACATGGCAATCAGCTAACTCACCCGCTCTGCTTAGTCTTCAACCAGCTCAACAGCTCCCAGTGGCAGAAGGGCCGTCGACAATTCCTCTTTCCTCAGTAAATGGCCTTTCTCCACCTACTCCAGTAGATCAACGGTCGAACATGTCCTCATACCCTGGGAGGAGAATCGTTCAAAGCCCGTCGACCACAGCGCCGAATCTCCTCGAAAGTGTCGGCGCCGTTCTCTCCAAGACGAGGCTACCGTCAGATATTAGCACCCCGCAACATGGTGCCGCAGTACGGCATCTTGAAAAACTGGTCAATATCTATTTCGCAGAGTTTCACCCTAACTTGCCGGTCATGCACAAGCCAACATGGGACATCTCAAAGTCCCCTACGTACCTTATTGCAGCATTAGCCTGTCTGGGGTCTACGAGTTACCACAAGAAGAGAGGACTAGATGAAGAAACAAGCCTCCTAGCTGAGATATGTTTGCGACATTTGAATAAAGCTGTATGCACATGTCCTAATATCCTACCGAACCGCTGCTGACGAATCCTGTTGAATAGTATCGCCTCGGACCTGACAGCTATCAGAACATCGATTTCGTGACGGCATCCATGCTGCATCAAGTATATGGTTTAGGTGTCGGGCTACCGTCAATTCATGAGAGCGCCGACAACTTCCGTGGGATCCTGGTATTAAGCCTCCGGAGGACTGGTGTGTATCGATCGAGGAACGCTACCGACCCTTGGAATCTCAGAGTCCCTGACCTTGCGGAACTTGATCTTGAAGATAACTCACGACTAGAAGCTGCATGGCTGCAGTGGCGAACGACCGAAATGGCAAAGCGACTTGCGTGGTGCCTTTTCGAATACGACAACAGTCTTTCATGTTTAACCACCAAGCGAGGTGTGGTTAGCCTACAAGAACTTCCAGACAGGCTGCCTTGCAACGAATGTCTGTGGGAAGCTCATTCTACCAGGGCATGGGCGTCAATGGCACTGCTCACGGAGAACTCACTCCATGGTGCCCCTTTTCGGCCTGTGCTGCGTGATCTTCTGAATGCCAAACCGATCGCAGACAAGCTGTCAACTTGGTGGAAACGTTGCTGCGCACATACCATATGCCGACTCCTATGGGACCTGAAGGAGGTGGACAATTCAATCTCAAATCTTTTTGCACCTGATTCCCTTACAGAATCTCAGAAGCCCCTCAGAAGGTCTCTATTGCATAGTCTGAAAATACTGCACGACTCGGCGACTCAGCCATCTCGGCCTGACGATCTCGTGCACATGAAGTAAGTTTCAATATCCATCGTCAGGATCATCACACTGACGGGATCGATTCAGCATTACGTGTCTCATCAGCCATCATGCCACCCTGAACAATCGACGAGAAATCATGGAGATGGTCATACACGTGTTTCAGAATTCAGCCAACTCGAGTGAGATGGAGCTCGATATGGTCAAGACCAGATTGCAGATGCTATTTGCTAGCGATTCCGTTCATGCGAGACGACTCACCTACCACGCCGCATCGATCATAGCCATTTCGCGCGAGTGTACGGTGTACACCCCCTGCGAAACATTCAGGGTCTTCGACGCATACGCATACATTCTGGCATTTGTGAAATTTGGACCCAAAACGCGAAAAGATGTTGCTTCGAGTGACCGACACGATACTGCTCATAACGTCAAACCCGCCATCACTAAACGCCACCCGCACGATCCCGTCCACAGCGGTGATGGCTCCGTCAGGCTTGACCGCTTACCGTGGTCCAGATCCCACTCCGAGACCAGCGCGGTAGAACTGTGGATAAGCAAGGGTCAAGCGCGCGCCTCGCTTGACGGTGCCGATGATATTGAAGATGAGGGGAATTATACACAAATCAAATGCAGCGCTCTCAGAACGATCGAAAAGTTGAACCTTTGGGGTCTCTCGCTGAAATTCTCCAAGACGCTGGAGAGTTTCACTTGAACCAGGGAGTGAGAGATATCACAATTTAGTGGTCTTGCCTTTCCAGTGGTGCAGTTCTGCATCCATTCGAGACACAACGAAGACTTCAAAGAATGTGGGACTATGCAGATGTTCCTTGACAACAATCTCTGCGAGTCCCTGGATTGGATACATAAACCCAATGTATGACGAATCGCTCACACGAGATGTAACTCCACTCCAGTTGTGCCAGGTGGTTATCAAGTTGTCAAGGCAGCTGACAGCTTGGAGAGTGGTTGGTCGTCATATGCTGGCAGCGATAACCCTATTAGCATTTCGCGTCTGCTGAGAATTTGTGGCTGGCATTCGCGTGCCTGTCCATGTTCAGAACCCTTCCAGGATCAACAGAGAAAGGCAGAAGAAACTCCGCCGCCACCTGTCAAGCTTCCGTTCTGTCCCAAAGGGACCCATCGATCACGCATCCCTTCCGCCGAAGGATTACGGTGAGGAATCTCATGACAGAGCGATTACGCTTCGCAACCAGCCTCGCTACTAGCCCGAGAAGCCGCGTTCGCTCCGGGAAGGGTCATATGGGTGATAGAGCCAAGCGACGCGAACATGCCCCGCTTTCCGCCCATGGATGGAAAAAGCCTGATCGGAAGCGCCGCAACACAGGGCTGCTTTACGTCCTGGAACGAGCATGGTCATGTAGTAATAGCGGGGGTCGGCACGGTTTCCAGTGTACTAATAACATGACACAGAGGCATCGCTTGTCATGAGTGGAATGCAGAACACTTTCGCTGCTTGTTTCTCAGAGGTCTTTTCAAAATGGGCCGACTCAAGGGCAAAACGGCTATTGTCACTGGTATGGATGACTCTGTCCAGACCTGCGTGCAGGGGATACTGACCTGGAAAATAGGAGCCGCCAGTGGTTTCGGCAAAGCTATAGCGCTTCGTTTTGCTGAAGAGGGCGCGAATGTCGTTGTGGCAGACCTCAACACCGACGCTGGCCAAAAGGTGGCGTCCTCGCATCGTAACCTCCGATTCGTTCAAACAAATGTCACACTACTGGGTGATTGGGAAAAGCTGGTCAAGGAAACCATCGCTCTCTTTGGTCAAATCAACATTCTCGTCAACAATGCGGGCACATCGTACAAGAACAAGTCAACGCTCCAAGTAACACCAGATGAGTACGACCGGTGTTTCGATGTCAACGTGCGATCGATCTTCTGGTCTGTCCCGACCGTGGTCAAGGCGATGATCGACCACGGGCAAGGCGGAAGCGTGGTCAACATTGCTTCCATCGGCGCCCTGAGGCCGCGGGGCGGCTTGGTATGGTACAACGCCTCGAAAGGAGCCGCCTACAATGCAACCAAGGGCCTGGCGGCGGAATACGCCTCGAGCAAGATTCGATTCAACGGCGTCCTCCCTCTCTTGTCCGCGACGGGGCTGTGGTCGAGTTTTACCGGCACGGAGGATACGCCGGAAAACAGGGCTAAGTTTGTTGGAAATGTGCCGTTGGGGAGGCTGACAGACCCCTTTGACGTGGCGAATGCGGTCGTGTACTATGCCAGCGACGAGTCGAGTTTTGTCACCGGCACCAACCTTGAGGTCGACGGAGGTCGGGCCATTTCCTAGTCGCAGTAGCATTCGATAGATGTACACATTGAAAAAAAAAAAGGCAGCTTATCTTCTCCCTTCGCTTATTTCTGGAGAGTGACGGAGTTCACAACGGCCCACGATGGTTAAGTATGTCGTTGATACGAAATCCAACATGATGCTGGTAAGCCTCGTTGAGTGGCTTTGAAGGCTTCTAGTGAACCGTTTGGTGCCGTGCGTGAACGGGACACGCCCAAGGCCGTATCAGCCGTGGCCCTACAATAAGCATATGGACTGAGTGACCCGATTTTGACAGCCTAACATTGACTGAGATTTTGGCTATAGAAAAAAAAAAGCCCATACCCTTCTGCGAATGTACAGGGGGCAGTCTACACAAGCAACCACTTTTTCCAGAACTCGATCTGCACGGCCGTGCTCTTGTCAAAGGCCTCGCCAAAGTAGCCCGCATAGTGCCCGCCGGGGAAGAGGTGGAACTGCTTGGGCTCTCGGGCGCGCGAGTAGGCCTCGATGGCGATGTCCGTCGGCGTCAGCTCGTCCTTGTCGGCAACCACCATGAGCAGCGGCGTGGGTGAGATGTGGTGGATGTAGCCCGAGGCATTGTACGCGCGAAAGGCTTCCATGCTAGGGGGACACACATACTGCGGTCAGCATCACTACCGCCATCATCACCCGGTGGGCTGGGGGTTTTTGGTTTGGCAGACATACCTTCGCACGGTCACTTCGTTCTTGGCATTCACGCCAGGGAGCTTCTTGATCCAGGTCGACACGTACTCCCAGCTGTCGGGTGTGGGGAGGACGCAGAGCTCCTTCTCGGGATTCGCCGAGACGCTCTGGATGGTCATGGGCAGTTCGCCTCTCGCGCGACCCTGTCTGTCTGTTTGCGTGCCGTCAGTAGGTCAAATCCCCATGGGAGTTCCGCCGCGGACTCGCCTTTCTCAAACATGGCCTCCATGTCCTTGACCAAGTCGTTCCTCACGAGGCGGTGGAAGTTGGCCCACCCGTCCGCGACCATGACCTGTATTGTTAACCCGGTTAGATAGAGAAAGAGGGCTGGTATAGATAGGCCTTTTGCCAGGCAGGAAGTATTTACCTGGCTTATCACGGCTTTCACCCGACGATCGACGGCAGCAACCGAAAGCACATGGGCGCCACTGTAACTTGTGCCCCAGATGGCGACTCTTCGCGGATCGACCTCGGGTCGGGACTGCGCGTAGGTGATTGCGTCGCTGTAATCCGAGCACTGCAGGGCAGGGATGATCTCCTGTCTGGGCAGGCCGTCGCTGGCGCCGAGATTGCGATTGTCGTAGACCAGTGCGCAGACGGGGATGCTCGTGGTGAAGCGCTCGGCGAACGCGTCGATGCCCATCTCCTTGACGGCGCCGAAGCCGTGACACATGACGATGCATGGCAGCCCACTGGAGGGTGCCGGCACGGACGGGGTGTATAGCCACCCTCGCAGAGTGACCCCGTCCTGCGTTTTGAACTCGACGTCTTCGCGTGGCATGGTCGATTGATGACTGGAAGTAGGCCCGAACTTCGGTCAGACCTGAGAAGGAATTGATCTGGGTGTATCTGTGCAGAGGCCATTGTTGCTGGTCACCATTTATACCCCGCTCGGTCATGGGAGAGCCAGGCTCTTCAACCTCAATGACCTGACGATTTGTCGGTTCTAGCAACGCCGCCAGAGGCATGGTTTGTTGCTAGGCGCGTGTGATTCCTGGGGAGGTAGTAGTCAGGGAGAGTGCAACGGAGCACCCGCCGGAGATGGAGGCGGGGCTTCACACCGCAACCAGTTCTTTTCATCGATGGTGTTTTCCCACCAAGGACACAAATGGAGCAGCGTCCAGGCGCAGGAACATGGATGCGCCGGTCTCGTCTTGGTATGAAGAGTGTCAGTTCAGTAAGTACGGTACAGTGCCATCCGAGAACAAAACAGTTTAAACCGTCAGTCAATCAAAGCCCAGCATCCTGGACGGGGGAGACCGTGAAGCCAAAAACGAGAGGATTTAGAGCAGATAGAAGTCAAAGAGGCTGTCATCGAAGCACTTGACGCCGTCGACATCTCAGTTGGTATGGTTGGTACTCATCATTCGAGAGCACGAGGCTCGACATGGAGACTGTCCAGGTGGCTCAGGCAGCCCTGTGATTCTGCTACCAGAAGCCACCATGATCCCAGCGTCCAAAAGCCCTCTTTGGCGTCAAACCTGCTTACCTGCCGTTCTGCAATCCTATCACCAGCATCGTGCAGCGATCAGTGCGGAAGTGGACGATGAAGGCAATGCAGCATCCTCGTTGGCATGTTCCCAAGGAATGCGCAGAATAAGGGATTCGAACCTCTGTCAAAGACAACGATTCTTACCCCAGTGTCGTTGCTGTACAATTGTTTCCCATGAATAAAGCGCTAACTGCGTGTATCAACGCACAAGCGAGCTCCATAATATGCAAACCCAAGCACTCAGAGGTGCAGGGACGTCTGTAGCTGACCTCGCATTTTCCTCTGCGCCCCTCAATATCCCGCCCACCTGCCCATAGCCAATCCATCAATTCACGCGCATATGTCCCCAAACCTGGCTCTTCATCCGGACCGGCTCGGTCAAAAGCCCCGTATCAATCTCGGGCAGGCTTAGCTTGAAGCTGCTCTCGCCATCATTCCGCTCCGAGAGCTTCTCGCAGAGGTAGGCAACAGCGAAGGGAGTGCCGATCGCTTGAATGGTCCATCTATAGATGAATCGATGCGCGCCGTGGGCACTGTTCTGGAAGGATCGTGGCTCGGGATGGAAGCAACGGCGGGCTGGCACTTTGAGAAGAGCTGAAGGAGGGGTGTTGTGCAGAAGAGCGCGACTGTAGATACGGTTCATGTTGTTGAGAACGAAAATGTTGGCGTTGAGTAAGTAGGCTGAAAGAAGACTTCGGCGCCCGAGCTGGGTCTCGCTGGGTCTCGCTGGTATAGCACAGTGTGATGTGGTTGTATCTCTCTCATTGACCCATGATAATTCCTCCCAGAGCTGGGTTACCCCTCATTGCAGGTGCGACGACACAGGGTGGGGCAGTTGTATCTGATCTTATCGCTATCATTCGCCCCAGGCCTGCCATTTCCACCTGGGAAGACACCTAACTCGGTCAGTATGTCAACTAGCCTCAACGCAGGGATTGAGCGGGCGCAAGGCTGTACAATGAGGAGCTCAAGACCAATATCAACTCTCATGCCCACCCGAAGTTCTGCGCCACACTGAATTCATTCGGTCTGGATAAATTGCTCATAAAACTCACTTCTCCCACCCTACTCACGCCTTCTGCTTACATAGTCACCAGTTGCTTCCCCATCTCTTGGAATGCAACGTGAGGCGTGCCTCATTTGTGCGAGCCAAACAGAACATGTGTAAAGATAGAGATGAGATAATCTGCTTTACGCTAGCTAGGACATCTCACCGTAGAATGGCTGTGCATGTCGACGCCCTTGGAGAGGTTCAGGCATGGACCAGCCTAATCCGTCTTATGAACTGCCGGATCGGGCAATACTTGCACTGGTCGTTGTGGAACCAAGTGGGATCATTGAGTGCAGCCAAGACAGGTTGGACTTCCACGTCGTCTGGTTGGAGGGAGGCCTTGCCTTCCGTCTTATACAGAAGCAAGTTCCACACGCCTTGTGGCTAATGCTCTGGACTTTTCTCTCTTGATGCGCTGCTCCCACCAGTCCTATCCATCTTTTCCGCTCACACAGGAAGATCTTACATGAGCGAAACCTCTCACTCGCAGCGACATCAGTGAAACATCAACGGATGCCGGGCTTCAGCTATACCGTGATAGGCTTTCACACCTCTGCTTGGGCCACGGGCAGGCTTGGAAAGATATTCCGGATGCGGGACGAATATGAAGTGCCACCTTTCCCATAGATGCACTCGCGAGTATAAAATGACCGGAGACCACCAGCTTGGAGGTTGCTGCAGCTCTTTTACTCCCCAACGAAGAGAGTCCCGTCGGCATAGACGGTTCTATTGAGCTCCCGTCCGCGTCCAACAATGCCGACGAATACAATTCCCGCGCCCCTTGCTGGGAAAGTCGCCCTCGTTACGGGCGGGTCACGAGGCATAGGCCGTGGCATCGCCGTCCATTTCGCAGCAAAGGGTATTTCCAGGATCGCCATCACTTACGCCGGGAACTCGGCGGCCGCGGAAGAAACTCTCGCGGCAATCGGCAAAATCAATCCGGATATCACAGCCACGGCGATCCAGGCGGATGTCCTGTCGCCAACATTTGCCTCCGACCTGGTGCCCAGGGTGCTCGAGGACCTCTCAACCCAGAGCATCGACATCATCGTGTGCAACGCGGCCTATGTCAACCCGAGCATTGTGGCCCCCATCGCCACGGCGACCAAGGAGCTCTTCGACAACCTCATGACCGGCAACGCGTGGGCTCCCGTCCAGCTATGCCTCACGGCCTTGCCCTGCATTCCTCGGGGCGGGCGCGTCATCATGATTGGCAGCACCGCTTCCAAGGCGCCGAACGCGGACCCCGCGGTATGCTACGGGGCGTCCAAAGCCGCGCTGGACAGCTTCACCAGGAGCCTCGCGCTGATCTTCTCGGCCCAGCACGGCATCACCATCAACTCTGTGTCCGTGGGGCCCGTGATGACGGACCTGCTGAAGATTCCGCTCGCGCAGGGCATTCTTCCGGACGGGTACATCCCGCAGCTGATGAGCAGGAACACGGCGGAGAAGAGGATGGGTGAGATCGACGATATCTCGGGCATTGTTGGGTTTCTTGCCAGCGAGGAGAGCAAGTGGATCAATGGGAACAACGTGCCGGCAAACGGGGGTGCTCTTCTCGAGATTCAAGGGTAGTAAGCCTGGCGTATACGATGCTGCAGGGATTAAGAACGTGAAGAAACGGGCGACACCTTAAAGGGAGAGTGAAGATTTTTTTTCTCTACTTAGCAGGCAACACCGCCATCTGCCGAAAATGTGGCTCCAGTCGTATAGCTGGAATCATCGCTTAGGGCAAAGCAGATCGTCTTTGCCATGTCTTGAGCAGTTCCCAGTCGCTGGAGAGGCAAAGTCTTGTACGTGTTTGTGACTGGCCGCTCGGACTTACCGCCATCTGTGAGCAACCTCTCCAGCATGGGTGTTTCTATAGGACCACTTTTGAAAATGACAGCAGTTAGCCTGATGAGTCCAGACGTGATAGAAGCTAACTCGAGCGAGACAGACAAGGGGGGAAACACTTACGGAGCAAGAGCATTGACTCGGATGCCGCGCTCGCCGACTTCCTTGGCTGCTGTTCGCGTCAGGCCGACAACGCCGTGCTTGCTGGTCGAGTAGGCGCCAATGCCAGGACGGCCCATGAGGCCGGCCAGACTCGCGACGTTGAGGATCGAGGCCCCGCGGTCCATGGCGCGGAGTTCGGCGCGGAGGCAGTAAAAGAGGCCGGTCAGGTTGATCTTCATGATAAAGTCCCAGTGGTCGTTGGTGATGTCGACGATGTTTGCAAAGACCTTGCCGCCGGGTTTTGTCTCGACGCCCGCGATGTTGGCGGCGCCGTCCAACCTGCCAAACTCCTTGACCGTCTCGGCTATCCAGGCATCAACCTGGTCGGAATCCGAGACGTCGACGCGTCGCCCTATGACTTTGACCCCTTTGGCCTGTATCTGGTCGACCACCTTTTTCAATGCGTCCTCGTTGACGTCGCACAACGACAGTCCTGAGGCTCCTCTTGCGGCACATTCGAGAGCCGTGGCTGCGCCAATCCCCGACGCCCCGCCGGTGATGGCGATGACTTTCCCTTGGAGCTGAGCCATTGTTGTCCGGTTTGCGGTTCGTAGAAGACTCGACGTGCAAATTGGCAATGTACACTGCTAAGTGACCTCGAGGTATATATGTAATATTTCTCGACGCCTTGGGCCTGTGACGAAGTCGGCGGATGTTGATGAGGGGATTCCCAACCGAGGTCCGTCAGCCCAGCGGAGATGCATGTTTCTCCGCATCAGTCGCCGACTAGGCTGAACCTCAGCCTCGCGTCCAGCTTGAGACGGATTAAACTTCTAGGGACCTACAGGAGGAGGAGATGGTGCATTCCTGGATCGTGGATAAGACAGTTCGATTCCTCGACCCTGGATGACTAGCGCAGAGGGTTCATGCACCTACCCCGCTGCTAGGATGATATCAACATCCGTTTTGGGGTTATTCCGGGGCAAATTGATAGAGGGAGGACAGACGGGATCTGCATCTGGTCGATTTGAATCAGAAAGCCAGGCCGTAATTCGACATGGCGGGCGGATGTTCTGTGGGCATGGCCTCCTAAAGGAGCAACGTAGGCGTGAACTTTGGTGGTGGGACCTTTGCCATTGGGAGAGGACATGGGCCTGTCGGAGTTTGTGGGGAGCGGGATGAAAGATTGTGGGGGATCAAGCGTGCACACAGTAGCCAGCTAGCTACATATTAGCTAGAGGAATTACCCCCAGACTCAGCTAGATGGAACGCCGAACCGCCTCGTGTTCGGTGTGCAACCTACATATCATCTCAGATCTGCCTTGTTCTCTGCAAGAGCAACTCTGCACGAGAGCGGTGAATTATATTTCAAGTTGCTATCCCCCCTCTTCTCTCTATCTCTTGATTGAGACGCGAGCTTGCAAAGTCCAGTTAATTTGTGGTTGGGGAAAGAGCCCTCATCCTCCTGCAGTCAACCACGATCGTCCTGCATTTGGACTTAACGGAGACTCAGCTCACTGCAGAACCTGAACGACCCTCTCCCACTCATCCTGACCATGGCCTTGGGAACCCTCCTCCCTGCCCTCGGCGGGTTGCTCGTCGCCTTTCTGCTATACGCATTCCTCTTCATCGGGCGCCGCGAGAAAGGTCTTCCCCCTGGTATGTGGACCGAGTACTGATCTTGATCCCGAGGTGTTGCAGAGTCTTGTACTCATCGATCTGGTATCAATAGGCCCGCCCACAGCACCGGTTATTGGGAACATCCATCAAATCCCAACCAAAGGATCTTACCTGACCTTCACAGAATGGGCCAAGGTACGCACCGCCTTCCAGCTGCTCTACCTCCCATGGCTATTGTTCTAACGTACTAAATAGACATATGGCGGCATCTTCTCCCTCAAGCTCGGTCCTGGAACCGCCATTGTCCTCACTTCTCGCCACCTGGTGAAACAGTTGATCGACAAGAAATCAAACATCTATAGCGACCGACCTCACAGCTACGTCTCGCACAACCTGATCACAGGCGGTGACCATGTCCTGATTGCACACTATGGCAAAACCTGGCAGAGGTACAGAAAAGTGATCCATCAGCACTTCATGGAATCAATCGTGATGAGGGATCATTTGCCATTGCAGCAAGCTGAGGCCAGCCAACTGTTGAAAGACTTCCTCGAGCGACCGGATCAGCACATGGACCACCCGAAGCGCTATACCAACAGCATCGCCTGCGCGACCATCTGGGGCGTGAGATCTCCGACAGTGGACACTCCACATATGAAACGCCTCTATGAGCTGATGGAGAATTGGTCCGTAGTCATGGAACCGGGCAACACCCCTCCGGTCGACATCTTCGCCTTTCTTCACTATGTTCCTGAACGGCTTTTCGGGAACTGGCGCTCACGAGCTAAAGACGTCGGAAAGGCAATGAACGATCTGTACAACGATATGTTGACCGGTCTCGAGAAGCGCAGGGAATCAGTGGGTAGCAAGTACTCATTCATGGACAGAGTCCTCGACCAGAAGGAGAAACTTGAGTTGAATCGGCATCAGCTCTATTTCCTGGGTGGCACAATGATGGAAGGAGCAAGCGATACCTCCTCGAGCATCGTCATCGCAGCCATACAGGCGTTCACCAAGTGGCCTGAGGTCATGAAGAAAGCGCAGCAAGAAATTGACAGCGTCATGGGGGAAGACCGATCTCCTGTGTGGGCGGACTATGCACGGTTGCCGTACGTGGCTACAACGGTGAAAGAAGCGATGAGGTGGAGGTGAGAACTCCCAAGAGCCTGGATCGGAGCTGCAAGGCCATTTCGAGGTTCCTTTTCTCATATGTGACTGCTTGATGCTAACGATAAGTCCAGACCAGTCGTACCGTTGGCATTTCCGCACGCTGTGGATGAAGGTATGAGGCCCTTTTCGAGAAGAGAAGATGGCCAGGCACTGACGACTTTGATCATGTAGATGACTGGATTGATGGATACAAGATCCCCAAGGGCTCGGTCATCTTCATCAACGCATGGGGCATGCACCACGACGAGAAGAGATTCCCCAACCCAAACACATTCGACCCAGACCATTACAAGGGCGTCACAGCACTTGCTTCAGAACTAGCTCAAGCCAGCAACCCGGACGACAGGGACCATTATGGGTACGGCTCCGGAAGACGTCTGTGTCCCGGCATTCATCTTGCCGAGAGGAATTTATTCCTGGCCATTTCAAAGCTGTTGTGGGCATTTGAATTTGCGCCGGGAAAAGACAGTGATGGGAAGCCTATCATTCCCGACACCGACCCGACTACGGGATATAGTGAAGGGTTTCTGGTGTGTGCGAAGCCTTACGCTTTGGACGTCAAGGTAAGATCGGAAGCAAGGCGAGAGACCATCTTGAGGGAATATCAAGAGGCGAAGCGGGATGTGTTTTCAGCGTTTGATAACTAGGGTCAGTGGAAGAAGGGCTTGGGCATGGATGGAAAAGGCTGCAATGAAGCTGGAAGGGTTGGGAAATACCTGGGAGGTCTGAACGCATTCGATAATGATCATGACGACTGAACTAGATGTTACAGACTGGTTTCGTCGATAAGGATATTAAACATTCTGTGACGGTCTCAGTTGATATTCTGCTATTAGCAGAGGGACAGAGCACTGTACCTTTTTGGCTTCAGCCCATTTCCATCCTGGATGTACCTGATACCCGGAGAAGAAGCAACCGAAAAATAAGATAAGCAGCCGCTCAACTGTCCGTTTCCGCAAAGCTCAAGTCGCAGCTTGTTCGACAGGACTCGGATTCAGAAGCCCTGGCGGCGCTGCTGTCGTAGATGGAGTTGTATTCCAACTCAAAGGGAGACCCTGCTGGATCAGGCAAATCCCGCCAACCGGTCAGATCCCTTCCAAGCCAATAAGATCCGCTGAGATATGTCGAGTCATGTGGGATGCGGGTCGGTGGAATGTTGGGAGATGTGTAAAGAGGGGGTGCACCGAGCACGAGGTCGTCACAGTACGAGATGCATTCGGCAAGAGACGCAAGTCTCCATAGGGCCGATCCAGTCCGATAATTCTTGTTTCTGTGGCAAGACAGACCAGATAACAAGCGCTCCTAAGTCAACAAGTCGGCGACGTTCATCGGCATCTCATCAATCTGTGTCGAGTAGTAAAGCTCAATATCCCGCAGAATGCGGACATCCTCACTAGTGACGAAGTTGATCGCCACGCCCTTGCGACCGAATCTCCCGCTGCGCCCGATTCGGTGGATATAATTCTCGCGATTGCTGGGCAGGTCGTAGTTGATGACAAGACTGACCTGCTGGACATCGATCCCTCGGGCCCACACGTCAGTACTGATGAGGACTCGGCTATTGCCCTGTCTGAAATCGGACATGATGCTGTCACGTTCCTTTTGCGGCATCTCGCCATGCATGCTGCTGACTGTGAAGTTTGCTTCTCGCATCTTGTCGGTGAGCCAGTCGACCTTGCGGCGCGTGTTGCAGAAAATCACTGCCTGGGTGATGGTGAGAGTGTCATAGAGGTCGCACAGTGTGTCAAATTTCCACTCCTCCTTTTCAACCGCAATAAAATACTGCTTGAGACCTTCCAGTGTGAGCTCGTCACGCTTGACCAGAATGCGGACGGGGTCGGTCATGAATTTCGTGGTCATATCCAACACATCGTAAGGAAGGGTGGCGGAGACAACCACAACTTGCGTGGCTGGGGGGAGGTATCGGTAGACATCGTAAATTTGTTCTCTGAAACCGCGGTTAAGGAGTTCGTCTGCTTCGTCCAGGACCAGCATCTTGATGTGTCGTGTGCGGAGGTTCCTTCTTCGAATCATGTCTGCCACTCGCCCAGGTGTACCAGACACCACATGTTGTCCGTAATCGAGTTTTCTGATGTCTTCCCCAACGTTTGTACCTCCGATGCAGGCATGACATTGCACATTCATGTAGTCTCCGAGGGCCATAATCACGCTTTGAATTTGGGTCGCCAATTCGCGTGTCGGGGACAAAACAAGAGCTGAGTTATTGTTAGTCAAATCGCGCATAACGAACTCCTACGCATACCTTGCGTCTCGCGGACGGATGTCTCGATAATCTGAAGAATGCTGATTGCAAAGGTCGCGGTTTTGCCCGTGCCTGATTGCGCCTGCGCAATAGTGTCTCTTCCTTTGCAGATCTGCACAATGGCCCGTGACTGGACTGCTGAGGGCGATTCGTAGCCGTACGCGTAGATTCCACGGAGGAGGTTTTCCTTGAGGTGCATGTCCTCAAATGTTGGGGCGACTGTCACTTCTTTCGAAGTCGAAAACTCCATCCGCTCTGTTTGTCCAGGTCAGTCTGGAGCGCGATCGCGCTGGTCGTCGAGAAAAGTTGGACTTACCGTCTGCATTTCTGTCGATACCTTCTGCCATTTTGATCTCTGTTGTGATAAGTACTATGTATGATTTTCAAGTGATGTTGTCGTGAGTTCATTGTTCTCGCCCTCAGGTGGCGGAAGAAATTCGACTCGGACGAAGGCCCCTTGGCATCCTTGGGCAGCAACCAATCATTTGATTCCCGCAATTGTACGGAGTATGGCCGGTCTTTCCCGCCACCATTAGTTTCTCCCCCATGGCCCATTCCTCACGATGTTTCTGCATAGTATAGACTGCATTCAACAGCATTTTCCGCTTCAGTCCACTTCCTGCTTTGTAGAATCCCAATCCAAATGCGATTCCTTCATCGCCATCCTAATGTCCTCAACATTACTCTTCAGATAGGATCCGGAGTCTCGCCCTCAGTTCACTCTGTTACTTACAATCACGCCGTCACACGCCGTCCATACCATCCTATTGATACCACCCGTTATAGGAGTAGAGCGCTTCAATCAAAATCCCGACACACTTGTTTCTCTTAATCGTCCTTCCCTGCTCATCACGTATCGGAAACGGTGGCGCTGGAGGAGTTCAGGTCACATCGTCGCCGTCGCTGTCGATGGAGGGTGACGCTATATCCGGTTGCTGGGCGTCAGTGCGTCCTATGCCGTGTCGATTAGAAGTGGATCACTCCAACGCAATCAAATAGGCCTGATACTTAGCAAGCTGGCGGATAAACGGTCCATCAACACACGGACGCGATGATTCGAACGATGGAACCGAAGATTTATACTCAAACTTTTTTTTGACTATTTAAGCCCCGAAGGGCACATGAGCACAGGAGTGCTCAAAAAGACGTAAAAAAAGACAACTGTTGTCGTCTCTTGAGCCCCGAAGGGCACCAGCAAGCCCAAGCACACAGCACACAGCACACAGCACTCAGCACCCACCAACCCCTCCCCACCCCCCTCCTCCCTGCTCCCTCCTCCCACCTCCCACCTCCCAACGTAAAACCGCGCCCACCCGCGCACCACCAGAGAAGAAAACAAGACACTCTCACAAGACGAGGCCACCGCACCCACAACTAACTGCCTCACTGCTCGTCCTGAAGCCGCTCCCGCAGGAGAGCGACTTCGATCTGAGCAGCGAGGTACTCAGCTGTGAGGCGGCGGACCTCGCCTTGGAGTTGTCGAAACCCCACTTCAGCGTCGACGGCGACCTCCCGCGCCTCCACGAGGGTCCTCCACAGCTGACCGAACGCACCCAGGATCTCGCCCTCCGCAGAGAGGAGACCCGCGCGGGCGCGGACGGCCACTGGGTTGCCCCTCGCGGCGCCGACCGGGAGATCGCCGTCGAGGACGTCGATGTCGACAAGGGCCTCGCTCAAGTGAGCGAGCCCGGCGCGGAGTTGCTCCGCAACCGGGGCGTCAACCTCGTCAAGGTTGACGCGCCCTTCCTCCTCTTCGTCCTCCTCGTCCTCCTCGCCCTCCTCGCCCTCCTCGCCCTCCTCGTCTTCCTCTCCTGAAGACCACCTGTCTTCAGGAGCTTGCCATTGCCCCTGGGCCGGAGCCCCGTCCTCTTCAGCCTCCGCAGAGGCAGCCGTCATGTCCTCGGCCTCGTCGGCCTCGGCTTGGCCCATGGCCAGGGAGCGGAGAGAGCCAGACCGTGCCACCCGCCGCAGGCGCGGGACTCCCAAGAGTTGGGAGTCCGTTGCGCTGCGACGGGCCCCATCCTGGTCGACTGGGATGGGTGTTGTAGTGAAGGCACGGCGGCCAGGATAAAGGAGGCGAGTCATGTTGATGTCGCTAGGCTGCGAAGCCTGAGTCGTGTGAGTCACCTGACCAGGGCGCGGAAAGAGAGGGTTGACGATGCGGCCGTGATGTTGTAGAGTGAACGGCAACTGTTCAGTCGCCGGTGAGTCTGATCGCTCATGAATCAGAAGAGTGTCTGGTGAGCTTGGAGGTTCTTGGTTGAACGGAGTGATTGACACAGGGTCAGTTGCCGGTGAGTCTGAACGCCCATGAATCAGAAGAGTGTTCGCTGAGGTTTGAGATTCTTGGATAAACGGAGTGTTTGACAGAGGATCAGTTGCCGGTGAGTTTGAGTGCTCATGAATCAGAACAGTGTTCGGTGAGTCTGGTTGTTCGTAATTCAGGAGAGTAAGAGAAGAATCTGAGTGTACAGTCGCCGGTGAGTTCGAACGCTCACGAATCAGAAGGGTGGTCGGTGAGTCTAGATGTTGGTGATTCAGGAGAGTCTGAGAAGAATCTGAATGTACAGTGGCTGGTGAGTTCGAACGCTCACGAATCAGAAGGGTGGTCGGTGAGGTTGAATGTTCGTGATTCGGTAGAGTATTGGAAGAATGCGAACGTTCAGTGGCTGGTGAGGTTGAATGTTCGTGGTTCAGGACAGTGTTAGAAGAATGTGAATGTTCAGTGGCTGGTGAAGTTGGACGCTCGTGATTCAGTAATGGACTTGGAAGAGTTTGAGGTGGGATCGAATTTGGAAGGTTGGGCGCTGAATTTACTGCCAGACCAGGGCTGTTTTGAAAACTCCGATGCGGCTCATGAGACCAGAAGAGGACAGTGCCAGTGAATCGAGTGCTTGTTTGCGTTGGGAGAGAATTTGGAAGACCTTGTGTAGAATTCGCTGCCACACCACGGATGCTTGCAAAACTCCAGCCGGGTTCATCAGTCCAGAAGAGTGGAGCACGAGTGTGTTGATTGTCTGCTTGGTTTGCAGTTTGGTGTTCATGCTCAAGTGAACCGTCTTCTGATGGGATGTTTGCAGGGTCGAGAACAAGATCAGGAGAGTCTGTGATCTGAGGGAAGTTTTGTAAGGATGTCAAGTCTGTGGTTGCGTGCACACGACGAAGACCAACAGGGGGCTCGACTGGACTCGCAGTGGTGGAAGGGTTCAAGTCTTGAGATGTTGAGGCAGGATCAGAGCCGTTGATGGATTCAGTTGTCTGAGCAGCTAGGTCTGGGCCAGAAGATGTGCTGGACGGACCAGAGGACAAGCCAGTGTCACCAGGCAAGAGAAACTGGGAGAAGCTGTGACGACGCTGTTCCTCCTCAGAGCGAGAAGGGGGAGAAGAGTGAGAATCAGGTGGTAAGCCTGGCAAGATTTAACGTTAGAAACAGTCGGCTGGCTGGAGGTTGATGAACTGATCATGTCTGAGCGCGAACTTACCTGCGGATCGGTTTGGAGAAGACATCCTGACCGGCGCCGATGTCGACGTGATCGGAGAAGCGGTTGGGTTATTGTCGGGGTCTGTATGCGACGGTCGCGCGACAGTGTCGTAAGTCTAGAAGAGCTGAGACGACGACCTTGACGGAATGCGACAAGTTGAAATGACGATGGTGAGATAGAAGACGAAGGGAAGTGAGAGGAAGAAGCGTCGACGATCTTTGTTGTCGATTTTTCCAACCATCTTTCTGTCGCACCCTCTATAGCAGAAAAGCAGCGCTAACGACTAACTGCGTAGACATTAACATTGAATCGCCAAGCTGAATGGGCTGAAAATGTTGGCTTCTGGGTGCGATATAGTGGTCTTCCCTGGTTGTGATGGAATGTATAAGGCATTTGGAAGCATATTGTGTGCGCAAGGCTGAAGCAAGACAGCGCGGGTCTTACCAGGTCAAGCCGCAGTCACACCATCGTCTTATTGAAAATCCCTGTCGTGACAGATCTTTATGTCGTCGCGACAAATGTCATTTGTGTCGCGAAAGCCCCCATATACAGGGCATGAGAACCATCTTGAACTTGCCCTTTTCACATATTCAACATGCTTAGCTGTCGCCTCATTGGGCTCGCCGCGTGGTCGCCATCCTCGCTAGGCCCAATGCCGCTGTCCGTTCCTCCAAGAGGGCTCGAGTCAATGTCGATGTCCCATTTCTCCTCAACATGATCGCTGTCCTCATCATCCCCGATGTCCCATCCTTTCTGGACTGCGCCTCTGACGTTCCATCTCAAAGCCCTTTGTACACTTTCCACCCATTCGTTCGTGCCGGTCATGACAGTTGGGAGGGGATACTGCGACGCCTCGAGGGTCACATAATCTCCTTGTTTCAACTCAATCCGTCCCTTTCCGTCAAAAGAGCAATAGGCTGACGACCGCGATTTGTTAGGTACTGCGATTCGCAATGCAAGAGTGTCGGATAATACCATTGGCCGGAAGGAAAGGGTGTGCGGACAGATGGGTGTCAGCAAGATGGCAGGAATGGATGGGTGTATCAGAGACCCTCCAGCTGAAAGGGAGTAGGCCGTCGATCCTGTCGGCGTGGAAAAGATACACCCATCCGCCTGCACAATAGTCAGAAGCTCATCGTCCCCGTAGAGCTCTAGGTTGGACACATAAGCCGAAGGGCCGCGGTCAATGACAAGCTCGTTCAATACTTCAAACTGCTCGCCCTCCTCCACAGCACCCTTGACCGCCCCGGGAGCCCGATCAGCTCTCCAGACAGTGCAGGTAAATCGCATGCGCAGGTTAACTCGCATACCTGCATCGCCCATGACCCGATCAAGATGTTCTTTATACTTGTCGAATTCAAAATTCGTCAAAAAGCCTAGGCTTCCTAACGAAAAGGAGAGGACAGGTGGGACGACCCGCTGGAACAGCCATGAGGTGAACAAGACAGTTCCGTCACCTCCCATGGTGAGGACCAGGTCGAATTTCTCCGGCGACGACCAGCACAGATCTGGAGTCCAGTACTTCAACATCTTGCTGAACCGAGGTTCCTTCGCCAACAATCCAGCGGCATCAAATCGTTTGGAGTGTCGGAGTTTGGCATCCACGTAGACATTCACGCCTAGATCGTTCCCATACCGAGGCGTGGAGAGCAACCATTCAGCAAGTTCACGCGTCAAGTACACGAGACTGTTGTCGCGAGCCTTGGTCACAATCATGACATTGCGCACGGCCCGCTTGAGCGGTTTGCGCTGCAGCTGCTTAGAGACCTCTCTTACGCCTGTTGCAGTCTGCATCAGTCGCGAATGCGAGTAGTCGTCGTCTGCAATCTCTTCTAGAACCTTTTGAATGTCCACAACCCCGTCAAACCGCTGATGGAAGAAACATGGCGATCGAAGGAAACTCGTCGACGTGGGTGAATAGGTTGACAGCGCACCGGCCTGGAGACCAGCAAAGGTGGCTGTTAACGATGGTGATCCAGAGCAACTCCTTTGCTGTTCCAGCTCTACCTCGTTGATGGCTGTCTTGAGAGCGTTCACGGCCAACGGTGCCGTGTTAGGCCCCGCACTGGGCCGCCGCGATACCAGAGCCTTCATGATCGTCTGTCTTGGTATATCTATTGATTTTGGGTTCTTGCGGTGGGTGAGCAGAGATTTCGGTAGCAGAAGAGGCTTGGGCACGGGGACTGTAGGGTGGTGTGCGATGTACGAGTTCTTCAGAGGATCGTTGGAGGACGCGTTGTCGCTGCTGACGGCTTTGTCGCTCACGAGATCGGGCTCTGTATGGACCAGACTGCGTACAGCGTGTGTTTGGCCGTCAGCATCAATGGGATCTAAATGTTCGGCATATTGACGGAGGATGGACTCTCCAACCGACGTTTTGGAGGTGGAAGAGGCCATGCCATCAGGGAGCAGGAAGTCAGGATTATCAAGGACAGGAGTTGGTGGAGAAAAGTTGCTGATGCTAGTGGCCTCGGAGGTAGTGGGCGAGGATAAGGTGGAGTGGGAGTGGGTGTCGAGGTTACTGATCGTGGGAGATGTGGTCATGTTGGAAAGCCGCAAGCCTAAAAAAGAAGTCCTGCAGGGCAAACGAGGCACAACCCGAGCCGGTGGGAGTGGATCTGGTCAACAGCGGACGATCTGGAGGTCGTGTCACCCTCTGCAAGTGTTGTTGTGGGTGATGGAAGAGTGATGCCGAGGGGCAAATCCGAACACGGCTCGTAAGCGGGCCAATCTTCGGAACAGTCAGAGCGCCGAACGCATGGGAGCGCACACATGTGCCGCCGAGAGGAACGGGTGGCCTAGGAACTTGCCTAGGAGACTTGCCTAAAACCTGCCCGGTTGCGAGATGTCAAGGTGCACACGATATCACCAAATGAGTAATCCGGAGACTCGGAGTTAGCGGATAAAGCTGGTAAATGAACGCTTTTGTGCTCGTGATGCCAGTGCAGTGTCGTGGTGTGAATTGACTTGACCCTCTGGACCAGCCGAGGTTGAACTGATTATGCAAATCTGCTGTAAAGTCGTAAAGCTGGGTATCTTCAGTCCACGTCAAAGCAAAGCAAAAGAGTACCTTGATCGATGGGGTTGGTGTAAAGGGAGTTGGTGGTAGCTGTTCGATGCTGTGCTCAAGTATTTGTAGCACTGGCACATGCCAGAGGAAATGTCCATTCTGGCCTGGGGCCCGACTTTGCTGGGCGTGTCTTGATGTTGAGACAGGCACGTGGGGATCTGCTGTGGGCATGGATCAACCACAAAAGCACCTCCTGTTGCCGTGCCTAGATCCTCCATAGTGGGCACCTGAATAGCGACCACCGGCCCCTGAACCACCAATGCACCGAGCCTAGAAGCCTGCAGCAAACAGACTATTGCACGACGACAAGCCTATTTCCCACCCCCACCTCCTGCACCTCACCACTGTTTGGCGTCAGTCAGCCGCCCACTTTGTGACTGTTTCAGCGTTCACACGCTGGCAAAACTTGTAACAGCATCAATCCTGTCGCCAGCTTTCGTCCTTAATCACCCGGGCTTCCATAGCGTTTCTTATCACATCCAGCACACAGATAACCGAGTTGTTCCCAGTTACACCGTCTGTTCCGTTCATGGCAACATCTCCGTTCGATTGTTTGTTGGCTTCTCTTTCAGTGGTGCTGGGGATGGGGTCGGTGCGTAAGGAGTGACCAAGTACTGCTAAGCGAGCAGCATGTGCTGCTTGTTGCCAACTTTCCATGCTGAATTTGCCTTCACTCTCCATCAACAGCGTCGTGCCATCTTTACTGAAGGCAAACACATGCAAGCTCGCGCATTTCTTTCGCTGCGAAACCCCGGGGTTGATCATCACCTGTCCATCGTCACGGCTGACCCCAACGAGAGCGGCAGCAACCAATGTTTTCATCATCACAGCTGCGTCTAAGCATCCAAGGATAGCAGCATTGAGTGCCGAAGCGAGCAAGTCGAGATACGTCTCACCTTGCCCAGCCCCTCTGACTCCACCGGGTAGGCTCTCGTCACTTTCAACAGACAGGACTTGAAGAGTGACTTGCAACATGGTTCGTGGAGTCTCTTGGCCAAGGACAATAGCTTGGAGCGTTCGTTTGATGAGTTGCTCAACATGTCGTTCCTTGACCATTCCAACGCCATTGTGGGGTCGGAGATTGACTTCAATCAAGGTCGACTCGGGAATCTCATCAGATCGGTAGGGGACTTCAACCGGGTAATTGACGCCGGCGACGATTCTGTATGCTTCACGCGGCGCGCTGTACGTTGCTGACCCATCTGCGCTGGTCAATGTGTGTAGAGATGCTTGGGGAGGCTCGCTCATGACCAGGAGAGCCATGATGAAGATCAGTGTCCGATAAACGTTCAGCGAAACAGAGTTCGCGTCAGTGTAAAGGATTTTATATTGACGAGGCCGTGCCAAGAGCCCTTAGCGCAAGGCTGTGAGGACAAAGGAGATGATAAGAAGAACATCCGCCTCAAGTTAATTCATCCCGAACCGGACGGGAGAAGGGAGTATGTTCCTTGTGGATTGATATAGTCGAAGGCGGAGAACAGCAATCATTTATGTACTCGAATTCTAAGCAAAAAGCCGCCCGGGTATCAAAAGGTGAAGCCAATTAACCAGGCAGTGCCCTCATTACACCTTCAAAGGCCACCAACGCCATCGCGTTCGCAGGGAACGCCCTCAGAAAGCACGGCACGAAGCCCCTCCAATACCCTCTCCATCCAGACTCTCTATACACAGCAACAGCGGCATCCTTCCAGTGTCTAAAGCGAGGAGTGCCGTCGTTGAGCGCGCCTCCCAGTGGGTCCGTCATGATGCGTTGCTTGACCACGTCTGAGGGGTAGGAGGTCAGCCAGAAGACTTGCGCAGACATCCCACCTGCCCAGAAATTGATTGCAGGGGTGGAAAGAGAAGTGTGTTTCTTGAACCACGTCGTCAGGAGGTCGTAGCTGCCCCACCAAAAGAAGAAGAACGAGCGGAAGATTAATGTTGAGAAGAGGCCGTGATACAAGCCAGCAACGCCGTGGGAACGGAGAATCTTTCTCGTGCAGTCTATAGGACCGCTGTACAGCCTGTCCTTCTTCTTCGCAGCGTATTGAATCTGTAATCTTGCCTTGACATGTTCAACGGGCGCAGCGATAAAGGAAACGGTAGCACCTGCCATGGTTCCTGCAATCCCATGCCCAAAAGCAGGCAACTTCTCGTTCGCAAGCTCTGAGGCGCTCTTGCCGCGCCGGAAAGACGGGTTGGCAAATATATTTTCATGTAACAGCCTCCGGTAAACTGTCAAGCTCCCCAACATGACAGAGTCCATGGCCATCCATCCTAACAGCGGTGGAGTTGCGCCCTTGTAAATTCCTGCAATCCCCTCTCTTCTCAGTGTCTGCAACAGGCAGTCCAGCGGCCCTTTGAATTGTGATTTCTGTGAGGTCTGCAAGCGAACCTTGACTGTGTCGAAAGGGTGACCGACGGAGAGTTTTGCTATGCCCGAGAAGACGCCTGCGACGAAGCCTTTGTAGTTCTTTGCGAACGATTTTGCTCTCGAGTCCTCATTGGCGGCTTGCTCGGGATGGCGCAAGACTTTGGGTACGGTTCCTTTGTGATCATCTTGGGTTCTAAGTCATGGTGAGCACGCGTATAGAACGACGAACTGGGGATGAGGTTGTTCACCGGTTCATACCTGCTAAATGCTTCTGACATGCTGGTGGAGGGACTGCCTGCGGGCTCCGCTGGCTACCGACTTCAGAGAGTCGCAGGCGCGATCGCAACCATTATTAAAGTGATTCAGCTTACCTGGACCCCACAAACAGGCATAACAATCAAGGAGTGTCTGCGATCACATTCTTACGAGAGAGGGGGAGAGAGCAGGAGATGGAGAAGTGGTGGTCGGGGACGGTTTAGCCTCCCCGACAGGCTTGGTGACGTTGTGGATCTGAATCGCAGGCCAACAGTGGGCTCCCATGGAAAGAATAATTTGGGGCGTGCCTAATAAAAAGCTTGCTTGTAGCCATCCCTACTTGACCCGCGGTTCTGGTGCCAACAGATCGCCACCATGTAGGACCTCCCTTCACTGTAACTGGGCATCCCGCTCGGTTACTACCATCCATATATCTCCAGACTTGGGACTCTATACCTAGCAGGTCGAACTGCGAACCCCCGTGCACAGCGACGATGGAGAAACCCACAAACGGGAGTGCGCCCACCAAAGTGTGGACCACGCTCATCACGAACACTCAGTACCTCTCGGGCCTCCTCACGCTCGAGTATTCCTTGAAGAAAGTTGGCTCGCAATATCCTCTCGTCGCACTTTACACTGATACGTTTCCTCCCGAAGGCCTGCAAGCCCTCGAAAGGAGAGGCATACCGGCGAAACACATTCCTTATCTCCTGCCGTCCGTCCCCAAGGAGTACGCCAACGATCCGCGTTTCTACGACTGCTGGAGCAAATTAACTCCCTTCAGCCTCACCGAGTATGAGAGGGTGGTACAACTGGACAGCGACATGATGGTCTTGAAGAACATGGATGAACTGATGGAGCTGGAGCTGGACCCGCCTGAGATGAATGGCGAGGGAAACAGGGTATACGCTGCCAGTCATGCTTGCGCGTGTAATCCCTTGAACAAGCCGCACTATCCGAGACATTGGATACCGGAGAACTGCGGATTCACTTCCCAGCATACTACACCAGACGATGCTCAGATTCATGGGCCACCTCCCACCGCGGGGATAGGGTCCCCCAATGGCGGGCTAGTCGTGTGCAACCCCAGCCAAGCCATCTACAACAAGATCCTCGACGCCATGAAAAACGGCGACTTGACCTCAAGCTACGACTTCGCCGATCAGAGCTTGCTGGGTGACCGATTTTATGGTCGCTGGGTCGGACTGCCGTACATCTACAACGCTCTGAAGACGTTGAGGTGGAAAGGAGTTCATGACGCCATCTGGCGCGACGATCAGGTCAAGAATGTCCATTTCATCCTGAGTCCAAAGCCTTGGGATGAGAAATTCGAAGATATCCAGGACGAAACGCACAGGTGGTGGCACCGCATAAACGACGAGCGGTTGGCGCGTGAAAAGTCCCATGAGATCAGTGATGGGTTTTAGCGCAAGTGAGGCTGTTGGTAAGGTGCGAGGTACCAGTAATTAATGGGTATTTAGACGTTGAGCGCAACGCGCAAAATAGAGGCTGATAGACAGATAGACAGATATTACGGATTTAAATGCTGATAGCTGGCAGCGGCACCACAGCAGCGCCTCTTTGTTGTTCACTTTTCATCCTTTCAAAAAGCACCACTGCAGCAGCCTCACAACCCGGGTTCGTCTCTCTATGCAGCTTTCGCAGTGAGTCGATGATCGAATTGTTTGTGTCAGCCGCACTAGACCCAAATCCCGATTGCAGAAGAGAGAAATAAGCGGTGTTCAGCAAGAGAAATGCCCACTGCAGGTTTTCTTGGTTCTCCGTGGGACCATTTCTCAGCTCGCTCATCGACCACCATGTCATGATCGAGCTCAACGAAGGGACATGGACCTTTCCAATGGTGTCATTGATCGAAGTGAACGCCTTCCGATCAACGCTCCATCTAGGCTGTCTCATGATGGCTCGAACAAGCCACGCCGTTGGAGCAGCCAAGCCGTTCATTGTGCAGCAGAAAGCAACGCACATTCCAACATCGGTCGATGCCAAACCTTCCTGCACGAGGATGCCGGACGTAAAATATATCACGACAGCGTGGGAAGCGCCTCCTTGCTCGCTCCTCCCGACCCATAACTTCATATCGGTTACATTCAGGATCCATCGCAGCAGATGCTGATCCTTCGAACACAGCGCAGCGGCATGCCAGGCAATGCTCTCAGCGGGGATTGGAGTGGATATAGTCATGTCTGGCGAATAGATCCGCAAGTCGAGACACCTGACGACGGCTTGCGGTCGAGTGTCCACTTCTGTCGCATTTTGGACGGTTATCAGGCCAGTGCTACAACATCTCCAGTCCACTCTTGCTTCACCATATTGACCCGTTCCTGCTCGGAATTGTACTGGCCTGCTTTTCGTAAGACTACGAGCGAAGGCGGCAGCGATGCAGATAACAAGCTCGCATACACCAAGCCACCAGCTGGAGGAGCGAAGCCCAAGGTAATGGCAGAGGAAGCTCATCGTTAAGCAAATCCCAATTGCGTCAGCTTTGATGCAATCCCAGCTGGTCAGAGGCTTCAGCCAAACCGCTTCGAATGCCTGTCTTCCACCGTTGACAGCAGTTAGAAATTCTGCTCCCACCTTGCTGTCAGACTGCGCGGCTATCACAAGGCCATCCTTCCATGTCTGCGACAGTGGTGCATGTCTTGGTCGAAGCGGTATGGAATGACTAGAGTGGTAGATATTCCGAGCAGCAAGAGTGACGAACGTGACAATTCCAATATATCCTATAATAGTTAGGATCCAGCCAGTCGAAAGTCGCCACACAAGGCTGAACCTTAGCTCAATCAAGTAGAAGGCCAGAATTGTCAACGTCGAGCTCAGTCCGATGAGAGACGACATCTTTCGTGAGGTAAGATTGGCAGTGGAGTACTCTGAGACAGCATCAAAGGTGATGGCGAAGGAGATCTTTCCTGCTCCGCTTACAGCAACTCTCATACTTGCTGCACTTTTGTTGTGTTGAGGCGGCATATTTGCAGTTGGCAGATTCAGTGTATGTTGCAACCAGCCTCTCAGAGTTTCGGATTTCTGATCGAGGAGATTCACTTGCAACGCGGCTGCCAGTATTTCCAGCAACCGATCCTTGATGTCGTTCTTTTCCTGGTCAGCGACCAGTATCTGCGAGCACCATCTTAGTCTGGCGGCTGTTGTAGGAACATGCAGCCGAATCTTTGCTGCTTCATAGGTATGACAAGACTGGAGCTGAATTGTGACATCTCTGATAGTGTCCTCTGAGATGGTTGATTGCAGAATAGACACCCCCACGGCCCGAGCATGAAAAGCCGACGTAGCTGCAGTTGTTCGCACCAGATAGCCGTCCACCAATTCGGGATGAATGCCATTACAGTTGACACGAGACATCTCCAAGGCGGCAACACTCCGAGATTCCTGCTCGTATCCCAGAAACGAGCGGATCCGGTGACTGCCAGACATTCGAAAAAGGCTGGTGACGATGGAGACGAGCCCCAGGGGCGCGGCCGCAAGGCTGAAGGCTCCGCTAATGCCCCTGATATCTCGCAACAGTTGTTTGGTACTTCGTTCGCCGATGAGTAGAATCAGAGGCCCAACATCCGAAAGCGCAGTAGCCCACGCGTCGTAACTTGAATCGACGGAGCCGCCGATGGGAAGTCCCCAGACTCTGCCAATCAAAAGGTAGACGTAAAGGACGGAGTCAGAAAACATGTCGGCCGCATCTGTGTCATTGGCCCATTGGTGGAATATGAGGGAAATGCTCCAAAGTCTTTCTCTCTTTCGTTCTCCATCGCCCGACCGTGAAATATTTTCGAGACTGGTGAGGCTGAAGGGTTTCAAAAGCGAAGGCCAGGGGCCAAGGACGGTGTCGGATCTCGCTACACAAATCGAACAACACCAGAAGAATCAGGGACATGGGATGATTGGATAGCGATTTACTCACCGAATCAACGTACTGCCTGCATCTTGATTTGGCACACAGCTTCGATTGGTTGCTGCAGATCAGTTGCTCTGGGCTCACCAACAACTGACAAAATGCCCGTTGAGGTTGGGTGGCGAATGTAGGCAGACAACAAGGAGGCGGGCTTCAGAGCACGGATAACGATCTACATCCACAGAGAGCCGAGAGTCCCATCGGACGGAGACACAGCATTGCCAGGCTTGTGGGTGACATGAATCACCTTATTCACGATTCGAGATCTAGCAGCTTCGGCCTGTCACTCCCGTCGTTTTTGCCCAACTCGGTCAACTCGCGCCCGTCTGAGAGCACACGACACCGCAGTCCCATGCACGGTTGACACATCCTCACCGAAAGGCTTCTCGATGAACCCGAGGGGCTTCGTCTTCCTCTTTCCCACGAACACGAGTTCGATGGAAATGCACCGCATGGCACTCATCTGACCTGACGTTCCCTCTGATTCTGCAGCTAGGCTGATATTTCCTCACACCCACCCAACCAGCAATTTTCTCGAGCAAAACCGACTGCTAGATGGTCAGAAGAGTGTCGGGTTACTAACGAACCTTGCCGTTGCATCCGCGGGCTCTTCCTCCTCGTCGAGCAATGAGTGCCCAGCTGAAGTCTACAGCCATGCCTAGTCGTCCCGGCGCAGGGCCCAAAGCTCAAGAGGAGGCTTCTAAGTGACTGGTTGAAGGCATTCTTCGGACCACGCGCGAGGGAGAAAAGATCAGGAAAGAGGAGGTGCTGGGCAGCGGATGAGGCGTTCGAAACCAATGGTCGTGCCGCTTCACCTCCACCTACGAGTACGTCCTTCCATCAGTCCATCGGAATCTGCGGTCATGAGTCGATGCCGATGAGCACCCCACGCCTAGATCCTCTCCCGCCAACGATCTTCTCCTGACGAGCGGCAGAAATATCACAAATCCAGACTGCCCGAGGAAATTCTCGAAGCATCAGTGGCTAGAATTAAAGGCACGGTCAGCTTTTTTTGCTCAATTTTTCCCACTCCAATGGCTCGGTGCAACGTGGAAGGACAGACTGCGAATGATGACTGCGACGGCGCAGCTCATGGTGCCAGATTATTGTGAAAGGACTCTCGCAACTGGGCTTCCCGGTCTGCAGTCTCTCCCAATTCGCAGCCCCAAGATCAGCATCACCGCCCAATGTCAGCTACAGTTGCCAGTGGGGCGCAGGCCAGAAAGCAATGAGACCTGCAGTCTGGCAAAATGGATCAACGAGGCAAAAAGATGGTTTGACCTACTTGCTAGAACGGGCACCGCAAGGACAGCCGACTGAGGCAATTGGGGCGGGCGCCACCGACATGAAACCACCTGTGACAGGGCGAGGAACCGTCGCATCGGCCAGTCAGCGGCGGCCTGTAGCCGACCATCTCTCACACTGGCCCGTTTCCCCTGCCTCCTCGGGCGTTGAGGGCCGCAGTCCCGTTCCACAAGGTGCCTGCATTGGCCCAAGCACCAATCCAAAAATGCCGAAGATGGGCTCCTACTCAGCACCGTCGCATGCACCTCGACCGCCCGCTCGAGCCCGGCTTCCTAGCTACAACATTGTTCGAGCCATGCGTTTTCTTCGCATACGTCGTCCTTCGCACGCCGAATCTGAGGCGAGATGGAGAGGGATTCTGCATCATGCAGCTGGACCGAAGTCCTCCCTGAGAAAGTCAAGCTAGTCCGCCTCTTCAAGCCCTGACCTCCTCGTTTTTCGCGCAATTCTGGCATGAGGATATCACCACCTTGCCGTCACAAGCCCTTTCCTTTGCCCATCACACTCCCATCACTTCAAACCGCGGTTACCAACAAATTTGCAAAGCTCACAAATTCATTTCTGGTCTCTTGTCAAGACTATTTCTTCTTCTTATGCACGTTTCCTTTCTCCGACGTGAGACAGAATCTGTCATCCATGAAGTGCAACAGCGAGAATAACAAAACCGACGGGGTCTCGAAAGTATCTCGACGTCACGCCTAGCATCTATTAAGACCTGCCTGTGTGACCTCTTGTGCTTCTCTTGAGTCCCGCCATTGCAGTGTACATTGAGCGTGCACTTGTTCTGAACGTTCACACAGACGCCTCACCGCTTCTCTCGTACCTGAGCCCTTCTTCTGTGCCTGATTTTGTGAAGCAATACTCTTGCACCACCCTCTGTGAACTGGGCAATCGGTGCATAAAGATTTGACCTGCTCCACGCTACGCAGCACAGAGGCGAAGATCACTCGGTCATCCAAGAGCACATTTCCAGCCTCCAAATACACCTTTCAGTCAACTCAAAGCCATGTGTGTGCGTACGAAGACCTCGTACGGATGCGGATGCGAATACAAGACTACCGCCGAGTGCCACTCTTCCCGTTGTCCAGGTCTCGAAAGATATCATTACCCTAGGAGTGGTGACTGCCGCACCTGCAAAGAAGCGGGCACTGCAGTAACACGAGGGCGAGATGGCAAAGGCAGATATGGGCAAGAAATCAACAGGCGAAGACACTCGAGGGAAGATGAGGAAGCCTCCATTGACGACCTAGGCACCGCTGATGTTGGTGATGGGATCAGTCCGTGGGCGCCTCCATCATCGCGAGAAAAGGAATGGTGCAGCCATTCCAGGAAAAAGGCAGATGATGCTTGGTTGCAGGAGCATGCAGAGCGAAACCATGACCTGCAAAGTATCCGCGACTCTCTACCGGAATATCCGCCTTCTGGCTGTGGATCTCCCGTCGCCGACTCTTGTCCTCGACGACATGCACGCGTCTACTTGGTCGATGACGATGTTCACTACGATCGTGGGGACAGCTACGAGAGACGTCATCGGCGCGAGGAATCGGGCAAGAGTCTTCCTGTCGAAATACGCAGCAGAAACGTCTACCGCCGGCGAAGACAAGACAGCCAAGACAGTTTTGACAGCATGCGCAGCTCACGCTCGTCGGCCCGAAAGCATACTCCTGCTCTCACAACCTACACGTCGTACGAGTACAATGATGTCCACGATTCCGGATATGGCTCATATGGCTCTCGAGCATCCAATGGATATCGAGGAGCAAAGACGGAGCCCTACGCCTATCCACCATCACCACCCCCTCGAGTCGTGAGCATCAAATCACCCTCACCTCATTCTTATCCCGCCTACGGAACCGGCCCGGTCAATATTGTAACACGGGCTCCGACATATGGGTACAGCGCTCCCAGATACTGATTCGGCAGGAACGAAGATTCTATGTTGTTTGCAGCAAGGCATTTTCCCAGGCGTTTTGAGCCCAAGGCAAGGCTGCACAAGGCATTACATGGTCTCTGCATTGATGCAGGCAACGGAGCATCAAGCACTTTCCTTCTGTCAACTGCATGACGACACCTACCGTGTCTACAAGCTTGTTCCAGTCAAGAGATATACAAATTTCAGCAATGCAATGCCAAGATGCTAATCAGCGGGCATCTGCTGTGTGGCTCCAGGAGAGTTGTTTATCCATCTAACGTTTACGGGGCGAAGGCCTCCAGGTTGTTATTGGTCCAGGGTGAGACACGGGTGTCTCAGATGTATGATTGTTACAGTGTGGTTCAAGGATATCAATGAAGCGAATGAGTGAACGACGGCGGACGACTCGGACTCTATCAGGATGTTTGAGCTAACGATAAAGGAGACGGCGTCTGAGAAGATCCCAAGGGGGAGGCACGGCTACCGCAAGAGGAGGAACTTGGGCGGCCATAGTCAGTACTTCTATCTAGTTTGGGAGAGGTACTTTGTGACTTGTATCTATTATATTTCCTCAACTACGTTGTCACGGTCTTTGGGAATCGGGCCCGTTGTTCGCTCTGAATTCCATGCTTTTTCCCATGGTCGCCGTGATGCTGTGTTTTGTATGCTGGAGGTGATGCTTAAGCAAACCTGGAGGAGGCGTTCACTTCTAGGCTTGCTTTCTTCATTCATAGAGCCCTGACACACCGGCCAAACTTCGATATAGCGTACCTGAGTGCCCATGAGCACTACGTAAACACGCGTAGCACATCGTAGGGAGCGGGCTGGAAGTACCGAGTACCCAACGATGCGCTCAGCTGTGGCTTGCGGCGAACTTGTTCAGGTCGCTGGGAATGTCTGCATGTCCTCTCACCAACCCTTGGTGGATGTGTGTCTAGCTAACTATTAGCTAGCTGAGCGATACGGCGGGCACCGAACTCGGCTGCCCAACTACCCTAGATAGTAACCAGCTGGATGCCCAGTGAAGTAGCTAAGGGCGCCAGTAGCTGCGATGAGCAAAACCTTGAGCAGAGGCTGCGCATTTCGCATCGCCCGCCCATCCAGTCGGCAATAATTCTCTGTAGATATCGTGGTCGCATCTCGCGTTTACTTCCCCGTTGAAGCAAGGCAGTAATATTCGGCATCTCGTACTTTGTGATCTCGTCCTACTGCCTCTGTTGGGTACTGTATGTGCCCGTCCTCCTCTGCGCTGCGGGTTCGACCCAGCTACACTCCTCGATCCGAGCGCAAGTGCTCTGTACCTTTCTCATTCTGGTCTGCAACGGGGTTCCTTTTCCGCGTGCTTGATGCGGGTCTTCGAGTCGACCTCAGGGAACTATCCACGTCTACTTCATGCCTCGAGAGAAGTAAGGGCGTCTCAGACTTATCGACGAGATGGACAATCTAAATAACATGGACGGCGCATATAATATTAATTGAACTCTCTGTATTTGATTATCACGTACTCGGCACCTGCTCAAGACTCAGCTCCTCCCGCATTATCTGTCTCTCCATTACTGTCTGCTGCGAAAGCTCGCAATGTAGCATCCTGAATTATCCCCCTGCCCCTTCAGCTCAAAATTAGACGACACCGGATGTGAATTTTCGCAACGTATTCTGACCGCTTCCCTGCGGAATTTTCCATCTGCCTCTGGCCGTGCAGTCGCTATCAGATCCAAGCACTCCTCAGAGCTCTGCACGCTGCTCACGCGGCACAAAGCACGAAGCAAGCGGAAATAGACCCTCGACCTGCCTTTGCTTCGAACAGTCCTCGCCGTACCGGAAACCCACTTGCTCACCCACATACTCGATCATCAGTGCACGCCACAGATGTTCTCGGCTGGTGCTCGTTGGAGGCCTAGCAGAACTCTTTCTCCGACACTATAGCCTTCTCGTTCTCGTACTCACTCCCTCTCAACGTGCTCGAGTCACCCACACAATCACTGTCCTTTTCTTTCGTCGGGCCTTGCTTCTTCATGGCAGCCTTCAGCTTCGCACAGTTCCAGCGCTCCGTCTTCTCGAGCTTTGCCACTCGATCCTTGCGTTCCTGCGCGAATTTCGCGGTCCAGTCGATTTTCTTCATCTTGCCATTCTTCTCGATGGCCACGTCACCCGACGGAACCCACTCTGCGGCTTTGCCCATGGAAGCGATGTCGCCGAGTTTGGCGACACCGTGGCCTACCGTTTTGAGGGCGAGGCCAACTCCCGAGATCGCAGAGCCAGCGGTACGCAGCGGGAACTTGGCAATTCGGAGGCGACGAGACTCCTTGACTTGAACCATCGGCATGCGGGGAAGAGCTTTGACATCTCCCGGTTTGAGGGCGAGCACCCAATCCCAAGTGAACTGCGAAGTGGCGCCGCGGTATTGGAAGTAGAAATTTCCCTGCACAGCGCTTGTTAGTACTACGGTTTGAATAGAGTGATGGGAACAGTTGAAAAGGGGTCATAGGCATTTTTACCATGCCGGACTTGTCAGCCACAGTCCACTGCAGACGCTGAGTATTCGGAACGACGACTGGCTTCGTGACGATGACAACCACGAACTGGATCTTGGCATCCTTTGGGTGACTCTTGGTATCAGCAATCGGGCAGTATTTGTAGTCTCCGAAGTTCTGCTTGTCGACGGCCTGGAGTTTGGCCTTGGGGATGAGGTGAACATGCTCGGTTGGGGACAGCACGGTGACTGAAGCGTGGCAGATAAAGTAAGTCTAGGGTCAAGATGCATGTAAAGAATCATCTGTAATAGCGAAAGAGGAAGAAGGAGCCGCGGGAAGGTCCATACATAGCCATTGGTAGATGCTTTGGGCGACTTCCTTGACGGTCATGTTCGTAATACCCAGTTCAAGATGATTTGGTCCCCACTTCGCTTGCTCCTTCTCCTTTGTACCATTTTGAAGATACAGATTCACACTGGCAAAGTTGCGTCCGCCCTTGATAGCCTGCTCGCGGAACTTCTTGGCGGTCTCGAGCTTGTCAGTGGTCTTGGAGTCTGCAAGATGCTCGGTGATGAGGAACACGTTCTGGCCAGCGCCAAAGGTGGCGTCGTCTTTGAGACTATCAAGACAGTAACCCAGCTTCTCAGTTTCTGATTCTTCAGTCGCGGAGAGGTTCTCGTCGGGTTTGATGTGGCCGGACATGATACACTCGCCGATCATGTCTTTGAGACTGGCGGCATGGGGAGTGTTGGTTGTCGGGTCATTGACATAGATCCATGGATGTCTGGACAGAGGAGGAGGAGTGGTGAGGCTCAAGAATCTGTTTGATTTCTTGCCCATCTTGGTCGAGGTTCTCGTGGGTCGGAGAGCGATGGAGGGGCAGAGAGGAATGGTTCACAGGCGGGCAGTGTGGGATAGGTGTGGTTGGTAGAGCAATGTGCTGGGATAACGACAGAATCGAAATGTGCTCAAGTAGCCAAGGTGAGCTCAACACACCTGTCACTGCCTGAGATCAAGCCCTTCACACAACGAGAGAGGAAGAAGTGAAGGTGAAGGTGAGGCGAGGTGGTCAACCAAGTGAGGGAACACTAAGGTTGACTCTTCACAGGATTCAAGGAGGGGTAGCCTGGTTGGTCGAGATGCCAATTGTGTCTTGGTGGGACACTGGCGGTGACTGACCTTGGGAACCAGGCAAGGCTGAAAATCATCCGTCAATCATCCGTCAATCATTGCCCGGAAGACGACACAAGAGGGCTGCATTGCGATATTAGCACATTGGAAGCATGGGAAGGTTAAGGCTACGCGGATCACCACATCCTTGTACCACGGCCTTGTCAGGCAGACTCCAGAGTCTCGTCTCCATGAGGCACCCGCACGTCCAAGCTTCCTCAGCCGCCCTCCTCTTCTCTGTCATAATCCAGAGCACCTTTGTGCATTCGCCGGAGCTAGGTCCGCCAGTTGACCAGGTCCAATAGGAACAGATCTGCAAGCTCTGAGGATGTGCCAAAAGCAGCTCTGCGAGAAGCCAAGGTTTGGCGTGAACCGGTTAGAAATTCAGTAGCTCGCCAGGGCTTCCACATCACCTAACGAGCCAACCATCTGTTGCCTGGCCGCGGCATCCCTTCCTGCTATTTGATTCGCCCGTTCTCCAACCACACAGTTGCACGTTCGTGGCCATGCAGATGCAAGGCAACTCCTCTCCAGACGCCCGGGTTGGGACAAGAAAAAGCAGGCTTTCCCACCTTGTACGGCCGATACGATAAGCAAGAAAGCTATCGTCCATCGCGTGCCTCTCAGTCAAATGGTATTGGGCGGAGTGCGCCCGACATACCCATCCGCTTTCTCATTTCCTCACCTGCCGCTACCGTGCTGGGCACCTTGATACCACAGCAGTCGCCCCAGTAGTCAGGCTCGTGTCCAAACTCCTTCACATGCTGCATTCTCTCCGCCTGAGCCCGCAGGGTCTCCTCGTCTAGTTGGCCCATGTCCTCAGTGCCAGGTATTAGGCCACCAAACAGAAAGTGCTGCATGATGGGCAACTTGCCCAGGACTTCCTTGGCAAACATTTTCCTCATGCCGTCTTCCACCTTTTGCCAGCTCTTTGCGCCCGAGATATCGTCTAGCATGGGGCTATGCCAACGCAGTCCCTTGACAGTCTTGACACTATCCACCCACCGGACTTGGTTGAGGTAGATGTAATCGTCGCCCTCCTCGTCCAGAACAACATTGTTGTGGATCGACCTGGGCGTAATATAAGGATGCCCGACGAGCTGGCTTGCCCCGAACAAAAAGGGCAAGAATTGGTAGTCGTCGAGCCCCCAGACTCCATGGCTCCCTGCAGGCTCCAAGTAATATGTGCTCTGGATCTTCCGCATGAGGTTGAGGTATCGGACGAAAGTGTGCATTACGATCGCAGGAAAGTCTTCTCGTTCGATCTGCTTCAGCTGGTACAGACAGAGCAGCCACATCATGAAATTCAGCTCGTGACCAGACCCGTAATCAAGCCGCTCCTCGGAACCGAACGAATTGATCAAATAGACAGAGATCTCTTTGATGGCATCCTCATTGTGCAGCCCCAGCAGCTCCTTGTGTATTCGGTCCACATCTCTTACAATGGCTTTGTGCAAACTGCGGAAGACTGGATTGCCAAATCTCGATCCCGTGTCGAGAGGAGGATATTGTTTTAACATTCCTTCCAAAGTGTCAAGGACTGAATCAAGTTTCTTGATTGTGGTCGACAAATGATGAGTGTCCAACGAGGAAATTCGACGGCCGCGGACGCAGTCGGCGAGGGTAAAGATCCATGCTAGTATCAGCACGTAGGTTGGCGAGGCTAGGAACTTCTCATGGTCACCCGGTGATAGAATTCGCTTGACTGGCGTCGTGAAGTGTACAGATTCGATCGACGGAGGAGCAGGTAGGCTAGGTGTCTGGGGAGCAGGGTCGGATGGGCTGGGTTGCTGAGAAGACTTTCTTCGCGAGCTAGGAATCAACTTGGGAATTGTATAAGATGTCTTTCCACTCCGGGCGTCGGCATCGACGCTGGTTTGGTTGATTGATTGTTCGGGTGCCATGGTGCTAAGGCGTTTGTTATAAAAGTCTCGTCAGAAACTGTGTCTCTGAAGTTTGCTTTTTGAAGATGTGCTACATCATCGGAAGGGTAAATTGTAGCTGGTGGCGTGAGAGTAGGCACTCGAAGCGGCTGGACCGCATTCCGGTGCTCAAGGATGCTCTTTTCCGCCACTGCTTCTCTCGCTGGCTACCCCGCGTCGCTGCTGGCCAATTATTAGCCCGCCTGAAGAAGTTCGAATTCTTTCCCTTGGGGCTGCCCATCTTTGTCTTCTCTTGTATGAAACGAGGATATCAATGGAACCTCCAAGTACCTGAATGGAGTATGTCGATAATTCACAACATATCCACACTCATGAGATTTCTATGAAACCTGTCTACCCTTGTAAGCGATGCTGCCAAGTTCCAGCAAATGTTGGAAGCAATGGCCATCGATCGATGCCGTTAACCTCTGATGACCATTACAACCTTGCGCGGAGCTGGTTCTGAGCTGACCGCTTCCAGTATCTATCTTTCAGCTGTATCACCTCGAACCCCAGTTCAGCCCATTTCTCATCCCAAGGGGGCAGTTCGTATGCAGAGGTGTTTACTGCCGGAGGCCCTGCAAGATCGCAAAGGAATCCATAATACTCACTCCAATCGCCCTTGATCTCGTGGAAGTTGATTCCTGGCCCTTTGTATTGCAGTCTCTTTGTTTCCCAGAGATCCTGCTCATGGGGGGGAGCCAGTGATTTGGCCTCGCGCCCCGCAAAATAGCGAGCCACTGCAACAGCCTGGTACTCATACACGCGAAAACTGATGCCAGCTTTGAGCTGTCCGATGATGGTAAGGGATGGATCCCCAATTTTGAACAAATGTTGGTAAAATCCTGCTAGGCGATTGTTGGGTGTCACCGGGTCTGGCGAGAGGAAGGGGTACGACAGCCTGTATCCTGTGGCGAAAATCACTTTCTCGATTCCCGAAACTCGGGTGCCGTCATCGAACTCGACGGTGATTCCTGCAGGTGTCGACTTGATTTCGTTCAGCGTTGGCTTGATCACCACGTTGGGCAATTCGAAGGCAGGTTTGAAGAACTCATTGCTGCCGCGCTGCGCAAGATACAACGGTCCGTTGACTGTGCCCTGAATGTCCGAGACAATGTCGGCAGCGGAGACGTTTCCTCCTACCATAACCACCTTCTTCCCCACATAATCATCTGGCGAGCGATATGCTTTCGAATGCTCGAATGCTTCAGGTCGTGCCGCATATGCATCCCTCAGCCCAGGAATTTCAGGGACGGTGGGGATGTTGTAATGCCCTGTCGCCACAATAACACTGTCGAATGTATCTTGCCACCAATATTCATGGGGCTGGCCGTGCGAGAGGTGATCAGATCGTCGTAGCGTCAAAACCCACTTCCCATCCACTTTCTCAACCCTTTCGACGCTGGTGTTAAAGGAAACAAGGTGATAATAATCCCGAAACACATCTTCCAGATAACCGGCAACCGTCCTGAAAGGCCGAGTTGGATTGTCACGACCATATCGCTCGATAGAGATGGCTGAGTTCAGCTCAGGCAGTGGAGTGTGGGTAAAAGCCATGACTTTCGCACCGACATTACTGTCGAGACCACCATACACGGCTGTCCGAGCGCTGGTGTCTTCAGAAGACAATGGGGCTTGATGCGGGAAGCGTGAAGGGATAGAGCGCTTCAATTGACCATTCAGACCCGTCGAGAAGGGATCTGGCACAGGGTCATAGTTCCAGGTGCCGCCAACTCGGTCTCGTCGTTCAAACACTCGGATTCTGTCAAAGATGTTCTCATCGGACAAGGCTCTGACCGCAGAAATGCCCGAAGGCCCAGTGCCAATGACAGCGACAGTTCTGTATCTAGCAGACATCTCTTTGACCAGTCGATCTGCGCTAGATTGCAAGTATAGTGGAAGCAACGCCCGCAGGAACGGCTGGTTGACTCAACTGAGACTTGTGTTGAGAGTTACACCTAAATATGTCGCACTCAGCACGAATTCATTGTCAATTGGTATTACAAATTACTACTCCACAGTGTCGACATCAAAGAGAGCGCTTTACCGTACACCATCCTTTGGATTGAGTCGTTCAGGAGTATAGAACGAATCATAACTCCCTTTCACATAGGTCTTATCGCAGATACGGAAAACTCAACACATGTTCAATGGCGTGATTCTAGATGCGGATGAGGCGTGCGTCCGCTGTCAGGCTCCGCTCCATCTTCGAAGGAAATCAGCCTTTTCTGTGTTGGAAAGTCGAAACAAGTCAGTCATAATGACGGAGTTCATATGAACAAGACAAGAATCCAGGTTCGGGAGGGTGGAAACAGGACTCCGGTTTTGAAGCTTTGTGGCTCCAGATATATATTCGTATTTCTATAGTCTGCTTTCTCGCACAACCGTATCATCACGTCCTATGTGGGCTGCGACCACTCCAGCGAACGCCCTTTCGACGTCGTGTTCGCTCAACCAGGTAGTGCTGGCCCGATTGAGCATCTTTCGCCGCAGCTCCTCATCTGTCTGTGGTGGTGTTTCGTTCATGCTGGAATGGACGCTGCGCAAGAGTCTGTCTGTGTGTGGCCGTCTCGCCTCTTCGTACAATTCCAAAGCCGTCTGTAGTTGGGAGTTTGAGGGCTTCGAGCTCTGCCATTCGGGAATCGTATGCCTCAGGGACAGGAAAAGCGCATAGGCATCATCAAGGGCAAGTGAGCCCCCCGTCGCGTGGGCCCCGCCATGGGCGTGTGCCGCATCGCCAACAAGTGTAGCGCGTGAGCCGAACACCCAGGTCGTTATCGCCTGACCCGCATAGTTGGGGAACCGTCGGACGTTTGGTGTTGCTTCAGTAAGAGCACGAACAACAGGGTTCCAGTCCCGATAGAGCTCGCGGAACAGTTCAACAGAGCCCACGTCGTTCCAAATTCCTATTCCACTATCATGGCCTTTGGGGAGATTGGCCGGATTGTACATACCAACCACGGTGAATTGATTCCGACCCAGCCTTGAAGCGAAGAAATTGCGATCTTGTCCCCACCAGTGAGTTGAGTCAAAAGGGAGGTCTGGGATATGTTCGACCAAAGACATGTCAAATGTTGCTCGTAAAGCAGTCCGGTTCGTGTAGCTTAGTTCAAAGTGAGGGACAAAGGCCTTTCGGACCTTCGAGTTGATGCCATCAGCTCCGACCAAGAGATCTCCCACTGCTGTTGTACCATCCTGGAACTCCAAGCTCACGGTGTGGTCCTCGACCTTGGCTCCAATGACTTTCTTGTCCAAATGAATCAGTTCTCTGGGAACATGCTGCAGGAGAGCCTGGTGGAGGTGGGCTCGATGAAATCTGGCAGTCTGATGGCGTAGGTCGGAGACGGCCTCGAAATGGTCAACACTGACAATCTCATTCGTTTTCCAGTGCCTGCGCCTTGATTCAGCAACGACTGGGACCAACAGAAAGTGGTAGCAGAGATGAGATATGGAGTGGGTTTAGAGCCTAGACTTCTCCTTGGCGCTGTTTCGTTGTGACCTGCATGATTCACTCATGCACTCGGCAACGACAACAACACAATGGAATGTTTGACTAACCTGTAAATCATCGGTATCCCAGCTGGGCCCCGAAATGCCACTTCATCGTCAAGGGCATTGTTCACACCGAGTCTTTCCAGTGTGCGCAGACCCTGTCATGGATCAGCAAGGATCAAAACACCGACGGCCAAGACACCATTACATTCGGACTGAGGGCGATACTTGCGCCGATTTCTGTGAGTTCGAGAGACCGTTCGTACAGCTCCACGTCGACATAAGGAAGCTGTCTCAAGGCAATAGCCGTGGCGAGGCCAGCTATCCCCGCACCCGCAATAATAACCTTAAGCCGACCGTCCTCCATCCTCACAACTCGCGACGGTGCGACGAGGAGATGTCAATGACACCAAAGGCCTAGAAGCTCGACTCTTCAATGTCAGTCACTTTGGTTACAAGCGTCGGACATGTGCAAACCAAACTCAATACGATCGCACTGATGAAACCCCAACGGGCATATCCATGCCTGCGGATAATATCACGCATGGTACGCGAGATAATGCATCACGCAAAAAGCACTTGTATCACGCAAAGACATAGCTTCCCCTTGCTACTGGCTCACCAACCATTCTGCTGCTCCAGTAACCAGGATGCTCGACACCAGACTCATGGACAATCTCCTATCACGTGGCATCGGCAGGGTACGCCAGGAAGTTGGACACAATGGAACGAGCAGCGAGATCTTCTTCAAGAAGGCTAATGACGGGCTGAATTGCGAATACTGGATGACATTGACGCAACAGAAGACTAATCCTGGGAATGACGATCTTGCCCGCAAAGTACTCGTGTTAGATATGCTACCAAGGACGCTCCCCGCGGTCGCGGTCTCGGTCTCAAACTCTACGATGTCTTGTCGTTGTACCTCGCAAAAGTTGCAAGTGTGAAAAGGCTGGAAGCCTAGATACTGGTTTTTTTGCTTCCAATATATTGACAAGATGGAGGACCCCAAAGTTGTTGCTTCCAGCGACGTTGAACCAGTGGCGGAGACCAACTCTCCCAGACTCCCCGATCGGTACGCCGATGAAAGCTACAAGCTGTTCAGCAAGATCCAAGTCGAAGACCCAACACCAGAAGCGGCTCGGTCTATTCGCAATAAATGTCTGTGGAGGATTCTTCCCTTCCTGTGCGTCGGTTATCACTTGATGTACGTCGACAAACAAACGGTATGGACCAGTACCTGTCAATATTCGCCTCTCTATTTTCCGTGCCGTCTAACGACTTTTCTTGTGTAGCTTGGAAGCTCTGCGATCCTGGGCATTTTCAAAGATGCACATCTCAATTCTAACCAATACAATTGGCTGTCTTCGATATTCTACTTTGGATACCTGTTGGCGGAATGGCCGCAAAATCGTGCGCTACAACACTTCCCCGTGGGCAAGTGGCTTGCCTTCATGCTGATATTGTGGTATGAACCCCGTTCATGGGAGTGGAAAATATCTCACAGAAGACATTCGACAGGGGCGGGGTCACATTGTTACATATACCTTGCAACAACTTTGCATCACTCTTCGTCGTTCGGTTTTTCCTGGGTACTTGCGAGGCCTGCATAGTTCCTGCTTTTCTGCTCACAATGTCCATGTTCTTCACATACAGAGAACAGTCCATCTTAATGCCTATCATGTGGGCTTCGGGAAACTCTAGCCCTATCACTTCAGGTCTTATCTCGTACGGGGTCCTTTGGATCAAGACCGGAAGTTTCGCGCCATGGAAGTGGTTTATGGGTAAGTCCATCGTTCTGCCCTGGCGACTCTTGGACGCTGATACGCAAAGTCATCACGGGAGGAATCACTATCATTTTTGGGGTGATCGTGTGGTTTCGGTTTCCGGACAACACGTTGCAAGCCGACTTTCTTACGCTCCAAGAACGTGCTCAAGCCGTGCTTCGTATCAAGGAAAATCATTCAGGAATTGAACAGAAGTATTTCAAACGCCATCAATTCATCGAAGCGCTCAGAGATCCAAAGACATGGCTATTCTTCTTTCATGCCTGGTCACAGGAGATGGCGAACGGTGTTACAAACCAGTACTCGCTCATCATTAACTCATTCGGCTTCACAGTTCTCCAAACTACCCTTCTGGGCTGTGTTACTGGGTTGACGGCTCTGGTCTCGCTGCTGGCTGCAGCAGTGGTTTTATGGAAGACACATGTATGCTGTATCAGCACCGGCACGATCAAAATGGATTTTCGCTAACCAGTCTTTAGAACTGCCGCGCATGGGTTTCTGTGATTGCATACGTCCCCGGTGTTCTTGCCAGTGCTCTACTGATAGGTACATTGTTCGGACACTCGCACCTCTGCCGCTAACAGTGTCCACAAGGCTTGCCGTGGACCGATCGATGGGGCCTCATATGGGGTATCTGGATTCGTTCCACCACAGGAATCCCCTACGCTGTTGTTATGGTCTGGGCTGCAAATGCCTCCGCCGGACACACGAAAAAGACCACTGTAATCGCTCTTTATCATATTGGCTATGGGCTAGGGAACATTCTTTCACCGCAACTGTTTCAGCCAAGATGGAAGGTAACATAAACACTTGGATGAGCACTTTAGGGACGCGAACTGACCGTGATACAGCCGAGATATATTCCAACCTGGACTATAATCCTTGTCGTACGTTCGGCGAGCGGTTCTCGTGCATGGTAGCTAATCTAGAACGACCAGGTTGCCGTCATCCTTCCGTCCTTCATCATCTTATATCTCCGCTATTATCTCGTCAAGGAGAACAAGCGTCGAGACGCGCTAGTAGCAAGGGAGAGAGTCTCAAAAACGGGGGTCGTTGAGTCAATTACAGAGGAAGGTGTTACGGTTACACACTCGGTAGACAACAATCAGCTTGACCTGACAGACCGCGAAAACCTGACCTTGTGAGTCAAAGCCGGACGGGCGATAGTTGATCAGAGCAGATGCTGATATTTCGAGGCAGTCGTTATGTTCTCTAAGACGTCGGCTCAACCGGTAACAATCCGAGAAACCGGGCGGAAGCAAAGAGTTCAAACTGAAAACTCACAAGGAGTGAACAATTTAGCGATTCGCAACCTCATGCTGGACAGGAATACGCGTGGGACTGGGCGATAGACCTGCTCAGGGGGTTTCTCCAGCCCCACGCCATTCCCACTTCCTTCTGAGCGTTGCTGACTGCCACATTTTGACCTTTGAGACATACTACCCTGATATCCTGGACTTAATACGCGGTAAAGGTATGACATTGGGAATCGGAAGGGGCAACACATTCCTGCAGCTTTGGCTGGGTCCACATACCATACTGCTCGCGGTCACTCCCTTCTTTCTCTCATCTCTACAAGCAGTGAACATTGCTCATCTCCTTATTTCCATGTCTACAAAAGCAACTCTACTCTCTTAATATCTGTCCTTGTCGGTCTATACCCCCCTCCTGAGGGCTTCGGGCGTCTCCGGGCTCGACGAGGCTTGTTTCAGGCTACACATCTCAGTTCTCACCGAGCGCAAGTGCCCGTTCTTCTGCTTGCGATCCGTCATGGAGTCTAGTGTTCGCCAGAGGGAATCTATGAAAAACGTGTCGGCCAGAGCGATCGCAGCAGCATCCGAGGAGAAACAGTCGCCGCTTGCTACACCCAAAGATCCACTATTGATTAGTTGGGAAGATATCCCTGCATGGTCCAAAGACAATGAATTCAGTCACAGCGGGTTTTGTCCGATTACAAATTCATACCGGACATGCATACGAAATCTAGGTTACATACACAACGAGACAGGCAATGCCTACTCTCACCTCCTCGCATCTTTATGGGTGTTGCTACTTGCCGCTCGTTACTATGCTTGCTCGAAAGAGCACTACCCGCGAGCCAACAAAGATGATTTGATTGTGTTTGCATTCCTCTTCCTCGGGGGCGCGACTTGCTTCACAATGTCCGCAGTATTCCACCTTCTCTCGAAACATTCTCGTGCAATCTATGACTTGTGTCACAAGCTTGATCTGCTTGGTATCATCACTGTGACGAGCGGCTGTTTCCCACCTGGCTTATGGTATACATTTCCCTGCGCACCTAGACGAACGAGATTTGCCTGGATCGGAGTATGTTGTCACTCGTGAGTGAACGGATGCTAGAAAGGACGTCTGGAGCTGATAACTCATCCCACGCAAATCTGTCTGCTCAGATCCTTATGGCGGTTTTCGTCCTATTCTCTGAGCGACTTCGTACTCCGGCGTGGCGTCCGGTTCGAGGCCTACTTTTCAGCTTGATGGCTTTGTCAGCGTTTTATCCTTCAGTGGCTGTATATGCGGTAAGGGGAACCGGTGAATGTCTCGATGCAACGCCGACAAGAGTATGCTGATTCTTTTTCTGTGCAGAGTCGCTTTCCCGAAGCCTGGCGGCCAGGTCAGTTCGATAATGGGGACATTCTCATAAGATTTTTCATGTTGGCATGGCTGTCGGCTTCACCATCCACTGTATGGCTTTTATGAAAGCAGCTCATCAGTTTCATCACGGAAACGGCGCTTTGTGCGCAGATCGGGCAGAAACGCGCTCTCCTTACGCCTTTACAGCTTTCTGAGGGATGGAACGAAGATTTGATGAGGACTTCAAATACCGCCAGAGCCTTCAATCGCCAAAACGTGATGATCTTAGATTGGCTGTAGGAAACACAGTTGCTAGTGATTCCCAACTCGTTGTATGCCGTGTTTGCTGATGTAGGCGGGAATGAATTCTCCACTTAATTAGCAAGATCTTCTATTGGCATGGAGCTCCCCCTGGGGCACGCAGTAGGAACGCTGCACTTAGCTTATCCTAGGCGTGTTAGGTGCGCTCGCGTGCTTCTTCCCCACTAGAAGAGTATCTCTCAGTGGGCAGCACTCTGACCTTGGTGTCCGGGGCCCGGAAAATGATCTCATCAATACCGTCACGCACTGCCTGCTATTATTACTGCCCGCTCAGGTACCTACCGTGGTAGGGATCTGGGCCGCGGCACGACAAGCCAGCTATCAAAGACGCAGCTTTTGTCTCCCGAGTCTCGATCGCTACAGGTCGTTTTAGACGCTCTTTGCAAAATCGATGCCGTGCTCCTTACCTCTATCACGCCATAACCTGGATTCTTGCACAATACCTGCAGCTTACGCCATTTTCCCAACAGAACCGAAGTATCCTGCTCCTTAGGCTTCACCACTACGCCCAAGATTCCGTGATCGAAGCTCATTCGCTGTTCTGAGCTTTTCTCGTAGCTCTGTCTTCACTTTGGAACTGCATACCTCCAACCATTGGTTCTAATCTCTTCCCGACTCGATATCTACCGTCGCCGAAGGGCTATCAGACTTTGGAATTCCAGGATCGCTAACGAGAATCGCGATCCAGGCTCCTTGACATGACCCGTCCCAATTCCGGGCCTGCGGATACCATATGTTTTCCCACCAAACTATGAAGCTATGGCATCGCACAATCACGATCAAAATGGCAATTCAGGATCCCTTTCCACTTCCTCGGACATAACTCCAGAGTCTGCAGCGCAATCGCGTCCTCCGCGGCGGCAATCTAGTGTACGGTTTTCCGAGAGCACGAAGGTGCGCTCCCAAGCCCCGATGTCGTCCTATCGACGAACCCCCAGCGAGTCGGATGAAATCACGCCCATTCGAACTGCAGACGGGCAGTCAGATCGTCGGTATAACACTACCGAAGAAGGGACTCCCCAAAGCACTCTCGGCTCTTCAACGGTGGGCTCCTCGACCCTCGCAGGCTCTGGCCAGGAAGAGGAACAGGATGGTGGACAGAAAGATCCCAAACACTCCTGGGCACCACAATGGCTGAGGAAGATTCCCGAGAAATATGGTTCAGTGACATTGGAGAATAAGGGATCTGTGGCCCGGGACCATCTTGCTCTAGAGAGAACCTTCCTCGCCTGGCTGAGAACCAGCTTAGCGTTCGCGAGCATCGGCATTGCAATCACCCAGCTCTTTCGGCTCAACACCACGATCCAGAGTCGCAGCGAGTCTCTCAGTATACGACAAACACTACCCCTTTCACCACTTGTCGGGCACTCGATGCCGGCGGAGCTACTACCCTTTCTTCAACAATTCGCCGCATCGGTTGCTGGGGCCCCCCCGTCAACCCCTACTCTAGGCCCTACCCTCCTCGACCAACTCCTTCTCCTTCCGCCGCGCGATCTCGCCAGCACCGATGCTTCTAATGACTATTCGAACGACGGCGGCGTCGAGATCGCCGCATTCAACGATGGTGCTGCTACGAAGCTGCGTCATGTTGGGAAACCGCTCGGAGCAACATTCATTGCAATCTCAATTGTCATCTTGTTCATCGGCTTCCATCGCTACTTCGAGGCCCAGCACTGGATCATACGCGGCAAATTTCCAGCAAGTCGGGGAAGCATTTTCGCCGTGTCATTTATCACGGGATCCCTCATCATCGCGAGCTTCGTCGTGGTGATCGCAATATCATCGACCAGTTATGAGAAGAAAAAATAATATCCATGTATGCCATGTACTACAACGGGCGGACAGCGGCAATGCTACATCCTCAGTTTGATGTTTGCGTGGACCGGCGCAGTGACGACGGGTTGTTTGACTGTTGGTAGGACTGCGAGCGTCGGAGTTCCAGTTCTGTTCGGATTCATGGCGGGAAAACACTGATACTTCCTGAATGGATAAGCCGAGCCAATGTGGCTCAACTTTATCCCCCCCTTGTGCGGCTAAAAGGAGTTTCTCATAGGGAGGTATTGCCACATTGAAATGAAAAGGGATGGAGCGCGACATTGCCCAACGCGGTAACAGCAGTCTGCTTTGGTTCGCGAATTTTATGGCGCGTGTTCTAATTGTGTAGGGTGCATGTACTCGGTGCAAGGACCTCAAATAACGCGTTGTGCTCGGCACATTACCATGATGGCGGTAATTGGGGCCTGGGGAACAAGCACGGAGTACTTGAGCACGGAAGTGCGTAAGGGGGAGTTTGTCATGTAGTGATATGTCTCTGTGTCAATTCTTCCTACATCCGAGTACCTTATATATCTGTATTCCCTTCATAAGAATGGGCTGACGCTCTCGAGCACTCGGTCGTCGTGATACGGTCGAACTGTCAGCCTCAGCCAGCCCAAAGGAGAGGCGCAGTAGGCGAGGAAGCCAGTGTGGCTCGGAAGATTTCTCAGTCGCGCAGCTGCAAGTCATCTCGATCCCCCTCGCTTGAGATCTTGGCTTTTGGTGCCCCCAGCCACCATCTTTTACTCTTTTCTGGGTCTCTATGCTACTGCAGGCGTGCTCGTGCGCGAAAGGCGACCTTTCCCGCAATCAAAAGGCTAAAGTGCTTGCATACGCGTGCAAGATTGCAGGGGCATGCAGGCCCAGAGGGTGAAACAAGACAAGCAACATGGCGTTCAGAGGCTTTCCAGAGGCGCTTGATAAGGTTGTGCCACTCTGCGGTTGTGGTTGGGTGACAATCGATAAGGGCCGACGCCGCCAAATCTTTGCTTAATTTAGTAGGCGCCGCCAATGAGGTCTGTCGGATCAGAGTTTGAAAGCGCAGTCGGTGTGGTTTGACCTAAACACCCTTGAACAGGCCGGCAATTCTTAGAGTATCTCCTCCCCCACTGGTTCCAGAAACAAAATCCTTTAGCGAAAGCCACGATGAAACGGGTGCGTGGCTTGGGGATTTCGTAAACCGTTGTCGTCGTGGCGCGTTGCTTGGCCTCTGGTTTTGAAGGCTTTGACGACTATGGTGACGAGTCCGCGGTCGGTGTGCAGATCATCATCTTATTCCAGAGGACCAGGCATACTCTTCGAAAGCCGCAACCTGTGTCAATCCACTCCACTCCAATCATACTCGTACTCTTCAAAGAGATCCAGTGTGGAAAAGGGAGGTTGCATTGCGTCCGCTGCCAGACGCATGTTCAACCGCAGTGTAGCCAGCAATCACCTTGTGACAACTTGGTACAAACATCAGTGGGTGGTTTCCCTTGATTTTGGCGAGAGCTCGCTATGTCGCTTGTGTCTCACAAGGAATTGGCACCTCGGTTGCAGGTAGCACAGCTTAGGCAATAGTGACTCAGTCATGATACACGAGGATGGGTGGTTTGTCTTCTTGACGAAGAAGCATCCCTGAATTGGATCTGCTTGAGATCAGAGTTTGCACAAGTAGGATGGCTCGATAACACGAGTACTCGTAGACCTCCCATGTCCATGGCTCCATTCTGTGGGTCTCTTCGTTCCAACTTGAAGACGAATGCTGAGGTACAACTGCCATGTGGAACAAACACGAGCATTGGATTCTGGTGAGAGAAACGGCACTCCGTACTCCGTACTGGACTCAGGTCCCTGCTCGTAGGTAGGTACACAGAATGGGTCACGGACCAGACCGAATGCGTTGGTTTGTGGTTTCATCTCCCGAGACAGGCCCGCCTGTGTATGAGCAACCACCTTTTAATACTTTTGTGCCTCTAGGTAAGTCGGTTGCGAACAGCGAGGAAAGACGTGCGCTGCTGCTTGCTATACTCAGCTATTTTCTTGTTGTGTGCGGGTGGGAAATTTGAGACCTGGTAAGCGAATAAAGTGCATGCGTAGAGGTTGCGTGGCCTCTATCTCGGGCTGCCTTGATTTGGGATGCGGAGGAGCTTAGCAATGTCTCTGAGGAAATGATTAGCTTCCTGGTCGCCTCCGCAATCAGCTTTCCTTCTCCTTGATCCCAAGTTACCTTATCACCACTCTCGCTTCATCAGTGTGTCCACGTTGGAAGGCAAGGCCATCACCAACGGTCTGTAGGCGACTGTTGTTGGTCTCTGGGCGGTCGTTGCTTTGTCCTCAGATTCGTTTGTTTGAGCCAGACTCTCAAGCCAATGACAGAAGGGCTGGGAGCAGGAACATGGGACAAAATAACTTTGGATCCCAAGCTAGCTTTGTTAGCGGACGATCGAGGGCGCTCGAGGTGGAGCTGCAATTTCTTTGTGGTGCAATGTTGGCCCTCGAACAGCAGGGGCGCCATTGGAAGGGTGCAGGGGTACGCTCCAGGCTTAACCTGTTCCTGAGCGGCAACTGGGCCACCCCCAGACACAAAGGAATCACCCCCCCCCCCCCAAGAAATCCTGGCGCCCAGAATTGCGTCTGTAGTCTCCCCTTTCCCTTTCTTTCCCAACCTGCATAACCAGCTCGTTCCATTGCAGACCAAACTGAACACTGCATTTTTACTCTCGTTCACTACCACTGTCCGTTGTTTATCCTCTGTTTATACTTCTCCCTCCGCCGCCCTCAGTTGGCTCACGTTCATTACCAGAGAGACTTTTCTCTCGTTCACTCCTTTTGTACAAATCCCTCGACCTAAACGCCAGCTTCCTCCCTTTCCTCAATCCCGCCGCTCTCCAAATTCCGAGAGAGCACTCGAGCCTCCGCGTCTAACATTCCAGCACTGATCATATGAGTCTCTGGCTTTGTATGCCCTCCTAACCCTGCGAACGGCCTCGAACACCCCCTTGCCTTGTCTGCCTCTTTCACGAGGCGATTCATTCTCTGCAAATATTGGAACCAGACAAAGAACTAACACGCGGGTCGTGCGTACACACAGATTCGTCGGGCTTCATTTTCTGCAGTCCCACATAACCTATACACTCATTGACAATCTCCTCCATAGCCAGTCTTTGAGAGACTGCTGCGTACACTCGTTTCGAGAATCCCACAATCAACATGAGGTTCTCGTCGATTGCCTTGACGGCAGTCACTGCCTCGGCCACTCTCGCCCAGCCTCACGTCCACAAACATCGACACTTGCACGAGCACAAGGAGCGCGATGTTACCGAAACCGCCTGGACAGCTGGCCCGACTGCCTACGTTTATATGCTCAATGGCAAGGAGCTGTCGGCTGGAGAGGTGTGCGAAGGTCTGGAGGATCATGAATTGAAGTTCGTGGATGGTCAAGATCCCGGTGTTTGCTCCCAGGTTTCGACCACCTCCAGCAGCTGGTCTTCGGCTCCTTCCACTTCAACGGAATCGAGTACAACCACTTCGACCACCACAACCTGGTCGGCTCCTGCCTCCTCCTCTCCGGCGGCCGAGTTCTTCCAGAGCCCATCTTCAGCCTGGTCCAGCCCAAGCGATTCTGCTAGTTCTAGCTCATCGCCCACACAGTCTTCCTCTGTGTCCTCTGGCGGCACCGGTATCACTGCTTCATTCCCGGACGGTCAACTTGATTGCAGCACTTTCCCCTCCCAGTATGGTCCTATCGCCCTTGATTATCTCGGAATGGGTGGCTGGGCAGGCTTGCAGGCAGTTTCGATCGCGGGTGGCTTGGTTAACCACATTGTGACGGGCGTGTCGGGACAGTCTTGCTCAGAAGGAATGATGTGCTCCTACGCTTGCCCCCCCGGCTATCAGAAATCCCAGTGGCCTTCAACCCAAGGTGCTACTGGCCAATCCGTCGGCGGCCTCTCTTGTTCAGGCGGCAAGCTTCATCTGACAAACCCGGGTCTCTCAAGCAGCCTTTGCATTCCTGGTGTTGGTGGCGTCCAAGCTACCAACGACGCTAGTGGTGTTGTTGCCATTTGCCGTACAGATTATCCTGGAACTGAGTCTGAAACCATCCCAGTCGAACTTCAATCTGGTGAAACTGAGCAATTGACCGTTCCTGATGCCGCCACCTACTACGAATGGCAAGGACAATCAACCTCTGCCCAGTACTATCTGAATCCCATTGGAGTGTCTGCCGCTCAAGGTTGCCAATGGGGATCACCTGGACAAAACATTGGCAACTATGCGCCCATCAACTTCGGCGTGGGTGCCAAAGGAGGTGTGACTTGGTTATCAATCTTCCAAAATTCTCCAACAACCAACGCCCAATATCAAGGCACCGTTGAGTTGAAGGGTAATTTGTCTGGATCTTGTAAATACTCCAACGGTCAATATTGCGGTGCTAGTGGATGCAACTCGCAAGGATGCACTGTGAGTTAACTTTCCAATCGCCTCCTACACCTTGTTGCCCAAGACTAACTTCGCTCTAGGTCTCGGTCATATCGGGCACTGCAACCTATGTCATCTCCAACTAGACCAAACATCGAAACAATATCTCCCTGTACATGTTACGATCTTCTTGCTTTCATACCGCATATCACACCCGGCGTTGACGTCTGGGTTTTCTTACGCATTTTTCGTTGCTGGTTTAGAGCGTGGTGGAGCCTTCAGGATCTACAGTGGTCGACGATGTCTTGTTGGATATTTGGGATATCAGAAAAAAGACCTCGAGAGCATATGGAGCGGCACGTGCTACAGCAAAATATTTGTTCTGGTACGGAGTCTCCCTTCCGCGGGAGACTGACGAGTTGTCTCGGCTTCGTCTCCATGTCCAAGATACCCCTTCCGCTGGACATGGAGACGAAGCGCGAGCCAATGAGGGCAAAATGTGGTTGTCTAGGAGGTAAACTCATCTTATGCCAGACAAGTGAAGCATCAGATGCCAGTGAAATCAAAGAGAGTGGAACTAGCTGCAGGGATATTTGGCTCTTTACAGACTCAAGACACGACTACTTATGGGAGACGTCTCTACGTGGCCAAATCTTTGATCAACTGCGGCGGCATTCAACTTCATCCACTGGTCTCTGGGTTAAGATATGCGCATGAAGAGTACGCATTGAAGAACGTGTCGGCCGAGGCGAGAGCTGGACAAGGACGTCTCGCGAAAGTTTGACTCGGCGGCGTGTCGCTGTGTTCCGATATCCAACATGCTCGTCTAGACGTGGCAATGGTGTACAATATCAATAGAGGGGATACCATGCTCGCAACTAGCTACATGTAGCACATGTATCATGTACTAGACAACGCCAGGGTCTCAAGGTCGATTTTCTTCTTGTGCAGTGAAGCCCAATTCCCCGATGCGAATCGATGTTGTTACATTGATCCTATTACTTCGCTGTCAACAACATACACTTTTGCACCGTTGGCCCGGTTTTCGCTGATCTTGGTAAAATCCTCAATCTTATCCCAAGACGATCGGTCCCCGCTTCCCTCAAATCACTTCAATAGCCGACGAGCGTGTATGCTCGTACCTATGGCCTCAAGCCCTGCTCCAGTACGTGGGGCCGGGGCTGTGGAGTGATGACAACCGGATATTGCACCCTATTTGGGATCTTCTGTCAACATGTGGTCCATGCCGCCGTCTCGTCCTGTGTGCAGCAGGGGGCCACATCAACAGCCAACAATGATACTCCCTTCCATCGGGCTCCTGAGCCAAATTTCTCGGGTTGACCTTTCACAGTACCTGCAGGACTAAAGTCCACTCTCTCTCCCGGCATAACACCTGATCCTTCTCCTCTGTGCTGGGGCCACACGCTGCTGTCCCGACTCCCGCGACGTCTGCGTCGAGCCGCCATAAGGCTCCCTTCCTCCTCTTGCCCGGCACCAGCAAGTCGCATGGGTGTTTGGCGTTCTCTATCGTGGCCGCGTCGTAAAGCTGAGTCGAAAATTGCATATGCGGGCGGTCTTGCCCAGATGTGCCTGGGAGATACGTCGCGCGGATGACAGGGAAGTCGCTTGGTGGGACTTGCCTCGTCTTCCCGTCAGCGATGCCGCGGCCGACTTTGTCGTCGTCGTCGTTGTCGTCTTCTCCGATAACTAAGGTGGAAGCGCCTTCCTCCGAAAAGGTGGCTGAAACCGTGCACCACCGTACATCACATCGATTCCCGTTCTCTTGTGGTACCTCGTAGTGTTCCGCCATGTCGTCAATCTGGCATTCCCAAACCCCCAACCGCTGTGAGAGACACTTGTCATTGTAGGACTCCGATGGCCCACGGCCGAACCATTTGACATGCTTGTATTGCGGAGCGAGTTGAACGGAATGCCCGACTCGGGGGAGGTTGCGTGGGTGCGAGCCACGGGGTGTAAGGCGCGTGTGTATTTGTACGGTCAGCCGGGACTCCGTACCTGGGGCAGTGGACGCGCTGTTATGGTTGTTACATTCAGATTTTGGGATCGGAGTGGTCCTGATGGTGTAGGTAGTGATGGCATCGAAATGCCAGGCCAGACTCGGCGGAGAGAGGGCATGCTCAGCCCTCAAGGTCACCTCGGAGACCTCCACTGTCCCATCTGCCGAATCTGTGTGGTTCCGTGTCGCGGATGTCTGAGTAGAACGCACGCTCGCTTTGAAACCCTTCGACCGACTCGTCATCATATGCAGTCCGTATCTTTTCCATTCACTCGTCTGCCATGCCATGTCATTATCTGTGGGCGGTCGCCAAAAGTCTAGAGACAACAACGGGGAGGGAGAGGCCGGGTCGTAGCTCTCAACGCGGGTGTTGGACAGGAGTTGGTTGGAGTTGTGGGTGAACGAGGAGATTTGGCCGCGGATTCGGTCGAAGGTTATGGCGGTCGAGGAGGTGGAGATTTTGTATTCCAGGCTGCTTGTGGAGAACCTGATCAATGATGTGCTGGTAGATGGCTGAGACACGGGCGTCGCTGCGTTGCTTGTGTTCTCGGAGGAGAGAATGCTGGTGAGAGGCGACGTAGGATTTGCATCGGGCACTGGCAGTTGAGTCTGATACCAAGCTATCACATGGCCAGTCTTTGCCCATTGGGTGTCCTTTTTCAGCCGGAAGGCAACCGTGAAGCAGCATTCCTTGGAAGCCTTGTGCTTGAAGACATCTTCTGGCAGACGGATTCTTCCCTGCTTCCCTGGCTGGACTGGAGGAATGGCCAGGACTCCAGCAGCAACGAGTTTAGCCCTGTCCGCAAATTCGTCAAATGTAGCTCCATTATCGTTCCGAACAGGGCAGGATGCAACAAACCTTTGGCCACAACATTGGACATCGTACTCTGCCCTAATATGTTCCAATGCGATGAAATCGTAGTGGTTACGCACAAGAAGATACTTCCCGTCAAGCACGGCCTCGATTGGCTCATATGTCTTCCTCAGTTCTACCAAGCCCCGAGTGGGCGTGTGATCACTGTGGCAGAGCCCATCCATGACAAAGGTCCCGTCGTTTGGCACGTCGCCAAAGTCGCCACCATAAGCGTAGTATTTTCTGCCGTCCGCATCTTCTTTCCAGAGTCCATGGTTCGCCCACTCCCAGATGAATCCTCCTTGGAGTCGTCTGTGTGAGCGGAAGAGGGTCCGGTAGGTGTCCAAAAGACCCGGGCCATTGCCCATTGCATGAGCGTATTCGCAAAGGATGATGGGTTTTTCAAAATCGTCGCCTTCGGACTCGGCCTCCCTCTTCAAATCTGCAGGGGAGGTATACATATGTGATATCATGTCTGTCGACTTAGCCTGCCAGTCTGGCTCGTAATGTATCAGGCGACCGGGATCGCGTTTCTTCGCCCACTTGGACATGGCAGCATGGTTGCGACCGTAGAATGCCTCGTTGCCCAACGACCAGATGAGGACGCTTGGATGGTTCTTGTCCCGTTCAACCAGCTGGTGCACACGGTCGAGATAGGCAGACTCCCACTCTACGTTGTCAGAGGTGTAATCTGCCGCGTCTTTTGACGTACGTTGTACTTTTTCCTCGTAACTCAATCCTTCAAGGTTGAGCCCTGAAGCAGCCGCGGTAGCGAAGCCGTGGCATTCGAGATCTGCTTCGTCAATGACCCACAACCCGAGCTCGTCACAGAGACCAGGAAGGCCAGGGTGAGAGGGGTAGTGGGAACAGCGCACTGCATTGATGTTATGCCTCTTCATGAGCAGGAGGTCGCGACGGACCCAGTCGAGTGATACTGCACGGCCTAGGTGTGGGTGGTTGTCGTGGCGGTTTGAGCCCTGGAACAGAATGGCTTTCCCGTTGACGCATATGTTGCCATTTTTGAGCTCGACCGAGCGAAAACCAACAGCGTGGTTGACAGAATGAATGGGACCATCACCTTGCTTGGCCGAGGAAAGGGTCATCTCTAGGTTGTATAGATAAGGTGTCTCTGCAGTCCACTTGCGTGGATTTGAGACTTCGATCGCATGCGAGCATTTTGTAGATGCTGACGCGAGCGGAATGCGCTCCTTCTTGATGGTTCCTCCTTCGGCATCCCTGAGCGTCAAGGACAGGAAGCAATCTTCATCCAACAACAGATCGAGGTCAGTATCCAAAACTGCGTCCTCGTATTTTTCGTCAAGACGCGTCCTGATGAAGAAATCCTCGATTCGTGTCCGAACGGGCAGCGCAATTAGGTGCACATCGCGAAAGATACCAGAAAGCCACCATTGGTCTTGATCTTCGATATAGCTTCCGGAGCACCATTGGAGGACTTTGACCAGGATTCGATTAGGTTTGCCTTTCACTATGTGCTTCGTGACGTCGAATTCTGCCGGGTTCCTGCTCCCCTGAGCGTAGCCGATTTCCACTCCATTCAGCCACAGATAGAATGCACTGTCGACCCCATCAAACCTCAGCCTCAGCTGGCTATTGTCGTCAAACAAGGTGGGCAACTCGAAATCCCGACAGTACGTCCCAGTAGGGTTCTCCGTTGGCGCTTCCGGTGGACAGACGGGAAAGGGATAGACAATATTTGTGTAATGAGGTCTGCCATAACCCTGCAATTGCCAGTGGCCCGGGACATCGATGGGTGCCCAGGCAGAATCTCGTTTGCACAGATCAGAGGGAGACTGGGTGCTGAACGTTTTACAGTCTGGCGCCTGTTGGGGACTTGGGGAGTAGTTGAAAGACCATTTCCCGTTCAAGCAGACGGACGTTTCCGGGACGTAGTAGGAACGAGAGGGGAGGCGGTTGCGTTGGAATATTTTCTGATTGCACCAATCTGGAGTCGCCTGAATGCGTTCTTGGGATGGCATTGCATTGGTCCTCTCCATTGAGCAGCTTCCTTCATCATCGTTTACCAACTGCATCTTCTCATGCGGAGCAATGCTGACATGCCCGACCACACGTCAATCGCGAGCATGCAGAAAGGCAACCGTCCCGAGAGTTGGTGTTTTCCACGTCAAATACGAGCAAATATGACTGGGGTGTGTAGACAATTCAGGTGTGGCAATGACACGGATACGGTGAAGGTCAAGCTGTCTAGACCGACAGCCAATCCGAAGCAGTTTTGACAACACGCGAGTGAAAGAGGCGTGTTCAAAAGATGCGGGGTTCGCAAGGCTGAAGATCGGAACACTTTCCTTGTTCGATGGTGACGAGGCTGTAACTAGGGCGCTCTACGGAACAGAATAACAGCATGAGCTCGGAACTGAATTGCGGAGGTGTCTGCCGCCAGTGTTGTCATTGCACTAACTGGACTAAACTGCATGTGAAGTCTGCGTTCGCGGACCTCTTGTTTGGTAGCAATGCGCAACAATCTGATTGCTAAGACAAGCGGAACCGACATGGAGAGGTGCATTTGTAGCGCCTCAGTAGTGAGGAATCCTGCAGAGGAGCTTCTTGTTCTCGTTGTGGTCACGGGTACAGAGATGGAGAATCCTTCAACTATGCCACAGAAGGCGGGTGCCCCAATACAGCTTCTCTTCGTTGTCTGCCAGCTGACGCAAACCAAGGTATAAGCAGACGACCGAAAAGATGGGGAAGCCAGGTCAGGAATAGGTCGTGTCGATCCCCCAGTTTTCTCCAAAATCACAAAGAAATGATTCGCGCAGGCGGGAGACCGAAGTCTTTTCTTGTGCTTTCGTTACTCAGACTGTTCTCAATTAGACTTTCGTCCTGGTGAGGGAAGTCGAATAGGACATCGAAAATTTAGTCGTCGATAGCTGCTGTCTTAGCCTTGGACTTTGAGGATTCGAGTAGCAACAGTCACCAAACCCACGGCGATATTACGCCTCCCTTTTCCAGGGCCACAAAAAGAGCAGAGATGATACCCAATCCAATCCAATCCAATCCAATCGAATAAAGGTAAGGCTGGTCGCCGTCATGCCCCAGAAAAAGATGGGCCAGCGATGTGGTGATGGCAAGTCAAGTTAGTTGACGTCAGGATGAATGCATGGTCACAAAACATAGGAGGGCTTGGATGCTCCTCCGGCGAGGTTACTGGAAGTCCTTTGTTGATGAATTCGTGATAGCATGGTCCAGTTTAGGAATTCTGGTCGATCTTTCGGAAAGGACACCGCTGATGGACGTGTGTCCACCTAAACCGGGTTCGATCGACATCGTCGATTTCCAGAACGAGGAGTGGGCAACTCGGAAATCTCGAGCTGGATGGCTGCACCTGAGACTGCTATGCTCCACCGTTTGCCAAGCTCAGCAGCCACCGTCACTCCGGCATTTTCCGACGGGGACCTATGCGGTTAGATCAACATCTCGAGATTCAACAGCAGCAATAACTCGACAACACATCACAGCGGCCTAACATCGCCAGGGCCAAAATATGAGGCACGTCTCACTGCCACTGGAAGACTTGAAAGTCTGGGCGCATTTCAACGATGTCCAGCTCTTCGAGACATCAATCGAGCCTCATATCGTCAGAGAGGATGGCAATGACAAAGGCGGTGGTCTGCTCGCGACTGGCGAACACGGTCCAGGACAACCTCTTGTTGCGGTTCCACACGAGCTGGTGCTATCGAAAGAGCGAGTCGAGCAATATGCAAAAGCAGACCAGAGCTTAAAGGAGCTCGTTGAGGCAGCAGCTTCCTTAGTCCAGGTAGGCCCCAGGCAACAGCGTGTCTAAAACCACGGCCAGGTAGGTCGATAAACAACACACTGACTCCTCGACCGGAATTTCAGAGTCCCCGAACGACGGTGCTACTGTTTCTCATCTATCAGATGACAATCAACAACTCCAGCTCCCACGGCCATGGACTGGGATTCAATAATCCTTTCGCCGGCTATGTCAAAATGTTGCCAGACGCAATCCCGCTGCCGACGTTCTACACGGCCGAGGAAAGGGAATTACTGATCGGTACATCCCTGTCAGAGGCCCTGGAGCAGAAAGTAATCAGTCTGGAGCGGGAATTTGATAGTCTAAAAGCTGCGACTGCAAAGATCCCCTGGTGCCAAGAGATTTGGTGGAGCGAAAGCGCAGATTGCTTGACCTTTGAAGATTGGAAACTTGCAGATGCAATGTACCGCTCTCGTGCGCTGGAGCTGCCCCAAGGCGTTGGCGTTGGCATGGTCCCTGTCATCGACATGGCGAATCATGCCTCTGACGACCGTTACAACGCCAGGTTCGAGGTAGACGAAGACTCGGGATCCGTATTGCTCGTCGTACGAGATGACAGGATCGTCCACAAAGGAGACGAGATTACCATCATGTACGGCTGCGGCGGTGCATGCGAGATGATCTTTTCATACGGGTTCCTGGAAGAGCACGCGAGCAGTGCCAGGGAGATCTTCCTAAGTTTGTCCATCCCATCCGACGACCCTCTACGACTGGCCAAGGTCCGGTTCGCGCAAGAAGCGCCGGGGGTCCGCATCTATGTGGATGACTCAGATCAGGTACGCTGGGAGAGTACCTTTGTCTGGTGGGCATGCATCAATGAGGAAGACGGTCTAGATTTTCGAGTGGAGCAGACTATCGACGGAGGTACGGAGCTGAAGGCCTTATGGAAGGACAATGCGCTCGCCTCAGACACATCGTTGCAGTCGATCTTGCTCGCAGATCGCCTCCGAGACATATTCGTCCTGCGGGCGGTCGTCACAATCCAAGCAAGGATCGAAGAACAAGGATCACGCCTCGCTGGACATGAAGAGCAATATAACAACACTGTCTGCAGTGATCAAGTCAGAGATTCGGTATATGGGGCTATCGGGAAACTTCGGAGCCTGGAAATGGAGCTCCTGACCAGGGCCTATCAGACCCTTGAGGAAGAGGTACGTTTCCTCGCATTCGACAGGTGTGACTAGCGTGTATCCTAAATCCCTTACAGAAAGCACAACTCCTGGAATCTACCATCGTCCATGACTTCTTGGCACAGGTTCAAGGCGGCACGGAATCTCCAGGTCGAACCCCAGACGATTTTTCGTGAAAGAGAAAAAAAACTCGTGGCACTAGATGCGAGATGGCTCAAGATTCCAACCAAAGCAATGCTCATCCAGTCTTCCAGATTACAGCGGATCAGCTCGGAAGTGCATGCTTGAGTGGTGTGAGCTGCCAAATCACATTACAAGGTCGAGGCGCTTCTGCACTGGGGTGGGCTGACGCAACCTACCTGTAGCTTCAGACTTCCCAGACAAAACTTAACGCTCGCCCCTCCTTGTCTTTCGAAATGAGCGGATCAAAGCGATTCGTAGGGACTGTGGCTCAATCTGGGGTTTTTCCGCAGGCTTCCGTTCGTCCATGGGCCACCTGCAAGACTCCTTCAGTCGACACCGCTCCGACACCAAGCCATCATACGTTCAATTCGAGCTGAAAAAGAAAGCTCTCTGCTGGTAGAAAAAGGTGCAAACATTCACCAAGGCAGAAGCAAGAAGCCCAGCCTGTATTCAGCAGTCAGATCATCACTGCCGTTGCCACCTCTTCTGAATTGCATAATGGGGGGACTCGAGCGGTTCCGCTAGACCAACGGCAAGACTGGGGGGATTCTAAGCGAACGAGACAGGAGCGTTGATAGTTCGATTCGACCCAAGTTGCAGATAAGTTTTGAGTGGTCAAGGTCGATCGCATGATGTTGAGAAAAGGCACCCGTCTGGGCGGCCATTGCTCGGGTGGATGGAAGCAGAGGCGGCCACTGCGCTGTGATTGGACCCCAAGCCATCTGACTGAGGTAGCTGCGTCGGAAAGGTCGATTCGAAAACGCTATTATTGGACCTTCTGCCCTTCTGCCGATCTTGTTCTTGCCCTCGTTGGTGCCCATCTAAAAGCTGCGGGGAAATGGAACCGGGCTGGGAAAAGAAGGGACGGGACAGGTTACGAGAAGAGAAGAGAAGAGAGAGCTTGAATTGAGGTGATGAAGCTGGTTGACCACCAAGTACCGAGTAGATGGCTTACCTAGTCTTCTGGGATGAGCCCACTTGATGAAAAGCTCAACGGGATAGCCGGTGCTGGGCCTTCCACACTAGGCCCTGTAGGGGTTGCCCAGGGGCCCTTAGCCCTCTTAGCCCTTGTAATCGGGGGCTGATTCTCGGGGTCTCAACAAAACCTTCAAACCCCGCGCTGTTCTTTCCTCGCTCCATGCCCCGATGTGCATCCCCAGTCTAGTCCCCAAGTCGCCCACACACTTTTGGCCGCGTCGGAACAAATTCCTCTCACAATCCAGACACGACCACTTCTCTCGAGCTACCGAGTCCACGAACACGAAAAGCAAAACCTCCTTCAGACCACCCTCCCCTCAGAGAACCAGATCCCACCCTCCCTGCAGTTTGCTTAACCCTTGTCCGACCTGCATCCAACGCAATTTCACCCAATCGACGCCGCCCTCGCCCTGAGCTTTCTCGAACACGCCTCCAACTACTCTCTTCTGTCGCGGAGGGTGACATGTTGTCATAATCTCGCCCTTGCCCCTGTGCTTTTTCGTCTCCTGCATTCGACCCTTATACCATCGCAAGTTCTGGACCATTGTTCACCCATCAGTTTTAAGACGACCCTTCCGTGTTCATTACCCTCTACCGAACGAACTACCTGATACATTGTACTTTATATGCGGCTGCCATTCTTAAGATCTCGGTCACAGACCTAGCACAGCCTGCCAACATGCCCGGCATCTTGCCGATGAAGATGATTCGAGTGGGGAGCAGCACGCAGAGCAGGATTGCGCAAGCTTGTGACAGGTGCCGCAGCAAGAAGATCCGGTGCGACGGTGTAAGACCATGCTGTACTCAATGTGCCAACGTCGGCTTCGAGTGCAAGACCAGCGACAAGCTGAGTCGCAGGGCCTTCCCTAGAGGCTACACAGAGTCGTTGGAAGACCGCGTTCGAGGTCTTGAGGCGGAGGTTCGAGAGCTCAAGGAGCTGCTGGACGAGAAGGACGAGAAGATCGATATGCTCTCTCGCATTCACAGTTTTTCGCCTCCTTCTCGAAAATGTTCGGCTTCCCTATCGCCTTCACATGCGGCGCAGGTAAAGGCTGAAGTTGAGTCAGCGAGGGAAGAAGTGCTGCATGTTGAGATTCCCGCACCGGTGCAGCCCAAGGCCACCTCGACTGGCTCCTCAACCACGCCGTCCTTTATTGAGGCGTTTGATCAGAAAGTCCAAGAAGCTGGTCGACAGACGACCGGTATCTCCTCCTCAGGCCTACAGAAAGCTATTCTACCCACTCGTCGATCTACAGTTCCCGGCCCCAAAGTGCCCCCTAGGATCCATTCTGATCAGTACATAAGTATGCCCACCACATATCAGGCGTCATTTCGCGCAACGTACTAACATTGGTAGATCTATTCTTCCAAGAGTGGCAACCATTGTTGCCCATCCTCCATCGGCCAACATTCCTTCGCGTCTATGAACAGTATCTCGCCAATCCTGAATCGGGTAACTGGCAGAGTAACAAGCAAGCATACGCCCAACTATTCCTGATCTTTGAGATTGCAGCTCTTTCCAACATTTCCACCCCCAAGAAGAATACTCCATCTTACGAGACACAATGGCGAAAGGCTCTCTATTCGACATCTTCTAATGCTTCTCTACCGACGCTCCAATGCCACGTGCTAGCTCAGATCTGTTACATGCTGCGTGCCGACTATACCCATCTAGCACGCCATCGCGGCATCGCAATCACTATGTGCCATGAGCTCGAGCTCCATCAAGGACACAAGTATCAGAGCTTATCACCTCTCGAGGCGGAGACGAGAAAGAAGGTATTCTGGTGCCAATATGTTCTCGACAAGTAAGTCCTCTAAATTCTCGCAATTTGGTTGAGAGCCTCAGATGACTAACACCTTCATCCAGGTTCATATCTGCCGCTACTGGTACTCCAGTACTTTTCCGAGATACCGACATAACCACGGAATACCCAGCCGACGTCGACGACGAGAACCTCAGTACTCAAGGCTTCTCTCCTACACTTCCTGGCGAACTGACAAAGATTTCAAGCGCCCTAGCCTTGTTCCGCGTTTCCAGAATTCTCTCCAAAGCACTGGACACTTTGTATCCCGCCAAAGCTAGCTATCAACTATCGTTGACCAAACTTCACGCGCTCTCTGACGAGCTTGATCAATGGTCAGAGGAACTGCCCGAGCACCTTCGATTGCGATTCTGCAATGACAAGCCTGCGACAAATTTGATCGGCTGTAGATCACCGCTTTTGGTATGATGTCTCCCTCTCACTTGCCGAGCGATATTCTAATTGTTCCGCAGTCCCTCGCCTACTTCTATACAAGGAGTTTGATTCACCGACCGCTGCTTTGCCACGCGTCTGGAAGCGCTTCCTCAGCTGCCGGTATCGTTTTGGCGGCCGCAGGCAAGCACGTTCTGCAGATTCTTGATCTTCTTTTGGAGCGCCGCATGAACTATACCTTCCCACTGAACAAGGCCGACCTACTCCTGAACTCAGGACTGGCGATACTCTGGCAATCGCTCGATTTGGAAGATGACAGCAAGCTTGCCAAAGACAACCAGAAGTCGTTGACAATGCTCGTGGGCATACTACATTCTGAGAATGCGCCAGCTGCAGTGGAATTCCAGAAAATCGCCACCTGTTTCGTTGCACTGGAAGCGCGACCAGCTACGTCGCGAGGCGCAGAACAGACATCTACTAGCGCCCAAACGGCGGCTTGTACCATGCCAGCTCCTACCGAGTCCAAGTCAAAATCAACTCGCAAGCAGCTGCAAGCCATTGCCTCACGATGGTCCTCATTCAGCAACAAAGGAAAGCCTGAGGACCCCAACCGGCGTGCGACTGTACCGCAGACTGGATCGACTTCCCTTAGCCCGGCTAATCGAGCTGCTAGCACTGTCAGCCTGTCTTCCACTCGATCAGCGCCGGTCATGCCAGTGGCCACTTCCTCGCCCCGCCAAGTTACCTCTTCAGGGCCACTCGGCACCCCAACCATCAACCTAGACTATCTGCCGCTTGGCGATGAGTTTGGAGACTCGCAGACCAGGACATCCTCGAGCACGATGCTACCTCCGAAGAAACAGCCAACGCCGACCATTCCCGATTCCGGATGGGAAACCCTCCTGGACGGATTCGACCCTAATAACCCAGCGATCTACCAGGACCTACAAGCCAGTAGTCATTCGCTCTATCAGGTTCCCAGTAACGAATGGACTCCAGACGCGTGGCACCTCTCAGGTATGGATCTTGCAACAAAAGCACCCGTACCGCAAAGCCTACTCAGCTTTTCCGAGGAATCATTGACAAGCGGCGACGATTTCCTGTTTAGCACTGCTGGGAGTCACAATGGCTCAACGGTCACAGGCGACAGCCTAGAGCTCCCGGAGACATATCGAGGCATCACTATCCCGGTGGACGATGAATTTGAATTTCACGAGGTGGAAGCTTGAGCTTGTGTTCGACCCAGTGTGGGTTGGCTGATTGTGTGCAACGATTGAATTCTTGGAAATGGGTGGGTCATTATTTCCGGGAGCGAGAGATGTTTGAAAAAGTTGTACAGTGACGAGAAACGTTTGACGATGGATTACGGTATATACCCCGATGCTGTTTGGACTTGAGGTAGGCTGAGGCCCGGAATATGCAGGAACTTGTGACGATGATACCAACAGTGAAAGAGGTGCAACGAAACGAGCGGGCGAGGAGCAAAATTGATACATGCGGCAAGCAGTGGCAGACGTGTCATAGACCTGTGTTTGACGACCCTATATGTGAGAGAAGGCCAAAGTGTGTTTATAGTTATACGCTTGAAAATACATATTGCTTCCTCGATTTTGGGATTTCGGTCCACCTCGTTGATAACGTGGTATGACTGTTCCATCCGTCCACACCGCGACAGAGTTTCGTTTTCCGCTCGGTCCATCGGGGCCCTCTACGAGTCATTTTCGACTGTTTGGGATATCGTGCACCCCCTCCAGACTTGGCCCTTGACTTAGATGGGCCTGTCACCTGCCGTGACTTCAAGAGCCTCGCGTGAAACCGGGGCAATTCTAGAATGGAATGACTGTCGTGGATCGCCCTTCCCGTTGAGGCTAGCCATCAACGGTAAAGTACCACATTCGGCTAGGTGGGATCTCGGCCAAGAGATCTATTCCCGCAACTCTATAGAATTCAAATATCAGTAAAACTATAAAGATCGGCCTGAAAAGAGGGTTGTTCGCAAGGTGTTGTGCGATCTGAGGCGAGCAGTAGCAATCCCTTGGTGCACGATATTGCACCCCCTGCCCCTCTCGCCTTTTTTTCCCTTTTTTTTTCCCCTGCCAATGAGAGTTCCGATTCGTTCACTGTCTCTCAACAGGAATTGGTCCCGCCAACCTTACGTTCCCTCTCTCGGTACGCAACGAGTGTTACGTCTAGAGAACCACATCCGCTTTGAGGATTTAATACGTTCAACACGGGCATGGAACACTGTGAGGAAATTCAGCTTATAGAACATACCAGACAGCCTCAATCTAGAACCATTCAAGTTTGATGCATCCCAGAGAAATCATGTGGATGAGAGCAATCCAGGGGATATCACGGCCAACTCAAAGCCAAGCATCTGGTCCATACCCACGTTAGCACGACAGAGGTCCCCGTCATAGGGAATAAAGAGTCTCACGTCGTGGTAATGATGTTGGCTACACCCCGCCTTGAGACGCTGAATATGACCTTTGGAGATATCAGATTACTTGGGCATCGTCGCCCATTACAATTTTGAGCCTCCCTGCAACAATTCCACCGCTGCGTTGCTGATGCAAGATTTCCCCGTCTCCTTCACTTTCGCTTGGTATACGATTTTTCCTCCCTCCTTCCACATTTCCGTCACAATTGTCTGCCCTGGCAGCACAGTCCCGCTGAATCTCACCTTGATGTTCTTGAAGGGTCCGTAGGTCTGGAACACGTGTTTCCCAGTGATTCCAAAGGTGGCTAGGCCGTGAAGAATGGGGACTTTGAAGCCACCTGCCGCGGAGAATTTCGGGTCAATATGGAGCGGGTTGCGATCGCCCAACAGTCGATAAAGGGCCGCAAGGTCGTCCGACGTCTTTTCCTCGACGACTTTGTCCGGCGCACGAGACGGGGCGGGATTCATGGCTGTGGCGGGGCCGCGATCAGCCGGTTTGCGCTGACCACCGAAGTTTCCAGATCCCCGGATGAACGATACACTTTCGTTGTAGAAGACGGGTCGGCCGGCGCTGTCAACCGTCGTGGCTCCCCGTCTCACAAGGGCAGCGTTTCCTTTGTCGACAACTTCGACCAAGCTTGTTTCGGTCTTCAGCGTGCCTGAGGTCGGAATGGGGAATTGTTTGATTTCCAAGTATTGCTCTCCATGAAGGAGCATGCGTTGGTCGTAGTTGGGGACGATGTCCTTGACACTCCAGGGGGTGGTCGCGGAATATGTGGGCACAATGCCGAATGTAGGAAGGACCTGGAAGTTCGGAGAGCCCTCATAGACCAGGTCGAGGTCGGTGCGGTGTGCGCCCATGGAAAGGTTGTACAGGATGACTTCGCGGTCATCATAGGTATAGGTCGATGGAACCGGCTTCAGTGATATGGCCTCTGCAATTTTGGAGATGTATTTGCGGTTGGCGCGGTTTTCTTGAGACAATGCTGCAGCCTAGGATATCATTAGCATCCAACATCAACCTCATTTCGACACATTCTCTGCCTTACAATCTTGGGGTTCTTCAGCACATTGCCCATGGTGTATTTGCTTCCGTCCTGTGGAGTATCCGGGTTATCTGCTTTTCCATTGTCGAAGTTGCAGATCTCCGAGAATGCCTAGAAATCTGGTCAGTGGTCGTCACTTCGAGTCTCGCCATCCTTGATAACTTACTTCCGCAACCTGTTCCACGCTCGGCACACCCTTTTCATGGTCAAAATCAACACCTCTAGCTCTCTGCCAGCGAGTGGCTCCGATCCACCCACTACCAGATTCAAAGATCTGCCCTGTGGCTGGAGGCTTCTCACTGCACAAGGCAGCAACGACGGGCGCGACGTATTCAGGTTTGATGGCCTCGACATCCTTCTCAGGCCAAACTGTTCGAGTCATGTTTGTGCCAGCTGTCGGAGCTAGTGAATTGACCACAACATTATACTTGGCTCCTTCTCGGGCTATGGTCTTCGTGAAACCAACAATGCCGCATTTCTATGCAAGAGGTCATTAGTCAAGCTCTCGTGACAAGGTGGGAGGGACTTACCGCAGCTGCATAATTGGCCTGTCCAAAGTTCCCATAGATGCCGCTCGTGCTGGTAATATTGACAATGCGTCCATATCTCTGCTTGAGCATGATTGGAAATGCTGCTCTGGTAATGAGGTATGTTCCCCTCAAGTGGATATTCATGACCGAATACCACTGTTCGTCTGTCATATTAACGAAGGCCTTGTCTCCCAAGATTCCCGCATTGTTGACCACGACATCAATCCGTCCATAGGTATCCACAACCTTCCGGACAATGGTGCCTCCATCCTCGACGGACAAGTTTATGGCAATTGCTTCTCCTCCACGAGCCTTGATTTCATCGGCGACCTTCTCGGCGTTCTTGACATCGTTGACTGCGACCTTTGCGCCCAGTTGCGCAAAATGAAGGCTGTATGCTCGCCCCAGTCCGGCTCCAGCGCCAGTCACCAAGACCACTCTGCCTTGAAAGCTCACCCGACCGCCGGCTGTCGCGCTGGTCTTCGGCAAGCTTTTGGCCTCTTCAAGAAATTGCAAAATCCTTGCAGGGTCTTTTGGGTGCTCTGCGCCGGAAAAATCCACAACCTTCTCCCAGTTTTCAAGCACTATCTCAGCGGTCAGATCTTCCGGGCGTGCGAGGAATCCTTTGCTGCGCTCCCACCGGATCTTGCTGTAGTGACCCGCAGCCGCCTCGAAGATACTTCCGTTCTCATGACACTTCTCATTGACGAGCACACCCACGAGCGGTACGACCCAATCGGGCTTCATCACTTCCATCATGTCTTGCGTCCAGACCGTCTGTGTTAGTCTGCTGGCTGCACCAGGAGCAAGTACATTGCAGGTGATATTGTATTTCGCGCCTTCCTTGGCCAGTGTCTCGCTGAAACCGACAAGCGCCATCTTTGCCGCCGCATAATTGCTCTGTCCAAAGTTTCCGAACAGACCAGAAGACGATGATGTATTGATGATTCGGCCATACTTCTGCTTCCGCATATAGGGCCACGCCGCCCGAGCTGTCTTGAAAGCGCCATGGACATGGACATCCATAATGCTATCCCAGTCTTCAGTCTTCATGTTTCTAAGGGTGATGTCGCGCAGGATACCAGCGTTGTTGATAAGAATGTCAACTCTTCCGAAAGCATCGATTGCCGTCTTGACGATCTTGTCGCCGTTCTGTACGGCGTCATAGTTGGCCACAGCAATACCACCGGCATCCCTAATCTCCTTGACCACGACATCTGCCACTCTGGAGTCGCCTCTGCCACCGGCGTCCTTCCCGTTGAAAGTACCACCTAGATCGTTGACCACAACCTTTGCTCCGCGTGAGGCGAGAAATTTGGCATATTGCTTTCCCAGTCCATTGCCAGCCCCAGTGATGATAGCGACTTGGTTATCGTACCGCAGTTGTGAAGCCATGATTGTTAGTATCCCATGCCTGTAGCTGGAACCAGCGTCAAGGACGGTGAAGCAGTACCCTTAATGAACAGGAGTCGGCAATAAAAATCCACGAACCGAGGCACACCGCGGAGAGTCGAAGGGCCTTAACCCCGCAAAACTGACAGGCCGGCCATTTCCCCACAGTGTCAGCCTTGCTTTTCATTTGGGCCTCGGAGGAGATTCTCTTGCCAGGGTGTTAAAGGTTGCTCTCGAGACGTGTGGAAGGGCTTGTGAGACTCGCAAGATCTGCGACCCCGAGGCTGCGCTTGTTTGTTGCTTGATGGCGATGTGGTCAATCGACAGGCCTTAGCAATACTTGTGTTCTTTGCAAAAAATGAGGCTGGTGAAAACCGATGATTGCAAGACTCGGTCGTCGAATGTGGACTGCTGTAACCCGAGGTACAACGAGCTACCCGTGATCGTGGGGTCTGACAATGCCATTTTCGTCAAAGCGACCAATTGTGAGGGCGTCCTGCTTGCGATGCGGGTTATCGTAGGCAAATCATCTGTGTCAGACACACAGTTTCTTCGGTCGACATGATCACTCGTATCAAGTCCCGACTGCCAGCACTCCATTCTTCTCGTCAAGCAGAATCGCAACGTTCAGCAGCCTCGATGCAACTACATCTCTCTCGTCAGCGCTTTAGATTCCGAGTCACTTTTCCAATATGTCAGTGGTGCCAAGAAGATTGGTCGTGAGCCAGTGGTATGCTTGCGCCTTGATGTCGTCATTATTTCGACATCGAAGACATGACAGAGTCAGTGACATGCACCCAAACGCTGTAGTAAGAGATTGCAGAGTGTGACGACGGGTCTGACCCTTGAGGGTAGGAATCATTTACGAAGCTTTCTTATGTGAGGTAAGTGCAGGACCTTCCTGCGGAAATGATCAGTATATCCTCTGTTTCACCCGCTCAAGGACTCCCGCTTTCACGTAACTATATTATCGAAAAAGATTCCTCTACTCACCTGTTGCCTATTGAATCAAACATGCATCGTCTCCTGCTGGCCTTGCCTAAATACCGTCAACTCCCGCCCGTCCACTTGCGTCGACACACCTGTTTCCTGTCAACATGTGGTCCCCTCCACAATTCTAACCAACATTCTCAGCCCTCTTCTAGCGACAGCAAAACCAGCAATGCGGCTCAAGATAGCCTCCCAGGCTGGGGTGGTCGGCATGCTCGGGACCACGCGGTCAAACGTCCTCCTCATGATGTTCAAGCAGAGACTTCCCAACAAGGAATGAGGGATCACGAGGAATTGAAGGAAGGGAGCGATGCTATTTCACGCAGAGATGAGAGAGCAAGTAATAAAAAGGCAAAGGAAGAGCATCCGGAAGCACCAGAGCCAGTCATTGGGATGAATGATGAGAGAGGATCAGTAAGTTGAAAGATTTCCCCTTCACAAGCGACCCCTGAGCATTCCTGCTATGATACCTGAGGATGAGCCGCAGGACGCGGTCCCACGATGGAATCAACTTGCTCACAACTTGGGCAGAAAACACACTAAATCCACGAAAAGCATACTGGTATGGCCATTGAGATTGTATCATCATTACGGCTGTCATCTGAACACCGACCACGTATTGGAACAATGAGACTGCTTCATCTTGTTGAATTGCTCTCCGTGATTTCTAGCCTTTGAGACTTTGCCGCATAGTGAGGGTGCAAGCACTACCTCCCGACATGGAAAGACAATATATCATTCTTGCCAACCTCTACTATCGAATCTTCTGCGATCCTCCTCCCACCGTCCCCCTCCACAAATGCGATGGGGGCATCCCCCATGACTTTTCTTGCCACATCCGCAACTGTACTGCCTTTCTTCACCAGCACGCAGTCTCTAAAAACAGCCGTGGACCCAGCTGTTCCCGACCCGTATGTGTGGATATTCTTCACAGGGAAGACCGGTACAAGACCTAGCATTGCTGCTGCGCGAGTCAAAACTTGCACCACGCCGGTACTCCCAAAGCGATAGAGCACCATATCCTTGAGATTTTCTATCCGTTGTTTTAGCTTGTCATCCATCTCCTTAAGCCCTCCACCGTTAGGATCACCCTGCTCAATCAGGTCTTCCCGGGTGTCGAGGAAGTCAGCTCCTTCTTTGTATTTGATGTAGCCTTGCTTCGCCAGCCGACGTAGGAACACCTCTGAGATGGCGGAACAGAGAACGATTCGGTCTGCCGGTTGTTGCTTCGCAATCTTAGCAATGTTGCGATCTGCATCAGGATGGTCGATCTTGTTCAAGGCAAGCACGGTAGGGAACTTCTCGTCGGTGAAGGCATTGACGACTTTGAGGATAGTCTCATCGCTCCATTCCTCGAGTGGTTGTTTCAACTGTAATTTGTCCAAACACCGGGCGACGACTGCGCTGGTGCTACCGTAGCCTGAGAATTGTGCTTGGAGAGTTTCCACCGGCGAGGCCTTCACGGCGAGATGCCGTCTCTTGATGCTCCCCCATTTCTCCATCAAGTTCCCTTGGATCCAACGAACAATCTCGCCACGCAGCCATTCGATGTCTACGCTTGGGTCGTAACCTCGGGTTGTTTTGCCATCGGCGTCCGTGGTTCCGCTGACATCAACCACATGTATAAGAGCGTCCGCATGGCGTAAGTCGTCCAGGAACTTATTACCGAGTCCTCTACCTTCGTGTGCACCAGGGACCAGTCCGGCAACGTCAAGCAGCTCTATCGGCACCGATCTCTTGCCATCCACGCATGAACCGTAATTCGGCCTGCACCTTTCGGTAAGGCCATGTCGCTTGCAGGCACAATCGACTTGGAGGTATCCGACGGCTCTTTGAGGGTCGATCGTCGTGAAACTGATATTACACAGATTTAGTCCAAGCGCAGGTCATACCGAGGCGAGGGGTCTCTCTTACGGGAAGTTGCCTGCGCAGAGATCATCAGCCTGGTCCTCCTCCTCGGTCGGGAAGAATTATCGCGCACTGACCGACTTTCGAACTAGCATCTGTCAAGCTGTGAGGGGCTTGTAAGTCCAGGTTGAGATACCGGTAGACAAGACATACCTGTTTAAAGTCGTCGACTTGCCAGAGGATGGTTTTCCCACAAGCCCGATGAGTGGATCTCGGGGCATCGTAGGGACGCACTCTCAAGCGTGTTCTGGCAGGAGAAAGAAGGAAGAGGGCAATTTCCCCGGCCTGAGCGGCCGCCAAATTATCAGACTAGCAGTCCAGTTATTCGTGCGGGATGGTTGGAAAATCGTCTGAAGCCTCAAATGGCGCAGGCGAGAGACGCATGCGAAGCGGAAACCTAAATGACGTGCGATGCGGGTATCGAATCAACTGCCGCGTTCAACCCACAAACCCTCAAAAGTCGTCAACGAGGTTCCTCTTTGCTTTCCTGAATGAGCTTAAACCTGTGCTTGCCGCGTGGCCTTTTATTGAAAGAAGCGATGTCTTATTGCAAACACGAACCCGGTTCTATGAACGGCAGGGAGACACCAAGCCGTGTCTTGATATATCACCCGGCGTGGGATTGACAATGCAGAATGGTTCTGTATCAGGTGTTCTACCATGTTTCATTTCTCGTCACGGCACTTATACATATCTGGTTCAATAATTTGATCAACACTCTCATCATGCTCGTGGTGACGTGTTTGTCAAATCCCAGGCAGCCCATTTTCCAGAGTATCTTGCGTCTGCACTCGGTGGTTCTGGTGTGCTTCGTGCTAGCCTTCTGCTTCGATACCGTTTCTGCTCAGCCACAGCAGACGGCGCTCAAAGGGGGATACCAAGTACTGAATGTCGGTGACCCTTTCTCGAACATTGAAGCGTGTTCAATGATGGTTGACCGTATTATATGCAGTTCGATGAGATTGACACACCTGACGGTTTTGGAAACATAACAAATCCATATAAAGGATTTGTCTTCACCGACTTCTATGCCTTCAAACCATCACATTCGAGCTTTGACGGGATCATTTCCTCCTATGACTTGAACTGTGCTGTATCAAAGCCAAATGCACTGTACGGAGCTGCAAATGACGATTTATGGAATAGCAAACAAGACTATGAGGCAACACAACGCGAACGGCCCTCTATCTACCCTCACAATCCATCGGAGACCTTCACTGTCCATGCGCTGAAGATAAAGCCGCTTAACATGCCGGTCGGTTTTGTGACGATCAACCTCCGAGGTCTTCGTTCGCATAACCCAGGGGATATTATGTCCTGGAGTGTCGATTTCCCTGCTGGTTTTCATGATGTCCTTGATGTTCAAGTCGAAACTTTCACTGGGAAGACGTGGATGGGCTTGACTAGGCTCGAGATTTGGGCTGATTTCCACTTCGACAACATCAAAATGGAAGACTGGGAGTTCTGCCTCGACGATATCGAGCTTGAACTAGGGCTGGATGCTCAGACATCAGGGGACCTAGTCGGCCAAACAGTGTTTTCATCAGGAATGCAGCTTCAAGTCTAATTTAATGATCTTGGCGATATTCATGCCTTCACGTCTTTCCATGCGAAAACCATGTCTCGCTTCAAGTGCCTCAATACCAAAGCATAGCATCCGTCGTGGGCACAGTACACCGCAAGGAAATGTCATACGGCAGAGTCGTGCTGGAGTTGGACCGTGATGCCTGCAGTTATGGCGAGTGTCATCTCCCCTGGTTCCTTTCTATCCGAACTCATGCACATCACCGACCTGATTGGGCCGGGGATGCTTTCCCTTCAGGCTTCTATCGACCCTAAACTTCTCTGGGCTATGACGTATACTGTGTGTGAGGCCTCAAGTTTTACGGGTCGATCTCGCGCGAAGTTTCGAGAGCACTGGCAGAATGAGAAACTGGCAAGCAGATCACCGTGCCATCATTGGCTTTCTATGAGTGACGTCTTCGCGGCCACAATGCTGCAGGGCTCAAATAAAGACGCAGGCAGTTTCCAGAGCTTTACTTGGTTTCTACACATCAATGAAACTTCCTTGAATCATCAAGCCCGATTCAAACCACCTGGACTTGCATCATTCCAGACAAAGATCACCACTTGGCACAGCTTCAAGACCCGGGAACACGAAGACAATGTCCGACAAAACATTCCACGTCACCGGTGAGGACGTTCGCAAGATGGAGTCGAAGGAGTCGAAATTCCATAGTGGCCAGACACCGAGGGACTCGGACACATCTGCAATGAAGGTAAGAAACCTCAGTCTATCATCTTCAATTTTCCCAGCCACATTTGTGTCAATTTGCTAACTCCCAATAGCAACTCTTCTCAGAACAGGAATCCAAGCAAGACCAGATCGATCGGGTCAAGGCGAATCTACCACTCCCAGATCAGCCCGTGGGCGGAGCGAGCGCAGATCTCCAATCCGCAGACCAGCGCACGGTGAACGTCGGCAGTGGAGGTGTGAACGTAAAATTGGGCACGGGCTCGGCTTCTGGGTTGAGAGAACCGGCAACAGCCGAAAGCAGCGTGAGAACAGATGGGGGGGAATTCAACAAGGCGACCGAGCCGCCTCGTCCATAAGGCCACAAAGCGTGCGAGCCTCCATAAGTGACAGAGACCCCAGATGGTAGGTGGTAGGTGGTAGGTGGTACTGTAGGTGGAGAAGGATCATGACCTAGTCATCGAAAAAATGGCATGGGACAGCATTGGGAATCATACAGAGGAAGGGAACTTCTCTCAGCGGAGTCTGTATCTTGAAGCGCGTAGCTCGAAAGATCTCAACATTGTACATGGCTCAAAGAGCTCCACGTTTAGCTGTACTTCTGTTCAGTTGAATCACCTTTGTTCCCATGAAGATGTGTTCGGCCCATCCATGGGCGTAATCATCCAACTTCGATCGCCCTTGCATCAAATCCAGCACTCCACGCACATTGTGACTGTGAACACGTTGCCCTCGCTGATATCTGTGCCAGAGGGTAGCCAGAACGAGGCAAAGACAAGCCTCATGCTCCCGGGCGTCGTCTTGTCACCATGAGAGTGTACGCGTGCAGCGGTTCGCTTCCTTCATTCTATCGTAATGTGGTGCACTCAGTGTTTCGGGATCAAGCCTCTGAGACTCAAATCATATACCACATCTTCCACCTTCTTAACACTGTATTTGAGCCCATCGACTCTCCGCCGGAGTGTGTCATTCTTGAGATTTAGTAGCTGAAACCCTGCGTGGACATCTTTGGTAAATTTAGAAATCTGTAACGGGCGAGCGTAGTCGGCGAGAGTCACCGCATTGGGTGCAAGACGGGCAAGCTCCTCGATCATGTAGGTCAGGGCGAGCAGGTAGTCTTCGATCGTAATATGGAAGGTATCTTCGTCTTTCACGTTTACCGGGACTGCAATAGTGATCAGCGACTTCGATGAAAGCGACAATGGGTTCAGATGTACCTTCGAGTATCTGTCCGACTTCTTCCAGAGTCACCAGATTTCCGCTCTTGAGCCACTCACACATTTGTATGTTGCTGACCACATTCTGAATCTCCCGCTGCCAGATTGAGTTCCATTTGTAGAAGGGATATTTTGAAGCAGCCTGCGCCAGATCTTTCACCGTGACCACCTGTTCTTTCAGAGACTCGGAGCATGGTGCGAGGACGGATTCTTCCAGGTTTGCAGAAGGCGTGTTGTGGATGCGAGAGAGGATTGACTGCGTCACTCTACCTTGCTTCGAGAGGGTTTCGACAATGTTTTTGAGCGAATCGCGAATCGCGGTATCTTTGTCTATTTTCGCTTGAAGGGAGCTGAAGATCGTAGGGTCGACGTTGGGTCGAGAAGTCAGAGCTGCGCTGTTAGTCATGGCCGCGTCGACAGACATCATTCTTTGCGAGAGTGCTGACTTGCTTCACACCTGGGACGCGCTTTGGGAGTTGGGTGTGATTGACCTTGAAGAGAAGATGGAGCGCAGCCACAGCGACAAATCTACCTGGAAAACCAACGACTGCTGCCCCAGGACGGGTTTTGCTGGCTGCTTCAGACACGGAGATCAAACCTGGGGCTAGGTAGTAGCAGAGAGTCTTTACAGTCCTTCCCTCATGGTACGGGCACTCAGTGTAGAATAGATTGCTCGGGCAGGAATCGGACGCGTGTAGTGTCAGGCCAAAATTCTGCAGGCAGTTTGCGCGTTGCTCTCGGAGCTGTCAACTACGGCACAAGGTTCTTGTTCTTCAACTTCTAGAATCCGGGCTCTTCTGGGCTCTTCTCCAAAGTCTTGCACAAGGCAAAGGACAGTGATGAAAAGGGTGTTGTTTGCGTCACAAGGCGGCAGTGTAAGGCCTCGGACACGGTGCAAGAGTCCTCTGTGCAAGCACAGGGAGACCCAAGCGAGGTGCAAAAATAAATTTAATCAATGTTTGTCACCGTAGTGACCTGGCAACGGTCAGCAGGGGGGAGGATATTCGGATAGATCAGATTCGCTCACATTTCAGACTTCCAAGGTGTCAGCACAAGTCAAAATGGGATGCAGTTGGGGGGGAGCACTCACGATTAAACTGAAAAGAACAGATACTACACTTGATCTAAGCCAGTTGGCAAAGCTGAGATGATGACATTAGCACAGTTGGGTTGTATGGCGAGATTCGATGGTACTCACAGAGCTGAGGAAAGAAAAGGGAAAGAATTGTGCTCAATGAGGAACTGAAGAGTTTTTAAATGAGTTGCGGAATCCACAACTGGTAGTGGCTTGGCAAATTCATGTCTTGGCAGTGGTAAGCTATTTGGAGGGAACGTCAGGTCTTTGAGTATGTCACGGTTCCGCCAAGACCTAGTTGGCATGTGACTATTTTGCAACTGCCTACGACCTTTACCTCGTCGCAGGCTGGCACACTTTCAAATAGGCTCTTCTCGAGTTCGTATTCATGTTATCTGTGCTCTACACTGTGCTGGCGCCGTGACACCGGATGCTTGATGCTTGAAGATGGATGCCTGAAGGCCGATGCTGGATGGCAGAAGTTTGAGGGCGGATGCTGAAAGCAGACGATGCCAGATGCCGGATGCTTGAAGGCTGATACTGGATGGTAGGTGCAGACGGCTGAAGCAGACGGCTGAAGCAGACGGCTGAAGGCAGATACTGATGGCTGAAGCAGAACCTGAGGGCAATTGATGCTTGATACTTGAAGGCAGAACCTGATGGCTTGAAGGTTGAAGTAAAGGAATCTGATGCTGAAGCTTGCCGATGCTGAAGCCTACTGATACTGAAGCCTGCTGATACTAAAGCATTCGATGCTAAAGTACGATGCTGAACAATTATGTTGTAAAATCCCCCCGCCGGCTCTCTTCCACAAGGTCACTTGCTATACGTCTGCAACTGGCATTGCCACACGCTCCTCCACATCCGGTATACAGGCAGGAGTGTGCGGACATGCGCGCGGTTGCAGAACGTATTCCACGCCATTGATTTTTGTCCTCACTACGAGACGACCCTTGCACATCTTCCGGTCTTCGTTATCCGGCTTACTCTCGACGTGAAGGTGCACCGGCTCAATGCATAATGGCTCGTGGCAGAGATGGCTGGCGTGCTGGCTGTCGTCACTGAGGAGAAGTTCCACCTCAGCATCGGTCTTATGGGCTACGACAGCCAGGCGATGTCCACCTTGTGGAAGGGTTTTCGATCCAGTCCTTCCGGACACTGGGAAGCCGACAGGGGGGATCTGTACATAATCATTTTCCTGTCATAGTCATTAGCTCATCATTGTTTATCACGCCTTGGGAGTTTAGCAATCACGCACGCTGCGGTTGGCAGCCTTTACTGCCAGCAGGCAGCCCTTGCTGTTCGTCATGGCCGGCCCAACCACCGCCCCTGACCGGGCCCTATACCCGTCCTTGCAGCGTGGTTTTTGATACCTCGGGTATTGAAAGGTATCATTACGATACTAGTATTAGCGTGTATCACTAGTATTAGTAGTATCATGATACTTCTTGGCATTCCTCACACACCATACACACCGCTCTTCAAAAATCTTTCCCTTTCTTTTCTTCGTACGCATTTATTCTTTTAAAGGATAAAATATGGATTCTGAGGCAGATTCATCTCTTCACGAGCCTTCTACTATTACAGATTCAGTTTCAATAACCTCGAAAAGAGGTATATCTGCTCCAAAAACATGGGCTCATACTCGTACGCCACTTCAACACAAACCTAAATCAAAAGATAGAGTTCGATATCTATATTGTGCCCACTGTTCTCTTACCTCGTCGTACAAGACTACAGTCACTATAAACTTTCGAAAACATCTAAAATCAAAGCATAATATTGATGTTGAAGAGGATGTTAGTACGATTCAGTCATCAATACTTCAAAATCTTCAAAAGCTTTATCAACAAGCAGCGATTCAAGGTCAAACTGACGAAATAGACTCTGATGTGAGGGTTTGGAAAGAGTTCTGCAACTAGCTAGCTAACCTAGTAATAAGGAGGATAAATCTGAGGAGAGAGAAAGGAAGGAATGGCTGTCCTTCCTTTCTCCTTATATCCTCTAACGCGCTGTAAGGAGGTAACTAGTGTGATGGGTTGAACCCAGGAGAAGGCTCGGTTCTGGCGAACCAGCGCCAAGACCAACGCCAGGAAATACTGCCTCCTGATTGGTCAAGACGCACACGGTGCAAGGGATACAAAGTCCTGACAGCTGAGACACCGTACGCAAGGGAAGGTAAGGAGTTGGAACAAGTACGCAAGGGAAGGAGCAAGGAGGTGAGGACAATAGTTACCTCCTTGCGGCGCGTTGGAGGATATAAGGAGAAAGGAAGGACAGCTATTCCTTCCTTCTCTCTCCTCAGATTTGTCCTCCTTGTTACTAGGTTGGCTAGCTAGTTGCAGAACTCTTTCCAAACCCTCACAACTAGTGTCCTTACCTCCTTACTCCTTCCTTGCGTATTTGTTCCAGCTCCTTGCCTTCCCCTGCGTACTTGTTCCAACTCTTCACCTTCCCTTACGTACGGTGTCTCAGCTGTCAGGATTTTGTATCCCTTGCACCGCGTACGTCTTGACCAATCAGGAGGCAGCATTTCGCCTGTACATTGTACAGGCAAATCTTGACCAATCAGAAGGCAGTATTTCCTGGCGTTGGTCTTGGCGCTGGTTCGCCAGAACCGAGCCTTCTCCTGGGTTCAACCCATCACAACTATGTTGGCTAGCTAGTTGCAGAACTCTTTCCAAAACCTCACAGGGAGGCACCGTAGGTCCTAGATTTAATGGACGGTAAGTGGAAACGCCCGACGGTTTACGCCTTAAATTAGGCTTGACAGTGTGGCCTCAGCGCCTAGGACTCAGAATATACATGTTGTCAAAAATCTCTGGCAAAGGGGGACTTTTTTGGTGGGTAGCCGAACAAAAAGGTCCGATGCCGGGCCCGCGGGATAAGGAGGAGAAATTTCGTCTGCGGTAGGATCGAGGTCTTGTGTAAGAGCGCTGGGGTCCAGACCGACCACCCTTCTAGTACCCTACTA